TGGCTGGGTTGGAGCTTTACGCGCTCGTTCTCCAGTAAACCAGCAAGGTCATGGTCCATATATGGGAATACCATGTAAACAGAGAGGGGCGAGTTCTTGCCATTGCCTGGTGCACAATGTTAGTGATTGGCATACAATGAGCCAATATGAGCACTCACTACGGACGACGAACATATCCAAGATCTCGATAATGCATGAGTGGTTCATTGCCTTGAGAATTTTGATCTCGCGCAAGGCAGTTACGGGCATACCCTCTTTCTCATTATGCATAAGAATACGTTTGAGGGCCACCAGACGCCCGGTGAGGTGATGGACTGCTTTGTGCACCTCTCTGAGCAAGGTGAGCAGTCGCATTCAGTGGCAGTGCAAGAGGCCTGATACATACCCAAAAGTACCTTCACCGAGTTTCGCAGTGGCGTCGTAGTCGCTTTGTTGGCCACAACCTAAAAAGAGATGACCGTATGCCTCTTGTTCTTGCTTCCTCGTACGCTGCACAGGGGCACGTTTTCGCTTATGCTCTGCAGGTGGTAATTTTTGCGTCGCATCCACTGCGGTATCCTTCTTTTCCTTTACTGGCTCTTCATGAGCCGACGGAAGTGGAAGTGGCGATGGAGAATGGGAGTCTCTAGGTGCTGGAGGTCGTTTCAAAGGAATTGCAATCGAAATAGCTGCGTGAGGAGGTAGGGTATCATCTTTGGGTCGTTCAGGGGTGGGGACGGGAGGTGGAGGAGAAGGTGGCGGTGGCGGTGTGTGGCGAACATGTATGTGAGTTGAAGCCGAAGGTGATTGAGGGGAAGGGTGACGGGATACACCCGGGGAAATAGGACGATCCTGATGGTCACGGTCATCATCGTGAGCACGCGGTGCCACAGAAAGACGACTCTCCGTATGATAGGTATCGCGATCGGCATCACGTCCTCCTTCAATATGATTTGGGTGGTCCCTATCATAAGAATCCCATGAACGTTCGCGTTCGCGACGCGGCGAGTGGCGCATAGGACGACGATAGCGGTCGTCTATCCGTGAGTAGTTGTCATTGTCCGATGGTATCCCCCAACGATTATGGTCATTATGACGAGCGCGTTCCCAGCCCCCATCACGCATCCTTTGGTCATGTAGTCTGTCCACACCATAGTCACGACGAGGCGGACTATAATTCACCATGGGAGAGCGACGTGAGGGTAATCTGTGCTTTCCTCGGTGCGAAGAAGAAGAGGAGGACGGCGAACGGGAACGGTCAGGTGAATGAGGTGACAATGAAGATATATCGCGTTCCCTTCCGTAGACACGACTGTCATATCTATCCCGTGCTGGAATATAGGTGTCATGAGCAGGCCTATAAGGTTCCCGTGGAAGATCCCAGGCAGGGGGACGACGGTCGCCTTCTCTACTATAGGAAGGCTGCCAATGATTAGTTATTTGAGCGCCACCCCTTTTGCGAGATTGGTCATAGTAAGGTCTGGGTCTGCCGTTGCGCTGGTCATCCTCCCGAATGCGCCTCTCGTCGTCTTCGGATCTCTCATAAACCGAAGTATGCCTTCTGTCCATCATAGGACTAATTCTTTGACTAGATGGACCAGGAGCATCTGGACCATTTGTTTTCTTCTTGAAAGGAAACTTGACCTTAGTCTCGAACTTGGAAGGAGCTGGTTTGGGTGGTAGGGGAATTATTGTTGGGCGCGGAGAAGGTGGTAAAGAGTCATCGACTTCGCCTTCTTCTGGCGAGGATGTGGTAAATCTCTTTGCTGGACGTTCATTATGGGTATTATCTGGAGCAGCCCGCTTGTTTGAAGTCTGAACCATTAGACGACCGGTGACGAAGAATGAGTGCGACCACAGGAATTAAAAGCAACTCTCGGAGAAAATGGTCGGCTGACGTAATCCCAATACATTTCAATGAGTCAAGTGACTCAAGTCCTTGACATGCACGTTGCATATGGCGCTATCTAACGATAACCAGGTCAAAGAGATTATCGTTATTGGTGCAGGCGTCGTCGGCCTCACCACAGCGTTAAAAATCCAGGAGCAAGGCACCTATCGTGTCACCATCGTCGCTGAGACATTCCCTACAGATCCAAAATCAAGCAGGTACACTAGTCACTGGGCGGTAAGCAGTTATCTTATCAGACATGTTCAAGATTGGGGCTGATGTAACGCTGATGATCCATAGGGTGCACACCATGTCAGCCATGCTTATGATGATCAAAGACAGCGAAGTATGCTGCTTTTTGACTCCATGAATAAACATGTCACACCCTAGTCGTACAGAACTTGATCAAGATACCTTCCATGCATTATGGAAGTTATCAGAACCAGGTGGTGCAGCCGAGGGTTGTTTCTTGCGGCACACCCAAACTGAATATCGCGGAGACGACCTCACCGATGCTGAATGGCTTCATTATATGCCAGATGTATGAACACAGACTCGCATTCATGACTGTCATTCTCTGACTCGCATCAGTTCAAATATTTAGATACGAATGAACTCCGTGGTCCAGCAAAGATAGGCTTCTCATTCAGTACAGTCACTATGAATACTCCAGCCTACCTTAACTGGCTTCTGTCCTCTTTCCTTGCGAAAAACGGGACTATCATACGCGTGTCCCTGCAGCACATCAGTCAACTTCTTGAGCGAGGAACCAGTCCGTACACAGGTGCCCACTCGTACCGTGACGTTGATGCTATTGTTGTCTGCGCCGGTCTTGGCGCTCGCAGCCTAGGAGGCGTTGAAGACAATGACGTATATCCAATTCGTGGGCAAACTGTGCTACTCAGAGCTCCTTGGATCAAATTCGGGAGGACTATGACTGAGGCTGACGGGACGTACACTTATACCATGCCAAGAAGCAATGGCGATGTGCGCTTTCTGAAAGCCATACAAGATATGTTCTCTGACTATTTTATATAGGTGCTGTGCGGCGGCACGAGAGTACCCAATGACTGGTAGTTCTCTCGAATCATCTTTTGGTCGAATTCTCAACTATTACAGGTATCCAGTTCCGCGTCCTGAAATAACCGAGGACATTCTTGCGCGGGCCCTGCAGCTCACTCCAGAACTTGCACCCCCACAGACACGTGTTGACCGCGACCCCACTATCGAGGATCTCCGTTCCATCATTATTGAGCCAGGTTGCGGTCTGCGCCCTGGCAGAAATGGTGGCATCAGACTCGAAGTCGAATGGTTTGATGCGCCCGCGCGAGGTAAAGTGCCTGTTGTGTATAACTACGGGTGAGTAATGCTACGCTGGCACATACTGCCCTAATTACGTGCGCATATTCAGACACTCTGGTTATGGCTTCCTGTCATCGTGGGGCTCAGCAAACATGGCATTGGACTTGCTAGAGGGTGCTCTCACGAGCGGCGCTCCGACAAATGCAGACATAAGCGTCGGTCATCCATCTGGGAATCCAGGAAACTGAGGTGTTGTGAAAGGCAGCCTATTGTAGTAGCAACGCATGGAAAGGCGAAAGCAAATGTATAGATGTAGGTATAAGGGTACGATGACACAAGCAAGCAATATCTGAAGTGTGTATACTTGGCCAGGCGCGTTTCATATGTCCGGACCAAAAATTTCGTGGACGACTTCAAACCTTTTAGGCTCAATCAAAAATCTTCTATCGTACGTGGGTCAGAAACTGTGGTGATGATCAATTAAATGATATGTTTTACCGTCATCGTCGCTCTCCGCCGCTGTAGAATCCTGGAAAACTTGGCACCGCTTCCGAAACTCACCTACAGGCGGTGTCTATGGGAGAGAAGATAACTTCCTTCTGCGAGATCGGCGAGCACCATGGTATTTTCATCTCTAGCAAATTGATCGAAACCAACTCGAATCAGTGTAAGCTACTTACGGGTTTATAGCACCTGCACTAGTCTTGAGCAAGGACCACCGGATGGAATCGGCCGAACCAGCTTTAAACAAAACCCAAATTTCACCAGTTGATCACCGGTGACGGCAACCTCTGCGTTCTTCCTCTCGAATTGGAATGTTAGTATGACACAATTGTCATTTAAATAGAAGGGACCAACATATGGCCGAACAATTTGAATGTGACAAGACATGATCACAGGCCGAAACACTAGTGGCATGAGAAATACGAGGTGTTACAAGAATCGAGAAACGTTCGAACAAATGAAAATAACAGCGCTGAACGAGGTTCGTAACAGGACATGCAAAGGACACTAAACAAGCTTTACGAAGGGCTTGAGGTATCCAGGAAGGGGCGGGGGGCGGCCAGAACGCGATTTGGAGTGAGGAAAGATACCCCTCGAGATACCGTCTGATAAGTTATCTGCCGATTTGACCCACTCGACAGAAAAACATATAGCGTGGTCGATAGCGAATGCTGACAGCCTACGTAGGATATCATTCTGCACGGGGCTACGAGAACGACCGGCCCTGATGGCACCCACCACACCCTGATTGTCGGAGAAGAAGCAGATAGGGACATCGCGAAGGCCGGAGTGGATAAGAGCGCGAAGACCAAGGTCAACGGCCACCATTTCTGCCCACCCGATGTCACGTCCATCCGACTTCCACCCTGGGAGCAAGCGCCAACAGAGCCAGTAGCCATCGGCTAAGAAGCCAATTCCAAAAGAAGTCGAGGCATCCACAAAGAACCTAAGCACATTCGACTGCGCTGAGCTGGGAATGCTGACGCCAGACGACATGCGATAAAACTTTGGATGCGATGCAGTATTTGAGTAGAGGGGATGACTTGAATGAAGCTTGAAGGCAATAGAAAGAGGGCAAGAAGGCGCGACTCACGGAGGACTAAGGCAACAATGTTGGAGATAGCCGGATTCGCAGTTGGCGCGGAGCCCATCCTCGGACCAATTCTCCAGGTGTACAAGGTAATTTATACATTTTGACTCTTGAGGGAGGGATGTGTGGTCGAAACCTCAATCTGATCAATTACGTAATATTTCTCAAAGGCACAGACTCTTATCCTCAACGTTCAGGCCTCCGATCGGATGCGCGATCATCTACATTTACTAGTTACTTGGTCTGCTTCTCCCGCTCAACACTGGCCTCTCTCCACTTCCTGCCTTTGTATAACACCAGCAGAATCATGCACTCAACGACAACCATTACTCCTGCCCAAATAGTATACAGACCACCGTCGCCAATAGTATCCTAAACTAACCTCAGATCCGACCTTCTGCAAATTTTTATGACCTTGACTTACTTGTAAAGGAACCGCAATCTCGGCGGCGACAAAAGCAAATAGACCACGGACAGAACTATTCGCTGCTACTGCCATTGATGAGCGACCAGTGTTTGCATCGACAATGTATGCCAGCGTGATTGTGTAGATCCATCTATCGTGGATGAGAGTCAAATACAATATAAAACGCAGTGAACGTACGCGGTTAAAAATCCAATGAGGAACAGCATAACACACACAGCAGCGATATTGACTTGTTCTTGACACACCCAGGCGTATCCAATCACAGACAGAGGTAACCACAACATGGCAATTTTCGTGCTCTCGAGGCGCATCTGCATGAATTTGTCAGTCATATGCTGAGCTAGAGATAATGGTTCAAAATTCACCTCTGGAAAGCTGATCCCTCCGTTCGCGGCTTTTAGCCGAGTAAGCGTCCGATCGGACCAACGACCACCCAATATGCTGCCCGTTACGCTGCCTGGAATAAGTAGATGCGTCAGGCAGGTGTTCCCACTTTGCATGGAATACACTCACCAACGCCAAAGGCAAGCAAAACAAGGCCGGTCATCAATGCATCATAATGATAATACATCGACAGTGTTCTTGCGGATGTATACGCAATACTAAAGGTTAGCCCAAGTGTGAAGCCTAACGCAAGAAGGCATAAAAATAGTTTTTAGTAAGAAATGAGGGCACGCACCTGATGCTATCAAGATAGGAACGTTGTTCTTGCGGCCGACAACCGAGAGGTATGCAGGGAGAGGGTTGACATCGGCTATGGACAGTTTTATGTCTTTAATGGCTGACGCTGGTATAACCGTCCGCTGTGCTTCAATGTCTTTCGAAGTCGTTTGGTTCTCTCCACCCACTTCTGACTTCGAAATATTTTGCGACTCGTCCTTTGCTTCCGACGACTGCTGCTCTCCGAGTCTCGAATTCAATACGTTCTGATAAGTCACACTCCTCTCCTTCCTGAAGGTGTCCTTGAACAAGAAAAGGAATGCCAAAAAGATTATGCCTCCCCAGATGACTAAGAACCAGAAAACCGCTCGCCAGCTGAAGCCCTGTGTGAGTGCACCACCAAATATTGGTCCTAACGAAGGGCCGAGCAGGGGTGCAGAATAGTAGACGCCCATCATTGTACCTCGTTGATGTGGCTCGTATATATCGGCCAGAGTGGCAGCTCCCATAGCGAAAACTGCGCTTGACCTACTCAAAGTGAGCACAGACACGAGGGATTGAGGAACTGTCTCACCCTGAGGCTTGCACAATTCGCATGCCAATCACTAAACCAATAGTTTTTGACATGGCCACGATTGCAGATCCGATTATAAAAAGTGCAGTGGATAGAAGGTACACGAGCTGGGCTCGGTCATATTAGCAAACGACGCTCTAAAGGCAGCTATAGATATAAACCTTGCGGCCTTTTATCTCGCCAATCGCACTCCAAATGACAGGAAAATTGCCTTGAATGAGAATGAACAGAGATAAACTCAGGCTGATATCCCCGCTGCTGGCGTGTAGTTGCTGCTCTATTTCAGCATTGGCGGCTATTCCGTGGCCGTTCAACCGATATTGGATACAATAAGATCACGCGCAACCTACGGTTTTGTATATTCGCCGCCAAACCCGCAAACATTGAGGCTCCAGATATGATGAACAATATAGCTGTCTGTAGTTGTGTTCAATCAGTTCCTCTTGCATATTGGGATAGAAGGATTCACCTTTTTCGTGTTTGACCATAATCGAGGATCATCCTCAACCACGGCATGCTCTATATCGAGCTTAATGGGTTCATTTGACAATATTGAACTGGGGGAGTACGGTTGGGTATCAGTATGAAATTCCACATCCTGGACCTCTATAGGTGACAAGTTCGTACTTTGGCTTTCTGCCATGGGGGTAAAATGTTCGATGCACGAGTCGACGATTACATGATAGCACATGATTTTATAGATGGTCTATGGATAACGCGAGCGCCAGAAAGAGAATATTGTTTTGCCAGTGTCGATGATAAGAACATACTGGATGGGAGAGCTCCACCAACTATAGTGTGTCGGACAATGTGGCCGCCGATGAGGGTGGCATGGCCCATAAAAGCTCAACGTTATCTTCGTTTCAGATAGCCGCCAACCGAGGGAGGCCTTGAAGCCAAACGACCTACTGAGGTTAGTGAGATTTACGTTTTAGATTGCATCCATCCAGACCTAGATCTGCCTTGTCACGGAATTTCGGATGCCCGGTCAATGGAGGTGAAGTCGAACTAATAATATGAGTGAACCTAGAGCTGACTATCCATGTCAATAGTCATCCTCACATACATCATGTATCAAGTGACCGTACTCCAATCTTCTGACCTTTGTAATGTATTCCAAGGGAAAAACTTCGAGGTGTCTTCGGCTCAGAAAGTCCGAATTCGGAGTCACCGCGCGTCAAAGTATAAGTCCTGCAACCAAGAGGAAAATGAGAATGTTGATGATAGCCACAGCCAACTGCGCCGAAATGAAATATATAGCTATACCTGCTGCATGCCCTAAGTCCCTCAGAGGCCTCAGTACTCAGTACTCAGTCACTACTCAAGTCGTCACTTTGTCATCCGTTGACGTGTTGGCTTGATGCATCGATGAACGTTAACAATGTTGAAAAGTACACTGTGGCTTACGTAAAGTGGAAGCTGTCAAAGGCCTGGACCCTGCGGCAACGGAAACCCTAAATCACACCAGTACAGTCTATTTATCAGTTTATCATACTTAGTAGTAGCCTGCTTCAAGTTCCTGTAATGCCACAAAACGTGGTGAGTCTTTCTGCAATTTTCACTGTCCGTCTGCAAATACTTGTGTATGGTGGAAAAAATCAATAATAGTCGACGTGTGGTTGGAACCGGGCTGGCACAATCACCCCTATTTCAACTTCGCACCAGCCACGTCTCACTCAACAAGCAAGCACCTACATCGAATCGCAAAGTCACCAACAGCACAATGTCCCAAATGCGAAGCCCATGACAAGTCAGTACACCGCTTCTTATTAGTTTGACCAGCATACGCCATCCAAGTGAAGTGTTACGAGCAAAAGTTGCCCGCCAATGCAACATCAAATATTTTTTGAGCAACGTAAAGGAATGAGAGTAACTCTGACATATAGCACACGAACGAGAAGACTGGAAACGGTGCTCGGAAGCGTGACTCCCCCAAAGGACAGGGAAATAGAAGTAACACAGTGTGGGTGGTGTCTAGGCTCGCCGGGCCCCAACGGACAATAAGCAAATAATATTTGTACAGGCTTAAATTGATTCTTCTATACTTGTATTACTTATGGTGAGACCTACTTATATTTGTGCCGGTCATTGAATTCTGGCCTTTCTATGACCACGTTACTTACTGATATTCAATCAGGGTCGATTGGACGCGCGATCATCTACACCTTATCTAGTGTCTGCTTCTCCCGCTCAATACTGGCCTCTCTCCACTTCCTGCCTTTGTACAACACCAGCAGAATCATGCACTCAATGACGACCATCAGACCTGCCCAAATAGTATACAAACCACCATCACCAATAGTATCCTAAACTAACCTCAGATCTGGCCTTTTGCAAACTGTTATGACCTGGACTCACTTGTAAAGGAACCGCGATCTCAGCGGCGATAAAAGCAAATAGACCACGGAAAGAACTATTCGTTGCTACTGCCATTGATGAGCAACCAATGTTTGCATCGACAATGTATGCCAGCGTGCTTGAGTACATCCATCTATCATGGATGAGAAGTAAGATACAATATAAAATGCAGTGAACGTACATAGATAAAAATCCGTTGAGGAACAGCATCACACACACAGCGGCAATATTGACTTGTTCTTGGCATACCCAGGCGTATCCAATCACAGACAGAGGTAACCATAACATGGCGATTTTCGTGCTCTCGAGTCGCATCTGCATGAATTTGCGTCAGTGACCCGCTGAGTTAGTGGCCAGTGGTTCGACGCTCACCTCTGGAAAGCTGGTCCCTCCATTTTCAGCCTTCAGCCGAGCAAGTGTTCGATCGGACCAACGACCACCTGATATACTGCCGGCTACGGAACCTGGGATAAGTAGATGCGTCAGGCAGGTGTTCCTAATTTGCAAGTAATTCACTCACCGACACCATAGACAAGCAAAACAAGGCCAGTTTTCAGTGCATCATAACCATAATACATAGACAGTGTTCTTGCAGATGTATATGTAATACTAAAGCTAAACGCAAATGTTAAGCCTGACGCGAGAGGGTATAAAAATATTTTTCAGCAAAAAATGAGGGCACGCACCTGATGCTATCAATATAACCAAGTTGTTCTTGCGGCTGACAATCGAGAGGTATGCAGGGAAAGGATTGACATCAGCCATGGACAGCTTTACGTCTTTAATGACTGATGGTATAACTGGTCGTTGTGCTTCGATATCTTTCGAAGTCGTCTTGTTTTCTCCGTCCACTTTTGATTTCGAAATATTTTGCGACTCGTCCTTTGCTTCCAACGACTGCTGCTCTCCGAGTCTCGAATTCAATACGTTCTGATAAGTCACACTCCTCTCCTTCCTGAAGGTGTCCTTGAACAAAAAAAGGAATGCCGAAAAGATTATGCCTGCCCAGATGACTAAGAACCAGAAAACAGCCCGCCAGCTGAAGCCCTGTGTGAGTGCACCACCGAATATTGGTCCTAACGAGGGACCGAGGAGAGGTGCAGAATAGTAGACGCCCATCATTGTACCTCGTTGATGTGGCTCGTATATATCGGCCAGAGTGGCAGCTCCCATAGCGAAAACTGCGCTTGACCTACTCAAAGTGAGCACGGGCATGAGGGATTGAGGAACTGTCTTACCCTGAGGCTTGCACCATTCGCATGCCAATCACTAAACCAATAGTTCTTGACACGGCCACGATTGCGGATCCGATCATAAAAAGTGCAGTGGATAGAAGGTACACAAGCTGTGGCCGGTCATATTAACGAACGACGCTCTAAAGGCAGCGACAAATACAAACCTTGCGGCCCTTTATCTCGCCAATCGCACTCCAAATGATAGGAAAATTGCCTTGGACGAGAATGAATAGAGATAAACTCAGGCTGATATCTCCGCTGCTGGCGTGCAGCTGCTGTTCGATTTGAGCATTGGCAGCTGTTCCGTGGCAATTCAACCGATATTGGGCACAATAGGATCAGGGACGCAACCTACGGTTTTGTATATTCGCCGCCAAACCCGCAAACATTGCGGCTCCAGATATAATGAACAATACAGCGGTCTGTAGTTGTGTTCGATCAGTTCCTACTTGAATGTTAGGATATATGGACTCGCCTTCTTCGTGTTTGACCATAATCGAGGATCATCCTCAACCATGGTATGCTCTATATCGAGCTTAATGGGTTCATTTGACGATATTGAACTGGGGGAGTGCGGCTGGGTATCAGTATGAGATTCCACATTCCGGAACTCTATAGGTGACAATTCCGTACTCTGGCTTTCTGACATGGGGGCAAAATGTCCGATGCACGAGTCAGCAATTATATGACAGTGTATGGTTTTATAGATGGTCCATGGATGACGCGAGCGCCAGAAAGCGAATATTGTTTTGCCAGTGTCGATGATAAGAACATGCTGGATAGGAGAGCTCCACCAACTATAGCATGTCGGACAATGTGGCCGATGAGGGTGACATGGCCATAAATGCTCAACGTTATCTTCGTTTCAGATAACAGCCAACCAAGGAAGGCCCCAAAGCCAAACGACCTGCTCAGATTCGTGAGATTTACATTTTAGATTGCAATTATCCAAAGCTAGATCTGTCTTGCCACGGAATTTCGGATGCCCGGTCAGTGAGAGGTGAAGTCAAATTAATAATGACTATCCAAGTCAACAGTCATCCTCACATACATCATGTATCAAATGACCGTGCTCCAATCTTCTGACCTTTGTAATGTATTCCGAGGGAAAAACTTTGAGGTGTCTTCGGCTCAGAAAGTCCGAATTCGGAGTCACCGTGACCTTTCCGAGTCCAAGTATAAGTCCTGCAATCAAGAGGAAAATGAGAACGTTGATGATAGCCACAGCTAACTACGCTGAAATGAAAACAATATATAGCTATACCTGCTGCATGTACCAAGTCCCTCAGTACTCAGTACTCACTTTGTCATCCGTTGACGCGTTGAATTGATACATCGATGAACGTTAATAATGTTGAAGAGAAGGCAGAAGGTCACTAAAACCGCCCTTCCGGCGCAAAACAGTGTGGCGCGTAGTACGGCACTACGGCGGATATATCCGCAGTCCGGCGGCAAAAACACGGCCAGGTAGCGGACTTTGGCTGACTTTTAAATCACCTAGGTACGTGCTACCGTGACACTGCTAATCTTATCAGCACATACAGTGCACGCCCATCCGGCATGGACCCAGCATCGCACCTATCACCTTCCAACAGTCATTGTCCGAAGCCTGGGTGGGGAAAACTTCTTCGGAAGGATGTCCGAGTAACCGAGTTCCTGCCCAGCGAGTAGTGCACTGGTGAGCAGCAGTCGTTGGTAGCAGCTGTAGACCGGGCCTCCAAGTGTATTTCAATGTCCAACGTGCCGTCTGTTAGCCACCAGCTTTGCCGCCGTTCTTGCCGTAGTGCGTGCCGGACTTTCTGCGCCGGAGGGGCGGTTTTAGGGATGTTCAGAAGGAGCGCTGTGGCTTACGTAAACTGAAAGTTGCTGTCAGAGGCCGCAACGGAAACCCAATTGCTTGACTGAATCGCACCAGTAAAGTCTATTTATCGGTTTATCATATAGTAGCCTGCTTCAAGTTCCTGTAATGTCACAAAACGCGGTGAGTCCTGTTTCTGCAATTTCCACTGCCGCTCTGCAAATACTCGCGTAGGATGGAAAAAATTAATAATAGTCCATTCACTGGTATCGTGTAGTTTGAAGTAGTTTCGTGTCAATGTCTAATCCACAGTGTGTATTTTTGTGCAGTCTTTGTCGAATTGTAAGAGAGCAGCCTGCTCGTGACCAGTCTGATATACGTCTTCGAGAGGTGGAGAATTTCATGGTTATCATGATATAAGCCGAGCTGGTCCCGAGCATAGTAAGAGAGCTGATCTCGTCAGCGGCCGCCTTACAAGAGTTGAAGTATGCCGTCGCCTGAGCACCTCAAAGAGAGAGTGTTTGTAAAGGGAGTAGTCACGAGTATAGGAGAGAAGTAAAGTAATATTAAAAGCAGAATCTTGAAGTAGCGTCAGATCAATACCTCAAGATTCCGCCTAGGGTTAATCAGTGAAGTTCTGGAACTATCAAACGCATACGTGTAGTTCACGTCCTCTGGCGTGGTTTGATCACCAATCCCAGTCGCTGATCATCCATGACAAAGGGGTGTCAAGCTACAGAAAGAGTGGCGGAAGAGATCAGATAAACTAACTGCACAGGACAATTGGTGGGAAGTCTCATTCTTAGAGTGCCATGATATCCATACCTTCCGTTCTCATTAACGCTCTTAGACTCTACCTCAGTGGAGTCATTGAAAAGTTTTCATCGCTCCAGAAACTTGCAGGTAACGTCTGTAGCAAAGAAAGAAATTCCTGCCACCTTCCTCGCCAAATTATCCGAACCGACTCGCATCCATGTAAACCACATACGTGTGATAAAGCGTCTCGACTGGTCTTCAGCAACGATCGCCGGATGGCTGATGCACCGATAATCGTAAAGGCCACCGAGTTCGAACATGATCTAAATTAATCGCCAGTAAGGGCAACTTCTGCACGCATACCCTTGATGTGCTCGGGAGTCGGACCATCCACAAAAGCCATGTGCTCCACCCTGGGCTCTTCCTGTACCAGTGCAGCCTTCATAAGAGATATCATAAGGCTTAAAAGATTGAGGGTACAGTAAGGCCACAGAACATGAGATAGTGAAAGTCGTCGTACTGGAGTATTCGAGACTCGTCAGTGGTAATTTTCCTTCGCATTCCGTCTGCTTCGATACGATCTAAGCGCTGGATAGCGCCTGTTTGAATGTGGACCTCCCCAGTGACCTCTCATCTTACGGTTGTGCTGGGAGAAACTCTGTCAGATCTGATACCCAACGTAGATGATAGGAAGATACTCTAATGTAACGACAGATTTTCGGCACCCAAGCCTCGATAGCCTCATCAGCTGGGCTTTGAGATCAGGAGTTGGAGGCATCACGATAGTAGTGAACGATGAATGATTTCAGGGTTGAGGAAGATGGGTTCGAGGTCATATTGTTGGGGAGGGATGCTGCAATACTTTGAGGCACAGTGATGTTGTCTGCCTCCTAACCAACATATCATGATGCAGCCGCGATCGAACGTCCGAAATTTTGCAGGATTGACATGTTTGTACAGATTGTAAGACGAACTTCATCGGGAAAACAACAAGTTATCATCTCTCGCGCTCCAGCACGAGAAGTAGGATAAAGTTGCAAAACGCGCAATGATGACATGCCCGGCGTTGCATATGTGTGGCCAACTATGAATAGATCTCCAGAAGCCCACGTTCACTGAGGACCGAATCGCACACCATGGAATCCTGGACCGCTGGTTTCTTTGAGAATACACCTGTATTAGTTCCCTGATTAGCATGGACAGGATTTTGAACCAATCAAATCTACGGACATACTTGCAAGACACATCTGCTTGACAAGCTCCGAGTCGGAAGAGATTCAGGCCTAAGAAACTGATATCAATGAAAGTGTGAGACAGCCACTCGTCTCGGAGGACCGGCACGTCCATCAAGCCATGACCCATTGGCCAAGAATAGTGAGCGCAGCTCTAAGCTTCCCTCGCCACCTTCAAATGGGTAACACGCAAAAGTATTATGTGAGACAATCCCACACAGTACTTCTTGCGTTCGTGGTCGACATGCATAACATACCAGTCCTTCATGACGAACCAGGGCCAATATCGTTGAAAGTCGCTCATTGAGGCACGTCCTAGATATCAAACGAGTCGGGCCAAGAAGAATAGTGAGTGTGGCTTTGCCAGCCTAAGGTTCGAACTTCGCCTCGCCGTGTGAGACTGTGCGCAAAATTGCTACCGTTCATGACCGGCAGATGCCGAGCTAGTTTCATTAATCAAATTCCAAATTCGTGGTCGAAGAAACTTCACCGTTAAATATTCGCTAGGGCACTGACCGCCTTACATTACGTTCGTTCGCAGTAGACCGACAAAGCCTGGAGAGGCTCCATGGCAGCACAATCAATTTGCAAAGGAACGGGGTCCGAAATTGGTAATTCAATTTTTAAGTTACCCTGGACCCGCTGATTTTTCGCTAGACTTCAGCTACTTCGGTGGTGCTGAATCTTTTACGGAAGGGAAACGTTCTCTACGTCGGACAACCGTTGTTTCCCCTTCTGAACAAGATGATGGTGTATCTTACCCAGGTCCACCGCAAGACCCCACAGATTTTTTGTGGATAATGACGGAGGAACCTCACCGCTCACGACGTATGGCCATTATGAAAGCGCACCCTGAAGTCACCAAGCTCATGGGGTACGAACCTCTCACAAAATATGTCGTACTGGCTGTCGTGTCACTGCAGCTTTACCTTGCCATATATCTCCGACACACCCATCCGCTCTCTTTCCGCTTCTTGTTCCTTGCGTATGCTGTAGGCGGCACAACCAACCAGAATCTTTTCCTCGCCATTCATGAGATTACGCATAACTTAGCATTCAAGGGCATTAATGCGAACAAGGCCCTGGCCGTTTTCGCGAACTTGCCAATCGGTGTACCCTACTTCGCCGCGTTCAAGGTGTGTAATGCGTGTGTGTGAGCAAACGTTGACTGACAGGCACTGCGGATGCTTCTAGAAATACCACATAGAACATCACAAACACCTTGGAGAGGATGGGATAGACACCGATCTGCCCACAAATTTTGAACTGCTTTGTCTCAATAACGTTCTTGGAAAGACATTTTTCGCGTGAGTTCAGCGTCGCGTCTAGCACGTAGCTTAACTCACACATATATTAGGACGTTCCAGATATTCTTTTATGCCCTAAGACCTGGCTTTGTCAAAATGCAGACGCCCAACCGATGGCATTTGTACAATGTGATTGTGCAGCTTCTCTTGGATTATATCCTGGTGCATAATTTCGGCATTCGCCCCCTGCTATACCTGCTCTTCTCAAGCTTCTTTGCCGGAAGTCTACATCCATGTGCAGGGCACTTCATCGCCGAACATTATGTATGGGATGGTCTCGGCCAGGAGACCTATAGCTATTATGGTCCCCTGAACATCCTGGCTTACAACGTACGTCATTTTGTACCGTTTTTTCGCCTACGTTGATTATGTTGCGCAGGTTGGCTATCACAACGAGCATCATGACTTCCCCTCTATACCGTGGACGCGTCTTCCAGCATTGCGAGCACTGGCACCAGAGTTCTATGACATTCTTCCGTCACATCCCAGCTGGCCGATGGTCATCGTGAACTTTATTCGAGACAAGGAGGTCGGCATCTTCGCACGCGCTAAGAGGTTGGCCAAGAATAGCAAGCAGAAGCATGAGAGTCCCAGCTCAAGCTCAAGCAGTGATCGGGAGTGAAGCTTTAAAGGTTGACTGACATTTAGATGCTTTCTTAATGGACGCTGTATATACATCGCCATACGACAATCAATTGGTTTTGCAGGAAGGAATGTAGCTCGGTATTAGCCTTTGATCTAATGGTTGTCTCTAGAGTGGCATATGTCCAGTACTTGTCTACCAGCCAGTTTTATTTGGCAGTAGTTCACTCTCTAGCCTTGTGGATGACGCCCAACTTTTTTTGGCGTAAACCCTAACCCCAGTCCACGATACCGACAAAAAGAAACAGAAGCGGCTCATGCATGACCGCAGACTCTGCGCCAAAGCCTGGGGACACACTGGGCAACGTTTGAGAGGACAAGTATAAAGTTCCGGGCGGTCAAAGGTCTGACTCTTTGGTCTGTTGTCTTGCATCATTGCAACTGGCACCTGCCGTCTACGTCAGCCACCACCCCGCCATCTATTTTCACCACCATCATGCCAATCTCCATCCTTTTCAACTTGCCATCGTGGTTCTAGTCCATTGGAGGGAGGACATCACACCCATAGACTGGGAGCTGCAGACAACAACATCGTGTTGGCAGGCGAGTAGGAAATAGGCAAAGGCCCAACACGGAGGAAGTAGTAGACAGGCAGGCAAACGTGAGAGACTCGCAGGGATCAGAGATGGAGGTAAAGATCTTGATGGCAGGTGGGCGGGATGGAATACGCCATCGTGAGGTGGGTAACAAACTTCCAAGTTCCCGGCACTTCCTGAATTCGACCAACCCACTAACATGACACAAGTCTGCATCCAGTTTACATGGAGACCGGCTAAATTCCACACTTCCTGAGATCATCGAACTCTCAGACTCCAACTTGGAGTCCAACCACCGTTCACTTGACGAGGGCGAGCAGGATGCTGCTTGCTTGCCCCTTCCTGGAAAACAAGCAGTTTGATCACACCAATTGTGAGCAAACGACTATTCCGGTGACTTGACTTGCAAATACTAGTACCAGTACATGTGAGTATTTTCCATGTTCAAGTTAGCCGCCACCGGCGGGCTGATCTTGTTGATTAAGATTGTGTAGTTGCTAGATATCTGCTTCGTGGAAACCGGAAATGCATGTGAAACGGTGTGACAAAACTTTATGGTCGTTGTTCAAGTTGTCGGCCACCGGTGGTAAACCCGTGGGCTGGTCTTGTCGGCCGTGTATTTGCTGGATACCTGCTTTGTGGTCATCGGAAATGCATGTGAAGAAGCGCTGTGATAAAACTCCGTTGATGAGCAACTATGGGTAATGGGTACGCTTTGGAAGTAATCCCACTAATGTCGTTCGAACAGACCCACACCATGGATCATATGATACCGAACGCGAGATTTATGGGATCTCACCGCATCCCCAATCGTGCCTGAAGCAACTTGCATATAAGAGCAACTATCCAGCCAAAGGTTTGCTAGGCAATTGAAACTACACCGTGTACGTTTTCATTGCGCGATCCCCTTGTTGCTAGATCTAACAGTTACCACGCCAGTGAAACCATGGTTCTTTTTGTACTGGCCGTTTCCTTACTCCTTGCGCTCGGCACGGGAGTTAGTGCAGAATGCGTTGCCTGTCCTAATTGCGATTACGAGCGGATCAGTATCGAGCAAGGAGATGCATGCATCAACTTCTGGACGTGCTCAGGCGACACTATCACGTGCACTTACCCTTCTGTTGCAAATCCGGGAACGTGGAATAACTGCTCATATAGTGCATCGACCGTAAGTAACTGTCTTTCGCAGCGGTGCATGCACACTCACCGATCTTTCGGAAATGCTAGGGTTGGGCGCTCGCGGATGGCTCTAGCGAGATCTGCTTCTCGGGAGCGGGAGCCAATGCAAAATGTGAAGCACCGAATAACCCTTACAACAATGCTATCCCAGCCTGCACCGCTTCATATGGGCTTATCAATGGAACTAACGGTCAGTTGTTGTAAGGATTGAGGAGTTAAAGAGCCTGGTGCAGCGCGGGCTACCTCTACCGTGAAGTGCACGAACTGCGATTTTTGATTGTTTATTTTTATACATTGTCCGTTGGGGCGGGGCCCTATATTAAACAATACCTACAGTACGTACCGTATCTATTGATTCCTGTTTTGTACGTGGTGGTGTGACTGCTTTAATGGTTCGAGCAACAGTGCGAGAACGGAGACACCAACTGAAGGTAAATGGTAAGGAATTACAGATCAGTGAGCGAGCTTCGCTATCGTTCCCGAACACTATTTGTGGCTTCTTTGAGGCCATCACATCAAGATCAAGTTGAAGGAGTGTGATCAGATTCAAAGTACCGGATATCCAGATATCATACAGGTGCAACCTCATTCGAGGTTGTATGGTTATTATCATACCAATGCCTCTTACCTGTCAACTTCCGATAATGACGCAAGAGTACCACAACATCCGAAGTCAACAAAAAGTTATTGATGCTGAGAACCTATCAACCACCGTCAGAACATGCATCATTTTCACACCTATCCGCACGTACGAGAAGCCACGTCCTCAAAGCGGCGACTCCAGCAGCTCGATCTATCATCTTCCAATTATCGTTGATGAACATCTCCGTTCCTTTGAAAAATTCCGCGACAAATTTGTTCCTGCCACCCCGTTGGCATATGCATATGTCAGATCTTCGCGTTGAGTTGGACGTACCGGTTTAGAAATATCCAGCGGAACCAGAGCGCCTGCATGACTTTGTCTTCATCTCTCACGTTGTCGATCTCGAAGATATCTTCTTCTCTATCGAGGATGACCCATGCGAGGACACCAAACTCATCCAGTGGTAGTGTGTTTAGAAGATCGTATAGTCGGGGCCCGCCCACGCGGCATGAATAGATGCCATCAGACTCGAGTAGGTAGGGATACTGCGCTGCAGGCCCTAGGGGATCAGATTGGGGAGGGGGTGTTGGCCTTCCAGAAGCATGACTGGAAGATGCGCGAGACATCGTGCGAGACGTTACAGAAGTACTGCGTGTAGTTGACAATGCCAGTGAACCTGTACGAAGTATCGGGTTATGCCACTTTGGTTTGATGTCGAGTTTATCTGTGTTAACAAAAGGTTGAGATGCCACAGAGGTATTTCGTGATGGAGATAGTGTGGTCGCTGGAGTGTATTCGCCATCGTGAAAATTGGATGAAAAGTCGGTTATCTCTGTTGAAGCAGTCCTTGTCGAAGTTGTCGTCATTGCACGTTGATGGGGCAATCTGTGAAGCAGCCATCGTCGCTGATGTTCAAGGAGTGGGCATGAAATGCTAAGAGAAAAACTTACAGTGGAACATGCCTACTGGCAGGCAACGCGACTGGTAATGCAACATGTCTTGTCAGTGGAAGTTCTACCCACAGAGTATAGTTTTCCTGCACAAGTTTGCTTAGTTTTGGATCTTCTGTTGCTGCATATAACCTACCATATCCCACAAGAAACCTACTCCTAAATGGTCCCGCTGGAGATGAGCGTGGAGGATTTCCTGCGCGGGAAATACTCCGTGAAGTTCGCAAAGTGGACATTTCCAATTTGTCATTGTCGTCCGAGTCTCCTGTCGTTTTAGAGATCTATCCTCGGCGATTTGCGCTAGGCACTTGTATATGACCGTAACGGGTTTAGAAGGTGGAATACTGGGAGATGGATCGATTCCAAGGGACTTGCATCGACTGAGAAATCCTTTGCGGAGGTTTCGTAGCATGAAGGGAAGACGGCGTAATTTTGCTAGCCGGATGGTCGTCAGTGAAATGTTTTCCAAAGCCTCGATAAGAGTATCTGAAGGAATATCCGTAGGTGTTTCATCCCTTTCTGTAACGTCAGTTTCTGAGGATGATTCGGTTTTCTCGCGAGCAACGTTGTGAGGGGGTATACCAAGGTCCACATATTCCAGTTCCTCGCTATCTTCGCCCACAAGAGCGGGTATCGTAGATTCGTCATTGTCGGATGATTCGCTGCTATGGGAATTCGTGGGGGTGACGGAACGCTGTATCTCGGGTGGAACTTTGGTCGATTTGCGTCCAAATTGAAGCTTTCTAGCTGCTTTCACCTGAACACCTATCTCTCTACATAAACACTGTCAGGTAGTACTTAACGGTTACCATCAGTCAAAACTCACCTGACAATCTCGACAGAATTGCCTGGAGATTTACCCCTGCTCAATTTGGACAACTTCAAACCGACATCGACATAGTTTGCACTCCCGCTGCTATGTTCACTTGAGCTGTCAGCAAGATGGCCCTTGCTGACATCCTTATTTGCACTGGACATACGAGGTACGCGTGAAGATGTCCTGCTGCTTGTGCCTTCAAACTTTCGCGCGTATTTTCCAGAAAATGACTCCGCATGTATGTGAAGGCGCATTTGCTGCGATTTAGTGGCACGGTGCTGGTCAACTAAGGAACATTGAGCACGGTGCTGATGATATAATTTGATACGCTTACGTGCATTGTTGGTTGACTGTCTACCAAGGCCCCTGCGCGAGACTGGTCGACATGAGGCGTAAGGTTGTTGAGGATGTGCTTATTGTACGTACCATCTGCCGATGACTTCGAGCTCTTTGCTGCACCAAGTCGAGAAGATCTCTCAGGAAAGAAGGAAGTTGATTGAGAGGGAAGCTCCTCTCTTCTCTCTGAGGCAGCAGATGAACCAAGACCTGGAGCGAACCGTCCAGATTTCTGCCCAACCCTATTACGAGCGACAGGACGCCGCTCCATGGGTAGTGGAAAATCTTCAATATTAAAAGTAACTTTCTTTGGAACCCTGGCAGCAACATCATTTTGCTGGAGAGGTTCGTGAATAGCTGCAATACGAGTAGCATTTGATGAAAGGGATAATGTCATTCATTCATTCATTCATCATCGGCTAGTTTGAGTCGCTTACCAGGTCGTGATATATTTGTACTGATTTGTCTCGCGTTCAACTCTTGGTTTCTAGTATGAGCATCCATCCTTGGATCAGCAGTTGCAGGTTGAACTATTGCTCTGAGACGATCGCCTGGCCTGACATCATTGGAGGCAGTTTTTGCAGCAACAGTCCTTGTAGGATTATCGAGCCTTGGATCAGTTGCGGGGGGGCCTGCTGCGATGCGACCGCCCGGCCTGAAGCTGGCAGATTTTGTAGCAACGCTGGTACTTGGTCTTGTAGCATTATCAAGCCTCGGATCAGTGAATTTCCGAGCACTCTTGACGATGCGAGGGGGAGGAGGTACTCGATCGCGTGGATCTGACATACCAGTACCATGAAGATGGGTAACAATCCAGCTAATGGTATACTTATCGGTATCATATCGTCGCTGTCGCCATGTCACATGTTTATCTTTGTGAGTAAGTGTGACGACGAGTGGCTTCGATAACACGTGAGTGTGACAATTCGTGTTCTCGCTATGGCGGCCATGGCAGCAACTTGTATGATCAGTATTGTCAGTACTCTGATGGCATCATCATTGATGCTATAGAGGCTATGTCTCAGTAAGCAAGATTGCCTTGGAAAATCCCATTGAAATTTGTTTCCGCGGACATGAACATGATTACATAATCAAGTCTATAAGAAGAATTTCCAACCGAGTCGGATATCCTCGATCTGAGACATCCGATTAGGGGTAACCAATTCATTCAACGTCAACTCAATTGCCTTCGGGCTCCACCAGAGTTCCGCCAAGGCACTAGGATGACGTCCTCAAAATCATCGCTGGAAAGTATAAAAGGACCACAGATTTTCGCAATATCCTCAATCAACTCAACTCATCAACTCATAATCAACTCACTCTCAATTCTTACTATCAAATCACCATGTTCACCAAATTCATTAGTGTCGCATTCGTCCTCGCTGCCACTTTGGCACCTACCAGCGCTGTGGTCTTCCCAAGGGATAACAATGTTCGTGATCCTCAGGCTGGTACTCTAACTCCCACTATCACGCCTACCATCACGCCTACTACCACTATGTCCACGCCCATCACTACGTCGTGGTCTTCTACCACGCCTTCCACCTCCTCCACGCCTATCACATCCTCCACACCTACCTCCTCCACGCCTACCACCTCTTCACCTACGACTTCTACCACACCTCCGCCCTCTACCACGTCTTCGCATCCCACTACCACTTTTACGCATCCCACCACTATCCCGTCCTCTATCCCGATCACGCCTACTACCTCGCCAACGCCCTCAACGTCTGTGACGCCCACTTCCAAGCCATCTGAGACCGGCAAACCTTCTGGTCAGCCCAGCAAGGCGCCCTCTCCTTCCGTGCCGTCACAGTCGTGCGATGGCGTCCAACCATGGCAGGTCAATCTCGCAGTAAGTTGTGTCTTCGTCTCAATTTTCCCTTCGCTCACATCCGGCTCAGTATAGCGCAGGCACTCAGGTGATCTTCAACAACCAACTGTGGACCGCCAATCAGTGGAGTTATAACAACAACCCTGAGTCCGCCGCCGCCGCCTGGACTCTGAACGGGATTTGCAACCAACCGATTAGCAACAAAGTTGATTGCACCGGAATCCCTGGTTGGAACAAGTCCACCGCCTACAATGGAGGTTCTAAAGTAACCTTTAATGGTCAACTCTGGATTTCCACGCAGTGGACCGAGAGTAACAGCCCTGGCGATGCTTCCGGAACTTGGAAGGATTTGGGTGCTTGTAACTAATTCAATAGTTTGGACTTTTTAGATGCGTAGCAGTTCGCATCATGGACAATTCTTTATTAGCATTATCTTGCTATGGACATTATCATGGACTTAATTAGATTTTTTGTTTTTCTCTATCAATCAACGTTTGATTTTCATGGCTATTCAATACTATGGGACTTTTCACATTTTGCGATACTGCGTCTATAAAATTTTTCTTTCGTTCTCAATATCCTTAGTCTTGCCAAATAATGTCTAAGTTCTTACCATCTAACGTTTCGCTCTCTGCCTACTCGTTGTTCTTGCCTGCGGCAAACTCCTCAAACGACAGTTGTGGCGGGTTTGTTGCACCCCTTAGTGTCAACGCCTTAGCCCCTGTGGCTAACCTCTGGTGTCATCTCTTAGTGTCGAGCGCGTAATCATGACTGGACACAGGGGCTGACGATGACGAGAGATTGGCCGAGCAGCACGCTCCTTAGAGCATTATCGGCCGCTTAGAGCTAGGTATGATCCCGAGCTTGCACGAACCCAGAGAAGGTGGAGGTGAGTATTCTCGTCTACCACACATATCGTATAGATGCATTGATCGTGTAACTTGGTGCTACTCCGGTATTACGCGAGCACCGTCGCGCCAGAAATAAGAGTGTTTCGCTGAAGGATCGGTCTGGCTGTCGAACCTAGGTTGGATGAGTACATGCGGCAACATGAAGATGTCAAGAATACTTTCAAAGTACATTAATAGTTCAGGCTTACTGATATGACCGCCAGCACGGCCTGGACAGTTGCGTAGACCGTGGATGATGTGCTGCGTGCAAGCGTATCACTCACAAAAAGTACCGAAGATGATTATCTGGTAATGCGTCAAGCGCGATGAGAAATTGCAACACCAAAATGTTTTTTATTATCACCGTAATAGAATGCTCGTCGAACAGTCCCAAGAATTAAAGAGGATGGCAAAGGGGTTGGCATCAATCTGTAATGCAACGTGCTGAAACGAAGGCGAAATCATCGCCGAGAAAAACTTGAAGAAGGAATCATAAGCATTACTTCCAGTAGGGGCAATGTTAGGCAGTAACACCAGAATTAAACCGAGGTTCGGATCCTAGCTTCTCCCCATCCGACGTGAGTGGTCAGACGATGAAGATGAGTAGAGAACCGGTCCGCAAAGACAATCGAGTACCCCTGCCTGTCGACAAGATGCGAGCGCGAGCTTTCGCCTGGAAACTGGCACTCACGCCAACTTAATCCACTGGATATCAGCAAGGGTTCATCAAGAACGAACTGCCATTTGACGTGTAGCAGTGAATGGGATGCTACAAAATTCAAGAACGGGGGAACCCACTGGAAAGATCGGATATCCCTTGCCACCAAGTAGGGTCGTGGATAGTTGAAAAGCGAAGTAACGACCCACTGGTACTCCAGAGACCATGCCACGAGATGAAGTATTGAATCGGTCACCACCTGATCGCCCTTGGGCTTCAATGAGGCATAGTGAGGGACGCTCGGGCTGAGGCCCCGTCCGAATCGTGGCAACCACACCTTTAGGCTGGAGCACTTTATGATCAGCCGCCATGCGGCTATCCTGGGTGGGCAACAACTTCATTGAACTTCGAAGTTGATGGGCAGACAATATTGACCGAGACTTGAACTGGGTTTCTTATCGGGAGCCGAAAGTTGAGATCTCGAGACAGCGTCGTCCCGTACGCGCCATTTCGAAGTCGTAACTCCCGTCATGCGTCCATATTCACGTACACGAAGTATCTCGCCAGTTGGAAAGTGCCGAAATGATGTCTAAAATATAAAGGTAGGTTTAAATTTTTTTCACCGGTGCCGTTTCGGTGGCTATATGGTGTACCGGAACGCGAATACTAATTGCTATTGGTCAATCCGTGCTTTTCTGTCGATGATCTGGGTGATTTTTGCACACATGCACGAAGAGGAACACCAGGGAACACCACTCTAGACTCATCAAGGCATGTCATCACAGCGGAAATTGTAATTTTGCACTATAAAATGTCAACGACTATGCCCCTTCAATTCCCCACAATTTCTCTTCCGCGCACTGGTCATTGCTCGTCATGCGAACCTCTACAAGACGCCAGTCCCCAGCCCCCGCAGATGTCATCACGTATCGTTTTCGCAATAAAATGATGTATGTGCCTGCTTCTTTCAGTCCTAGTCACTCAACCATCAGACTGAACGCGATCATTGCAGCAAGCAGTTACATTTGCTGTATCAGCATTTGAGGATGACCTCACTGGGATTGACAAAAGCCGGATATCCTTCTCGCTGAATGTGGTGGCGAACGGGAAGCTGAGCTCTGTGGGGATCACCGTATCAGCAGTCTGGCATGGTCGACGATTGGGTCCTATCTAGCACGATATGAGATCATAGATGTGCATGTCCAGCCAGAGCTCAAAGTATCAGAACCCCCACCAAGCTATCGGTCTTGTGACTGGGGACGCTGAGATTCGTTATCACCTCTCCACAGCTTCGCTCCCAAACGCCTGTTTCAGCAGCCGAGTGCCTGAATCATGATACCGGGTACCTTTGGGCTTCCTATTTCACTATGTAAAGATGATACCTTCACATGCGGAATATCGTTATCATGATGGAGAGCGAATGTTTTATGCAATTTCATCAATGGATTCATTTCACCTTGTCTATGTACTATCGATGTTATCGGCCGATTATCATGCTCTATCGTGATGGTACCCCCGCGATACGCACGACCGAATATCCTTGGGACTTGTGGGAGAATCACTTTTCAGTCGACCTCCTTCCTATTCACAGCGTGCAGAACGCTTATGTTTATTTGCGCGTGCTCTTCGTGCTCTCTTGGACTCCTGATTTTCCTCTGCTTTTCTTTCTCACCCACCCACTAGTATTTCTTGGTATGTTTGGGGTGGTCTTCGTGACGGTTCACCCTCGGTCCTTGATTTGGACTGGTAGTGCGGATTCCCCTGTGGTACATGTTGCCTGTAATCTAATCTCATACTCAATAATGACTAGTTACTGGTGTTCAGCTGCCTGTTAGGTAACTGGTACTAGTACTGGGCTAGTCGAATACAACTGTTTTTCGGTGGACACTCGAGCTCAAGTGGCGAGGATATCGCGCTCCTCTTAACTTAGTGTTCTCAATACAAGACTCACAAGTCGAAAGCAGAATTGATTAAAGCAGCATAATTGAACGTATCTTCAATGCGCAAAACGGAAATCAAGTCTTCTGTTCCCAACATCCTTGGTCGTGCTCAGATAGTGTGCACGTTCCTATCATTTGGAGTCTTTAGCGCCAGAGCCCCTGCTCTTCAGAAAGTCCACAATGAACTCACCTCTGTCGTCATCGCATCCCAAATCTTAGCTCGTTGTCGGTTCCGCCACATGTAATATGCCTTTGTACCTGGGTACAGAATACAGATGTTGATGCAGCAAATGACGATGAGGATCTCGTTGCCGTGTCGATCTGCGCGAGGGGAGATTATGTTGCCTGGGAAAGGAAACGAGGAGTGACATACATCTGGGAGCATCGCTGGCTACGTAGATCTGGGCGGATATGATTTCACTCGCTTGCACGAACCTAGCAGAAAGTGAGTAGACCTCCAGTTTGAAAATGGGGGAATCCACACATGTTGTATAACGACGCGTTGACTGTTCGACTCGCCACTGCCCCGGCGTTACGAGAGCACCACCCCACCTGAACAAGAGATAAGTATTTAGCTCGAGGATCGTTTTAAGCTGTACCTGGATTGGATGGGTGTATCTGGTAACACAAGGATGTCAAGAATGGTTCACTAATGCTAACAAGTTCGGACTTACGGATATGACAACAGACCAGTCACCACAGCCTGAACAGTTGAGTAAATGGCGTATGACGCGCTGCGCGAAATATATTACTCACAAAAAATACCCAAGGGTTGGGGCTGCTAGGTAATGCATAGAGTGCAACGAGGAAAGGCAACGTCCAGAGGTCTTCCATCATTGATACAATAGAACGCTCGTTGACGAACTCTGAGACAAGTGTGGTCACAAACATGGTGATAATTCCGAAAGCCTGAGAGGGTATCGTAAGGAGGTTGGTGTTAAATGTATCGAATCTGTGTTCCTGGCCTTGAGTGTGTCAAACGAAGGAATACTCGTGATACCTACCCGATGTCCCTGAGTAGTAAGGTGAGATATGTCGAGGGGGGAGTGTTCGGGATGCCAAACATGAGGCCGCTACGTTTCATGAGTGTCTAACTCTTACAAAGATCAGGGGAACGGCGTACAGGATGTAAATTGGCCAAAGGTCATAGTCACACATTGCTGTCCACAGGCGGCGCAATGTAAGGCCCTCGCGGTTGTGCATGTCACCCTGAGGGAGTAAGTTAGTCACAGCGTCTAACGAGATTGGGACATGACTATTTACCTTAGTGGGATCATCCCGAAGTACTCGGTTGACCATAATGATTTCTTCTCTTTCCGTGAACCAACCGTTTGGCCGGAACCATGTTTTGGTCTGCGTTGGCGACGCAGGCATGCGGAAAAAAGATAAAATTCCTATGAAGAGAGTAAGGATTCCCCTGTGGAAGGGTCGACTTAGCGCGTCTTATGTCATTGGAAAGAAATGGGCGTACTCAATCATGAACAGCCATCTTGGATCAAGTCAGGTTTTTGTGAAATGAGGATCAAACTTTTACTAACTGCCATCCAGCAGCGCCAGCCACACCATCCATATGAAGTGTGCCATAGGCTATAAAACTAGCAATGATGGCGCAAAAGTTCATGGTCATCCAGAACAGCGCGAGGCGGACGGGTAGCTCCGTCTTCGTGTAAAAATCTGTTCGAAAGGTCAGCAATGTAAGACGAGGGGGAAAGAAACTGACACACAAGATAGATATAATATCAGGTCAGGGATATAGCTGTGGAACATAAACGAAGTATACTCGAGCGCATGCAGGAGTTGGACTTACCCGCCTTGCAAAACGCTGAATTGACTAGTCAGTAAAAGAAGCTTTGGGACAGTAATTACATGATATTACCCAAGAAGCGCTCGGCAGACCAGGAACGAGGTCCTGCCGGTCAACCAGAATTGTGACAGAGACACGAAACCTATGGCCAATCGATAAGGACGGTTTGATACAGTTGTTCTGTTACATACTCCAGAGGCACATTTGCGTTGGTATCCAGCGATCCGGGCCAATCTTCAATACGACCATAAGTCACACGAAACCATCTACAGTAAATGCACGTACTCGCTTCGAGACAAGCTGTGACGGTAGTTCTGCACATAAAAATGCCAACCTGAACACAGTATTTCCGAGGTTGAAGTCTGGATGACCGAGTTAGAATATTATTCAGATGGTAATCGAACAAACTTGCCATCTGTAGTCAATCCAAGATCCTGCAAAAAAGAGTCCGAGTTTGCCTGGCTGAGGTTGTTCCTGTCCAAGTTCAAGGCGGCAAATCCTATGGCTGCCGTGATCATAATCTTCCAATCCAACTTGCGGACCAGGGCCTTCCTCCCATTTGACATGAGTTGAATCACGATAAGTATAAAGACTGACCTTTTCCTCTTTATACGTCCAACGAGCGGCTGGATCGAATCTGTGGAGATTCTCGTAATCCTTATTGGGCCAATAGTGTGGGGCAAGGTCAGGCTCATCAAAAACAGAGCGTTTAGTCGCAGTTGCATCAGGGTCAGGGTGGACAATCTGCTTTCGACGAAAGATGGCCGTTGTCCATGAGAATTGTTCCTCTGCCTCATCCACCAGGTCATCAGTGGGTAAAGAAGAGCTTCTTTTCTCAACAGAGGACAGTAAAGAGACGGACCGACGAAGGCCGTCCGTCATCGGAGTTTGCTGCTCTGGGGTAGCACTACTCACAGAGTTCGTCATCTCGATGAGGAAAAGGAACGAGTATAGGGGAAGAAGAATCACAATAAAAGCACTCAGGACAGGCACGGCTGACCCACCAACTATGTCCACTCGCATGTAACGCGGAATTGTGCGGGGGAAATTACATTCCTGATCTTGCGTTCTAACAATAGGCAGAACTTCTATGTGATGGACCTGCAAATTTGTTATCGGTTGGGACGGAAATACAGCGCATCCGCGGAGCGCTCGCCGCCTATTGAATCGGTGCTCGCAGAAACAGCATGTTTATCCTACTGTACTCAACGAGCCGCTTGTCGTTTACGTTTATGGATCCCCACGTCCTAAAGTGGCTGCACACCGACAGGGATGTGACTGAAGATGTCATGATGCATATGGTGTGCGACATAAGATGGCAGAGGTAAGGAAAAGGAAGTTAAACTATGTACTCACTGGGCATCACGCATCATCACGCATGAATTGTGATATCTGGCGCAACCATCAGCGGCGATTGGAGCCCGGTCGCCATAAAGTCACACTGTTGTAATGATAAGGCTCTTATTAGTTAGTTATAAGTTAGTACTTACGGTGGGAAGCAGCGAGTGGAGTGTTGCTGGTTGGCGGTAACTAGAATATTACAGAACTTGCAGTTTGAACCAGACTGATCTCAGGATCAGGAAATGTTCTAGTCCTATCCTTGTTCCAGCTACAAAGTAGACTCGTAACCAGTCTGGACTTAGCTACAAAGCACGAATGACTCAAAGAAGACCTGAAGCTGGCAGTGCTCAGTGACCGAGGAACCACGTGGCAAGTTACCAATTTCGGTCTCAGGCATTGAGGTGCTGCTGTACTCATCCGCCAGCACGGCCTTTCCAGTTAGTGTTAGTGCAGCAATGAAGTTCACAAAACCTGCCTGGGTTATGCACAAGGGTGAGTGTTGAAGCGTGAGGAATAGTTGCTTCTTAACCATCTTCTGCCATACAGATAGTTCTAAAACCGACCACGACACGAAGCGTCTTTCCATATTTTCCGTTCATGTTCATCCTGATGGTTCGCGCATAGCCACAGGAGGATTAGATGCCAAAATTCGTATTTGGAGCACGAAACCCATTCTCAACCATGCATCCGAAACGAGCAATCGACCACCAAAGTCTTTGTGCACGCTGAGTATGCATACAGGTCCCGTTTTGACGATTAGGTGGGCACATTCTGGGAGGTGGCTTGCAAGTGGTAGCGACGACGAGATTGTGATGATATGGGACCTTGATCCGTGAGTTTGGTATATGATTTGGATGTGCTTCTGAAATATCCATCTGCGCTTCTCTCCTTCAAATATAGGTCGGGTAGGGGCAAGGTCTTTGGTTCCAACGAAGTCAATGTAGAAGGATGGAAGCCAATGAAACGACTTCCAGGCCACGAAAGCGGTGAATCGGGTTTACTCAATTATATTTCTATTTGCACTGAACAATTGCCAGACGTTACCGACCTAGCATGGGCACCGGAGGATCGTTACCTCGCCTCAGTTGGCCTTGATTCCGTCGTTTTAGTCTGGTGTGGATATACCCTGGGTGAGTTGGATTTGTACTCTTGCTTGCACTGTCCACAGCTGTCGGTTTATTCCACACTTCAGTAACTGGTGCTTCCAAATGTCTTCGAGCATTTCTTTTTAGCTTCAGTAGTTCAGCGCAAGAGGTTCATTACTTACACTACTTTCAGAACGTCTTAGAAAGCTGGATCAACACCAAGGATTTGTCAAAGGCGTTTGTTGGGATCCTGTGGGCGAATTTATGGCCACTCAGTCCGACAAGTCTGTGAAAATTTGGAGAACTGACCGATTGGCAACTCGAGGCAGAAATCAGAAAACCCTTCGAGGACTCTCCTGGCAGTACCTTTTTCCGCCTGTCTTAGGCAAGTGCCACCGGTCACATTTATTAGATCGTTTTCTTACAGAGTTTTGCAGCTGGTCGCCTGATGGTGCTCACATCACTGCTTCGAATGCAACGAACAACAAAGGCTTCGTTTTCATTGCAGCAGTCATAACTCGTGGCACATGGACTTCTGAGATCAGTCTGGTTGGCCATGAGAATACAGTGAAGGTTGCGGTATGTGCTGATCATGTTGAAAGTGTTACCATTCTCATGCACGTTATAGGCCTACCATCCTCATATTTTTCTCCGAAATCCCACGTCACCTATAGCTACATCCAACATATGCTCTGTAGTTGCTCTTGGCACGGATGACAGATCCGATATCCATCTGGCAGACAAAATCTGCACTGACCTCTCATTGTCGCGCGTGAAGTTTTTGAACGACAGATCATGGATCTCAGCTGGTAAGCGTCTCTTGACTTTTGTCAAGAATCTGACTAATCTTTTGTGAAGGTCCTGGGATGGTCTGACTCTCTATGCTGCATCCTCGGACGGAACGATAGCCGTTTTCCATTTTGACCCTGAAGAATTGGAAGGCATTGCTCCTCATTCTGCTCAAGAGCAATATTTACACAAGTTTGGCTTTGTACCAGCCACCAACTCCAGAAGGATTCTCGCACGGCACCCACAGTACAAATGCTGCTTCAGCATCGAGGATCACGCCACCGCCTTCCCCAAACCGTGCCCAGTCGCAATCGCAATCTGGTTTTGGTGCATCGAATGGGATTAATGGTGCTGAGCACATCAACAAGCTCAGTTGCAAAGAAGAGCAATAAGAAGAGGGTACAACCCGTACTTATGTCAGTCTGTGCCTTCTGCATCGACATCACGCTCAGCCCTAGTATCAACTTCTGTGCTACCGCCTTCAGCAGGCCTCAGATCGCGTGCATTCCAAGTGCCAGAGATTCCCCGATCACGGCAGGCATCACACTCTATGTCACCCTGTGCCAAGCCCACGAACTTACAACGCTGATATTGAGATGGGAGGACCAATGGATATGAATGTTCCCATTGATGCACTCAACACGAGTATGTCAAGTGCAAACAAGGGCAAACGGAAAGTGTCGGTCCTCGATACACCCGAGGATCGGCCGTCTAAGCCCCGTACCCTTGGTGGCGATCGACCAAGGGAAACAGTCGCAGTGCGAGAAATCACATTGACTAGTTTAGTCTCGACCCGCCCGTATCTATTTGAGGGTGCAAATCTGCTACCTGTCCCTCCGCTGTTGACATTCTTGAGTGCCAATGTGGAGGGAAGCGACTTTGTCTTTGAGGCCCGAAATTTAGAAGGAGATGGTTCATAAGACCTTCGACTCGTTCCGGTCTAGCTGATGTTCCTTGCAGGGGCCACGGAAGTCACGTTTGCTGATGGAAAGCAAACATTATGGCTGGACTATTTACCATCTCCTGTGCTTGCGTTGACCGCGTCCACAATATTTTGTGCGGCTGCTTCGCAAGACGGTTCTGTCAACGTGTATTCACACACAGGTCGCAGGTTTGTGGTAAAACAGAAGTCTCATCACTGTCTTAATGATGTCTGGCAGATTGATGGCGACTTTAAGCTTTGGGTCACCTTGCGCGATGATGCACGGCTGCAAGTTGGCATTAATGATACTCACAGCTTCTGGTCAGCTAACCTCGATGTAAGTTGCATGACTTCCTCTATTTCATAGTGCTTACTCTGTTTTAGAAATGTGAAGAATGTTGCATCCTTCTTTCCACCTACATCCGTTGCACCCCTCCTCTCCTCTTCGCCGAATTGCACGATATTGTCTGCCACTGTTCGACATAATGGCGCACCAATGATTCATTGCTCTTCCGGTATCGCGTATACTTACGATGCCCAACTTTTCTCCTGGACAAAACTAAGTGAGCGTTGGTGGGCAGAGGGCTCTGATGTATGGCAAGGTCGTCAACGAGCGAACAAAGACAAAGACGTTGTAGCCTCCATTGAGGGTGCAATCGGCAGCACGAATATCTCGGCGCCTCACAAAGAGCGCCCCACATGGTGGAATACGGCGCTCACACTCGGTCATCTGGAGAGCAAGTTGCACGCGGCCAAAGCCCTCGATAGTGCACTTGAATATAAGCAAGCACTTCTGATTTATGCAAGAAAACTAGCGGATGAGGGCTTCAGAGCGAAGGCAGAGGAGCTCATCAAGGAGCTTTTCGGCCCCATATTTTGGTAGATTGCATATCTTGCAAGCTTTGAGATGAATCGCTCACTGTCTATCTAGGCGACCTGGTGGAAGGGACGACTCTTGGACCCCTGTTGTGGCAGGCATGGCTAAGCGCGATCTTTTGCGCGAAGTATTGTCGGTTTTTGGTCAGTCGTTTCGTCTCGACCATCCCTCAGATTACTGAACTTCTGTACAGCTCGGAGCAAGACCCTTACCAAATTAGCATTGGACTGGCAAGACACTCTCAAGAAGGCGTCGAGCGATGATCAGCTATGACGATGCTTCTAAAACTTTGGCTTTTGGCTTTGATTGTGATTCAACTTTGCCACTGGACGGACTGTTTGTTTAATTAACATATTCATTGTAGCTGGACGCTTCACTAGAGAATATGCAGTATTTATGTCATGGGGATCTTTGGCTCTGCGATTCGCAATATGCAGTTCCCGACTCGTCCGCTCTAGATCTTAGTAGGAGATGCAACAAACGTTCTAAAGTTCAAAACAACTGTACCGCGAAGGAGTGTTTCGTGTACTGTAGCAGTGATGTCATTCCGGAATTTCCCACGAGGAGTGGGGCGTGCCAGGCTGCCCTGAAATCATCGAGTGTTGTGACATCACTTTGAACCTGCACAATCATGAGCAAATCCGATGTTATCATTCGAGAGGTCAGTACTTCAGTTGTTGGAATCTCACCTATGCGCAGATAATGTTCTCATCGAATTACTCTGTAGGTCGCAAAAGATGTCTGGATCTTCTCCAGGTAGGGGCTCGAATCCGTATGATCATTCTGCCAACCCCTGCTAGTATCTCATGTTGACTCAATAGACCTTTTGCGCGATTTGGAATAATCCAGATGGGAGGGCGGTCCACTGCTATCAAATTGCGACAGGGAGGCGTTTGGGTACTTGCATCGACACCACTGACACAAGATACGCGTAATAAGATAGATGAACTCGGTGAAGTCAAGTGAGCATCATTCAGTCTTGTTCATGCTGTATTATATTTAAATCTCCAAGATACATCATAGGTGCTGATGCTGTTCACCACATCTTTCTTGGTTCGTTCATTCTCTGCAGAATTACTGACGTCATCAAGGTTCTGTCTGACCAATTACAACAGGAGAGTTTAAAAGGGCTTACCCCAACGCGAAGTTAATTGGCGTTGAAGGTGCCATCAAGAATATGAGCGACAAGGACCTCCAATTTGATGGTTGTATGTCATTGCCGTTTCTTTTTTCTTTAGTCATTGAAGTTAAATTTCAGTGTGGGGTCGTGACCTTCCCAGCAGAAACTATGGTTTTGAGGACGAGGTAAGGCATAATTATCTCTATTGGAGCACAAAGTGATATATCATACATACAGATTAAACATTGGTACGTGCTGGTCTGTTCACTAGGACTGCCAACTTAATGCTTTGCAGCTATTTTTCAGGTTTTAGAAATAAAGACGTGGCTTTTTTGCATATGCCATCAAAGTCACTTATCGAAGCAGACTTACTTCTAAATCTACCAGCTAATGAACAAGTCGAGTACCTTCCTTTGCTGTTCATATGTATTGTGTTAACATCTCAATCAGTATTCAAAATCATCCTGTTCGCCCCATATGAATCTCAAGCCGGACTCGTGGTTCCACAGGGCCATCATCAATAACACAACGGTTGACGCTGAGTTTGTATATCGTTCGTCGTTCCTACCTTGACACTAACCGCGTACGCAGAGCTATGCGCCGCGATGCAACGACAGTTGCTAATTGGGATTTCGATCGAATCATTCCTTGCCATGGAGTGAGAAACACTGTCATAAGAATTTGTGTGACGACTGACCATTGCTTTGCAGGATGTAATCGAGACCGACGGCAATAAGATGTGGAGAGCCTTGTACGATGCATTCCTCAACTGATAATCACAGCTTTCTTGTTTGGTTTGTATATGGAAGTGATAATGATGTCATCGAAGTCTTGGCCAGCAAAATTCCACAGCATATTCAGTCTCTCATCCTATCAACCGCCATTCAGTGTCGCTTCAAATTGTCAGCCTCTGAACCCCGTTACGACGACACTCACGTACTGACAATGGAGCAAACAGTTCGTCTCAAGGGATCACTCGAGAACGATCGCTCTTGTGATACACTGTGCCTGGCACATCATATCAGCTATCGTCAGGTGCTTGTTGAAGACTCTCTGACAAGACGCACCTAGTTCTCATAGACATGTTTTACTGCGACAAGAGGGTTCGTTCCGAAAACCACAGTATTTCGCTCACAGCCTATCTACAAGCAGTCATATGGGCTATTGATGTCACAAGCTGGATCTTCCGTGGATCAGGGTTGAATGTTAGTGTGATCGTCAAGGGTTGGTCGTTCAGCTCACAAATTCGCATGTTCTCAGTACTTATTTCCAGACTAGTGATTCCAACTTAAGCTGGATGCGAGCGCATGACATATCCCAGACGTGATCATTTGAGGCCGGTACGTTGCTCAACCGCTTCTGTGCGGACGTGCGCTCGGATGTCGGACATGACTTGCGCTCGTCCAAGGCTGCACCGCTTCATACAGGTGTGTCGGTAGGGTGAACATGACTGTTGTGAAAGAAGTGCGAAAGAGCCCGGTGTCGATTAACATGTAGCCAAAAGACGTTTCAAGGCAGCCATATAACTTGGTGTGCTATTGATGGCAGTTCTTGTGTCTACGTCTCTTGCGGTCGAGGCAGTCAAACAGGCATGTCAACAATTAATGGGGCTCACGCATATACTAATCTGTCAATGCCACACTTAAGTTCACGAATTGGTTGCAAAGAACGTTCTTCCATTTTATTCCTTGGGCCCTGGCACCCTGGATGATCGATGATCGATGCCTCGATAATCTCCAATATTGATCTGCACGCCTAGGCTAAGTTGTGTTTTCTACTGCATCGTTGTCACATTAAGTCTCGACACGATTCTGGACTTCATTTTGGAATACATTGCTCCAAAGTAACATCGTAATCACAGTGAGCTGGTTGGACCACTTTCTACTTCATACGTAGCACGTTGTTTCCGCATGGCAGCCTCAGGTGATCTCCATTGATCGTTCTTTTCTGTTCTTTGAAACCATCTCACTTTTGTAGATGATTACTGATTAGTGTGCACACACGACGAACTTGAAGTGTTAGAGCAAGCTTGCCTGTTGTTAAACACTGCTAGCATGAACTTCGCTGAAAGAGGGCTTCTACTTTGAACCTATGGATTCGAAGTCACGCCAAACAGGCATGCTTCGTAGTTTGACCCACGCTTCCAGAAGGGTCCGCCTTCGCCGCTAACATGTGCCAAAGTCGTGTGCACGCAAACGTTTCTATGTATAAGACGTGGTGGGATGGCAGACTCCGCACAATTTCCATTCAACCCTCTTTATTTCAGCACTATGCCATCTTGTCCATTATGCCCGTCGCCTGGTACCCAGGCAACCTCCTTAACTGAATTGGAAACGGTGAGTAGAATTCGCTTCGGATAATTTGATTGATGTACTGATCGTCTTCGCTTGCATCAAGCACATCAAAATGAAGCATGTAGTAGCGGGAATAAGTTGTAAATTCTGCCAGAAGGACCTCAAGAATAATGCTGCGCTAATTCAACATCTCGCATCTAAGAGGCATTACAAATGCAAAGCGGGATGTTCTCTGACATTTATGACAACCACAGAGCTCAGCACGCACGTCAGGGTGGATCATAACGCAGGACCTAAAGACCCTCCTGCAGCTGCCAGTAAAGCCAAAGCCACAATCCCGGTCACGTTCCCCTGTGGCCCCTGTGGCATGGACTTTGTCAGTCCCGAAGCGCTCCAGCACCACATGAGCGTAGATCATGCACCTAAAAACCCATGTCCATCTTGTTATCAGAGCTTCTCCTCGTCTGGCGCTCTTGAAGAACACCAGTCGATCAGCCATCCTGTGCCCAAAGCACAACCCAGCGTTTGTTTGGGATGTTCCATGTGCAAGCAGACATTTACCTCCGCAGACGAACTGTATGGTCATATTCGCGTCGCCCATCCCCTCGAAACATCGGCCAAGAAAGTGTATCCTTGTCTTTCATGCCACCGCACGTTCTCAAAGATGTCTAAACTTACTGCCCACAGTGAAACTACCCACCCCTCCGGGCCTGTTTGTGCTATTTGTGGGCACAAATGCCCGTCTCAACATGTTCTTGATGATCATGTCGCCGCAGTGCATACACCCGCGCTCAGCAACTGCGGGGTATGCAATGTGGCGTTTAGCTCCGAAGAAGGGCTTCAGCGCCACTACTTGCAGTCTTCAAAAGATGCCCACCCGAAATGTGTCGAGTGTGATCTTGGGTTCAAAAACGACGCAGTATATGCAACGGCATGTTTTCTTGATTGCGCTTTGTTGTGGTCTCTCACTCTCAAACCTGTATTTCCAGCATCGCCAAACATCCCACCCAGAGCCGCCCCGCCCTGTTTCTCCACCAGCTTCCTATCGTTGTCTTTTGTGTAACAATGTCTTCAAGCTTCAGTTGGCATTGGATGACCACACGGCCGCGAAACACTCTTTTCACTGTCTTTTGTGCAACGATGTGTTCAAGCTTCAGTCAGCGTTGGATGACCACACGGCCGTGAAACACTCTTTTCACTGTCTTTTGTGCAACGATGTGTTCAAGCTTCCGTCAGCATTGTATGACCACACGGTCGCGAAACACTCTTTCACCTGCGGAATGTGCGAATTTATTTGTCCGGAGGAGGAAGTTCTCAGGGAGCACATCGCTTCAGCGCACTCGTGCCCCATTTGTCATGAGGGCATCTTCGCAAACATAGACCTTTTAAACGAGCACCTCGCGGATCACGCTGCTCCCTATCGTTGTGAAGTCTGCCAAACTAGGTACGCCGATGAAGAAGGCCTACGTCAGCACCACAGAGAGTCCCCAGATGTCATACATCCGTCCTGTACGAGATGTGACTTGGGTTTCCAAGATGAAGGCGAATACCATAATGTATTGTCCCCTCTTTTCGTGATATATCTGTCAAGATCTTTCATTCATGTTGCCTTCAGCACACAGAAACGATTCACCCTCAGATACCCTGTCACCTGTGTGATGGGGCATTATTTGATCCTGGAGAGCTTTCTATGCACTACTTGACATCTCGCAACCATCCCGTGTGCGACAAATGTCAAGTCGGATTCAGCGATCAAGCTGAATTTGCTATGGTGGGTGAGTCCCGTTATCATTGATGCCTCGACTCATACCGCCGTGCAGCACGGCGCAACAGAACATCCAGAGGCATATTGCCACCTATGCCAGTGGCAGTTTGAGTGCTCCGAGTCGTTGCAGAATCACATCCGACACTTCGTAGCACACCCCAAGTGCATGGACTGTGAACTGAGATTCGCAGATGCGGATGCCTATCAACACGTTGGTTTTCTTTCTGGTTCGTCGAGTAATGCTCAAATGTGTTCCATAGCATCTGTTTGTCGTGCACAGGCCACGCAGTGGCGAGCCTGCAACAAGGCAAGATTTCGACCCCGATGCTTTGGATAATGGTGACGGAATAGTTCACTCCGAAAAACACTTTTTTAGTCCCTTTTCTCCCAATCGAGTCGAACTCGACATGGGGTTTTTCTGTTGATCATGATCCTCCCCTATGCCCCGTCCGTCCCCTTGCCTCCGAGTGCCAGTGGATACTCCAGCCCCCTGTCCCAGAGGGTTCTAACACGTTCTAGTGTGGGATCGCGGTCGTCCTCCAGGACGCTTTCGCCGCCTCCGATCTGTGGCATCAAAGTCTCACAGCTGGAGACTGGGCATACCATGGATCATTCCGAATCCCCAGACTTTGAGCACTCGCCGCTTTCCAATGTACCTGCAGTTGGTACACCATTGATATCAAGCACAGACTTCCGTAGCCCCTTCAGTCCGCGCCCGGACCCTCCAGCACTCTTTCCTTCTCAGGAACTGAATGGCGCCAGTCACAGCGATCAAGAATCTACTGCTTCTGCAAGGTCACCTGAGACAAACTCTCCGGTGATAAAACTTCCCGAGAACGGCGCATCGCCGATGTCGAGCTCTGGGTGGTCCACATTAAGTGGCGAGGATGCGTCGAGGATGTCAGACAAATCGGATGACTCACCAAGTCATCGACCGGTGGGCCTTGGTGTGCCTATGCTTCGCTTGCAAGTACCTGTGCCTAACGGGGGTTCTCAGACAGCCAGGTATGATGACCAAATGAAATGTTATTTCCGAATCTCAATCTTGTTGCAGTATTTTGGCGACGCCAAGCTCCATTTCACCCGAGTCTGCAGGCATGGATATTTCTGCGAATGTGACCCCCGACTACTTGCGGGAAGCTCGTGCATATCTTGCTGTGACTCATCCAGGACAAGCACCTTCGACTGTGAATCATCTTCATAGCCCGGCCATGACGTCCCCCAGTTTGACTTCGATCAGCCTCACCACAGCCTCTCGCGAGCGACGCCGTGAAGTACGATTTGAGGATAGTATTATGTCGGAGCCGTTGTGGGAAAACCAATCATCTGACTCGACCGATTCCTCCTTCGATCCTCCTGTGCTTCAAGGCAGGCGAAAATACGGCGTACAAAAGAAATCAGGTCAGTGACGCTGTTTCTTCATAGATTTAGAGTTGACAATGAGCACAGGTGCCAGCAAACTTCCTCGTTTTGCACCACTCAAACCGGGACGAGTTGCGGGAAGGAATGGGGTCAATCATTTAACGAATGGCGCAAGTTCTCTCTCTCCCTATCATTGCAGGATTTGTCGACGGGAGACATGCGAGGATCTGACGACAACGACTTGTGGACACCTGTTCTGCAACGCGTGAGTACAATCGATGCCGGACTTGGACTTGGACTAACAGGAATTCGTAGGTGCATCACAGATGCGGTGATACGAGACTCGCGATGTCCCGTGTGTAGGAATGCGGTTTTACTTTACTGTTTGTTCCGCATCGACACCACCATGACCTGCCATGACTGAGAGTGACTGATGATGAATAGTCGATCTATGTAGTATTCGGGTCTTGCCTGTCTGTCGTGCATTGTCGTGGAGTACCGATTTCGACGCTGGTAGTCATTCTATAAAATCTGTCTCGCAATTTCCAACGTGACATTGCGTGACTACCTGTGGCAACTGCCGGTACCCTCTGCAGTGTTGCACTCATATCAGCCTCAAACATCAACTCGTATTGCGTGTGGGCACTTGAAGAGTGAGTTCAGGGCAGCAAAGACTGAAGTCTGAAGCAAAGTCCGCATTGCCACCAACGGTTAGGAGACCGAGTCACGAGCATACGTCACGCTCAGACGTGGCGCAGCCGCAAGCACTCGGCCAGAGCCGAGTGCGCCGATTATAACAACAGTTGATACTAGCGCGATACGGACTGACAGCAATTCGAAAGTTGTGACACTTCTCTCTCCCATTGTCCGAGAGAACTGTCTCGCGTATACCCATCTTTCCCTCCGTCGGCAACTGCAGCATCTTCAGGCCTGGTGGTGGTGTGACAGGAATTTCAACAGTGTCGACGGTTCATCCTCCTAATCTGCTGCTACCACCATGCCTGTGTGCAATCGTTGTAACCGTTCTTTTGTCGACAACAATGCTCTCCGTATGGTGCGAAGCGCTTTGCATCCGAGTCTATCTCAGCGTCTGATTCTCAACCGCTCATCTAGCACAGCGAGTCGAAGCACGGGTTTGAGTGCACTCACTGCGACCGTGTGTTCAAGACTTCAGACGGAAGAGACCAGCATGAGAGAACAAAGCATTGCTTCTCTTGCGGCATTTGCGATCGACAATTCAGCTCTGAAGAAGCCTTGGATCAACACAATAGAACGAAGCATTGCTTCCCTTGCGGCATTTGCGATCGACAATTCAGCTCTGAAGACGCCTTGGATCAACATAATAGAACGAAGCATTGCTTCCCTTGCGGCATTTGCGATCGACAATTTAGCTCCCAAGAATCCCTGGATCAACACAATGAGGCTAAGCATTCTGGATACGAATGCAGATACTGCGATAAAGAATTTACGTCCGATGGGGCCCGTATCCAGCATCAGAATGCGAAGCATGGATCCCACCCACACACTGTTTATGCACCTTCGTATCTATCGACACTATACTCCCAAGCTGCGACTGCTCCTGTAGAGCAGCCTAGTGTATCCATATTCGGTGCTTCATTCACGCAGAAACCCACCCCAGAACATCCTGATGATAAGGATGTCTTGATGACGCAGTCACCAAAGGTGGAGGTCGCTGCACCCAACCCGGTGGCGAATTTCGCATGTGGAACCTGTGGAAAACCTGTCGCAACGATCGTAGCTCTGGAGGCCCACGAGTCGCAGCATAGAGTTGATTCATGTGCTTGCACAATCTGCGAGAGAGCTGAAAGGCCTTGCAATTGCAATATTTGCAAGCGCACCAACACCTCGACAGTATCGGTGAATGAGAAAGTTCCTGATCGTGTTGTGACTAGCGAGCCCGAAGAAAACACGTTGCCTACGGATCCACTTGGGGCTATCGAACCTAAGGTAGTCGAGGACTCTTTGGTTGGGTCCTGTGATTTGGTCATGACCCTGGAATCCCAAGGAGCTACCGATCTATCAGTTGATTGTAGCGTTCCAGTGCAGGGCATGTACTTGCAGGATCAACAATCCTTGGTAGAATTGGAAAGCGAATTGTGCACAAAGCACTCGACTTCCGCCCAGACACCATTACCCTTACATCACGAGCACCACAGTCTTGATGATCCAATGTGTCCTTCTGATGTTGCTATGAAATTAACGGAGGAATCTAACGTTATCAACCCCCAATCGGGTTTTGCATCCATGGAATGCGACACCATTCCTTGCCATCCGAATGTGCTAGAGCAAGTAAGATTCGTGATCCCAATTCTTTCGAGACTAATGCTAATGCATTCTCCGTGTCTTCTTTGGTCGCATAGCATTCTGCACTCGATGCTCACGCCATCGTACAAGATTCAGCAGTTTATGAACGCATGGGTTCAAGCCAACCTGACTTTTCTCTTGAGTTGACTTATCCGGAAACCCAAGATCACAATATGGTTTGTTTAGTTTAGTTTTGGGTCTTGGTATACGATCTCTGAGATGTTTTTGTCAGTCCCCTCCCGAGACACCCAACGACCACCCGACAGTTCTCGACATAGACATGAGCCACGAGCAGGTCGATAACCCTCTAGAGCGTGACCCCCTCGTTCCTGGATTGGAACCTGATTTCACGTCCTCATCACTCTCGACAGAATCCCCTGCAAATAGCATACTTGTACCCGTGCAAGTCCACTCTCCCCATGTTCGCATCTCTGAGCTGCAGCCTCTCACTGAGTCAGGCGAGCCTTTCGTTCGCAACCTTGTTCCTTCTCCGACCCCATCTGAGCATGGTAGCTGGGGGTCGCGTAGAATTACTCAGGATGATCACTTGCATTCCGAAAACCGTCCTCTACACTCTCCGATGACTTCTGAAGGTTCCACTGGTTATTTCTCCGATGCCGATCGCTCCTCGACTCCATCAAGCCCTCTTTCTGACCATTCCATTGTCTTCGTATCTGCGAACTCCATACCCGAGTACGTTAGAGAGAACCGTGCATATCTGGTTGCAACAAGCGCTCCGTCCCAACCTTCCTCAGCAGCGTCTAGTTGTGTCCGTTTACCCTCAGTGGTCACTTCGTTGGAGTCTCTGCCAGATCAAAATGATCATGCTGAGGTGCCCTCTGCCGCCACGAACGGCCAATCTCCCCTCTACTGCAGAATTTGTCTTCGAGATCCTTGCGATGATCCGACTGCGACGATGTGCGGCCATATCTTTTGTAACAGGTTTGTAATTCGGTTGTTTGTCTGCTTTCAACGTATTGAAATGCGTTTACCCAAGGTGTATCATTGATACTATAATGGCTAGGTCTGCGTGCCCAGTCTGCACCGCTCCCACATTACTATACTGTCTTTTCCGCCTTGATATCTAAGGAGTCGCTATTCTCCTAAAGCGTAACACCTGTCTTGCTTTCGACATGCATGCCAATGACTTTAAACACAAACCACAAATCACATTGTATTTTAGAATTCTTGAATCATTACAAGTTTTCCTATCCAAGTGGCGTACATTCATTGCGCACCGCTAAGCAGTATCATAGGTGAGTATAATACTTGTCAAAGCTGCGTGTCATTAATTCATCTCAGCACTTGTTCAACGTCGCATGGGAAATTCCATTGCAAACTTGACTGAATTCAATTGATTTACTCGGACTTGGCTTGCGGCATAGTGTTACCGATATATTTCGCTGGTGAAAGCCGAAGTGCACATGTGCAAGTCCGAACACTTGTCTAAACTACGATGTGATATTGGCCCTGGCCATATCCATATCTAATATCTCAGGCGTTCTCAGGAGATGGAAACAAGACCTTCGGAGTCGATATTCGTTTTCGACCTAACGCCGCATTAGTAACAAAAAACCATGCTGCACCAGTTGCTTTGTCGAAATTCGTCAGGTCTATTTATATGGATTGCCCCTAATCTCCTAGAAGCGAGCTGCTTCATCGCGGGAGGATCACATTATGGTAGCTGCAAGCCCACCCACGCCACGTCCTCAGCCCGCCGAGAAGCCTGTCACACCTAGACTACAAGTCCTGTAGGCCCCCGTCCTCCTGATTTCAGGGACTGCCCATACTCTTGGGCTCAGTTTGCGAAAGATGATCATACGTCTCACACCAATATACTTGAACACCTCATGCTCATCCCCGTCCTGTCCTGCCCTGAAACGCCATGTGTGTAACAAATCGTACGATGTCATTTCGCAACTCTCCACTCCTGAGCATAATCTCCGATAGTGTTGTGGGGCAGAACTATTATGAGGCAATTCTGCCGGTAGAACTCGGCAGAAGAGTGAGGCAATTCAATCGTACCTATGTATTGGGCTTCCATTTGGACTGCCGGCACCAAGTCCCTCGTCGACACGTGGGTGGTTTCGCAAAGTCGTTAATGCCTTTCTCTTCTAATACTTCCGAGTCCGTACGGCCGTATCACTCGCATCGTTCGTTTCCCATTACAGATTGTCTTCTAGTTGAAACGAACTCAGCGTTGAAGCGAGATGTATTCTCAGTGTGAGTTTTCAACGAGATCGGAGCTGAGACTGTTGCAAGTGGTGGAAATCAGTCTACGACCTACTTGGTATTAAAGCCGGCTTTATGGACCTCAGGATAGCCTCCAGAAGAGAGCCTGTACGTCCTTAGCATCTGTTTGGCAGTACCAGTTCTGCCCACGTCACTACTCCGACAAGTCCCAAGGATATGTCGGTCGTGCGTGTCGCGGGGGTACCATCACGATAGAGCAAGATCTTATCTGATAATCGGCCGATAACATCGATGGTACACAGACATCCGAACACCCGCGTAATCAGACAAGGTGATTGATGAAATTGCAATATTAAAACTTCCGCTGTGATGACATGCTTTGATGATCCTGCCCTGTGATGTTCCTCTTCGTGAGTGGAACACCATGCATGTGTGATTGCGAAAATCGCCCAGATCTAGAATGTTGTCATCGACATGAATAGAAAAGCACTGATTGACCAATAGCAATTATTCGCGTCCGTACTAGTATGATGCTATATAACCACCGAACCGGCGCCGGTGATTCAAGTGCATTAATGTCCTGGCTTGACCTTGGCAGAACAACACCTGACTCAATTTATTGCTACAAGCGGGGCTTCCCAATTGCGCAGCATGTGCCTGATATCCATCGATTGTATTCATCAATGTGCTACAACAAAAAACACGGCGTCCGAAGGTTTAACTGCCAGTCTGCCACGTCAAGCGCCACCGTGGCGTCCTGAAGGCCTGACTTGTCGGCGTGGAGGGTGATGATGAAAACAGGAATGAATAAACCAAAGAAGGAGCAAGCATGCGAGCGGCGGGGATACATACGCTCGGTGATGAGGCTGTGACACAATGAATGACTTCAGATAATCCATATACTGGGGTGCAAACACAAATTTGAAAATGAGTCTGTATAAACCAATTGATGATACCGTATCCACCGCCATGGATGATTCGACAATTCAATTCCTAAAGAACGAAGCAGAGTCGCTATTAGGAAGAAGCTGTGCTGACCATTGTCACCGCTGTCCTAGTTGGTGTTGAGCTCGCGCGCCAAGATCGTCTTGAAAATTGGCAGTCTACATCTTTGCCGTCCACATGCGTCTTACAAACCCACGCAAAGATTCCCCTTGGCAGGGTCCTAGTTTTCCACCTAGAATGATTACAACAACGGGGTTTAATATCAAGACATGATGAATATTGAACTTCAATCAAGTGTAGTATCAGAGAGAAGAATGCCTAATAAATAAATATTAATAAATTCTCACCCTGTACTCCTCTAAATCGTCTCTTGTATGCCAGGGGTCAGACAACGTCTGCCGTTATCGTTCTAGACTTTCACGCCAGAAGTTAAGGTTGAAAAATGAAAATTTCTGATGCCAGTTGTTCAAGTCCGTCTTCCACTGAAATTGCAACATAAGGACAGTCCCTTGATGAGTGGTAAGAATTCCGATTGTACGCCAGCTGTCCGTCGTACGTTCATGTTGAAACATAAGCCACGATGTGACACCGCTGTCCCCGCCGAGCGCTAGCCTTGTAAGGCTCAGACATTGCGCTCACCACAGAGTGTCTAAATCAGTGCCTATAGAAAAAATGTGAGCATGCGATAGTATACGAGATGCACGTACAAGAAGTAGTAGATATCGAACAACAGGCAGTGCACCGTAAGATTATGTCAGCGAATATCGCTGGTGTGAGTGGTCCTAAAAAGGCAAGTAACTTAGGACCCTCCGGGCATCGCGGCACACTTTCCTAATGCGTGAAGATATCTAGGGCCCCTGCTTAGTTGGTTTAGTCTTGACCCAGGGTTTGCCCAGGGTCTTTCCATGATCATTGTGAATGCCATATGTCTGTTTTTCAGGTCCGACTTATCACTCTTCGCCGTCCCCTGGGAGTTCGTACTGTTATCATTCAGACAGGCTCAGGGGTTTAAGTTGCTCCATACTTGCGGTCAGCATCAACTCTATACCGTTGGAGTCCCTGGGAGTTCATCGTCATGGTATCCTGTCATCAAGGCTCCTCCTCAGTGGCTCAGGGTTCGAAACCCGTTCGAAAGGACCAAGCCTGAGTACTGAGTCAGGTCCAAACTGATGATAACAGGGGCACCGTGAACTTTCTACCGTTCCCTGGGAGTTCATGCTACTTTTTCTGTTATCACTCGGACCTTGCTCAGTTCCCGTCATCACTCAGCAAACAAGTTACGGACATGGACCCTTCAAGTTCCCCGTTCTACGGTAGCTGCTCGCGTTCATGTGTCCTAATCACACTCAAACGCCACCTAAATCTGAGGCAATCGACTCATTTTATGTAAGACTGCAACACCCACGAGTGTTCTTTGGGGTTGGTTATGCGGCTGCGGCCGCCGTGTACTAACCAGATGGATTTATGTATTTTCATACGAGTTCTCGAACTGCTCATGTCATTTTGAAAATTGGCAATTGAATGTATTCATCGATTTGCACATTGTAACACAACATCCGAGGATGAACTACCATGTCAGCAACTAGAGCAGTCATGAAAACTGTAACGAAGGAGAAGCATAAACGAAGGAAAAGATAAAGGACAACGACAAGGAACCGAATAAGGTCTGGTGATAACAAGGTAATAGAAACCGGGAAGAGCTTGCCTGCCAGTTCATGCATGGATAATGGGCCACGGGCCGAGCGCCAGAATTCTAAATGATGGTATCACAGGGGGAGTTCCGTTGGTGAACTGACACTTTCAATGGTGCTTATGGCAGGGCTAGCCTTTTCATCACTCGCAGCTTCCTCGGCCCGCTTTTCGCTTGCGAGTCGCCTGCGCGTGCCGGCAGCAGACTCCCACCCGAAAAGCTTAGTACGACCCTAATATTGGAGTATAGTTTAGCAAGGTAAAGACAACAATAAGAAACGAACACACCTCTTGGAACTTCATTCGCACGAGCACTGCGATTACCAAGAGCCAATAGAACACGTAACTCAGTACGCTACCAAGAGTGGCGCTATTGGTCCATCCCAGCACAGCGTTGAATATGCCCCACGACATATCGGTCTCAGGATTACAGCACTCAAGATGCCACACATTCCCGCGTACGTTATATGATCCGGGTCCATCACCGCCTGAGTCGTCGACATCTTGGCCAAGCATATTGTTGAAGGCGTACTCTTGGAAAGACCAGATAGCTTTACTGAATAGGCCAGCGCCGATGAGAAGGATCAAATTCGTCATAACGATAAGGAAAATCGTTAGAGCTGGTGTATGATAGATGAGCATTGTTGCAACATGATGATTAACGAAACCTTACTTGAGCGGCTGGCGAACTGGTAGATGAGATAACCACAGATAAGTCCACAAGCAAGGCCCACGATTGCTGCAATGGGAATTGACTCTGCGGGTTGTCCAAGCGCAACACCACCAACGAAGACGACAGCTTCGATTCCTGCGAAATGTCGCATTAGTTGAAAGCATGGTGATATCATTAGGTAAAGGCATTCAGGGACAATACTGACCTTCACGCAAGACTGTGATCATCGGAAGGATGAAGAGTACCCACTTCCCAGTCCTTGTGCCACGATCGACATCTGACGACAAGATAGATTTGTTAAGCACAAGAACAGAGGCAAAGAAAAGGATACAGACGTTGATCACTAAACGCGCGCTGGAGCTTGACGCGCCATTTAGCTTTGGCCCTGTCTAACTTGAGCATGGTGATGCCCATGACCAAAATCATCCAGCATGCAATAAGTTCGAAGATGCCTATTTTAAGTGAGAAGGTATGATGTGGGTCAGTTTAATTGCGCGGCATAGTGAGAGGAAGAACTTGGGAAACGAGTAAGGATTTGAATGTAAAAATACAGACCTTCCCAGAGATTTTCGGCCTTTGCCCAGAGATTGGACGCCTTGGTGAACCATACTGCGATGAATGCAGCACCTAGGGCGAATGAGAGGAACAAGCCTATGCCTGCACCAGCAAAGACCTTATTGCTCATGAGTCGATGATACTGTCAACATTACCACTGCAGTAACATACCTGGAATCTAAGTTTGCGGATTAAGCGTCTCTTGGCGGTGACATCTGATTCTCCTTCTGGTGTAGTTGTTTCACTGTCGTTCTGCTGAGCTGGACTAGGCTGATAGTACTGCGCGACTGTCGTTAATTGGTCTATGTCGCCATGGACGATTTGCTCTACGAGGCCAAGAAGTACAGACACGATGATGACGGCTTCGAGGGTTTCTCTGAAGACGATGAAGAAAATGCTGACGCTGAACAAATTCTGAGGAGCCATTGGCGCGTTTTCGTTCTTGGGATGTGGGGGTGGAGGAGCATACTAGTACAGATTTATCTGATAATAAACTTTCAGCCATTGAACCCATGACTTGAATTTACCGTTAATGCCGAAAATCAATCTATCAGATAGTATCCAGGGGGCTCGCCAAGATGACAAGATCCCCAGCCACCATCAAATTTCAAATATAGGGCTTATCAGATAAAATCTTACTTGTAAAACTTTACTTGATGTTGACTTGATGTGTGAATTATAATTGAATTTCAAATTCCAAATTCAGTTTGGGATTATCAGATAAAATTTGGCGATTATGGCTCACTACTTAGAGTTGGAGTAAACGGCTCCCTGTGCTTCTTTACTTTCCCTCTGAGGGCTGACTTCGAATCGTCCTCATCACTGCCAACTCGAACGTGGGGGTCCGAATTACCATTTTCACGTCCATGTGGTGCCGTCAGTTACTTCCCTTGCTTGCACTCTTGTCTCCTGCACTAGCAGGTGTACAAGAGCTTTGGTGGAACGTCACCTACGTCGAGAACGCAAATCCAGATGGCCTCTTTGAACGCCGTGTCGTTGGCGTCAACGGAACCTGGCCGTAAGTCTCTCATATATTATACTATTCGCTTGTAGAGCTGAGAACTCGTTTGGTCTGGTACATCTCACTTGAAACTAACATTTCTATTCACTGCAACTCCCCGAAATTTGGATATCATGCTTGTCGACTTATTCGGTACTCATGAAGACCTCCACCGATTGAGGTAAACAACACAGATTCATTGCTTGTGCATGTAACAAATAGCATCGATACACTTGCGACACTGCACCACCATGGCATGTTCTTTAACTCAACGTCCTGGATGGATGGAGCAATAGGAGTTGCGCAATGGTACGTGTACTTGTGTTCATTTGGTCATGTTGTGGCTCCATGCCTGAACCGATCGTCACCGTCTTTTGTTTGATGCCTTTATGCATGCAACTAATAAAGTATCTTGCTAACTGTTCATCCCATGCAGTGGCATACCCATGGGCCAGACGTTCGATTATGTTGTACCCATCAACACCTCCGGCCAAGTCGGAACATATTGGGCGCATGGTCATGCAAACGTAAGTAAACATTGCTTCTTTGCTTCTTTACTTCGTGTACCTGCTTGTGCTCTCGAAATAACGTTGTACTAAATTCCGTATCTATCCACGCAGGGGATATATGTGGATGGTCTGCGCACGCCTCTTCTGCTGCATTCTGCAAATGAAACTTATGGCGCGGATTACGATGCTGAGTTCACTATCATGCTGAGTGACTGGTATCATCAAGAACACACCGTCCTCATGGAATCCTTCATCAGCATAGCAAATCCCGGCGGGGCCGAGCCTATCCCTGGTGAGTTGCCTTGTTCTATAGCTCATGGTGGTATATTCATGGACGAATGTTTATTTTTTTTGTTCCATGTTCCATTGAATTGTAGATGCTGCTCTCATATATTTCTCCCAAAATGGTTCCTACCTGCCACCGATCTCAGGGAGTCACCCATCCCCGGTAACAAGCGCGGTGGGTTTCAACGAGAACTCGACCCTTCCGTTCGAGCCTGGTAAAACGTACAGGCTGCGCATAATCAACATGGGCGCATTCGCAGGGTTCTACTTCTGGATCGACGGGCATGAAATGCAAATCATCGAAGTTGACGGTGTGCGTTTACTTCTACCTGCTTCTGATAACTCAGTGGACTCATTTTACTCCAGACAGACACACTGCCGCAGCCCGCTGATGTCCTGAGTCTGGCAGTAGCTCAGCGTTACTCTGTGCTTGTCACTGCGAGGAATGATACATCGTCGAATTGGGCCATCCATGCGAACATGGATACAAGCATGTTTGACAAGGTTCCCAGTACTCTAAATCCAAGTAGGCTATTCCCTTGCCAGAGCATTCGATCCCATCTCTTATCGTACTACCTTTCAAAATGTTTGCAGATATTACCTCCACCATCACATACTCCGCCTCCGCTAACACCACTAATCTGACTACCATATCCTCCTATACCTTGGTAAACGATACCTCTCTGGTTCCCTTCGCCGCTTTGCCTGCGCCCAACCCAACAGACACCCTTGATCTTGTGTTCAACTTCGCGACAATGAATGATGGGACAAATCATGGTTACATAAACGATTTGGTTTATAATTCGCCAGTGGTACCCGCGATCATAAGCGCGTTGACCCTAGGCGACAATGCCACTAGCCAAGTGGCATACGGGCCGTACAGCTTTGTGTATAACTACGGAGACGTAATCGACCTTGTGGTGATGAATGCCGATAAGGGAAAGCATCCCTTGTGCGTCTTCTCTACCCTACATTCGGCGTTTGACAGAACTAATGTTACGTTCTAGCCATTTGCACGGATACAAGATGCAGATTGTCAATACAGCGACAGATTATACCTCCGATGATCCGTCCCTGAACCCACCGCTTGTCGAAGGGCAAGCAAACCCGATGCGTCGTGACACGGTAACTATCCCTGGCGGTGGTTCCGTCACGCTCCGGATCGTCGCTGATAACCCTGGCGCATGGATTTTCCACTGAAAGTCCACGAATCCTCTTCAGGAGAGACACTTACTTACATTGCTATCATCTAGGTCACATCGAATGGCATCTTGATTCGGGTCTTGCGGTCCAGTTCATAACTGCTCCCCTTCAGATACAAGAACAGGCACAGGGCCGCGTGCCCTCGTTTTTGTACGACCAGTGTACTGCGCTCGGAATCCCCGCGAGCGGCAACGCTGCAGGATACGCGAGCCCAACTGACTTGTCGGGCCTCCCGCTTGGCCCGTGGTTCCAGAAGCTCGGTTGGCTGACTAAAGGCATCTTGGCAATGGCTGGGTGAGTTCGGGACTGAAGTATTTGTTACGATATACTGACAATGCGGGGTGGTTGTAGATGCGTGTTGACCGCCGTCTTGGGCATCCTCACCGTTGTGTGGTATTCTGCTATGGGAGGTACTATCACTGAGGAGGAGATAGAGGAGGCGGTGCTCAAGCGCATCGAGGAGAAGGAACGCAAAGGAAAGTTCTTCGGTCTGATTAAGAAAAAGACCTGAATATCTGCACCATTTGTTCATATTGATCTGGTTGATCACTCTGGCTATACCGTTCTGCGGAGTAGCTTTGTCGATGACTGTAACCACTCAATAGATAGTTTAATGACTATTATTGTGATTAAGAGGTAGATGCATGTGCAATAAGTACATGCAAGTACGAGAGAAATGTAATTTAAAGTTAAAGTCAGCTTTGACAGACTTGCAGATGAGTGAACTATACGTTTCAAACTGAGTCCACTCCATTGCTGTTACTTCTCTTGATGAAACTTTGGCTACTCTTATTAGGCCTAAGTAGGAGTAGCAAAGCTTACGATAACCGCAGTAATCCAAGCCCTGTAAACCTAATGTGTCTGATTATGCCTTTAGATCCACGCTTGTCACCCTAGATATTTCGACATATCATCAATTCAAACACTTCACAACCAGGGTCTGACGCAGGTAAACGTAATAATTAGATTGAATCAACGCCGGGTCACCAAAGGGTAATGCTCGAGATAGGCTGTTCAAGGTTCACAGAAGCGTCCCTGAGTATGCAGGCCCATCAAGACAATTGACAACATTAATTAGACAAACGTACAATATATCATACACCAAGATCAGTACAGAAGGGTCACTGAACATAGAATTCAATGAATCACACGCAAAGAAACCAAAAAAAACCACTCACATGTTAATGCTACATGGCTTTTATTTTGCAGAAATCGCAGTCCTCGCTTGCTCGACGCGCCGCTTATTTTTTGCAATAACACTGTTCTCCAAATTCTCGCCGGCTGGAATGTTCTCAGCAACGTTCACAGCACCGGATCCGAAATACAACGCCTGCTGCCAGTGCTTCTCACGAATGGCCATCTCAGCTGCATTTCCTAGAGCCAATGCAAGTTCCTTTCTCGCCCCCAACACTTCCTTCGAATACTGACCCTGAGTATGGTTGTCAAATGCAACCAGGGCGGCAGAAAGCTCTGCAGCGCTTGTGAACGCGGCCCTGGCATAATTGTTGTCGGCCTCGCGAGTGCGTTTACGCCCCTTGTCCATACTCGCCTGGACGCGCTGCAGTGCGATTTTCAGGAATCGCCGGATAACATCAGGGTTCGTGATTTGTTGTACGTGATTGAGACAGGTTGAGGACGAAAGACCATTTGGTGCTTTTTTGAGTCCTTGGATGGTATCGAAGGCTTTTCGTTGGGCAAGCACGACGAGCAGGCGTGCGAGAGCCGTTGGACCCATGATACCTTCGTCCGCGATTTGGAGCGGCGCATCCACTTTTATGTTTAGGGATACAGTATACATAGGGCTGCGAAAGATCTCTTCCATACGCTCGACACATATGTATCGATCCTCCGGTTTACTATGATCGAGGTCATTTGGACTCTTGACTTTGCGTGAAGCAAGGTATGCCATCCGGAGTAGTGACTCGATCTCGGCGTTGGTGACACCGCAAGACTCAGCTGCGTGACTGAGGGTACTAACTAGTCTCAGCATAGAAATACGGGATGTGCCTGTAAGCCGTTTATACCATTGAGTATGTTCATTGAGAGAAACATGTTGGCGACAGACCTCTATATTCAAACACCTGGCTGAAAGCATCTTCATCGGGTGGCTCAAACGCGTGGTAATCAACCTCGACCCGATCAAACCAGCTTTAAGGGAGGATGGGTCAGTCGTGTAACGGAAAGACGAATGATATCACCCACCTCTGGACTTCCCGCCAGTCCTCCTCTTCGATTTTCATCCATACTTCGATAATCTTTTCACACCAGTCTTCTCGAGACGTCAGGATAGCTACAGCCTGGGTCATGGCCTTCCACTCCTGTGCTCTAAAAACATTGTCTTGAGGCGTCGAAACACCTGGTACGATGTGCGACGGCCATTGGAAGAAGAGGGCTATGACCTCACACGCGATAGAATCGACTTGTGTTTCGGGGTACCAAGGTGGGCGAGTGATGATGGCGCAGTCAAAAAGTAAATCTAGAATTTCTGGTTTCTTCTTCAAAATGTCAAGACAATGTTTTCGCGATGGAGGAGGTGTGGTACACAAAAGTCCGTGGGCAGTCCATAGAGCGCTTTCTTGGGCCATGGCGTAAAATCGAGGTACATGCTCTGCGGCTCGTTTTGCAGGTATCTCACGGAAGAATTAGTCGAGCACAGGAAGGATGGACAAGATGGTATAAAGACACACATCAGTTGCGCCCATCACCATTTGACTTTGCCATGTCGTGTTTGGAGATCGCATGCTCTCGATGAAGAAATCGGGTCCTTCTAAAGTGAATCTGCAGACAGCTGCGATTATATCTGCTATTTCTGTTACGGATGAAGTCTCTCCCAGTACGGATTCGCTGGCGAGTACGCGTAAGGTATTGATGGCTAACTGACGGAAAATGCAAAGAGGATGGTTCAGATGCTAAGAGGCACATGAGAACTCGGAGAATTATTGAATCCAGACAAAGTTCTATGTATTCTTACCGATAAACAGATATTAATGACATGGTTCTTCTTCATGTCCTCCAAAAGCGTGCGTCGCTCGGTAAGATTCCCAGTCTGCATAAATTCTTCCAGAGCTTCAAGCGCATTGTACTGTCCAATATATCGTTCCTTCGGCTGCGATTGCGATTGCGTGTACAGATGGGACGTCACGACAGCGAGAAACGTCTTCACGATCCCTGCCGCATAACATGCTCTGCCAAAAGCACTGAAGCTGAGAGGATCGCGACCTTTCCGTGTCTGAGACTCATTGCGAAATCGGAGTTTGATGGCACCCTAGTTGACACTAGTCCAGATGGTGACATAAAGCGCAGGATACGACGAGACTCACCGTATAGTTCTGCACAAACGTCGGGTCTTGGTTTCGCTCTAGAAGCTTCGTAAAGAGCTTCGTCAGGTTCTGCGATAATTCGGGTTCACGTGCGCCAAGGACTTGTTCGATGTTATTTAGTGTAATATTGTTCATGACCGTTGGAGCGTTGTGCGTGGGCCTGCAAAAAGCTGATTGGAGAGCAGCACAACAGATCAGTACCAGTGAAAGTGCCCCAGTAACGAATTAAGGCAGGTATCTCTCACAATCAAACCCTAACCCTAATCTTGGGTTTTACAAGGAAAATAGTATAATAAGACAATAATAAGACGTCCTGCATCTTGAACTATAAGCCATATAACAGGTAACTAAGTCAAGTACAATAGTCAATCGTTACAACGTGTGGGTATATGACCGAGGGTCGTGAGTTCCATTAGAGTCCTATAATCGAATATAATCCACTCCTCCGGATAGTATAATCTATCTGTGATACAATCTACTTCTTCAATAAGTCATTGTTGGCGAAGCCGAGACAAAGTTGAACGGAGATGAAGCAGTCGAAGAAGCTACCGCGGACGAAGATGTAGCACCAATCGGGATGTTTGGTGATGCAGAAACAATGGGAGATGACGCTGCATTATATGTGGCGCTTGTGGTCGGAGTGTCCGAAGGAATGTTCAAGTCGACGGTAGTGGCTGAGGCATAAGAGGGAGACGGGGATGTAGCAAGTGAGGTTTGTGTCACAGCAGGGACAGTAGATGACACAGTTCCGCTCAATCCCACACTCGCCGTTGGTGACGTGCTGGGTGCAGCCGTACCATTAGCTGTCACAGTAACAACCACAGTGGTCACAACGACTACAGTGGAAACATTGTTCGCGCCGGTGGTAGCGGCTGGTGCAGATGTTACAAGAGAGGTCGAGGAAGTGAGGAGCGCAGTTCCAGTCCCAGTGGATACAACGGGAGAGGTGGAGGGACTCAAAGCAACGCTACCAGCACCGGTAGAAGTGCCAGAGCTAAAGGGAGTCGCGGGAGTAGAAGCAACAGAGGAACTCGTCAAAGCGCTCGTAGAAACAGTGGATGCAGGACTACTGGCGGAGGAACTCGCTACGCTAGTGGATAAGGCAGTGCTGGCCTGAGTAGATGAAGTAGTGACAGTAGTGGTCGGATTGCTAAAGCCAAAGGTTGGACCATAAGAGGGGGAGCCATACTGACGCCTTTTCATCGTATTCGTCGAGGGGCTGACGAGGGTGGATGAAGTCTCAAGAGGTGAGGAAGCACATGGGTCATACGTGCTCGAGGTAGGAGTGCTTGTGAGAGATGGCGAGGCGCTTGTGGAAGATGGTGAGGCACCTGTGGTGGTCTCGACACAGTCGCCACCGTCAGTGGTTGTGTTGCTCGCGGTAGCATTTCCAGTTACCCCTCCCTGAACGCCAGCAGCGATAAAACGTGCGTCAGCATCACTTTGTGTGTCACAAGCGAGACTGGTGCCAGCTTTGGTAACAAGAGGAAGTGCGAAGCAAGACAGACCGGACGAGCAAGGCGTGAGGTCCCAGGAACTTCCAATACACTGTGCGAAGGCACCGCTAATGCATGCCTGAGCACCACCTGTGACACGGTCACGATCAATAAATAAACGAAAGCGAAGAAATATATTGAACCTACTGGTGCAAGAATCATTGGCAGTCATTGTGGCAAACTGAGCATTCAGTTTTTGCGCATCGAGACCGTTTTGTTGTTGGGAAAAGCTCGACGTCGAATTAGATACGAGCTCGTAGTAAGATGCGAGAGGTGCCGCGCTGGCCAGGGAAGCTAGCATGGCAATTAAGAGGTTCTGAGAGAGACCCATGATCGTAGAAGATGATATGTTTGAGTGAGTGTAGGTGACTGTGAGATGCAACTAGCGTTAGAATGAACGTTACAGTAGTAAGAAGAGCTCCTGGCTCTGATCTAGAAATTCGTTAGAATGATGGAAGAAGAGGCTGCAGTTACGAGTAGTGCGTACGAGATGGGGATTCAGGGCCATCTGCCTTGCCTTTATATACGAAAACGGCGGTTGTGGACGCATGGACACTCGCGCAGCAGCTTATTGTTTGAAGCCTACATAGTCTATAGACTTTCATTGTGTTCGTAAAATAGATTCCATATTTTAAACTCAGCGATTATACTTAACCGTTGTTTGTTTAAATTTGGTTTATCTTTTGGGACAAATATATTTTATGACTCAGATCGGGATTATCCGTTTATCTTATTATCCTCATTGAAATTTTGAGATAGAGATGCTGCGCCTGCTAACTCGTCCTCTTTATCTCTCCGCCACACCTTCATCATCCCTGCGTTTCAAACGGGGCCTTGCACTCACTTCAAGAACAATGGCAACCTTCAACACTCCAGACTTCGTGCGTATCATATTCAATCAGTTATATGCCCTTACCAAGAAGCTGCACTATTATTGCAGAACAAAGTCTTGTATGCACCTCTGGCAGAGATCGATCCTGAAGTGCAGAACATCATCGACAAGGAAACTTGGAGGCAATTTTCCGGACTCGAACTTATCGCGTCTGAGGTGGATCTCACAGTTTGCTGTCCTATATCCTCATCTTTTCTGAAACATTTCTTAGAACTTGACGAGTCGCGCAACTCTCGAGGCAAATGGCTCAATATTGACCAACAAGTACTCAGAGGGTCTTCCAAATGCCCGGTACTATGGTGGCAATGAACACATCGACGAGCTTGAGATTCTTTGCCGCAAGCGTGCCCTTGAAGCGTTCAACCTCGACCCTGCAAAATGGGGTGTGAACGTCCAGCCCTACTCTGGTTCTGTGAGTATCTCACTACAATCAGGCGCTCTGTAATCTTGACATTCAATGATTCTCATGCTAGACTGCCAAGTATGTCTGATATCGCTTATGTGTGATCATGTCTCACATTACGTGACCGATAGCTTTGCAGCTTTAACCGCTCTCCTTCAGCCCCAGGACCGCTTGATGGGTCTTGGTCTCCCAGATGGTGGACATCTCACGCACGGCTACTATGTGAGTTTCTTTTGCCACGTCAATGGTTAGCGGTTCTGAGATTCGATCAATTAGACTGCCAAAAAGAAGATGACCGCTTCCTCAATATACTTCCAGTCATTCCCTTATGCAATCGACCCCACAACACAACTTATCGACTATGCAGGTCTTGAGCGGCAAGCAAAAATCTTCAAGCCCAGATTGATCATCTGCGGTGCCTCCGCTTATCCCCGTGACTGGGATTACGCTGCTTTGAAGAAGACTGCAGATACAGAGGGTGCATACCTGATGGCTGATATTGCACACACCAGTGGTCTTGTCGCAGCACAAACACTGAATAACCCTTTCGATTACTGTGACATCGTTACCACAACGACGTGAGTTTTCCGCTCACAATCGAGACTACTTTCACACTGACATATATCAGCCACAAGACCCTTCGCGGCCCTCGCGCTGGTCTAATCTTTTTCAAGAGAGATGGACCCAACAGCCAGGATCTTGAGAAGCGCGTTAACGACGCTGTTTTCCCTGCCTGTCAAGGTGGCCCCCACAATAACGTTGGCACCCTAATCTCCGGCTATGAAACACAAGCTGATAACAAAATTATACCAGACTATTGCCGCTGTCGCTACTGCCCTTCTGCAGGTAGCTCAGCCTACATTCAAGGCCTACGCCAAACAAGTTATTGTCAATGCGCAGACACTTGCAGCTGCCCTTCATGCACACGGCTACAAACTGCAGACTGGTGGTACTGATAACCACCTTGTTCTGTGGGACCTCCGTCCCCTTGGTTTGACTGGCAGCAAAGTTGAGAAGGTGTGCGACCTATTGGGCATCACAATCAACAGTCAGATATGTTTTCTGTATGAAAATGCAAGATACTAATTTTGAAATCCTGCAATAGAAAACGCAGTTTCTGGCGATGCATCTGCCCAGACTCCTGGTGGTATCCGTCTCGGCACATCGGCCCTGACGTCCCGCAACATGACCGAGGAGGACATCAAGGTTGTCGCTGACTTCTTGCACCGGGCTGTGCAGCTATCGCTCTTCCTCCAAAAGGAGGCTGGCTCTAAGCTTCTCAAGGACTTCATCCGCGCCGCAACGGCGAAGGGCTCGGCAGGTGCTGCACAGGTGGATGGTCTCCGCAGAGATGTCATTTCATTCGCACGTCAATGGCCGCTTCCTGGCGCGGATGTCAGCACGCTCAAGCGTCCGGCAGGTATTGAAGAGGGCTTTTAGGTATTGACGCGTGGAGTGTGCTCGAGTTTATCAGATGTTAAAACAGTCAACGGTTTCTTTATTGCATAGCGTGGGCATTCAACATCGTTCACATCAGGGTGGGCATTCAACATAGTCTACAACTGGCATTGTATCAATAGCTGCTACATATTATGATTAATGTATTCGCAGTTAAACAGTATTTTAATGTGGTTCCGTGTCGAGACACGGCTCCATACAGACACTCGCCGAGGGAGTGTACATTCACTACAACCGGAGGGCGAGTGGGGTACGAATACGTGGAATCCCAAACAATCTACCACGGCTGAACGTGCTAATGCTGGTCTCATCTTTAAATTTATGACCGGTCTTTGGTTTTTAACTTATTTTATTTAAATGCAAAACAAACCATAGACACCGAGTTTGACACAAATTTAACAATAGAGTATCTTTGAGGTTCACTTCGACGCGGTTTAAGAGCACGAACGGGAATTATTGGTTACTGACTATGAGACAAATGAGAAGTGAACAGGGAAGGTAAGGATTGGCGATGAGTTTTCGGGCGAAGGCGCGTAGCGCTTTCCGGCCCCGGGGAAAAGGACTTAGCCTAGGAGAGTCGAGCTGCGATTCCCAGGTGCTAGGAGTTCGGCGACGCATCGAGCGAGACTGAGTTAGATTCCCAGATTGTAGGAGGCGGACGAGGTACTCACGTGTAGGATTCTCATCTTTGAGTTTCGTCCTAGCGCGCTGGTGGTATGGTACAACGAAGGAATTCGTCGTGCAAGGTGGGGATAGCTTGCATGTACAGTGCCATAATTTGAGCGTGTTTCCTTAGGTACGCGAGGAACGCGTCACTCGCCCACCGGCCCTTCACTTTGACGACGTCGAAAGGGACGTTTCGCAGCAAGTACTCTAAGGTGGAACCAATACGGATTCCGTGTCCCTGTAGAGGCTCGCGGCCTGCCGCTTTTGTTGCAGAGGCTAGCCTGCTGAGAAATTTCGTTTTCGTGAGAGGTCGGTGGGTGCTGTCTTTGTGCCGATATGCGAAAAGAGTGAAGTTGATTGGGGGTTCGTTGACTCGCAGGTGGTTCAAGAAGGCTTCTTCTGGGTCTGATAAGCCTGCTTGCTTGGCCCAGTGAACATCTTCGCCCTCTGGGGCAGACTTTGTTCGGGGTGTTACGTCGACTGTAGGTCGGCGTGTGCGAACTAGGATAGGTCTTCTCAGCGACGACTCGAGTGAGTCTACTGAAGCTGAGCGTGGTCTGGCCTTGACGGAACGTCAAGGATTCCTCCGGCGATCTCGGTAAGACGGCGCTCGTCGAGATGCAGGGCTAGCGGATACGTGCTAAGTCGTATGGGGGCGACTTAGAAGTGCGGTCTCACACAAGGAAGCTGGTAGGCTTAGATGAGCAAGTTCTGGGTATGAACCTAGTAGATTAAAGTGAAGTTAATCTACAACAATGTGTCTACTCTTATAGCGTCTAGCTATAGGTATTCTAGCTCAGTCTGTAATCTATAGTATATCTGTAATCTAAGATAACTAGACATGAGGAGAGATAAGATACATGAGGCTTAACCTCTGATCAAGCATGCTGCGCCAAGGGCAGCTGCGCATAGGTACAGGAAGCGCCAAGCACGCTCCGGATCTTCATGAAGCGACATGCTGTATACATGCGCTGATCTAGGGTGTCCATGAGGCGTACATGAGGCGTACAGCCTCCATGGAACAGGTACAAGGCCGTCTAGGCCAGGGGCGGGGTCATAGCGGTCCAGACTGCTGTCTTTCTAGGCGCGGGGAGTCTAGCAGAGCGAGGGCAGGCGTAGGGAGAGCTGGGGCTCTAGTAGGTGTTACAGATCCCTGTAACACGGGGTAGATGGAAGTTCTTGGTTGCGAGGTTCTGTCGATCTCGCATGTCTTTGACGCAGTTAGGTGAGACGTGGAGGTTCGGGTCGAAAGCGTTCAAACGGGGGACAGTGAATTCTCCAACTCTGGCCGTAGCGTAGAAGGTGGTGGTGAGACAGGCGAAAACTGAGGCGTCTAATGGATTATCTAAATTGAGTTTCTCCCATATGGCAATGATGAGATCTGTGGTATATGGTTCGCGTTTGCTGCGTCTGGCGTTGACGGGGGTTAGAGAAACAGCTGCTTTCAGCATGGCGTCTATTTCAGCGTCGTTGAGTAACCAGTCTGCGCCATGCACGATGTGCCATGCGCGGACTCCATTGATGTAGTTAGATACCGTTTTTCCTGAATAATTACCGACCATGCACGAAATAAATGTTTCAATCAATATGTTGCTTGCTGGGGCTCTCTGCTCCTCTGGGATGGTCTTGCTATCGCAAAATACGTGGAATACGAGTAGCCCGGATCCATAAGTTTCGTGAGTGCTTTCTGCGTAAGCGTGAACCATCACGTCCCGGATTCGTTCTATGTCGGTAGCGCTCAAGGGGAGGTGTTTGCCTTGCGCGTCTTTTGACGAACGTTTCGTTATTGGCTGCCATAGGTAGAGTCTGTCTTTTGCGGGACAGTGTGGGCGTAGATGGCATGGGTTGGGGGTTAGGCTCGCATTATAGGCTGTGTCCCTGGTTAAGGTCAGGCTCTCGATTGTGTAGTGTCACTTACTAGCTTTCCGACGCTTCGAAGAGCCTGTCTCCTTCGGATTCGAATCTGCGGTTGACGCAATCTCGGCGTTGGAATTCTCTCTCTCCGTGTCTCTCGCCCATTGTGCGAAACGGTTCGATGGGATGGGTGTGGGCACGGGTGCTTCGGGTTGGTTTGTTTGAAGGAGGAAGGGGGGATTCAGAGGCTTCTGCGAGGAAGGGGAGTAGTTCTGGCGGGATTGGGATGGGAGGGAGCTTGTCACATGCAGGGGGATATATTCCGTGCGAAGGGCCGTCTGCGGGGTTCTCTTTGCTTGGTACATACCGTGTAAGAATCTTGCATTTGGTATTGGCAGCAATCCGATGAATTCGTTTGAAGACCTCATTGCATGACTGACTTTTGCTGCAGCCTTTCCACCATCCTTCCACAACTCCCCGGTTGTCGCCATAGACTTTGAAATAAGTTCCGGGGGGACAAGACCTTGCGACTGCCTGCACCAAGAGCTCAAATCCGACACTTTCTGCCCACCCGATGTCGCGACCATCTCTCTTCCAACCAGGTAGGAGTTTCCAAGCTCGCCACTTGCCGTTGATGATGATACCGATCCCATAGCCAGAGCTAGCGTCCGAATAGGCGTTGAAGTCAAATACAACGCATGGTCCTGGGATTGGACGGGTGACATGGGTGGAGCTGAGGGTGCTTTTCCACCACTCAATGTCGTCTGGGGTGTTGCGAGGGGGAGTTCTGGCCATGTGTGGGTGGTCTTCGAAAATGCACAGCATTTTTTCCAAGTTCGTAAGGTACGCGCGGCCAGCTGGTGTGATAAGCGACGCATGTAAGAGTTTACCGTAGAGTTTTTGGACTTCCTGCAGAGTATGGGTCCTCTTGGACTGCCACATTCTGATGGCCTCAAGGTACTTGGTGCGTTTCTCGCTTGACAACGCAACCGTTCATTCGGCAATGTCCCATACCAGACCGATGTATGGAGGTTCATTACTGAATGGTTTATCTTTCGACAACTCCCAGATGATCCCCATGAGGACGGAAAAGAAGTCGATGTCCTCCATGCCGTGTGTGAATTGTGCCTCTTCGGCTGAACGTGGTGACCTGCCCGAGAGGTCTTGGATGGGGAAATGAGCGTCTTCATCGAATTCCTCTTGTGATCCGTCTGGTAGAGTTTCTCCCCTGTACCATCTACGTCCCCCACTTGTGATGATACCTCCGTCCTTCGTGATTTCATCAGCCCATAGTCTCCGTTTCCTATTGTACTCCTCCCTGTATTTCTTCTTGATTCGAAAAAATAGGTGGTCATCGACCCATTTTGACAGAGGGCCAATGCCTTTGGATCGGAAAATGTCTGCACCAGCATCAGCCACATTGCCGTATATGCCAGCTGATGGCCCGAAACCGAAACAGAATGCTGTATCGATGGCGAATGCATCTTCATCCAGCCGTATTGCCAGACCTGGCCATTGGGAGTGATGGAGTGGGATTGTTCTGTAGGCTTCGGAAACATCACGGACGGCTCCTTGAGAGCCTGGGGGAAGGTGCCATATTGTTCGGCAGATGGTTGAGAAGGTCCCATATGTGCAAGGAAAGAGGTCGGAGTCGACCTTTGAATTAATAGAGCTAATAGTAGGGGGAATAGGATTGATAGGATAAGATAGATTTTGTACAAGGCGAAATTTCCCTGGTTTGCCAGGTTTCGGAACGAGTGACAATGGAGCCGTTTGGAAATTTCCAATGGCCGATTTGAGATCCTTAGCTGTGAATGGGCCAATGAAACGGCCCTTTGAAAATTCACACTCAACAATTTTCTGAAAGACTTCTCCATGCTCGTTGATAGAGGTGCTATTAGAGGGCGTGTATGTACATGTAATTGGGGGTATGCCCCCAGAGAAACCATAGACAAGTCCATCTGTGATGGATGGATATTTATCGAGCAGATTCGACTCTGCCAGTAAGCGATGCCAACTCTCTGGGTTATACGGCGTGTGCGCCTTAGCTCTTCTCGCTGCGAGGGCAAGATTGAGCTCCGTGCTCTTTGCTTCCACAGCCTGAGCATTCGTGTGGGGCCTCGTGGTTTGATATCTGGCAGCTCCCTGGGCGCTGCCATTTGTAGCATATAGGGAGGCCTTGAGGGTTGATGAGGCGTCCATCGTCTGCCCGGTGGCAGTGAGTGCTGGTGCCGTCCCACGTGGTTCGAGACTCGCAACGTTGGATGTCGTGAGCGAAGCGGCCGAGACAGAGGGCGCAGGCTGATCGACCGCGGGTGCCTGCGCCCCGAGAAAAACCCCCTTGCCTTTGTTGGCGGTCACGGGATTTGTCTGGTGAGGACGGTTTGCTTCTCTGGTTGTCTGACCTTCGTGCTGGAGAGCGCGACCGTGAGTTGTGGTTGCGCTGGTCATTGTTGCCCCCGCGAAAGTCCCGGTAGCTGGACTTCCGGTATTGATTTGAGGGCGTCTCTCTGCTCGAGTGCTGCACGGTGACGTGGGTGTGTGCATCCACGTCAAGTTGTGGGCATCCACATTATGGTTGTGGGCATCCGCGTCAAGTGTGCGGGCATCCATGCGAATGGGTATGAGCATCCGCGGGAAAACGTCGCGGGCATCCGCGGGATCAACATCGCGGGCATCTAGTGCTGCCGCGGTCCGGTCCAGAATCATGGTTCGAACCGGACTTTTGGTCCGGTTCTCTGTGGTTCGGTCCATGGTTCCCTCACCAGCCAGAACCAGACCGGAAAGCGGTTCTGGGTTCTGGACCTTCACTAGTGGTCCGGTTCTGGTTCGACTTTCCCGAACCTTCCCGAACCATTCCTTGACCTTCGAATTCCCTCGACTTCGACACCAACCACGACGACGTCGGTGTCCATGTCGACATCAAAACACCGTCTTCGAGATTTGCATTATTGTTAATCAGGCTACTGTTAGCCTTTTTGAAGGTAAGTACTAATCAATTTATTCTCAAGACTCTGACATATGTTTACCTATATCACAGATATCTACTTGTTCTAGTCTATATGCTTCCTGGATAGTCATGATCCTCCACCGGTTCTCAACTCTAACAGATCTCCTTGGATATTGTCGCTCTGTCTAGGTGAGTATCTTTTTTTTTGCTTAAGTCCATGTCTCATTTTGTTACAGTTCTTGACCCTAACTATAAGTTAGCATACGTCAAACAGCGATGGACTGTGACGAAGGTCGCAAACGGGAGGGCTCGTCTTGAGGCAGTGGTGAGTACTATTCAAACTTAAGTACCCTACCGGTCTCTAACTCCAGATGTATTCTTAGTTTGACAGATATTATCAAGCGCCTCCAGCCCCAGGACCACATCCCAAGGAGCCAGAGGCCACGTCATCAACAATGAAAGCTTCGATCTTTCTCCAGCGCGGGCATCACATCAACTCTGCGCCGCAACGCACTCGCATCATCCACTTTCTCCGCGCTACAATTGATGAAGGCAGCCTATAAGAATGGACATGTGTCAGCAGCAGTAGAGGCAGAAGAATATGCAGTTGGTATGCAGTTAGACTAGCTACCCAATGTCATGTAGATGTCTTGTGAATGTTTTTTCCGTTGCTTGAAAAATTTTCGGTTCGGTTCGCGTTCGGACCAGACAAGAACCGGACTGGACCATTGAGAACCGTTCTCAATGGTCTGGTTCTGGGTTCGACAATTTTAAAGAACCGAACCATGGTTCGGTTCTTGGTTCTCGTCAAGGACCCTCTGAACCGGACCGAACCGGACCACGGCAGCACTACGGGCATCCGTGTCAAACGGGGATGTTATTCGTTGTGTGTGGAATTTGGAAGGGGGAGAAAGGTTCATGGATTAGCGGGTCTGCTTGATCTCGATTTAAGACTGGGTACGTACGATGTTCCATGTGCGAGAGCGAACTTTATCCCACAACTCCTCGTTGATTGTCCGAATGAGGTTCTCAGTTGATGTTACCGATGTTGAAACCCTCGTCGTGTTTGAGACAGGTCGTGCCAATCTTGACGTACGCGTGATGCGTATGTCAAGATCACCATGTCACCGATTTCACTGTTGTTTCGAATCGAGTGGTTCTCGAGGTGCCAGAAGAACAACGACAGTGCGTCGATGTTTGGTTGGGGCCACTTGGCTTTGCTGATTTGAATGAGGAATAAGTTCTTTGCTCGGAGGAAAATCGAGAATGATAACTCATGGTCGGCCATGGCCGCTTTCGACGCTTTGAACGCTGAGGTGGGCTGTAGCGTGAGTTGGTCATCTGTCCTCAGTTATGCTCATGTCGTTGTCGGCCACTGAGCGTGAAGACTTGAGGGCGTCTTTGCACCCTTCCGGCGAGAAGTACCATAGCTCTACATATTCGAAATTGGTGAGTTTCTGAATTGCGTATTGAGCGGGACGGGGAGTCAGGTAATCTCCTACGGATGATGCGTGCTCAAAGCCGTTCATCTTTGGCTTCTTCTTTTCAGCTTCTGTCCGCTCCCTCTCTGTTTCAGCTTCCCGCTGGGTGCGCTCTTCATTCTCCTGCGCGGTTCGTGCCCTTTCTGCTTCTGCAAGGACTCTAGCTTCTGCTTCTCGGTCTTGGTTCCATTCCACTACTCTTGCGTTGTGGTCTGCGTTCCATGTCTCCGTGAGACGGGCTACGACTTCTTCTCCGGTCTGGTTTGTGGCAGCTCCGAGGTCTGCGCGAATGCCTGCGTACAGATTACCAGCAAAATCTGGTACCATTTCGAGGTTTGGGTCGACGACTAGAGCCATTGTATTTTAAAATTAGATAGGAATAAGATTGTGTAAATTTTAAGGAAGGTTTCTGGTGTGGAAAGAAAAGAAAGCGAGCAGAGTGAGCTATGCAGCGACGAACAGTGATCGCGGCACGGAAGCAAGAAGCTTGGTGCCGCATCTCTTGTTCGCTCGAAGACCTTACTCTATTTTTTCATTCGTGCCTCTTTACATAATAGAGTGACAAAAAGTGCGGGAAATTACAAACATATAAGGCAACTAGAAAGTCCGAGGATCTAAGGTGTATGTCACTACGAGGCGACTCAGACATCACGGTGTTCAGCGACTCCCAAAACCATGACTTTTGTACCCTATTGAACCTTGCTTGTATCCCTCCGAGTCGTATAGACACCTCAACCTCAGGTGCACAACGTTAGTGGTGAACTCGGTTCCATTTGCGCTGGTAACGGCTATCAGCATCAGTACCGTGTTCCAGGAAGTGGGTTGACATACTAGTGAAGCTAAGTACATAACACCTTCCTGAACCGTCCACCGTTCTTTCCGACTGATAGGACAGCCCGAAACTGTGAAAATAGATCTTTTCTGATGAACACCTGTGTCAACAAGTGGGGTCCGAGCCTGGAATCATATGTCGGTATAGCAACGTTCGATGATTGACCCATTCACTGACCATTAGAGATCCCCAGGTGGGCAGCGCAAATGCGATGCTAGACCATCAAGTAATGCGTTTCGATGGCGGCTATGGGACCCTGCGGAATCAGCTTCGAAACGTCGCTGTTGACAGACCTGAGACATCCCCAAAATTTGCACTTCTGTGTGAGCTCGGATTCAAAATTCTACGTTTGGGCAATTGGTTTCCTCTCGTGTTGTGTATTTCATTGATGGTCACGTGGTGATAGTCCCCCAAAGGCACAACTAATCATCCTCAAGTGCGTCCGTGGAGCTGACTCTTGTATCATCACAAGTTAATCTGTCTATCGCAGGGGCAACAAACATCGTGTATCTGAATACGGTCGATTGTGTCATAGCATGCCCTCGTCCCTGTCGACATGGGATTCAAACAAGGGGGCATAAATATAGTCGAACAGGTATCAGTACCGTAATGCCGGCTAATCAAGGTTCGTGATTAAACAATCAAACCCGCATGAACATTTTAAAGCCCAAGTCACACATTTATCAAGAGAGATTAAGAACTTCCCTCCTTATTGTCGCTGGTTTACCATAACTTACATTGTGAACACTATTCCTACGGATCACATGAATTCTATCAGCTCTGAACACAACCAGTGTGACGAGGAGCGGCCGGAGGACTCGGTTTTGGATCTCAAAAATGTCCCAGTGCTAACACCAGAGCAGGAGAAGAAGCTGTGGAGAAAGATTGACCTGCGGATAATGCCTATCCTCAGTTTAATGTATCTTCTGGCTTTCCTTGACAGAGGTGCGTAGTTATCAGGACAGTTGACGTCGAATACTCCCCTCACTCTTCAACAGGTAACATAGGTAATGCGGCGTTGGAGGGGATTATCACTCAACTGGATCTCACGGGAGACAAATTCAACATTGTATTGGTACGTAATGCGTAGTTGTTTGTTCACAACATCATCAATCTTACAGCTGAATACAGATAATGTTTATTATAGTAAGTAACGTTATTCTGATAGGTATCGGATTTTTTTGAACTTGTAAACCGTAAAGGCATACTGCCTGTTTGAATGTCCCTCTAAGTTCGTTTGGGACCCAATTTGCTGGTTATCTGCGCGCTGACTGCAACCTCAAGCCTGGTTCTTAAAGCGATCAGACCATCGAGGCAAGTGTTCGTATTAACCTTTAAGTACTGTTTAACTGACCTTGTGTATTTTAGATGGCTTCCAGGGATCAACGTAAGTTTTGCATGATGGCGGCTGAATTTATCTCACGATCAATAGTTTGTATGGGGGGTAGTTATGTGCGTCATTCACTCTTAATACATTTCAAAGGTACTGATGAAGCTTATTTCCAGGACACTCAATGCTTTCGTGAAGACGTGAGATTGAGCAGTTTTTTTGCCAATTTTTTTTACTTGATATTGACCTTACACATTCCAGGTACCCTCAGCTTGTTGGAGTGCGAATCTGTCTTGGTATCGCTGAGGCAGGTTTGTTCCCTGGAGTGGTTTATTAGTGAGGATAAGTAAAGAACTTTTGCGGGATGTTGCTGATGTATCTGCAGCCTTACTTTGTGGTATCCGAGACACATGCTACAATATCGAAGTAAGCGTCCTGTGTTTGGTTGTCCGCTTAGGATGTTGAAGTGCTCCGGTAGTTGGCTTGTTTTTTGGTGCTGCAACGATTGCAGGTTTGTTGTCTCGCTCCATCATTGGCATCTTAATAGTGAAACAAATTTTAGGTGCTTTCTCTGGCTTACTAGCATTTGGGATTGGTTACATGGGTGGCATGGAAGGACTCGAAGCATGGTCCTGGATCTTCGTGAGCTCGTTCATGGCCGATTTCAGAAGTAATGCTCAAAATTCATATGCAGCTGATTGAAGGCCTTGCAACGATAGTCGTAGCCATCATTTCTTTCTTTGGCGAGTGCAGCACGCATTCGATTACACAGAATGCTGATATGTATATGATCGTTTAGTGCTTGTCGACTTTCCGGAAACAGCCAAGTTCTTGACCCCGGAAGAGCGTGCTTTTGTTGTCTGGAGGAAAAGTGAGTGGGGTAGTAAATTTTGAGAGGGCAGATACGATTCATATTTCTTTCAGAATACGACAATTCATCAGTCGGCGAGGAAAGGAAGTTTGCTGCCAAGCACGTCTGGGCGGCATTCAAAGACTGGCAGGTAAGATGCTAATGGTTTTTTTGTTATGTTCGTGCCTCAACCAAGTCGTCAGATCTGGCTTCATATCCCAATTTACATGTCAATCGTCGGGCCTCGTAAGTGATACACCTTAGATGTTCAGCGACGTCAGACGCTGACTTAATCACTCTTAGTTTATGGCATCACCCTGTTTCTCCCGTAAGTCGATTTTTAGATCTTTGAAGATGGTGTTTAACCTATTTGTGCCAGAACGATCATTCAGAGGTCTGTCACGACAAGCTGATTGTGATTCACTTATTCAATTGCATTCAGCTTTGGATATAACACGTCAGTCAGCCAGTTGCTCACCATACCACCATATATTGCCGGCAGTCAGTTTTCCTTACCCATCTGCAATCTCACGCAGTAACCTGTTCCATTTAGCGATCACATTGCTCGTTTTTGCATACTACTCGGACAAGTTGAAAATGCGATCCCCATTCATTCTTGCCGGCCTTACAATGTGTCTCATCGGCTTTTCGATAAACATATCTACCGCACCCAATGGTGTCAAGTATTTTGGGACTTACATCATTGTTATGGGAAGCTATGCATCATTGCCTGGTGTCATTTCTTGGTATGTCATTATCAGTCGTGCCATGACCAAGGCTAACATATGGTAATCAAGGCTCGGAAACAATCTTTCCGGCCAGTACAAGAGAGGCGTTGGCATGGCCCTCGAAATGAGCATAGGAAACTTCAGTGCTGTGGTTGCAGTCAGCGTCTATAGGCCGCAAGACACACCTCGGTTCGTCTTTGGGCGTAAGTTCATCTTCGTCGACATAGGGCTCGCAGCGTCGGCTAAGTCTTCTTTTTCCAGATGCATTTGAGCTCATGTTCGTCGGGATTGGATTCATCTTTGTGCCGATTGCGATGATCATCTATAAGAGGATCAACGCTAAACGCGATGCTGCCGAACGGCTCGCAAGAGAACGGGGAGAGAAAGTGCAATATTCGTACCAGGAATTGCGGGACTTGGGAGACCGTGCGCCTGACTTCAGATACACATTATGAGCAGGAACATGGTTATGCCTTGTGCTTCTCATGACTTGGTATCGAGGGTACAAGTCTTCGCAGAGATGAATTATGTTTATCGTCTCTTTAGAACCGAATACATGTCTTAGTGTTGTAATTCGTGATTATCGCTGTAATACCATTAACTTGCTTTAACTGTACAAAATATCAGAGGTGGCTTTGTCGCAGGGTCCTCATCGGTGTCATTGCTGCCAAGTACTGGTAACATGCTGGCGCTTGCATGTATGATCGGACTCCACGGCCGGTCGACCTTGCTCTTCAAGATTGGGACAACAGACAAAGGTGAGTACGATTGGACGTTCGAACGTTGTATGACTACAACTCGCTGTGTTTGAAATACTTCCCTCCTCGCCTCACCCGGATTCAGAAATGACAACTTAATCACTGGTCGACTCATCAATGAAAGCAATTTCTAACTACAAACGACTATAATGCCGCGGATTATCTACACGCACAAACAACGGCAACTTCCGAACCAGTTTCCTGCTTCACTCATTTACTTTGCTTATGGACGGTGCTCGCAGCTCTACCCTCTTCACTCAGTAACTGCCTTTGGTGTAGCCGGGTGGCGAATGGTGCAAACAGGTGGAGCTCGCACTGTCCAAATCACGCTTCATATCTTTCAAATATTCGCACATCTCAACATTCTCTACAGTCTTAATAGTATCTCGGTAACAGCACGTGTTACAAAGTCACGACCATGTTCTGTGAGGTCATGATGTCCTCTACACTCTGACTAAATACTTCAAACGAACGCATACGCAGTCCGTGTGTCTCATGGATGCGAAGAGCTTTACTCTTTGCATCCGAGACACGGATACATCTTTTCATTGCGCTTTAACATCCTTGTGCGCTTTATGTCACATGATTACCTCGTGCAGGATTTGTTCTTCCATTTCCCAGTTCCCTTCCATAACACTCCCTTTGACTTCAACGTATCACTTCAAGCTATTTCCTTCGAATGCGCACCTTATTCTTTGACCCAATCACTTGGATGCTCGTACTTATTTGTGTTTCAGTCCCATCATTCCCCTTCAAACTCGTATAAGTCTTTTTGCGCAGCCACAATAAATCATTTTCACCACATCTGCGTCTATTATCTTGCAGTTTCGGCTCGATTGACATGTAGCCTGCCTCAATTCCTCATTCCTAGTCCTTAGAATTGTCGTCTGTCTTTACTCCATACCCTGTTGTTTTTTAAAATCTATGACGTAACCTTAGTAATGCAGTTAAATAAATAAATCAACTTCCAAAAGATCCGGATCATCGCACCCACTGGGTCAGTTCTATGGGCACGATGCCGTAGAATGACTACAATAGCATTTGTTCTCGCGTCAGATTTGCCCGATTTCTTCTCATCGTCATGCTGCGCATCATAGCTATATATGTTAGCTGACCGGCAGGTGTTACTGAATTCCCACTACTCGAATTTCCGACCCATAATGCTAGGAACCCTCATCACGACCGACTATGCTGCTGGTGTTGTCGCATTCGCAGCGGTGCTCGCGGTGCTGTACAAGAAATCTTCGTTGACGAGTGGCAAGAATGCCATGCCATTTCCACCTGGACCCCCCGCCCGTTGGTTCTGGAGCAACGCTTTGCCTTCTGTCAAGTAGGTTTTGAAAACGTCATCCTTGACATGCAAAATTGATGTAAATTGCCCACTCAGTATTGCTCGTGCGCTGACAAACCTTGTTCGGGAGTATGGGCCTGTGGTATCGTTCCGACAAGGCAGTCAAGTGATCATTGTCATCGGCAGCGTCGAGGTAAGATCTGTATATACTCGGATTTCCTCGAACATTGACCGGTTCAACAGGCAGCCACAACCATCATGGAGATAGAAGGTAGATCCCTTGTAGATCGTCCTCCGTCTATCGCTGCGGGAGAGATGCTCTCAAATGGGATGCGTATTCTCATGGCTCGCTCCGGAGAACGCTTTCGGCGTCTCCGCAAAGCAGTTCATACCCATCTTCAGCCCAAGGCAACAGAGGCATACAAAGATATGCAGCACGATAATGCACGGAAATTTACATTGGACATTCTGAATGACCCTCAGAATCACCAGAAGCATGCAGCAGGGTATGTTCTTACCAAGTCCTTTTGTGATCCGTGTACAGACGTTACCTCAAGGTATTCAGCATCAGTCATTCTTCGCGTCACTTATGGGAAGTCTACACCGACTGCCTACACTGATCCCGAAGTTGTCCGTGTCTACAAAGTCCTCCATCATTTTGATCTTGTGATGCGCCCGGGAGCTTATCTTGTCGACCGCGTGCCTCTTTTGCGCTACTTGCCTGGTTACGGAAAGCAACTTACGGAGTGGCATAACGAAGAACTAAGTCTATACAGACATCAGTTACTGCGCGTCAAGAGCGAAATAGTGAGGACTTTTTTCTTTTCATGAACATACTTCATTTGTGTTGTACTCAGGAACAAAACAAAGCGGGACCCTCTTTCACCAAGACACTGTTGGAAAACACCGAAAATCATCAGCTTGCGATGGATGAGATGGGATATCTCGCTGGAACGCTCTTTGGTGCAGGAGCTGATACAGCAAGTGATACCATCTCATCTCTGAACTTACTAATGGGCTGAGTCCAGACCACTGCGGGAATTACCACTGCTATCATGGCTGCAGCGTGCTACCCTCTGGCTCAGGCAAAGCTGCATGAAGAGCTCGATATGGTCATCGGATCAGACAGAGGCAAGGCTAAAAGAATGATATTTTTCCGAAGTTCTGAGCTAATTTTGGTAATAGTACCAACATTCGAGGACTCGAGCTCACTTCCTCAATTGCGCGCGTTTCTGTTGGAAGCTTTGAGATGGAGACCTGTTATTCCCATAGGTAAGCCGTGAATTCGCTGCGCCCCTACACGCTGACATGTTTCTCAGGATTCCCTCACCGCGCAACTCAGGATATTATTTGGGTTGGTGTCTTGAATTAATGCCAGGTCATTATATTAACACAACTATGCGTGCGATCAGCAAGGCTATTGTATTCCTGAGGGTGCAATTGTCTATGGATGCCATTGGTAAGGTTGCACTTCCTCATGCTGTGTGTCCTTCATTGACTGAACTTGTCAGGGCAATCTGTCGCGATCCAATTGCCTTCCCAGACCCCGAAAAATTTGATCCTCAGCGCTGGCTTGATTCCGAAGGCCGCCTCAAGGACGATATGAAGTCTTTCACTTTTGGCTTTGGTAGACGGTAAGTTGTTTCTACCAGGAATTAACGAAGCTCACTTGTCTTTGAAAAGGGTGTGTCCCGGTAGGCATCTCGCAGAGAATTCAATGTACATCGCCCTCGCACTTCTCTTCTGGTCATTCCGCTTCGATCAACGACCTGACGCTCCGATCAACACGCAGGCTAGTGACAGTGTTATTTCTCATCTAGCGCCATTTGAGATTGATGTCATTCCACGAATCGAAGTCGAGAGGTTGAGGGAGATGATGGCGGACGAGAGTATGTATTGAAGATGTGCTACTCATTAGTCCGTACTTCTGTTTATTCACTCGTTATTGTGATGACCTAAACGAACGGCCGCATCCTGAAGCCTTTTGTGTCCCGACTCCCTATTCCGTATGACGAGGTATCGTCATTGTACGTGAGCCGGGATATATGCGCCTGCAAAGGCTTCATAATATATTGCCGCAAGTTCCTTGGCATTGTATCACTAGTTCCGCCAGATGTTCAAGAGGCAATAACTGACTTCTGAACAGGCCACTCCCTCACGCTTCATCGCATGACTTAACGGACTCACATCTTTGATTCTGCCTTCTTGGAACGGATGCTTGTAAACGCCGAGGCTTCTGGTATCTCTGAATGAGACGAACACGTTGTGCTTATGAAAAACATGCAAAGAAGGTTCTCCAGGAATGATCTGATGCTCATCAACTCGCACGAGGAATTCGTTCCTAAAATATTCCTGTCATCTTTACAATGAATCTGGGATACGACCTTGCTTATCGTGTTCCTACGTTCAGTCGGATGCGGGCCCACCCATGACCTTGACCTGCCTACCTAGCTAGGCCTTCCCATTGCAGATTGCGAATTGTCCATACGCCCATTCATTGCACAGTAGTGGTGAACACGCCGGCTGATGTTCGCTCGTCATTCAAACACCAGTTCTCAACATGTGATAGGGTCATTATAACTATGCAACGCTACATCAGCACTATTGGGACTTGTGAGTGTTATTTGTCCTCACTATGGTGTGGTATTCAACATTTCGTGCAGCACTGTTCGATATGTTCGTCTCTTCAGCGAGCAGTTCGATGAACAGCAGCACCATCTGCAACGAGACTCAGGCTGTCAAGTCAGATGGAGCGCGTGTAGAGCAAAGTAGATAGGAGCATGAAACTTCGTCATTGAAGAAAGGCTGTTGGGCATGCACAAGGACGTCTTTTGAATTCCGGAATACAAGGAAGCCGTCGGGACTCTGGATTTCTTACCGGTTGACCTCTCCAAGTCAAGAGAACGCCATACGTCTCCTTACGTCGATGACTAGTAGGTTCCCACCCTGTTGCAGCTTTGCTTTGTTGATTCGGTGCATTTTTCAGGACTAACTGTTCTCCGTCAAGACAATATTAAGGAAGTAACATCCAAGGGTATTCCTGCCAACTGGATCATTTGATTCTCTTAGTACAGTCCTTGCGCCATCTTCCGCCAACAATGTTCAGAGCTAGACGTTATAATTCAGTCCCAACTCTTCAGCAATGATCATCGCAGCCTTCTCTCCAACGAGGAGTGCTGTCGAATACGTGTTCTTGGGAGATAGTTAGACCAAAAGTCACTTAATCTGGTTGGGTACTCACCGCGCCGACATTCTTTGGCACAATAGACATATCAGCAACCTTGAGGTTCGTGACGCCGTACACGTTTAGCCGAGCATCAACGACTCCTTGTTCCGCCCGCGGTTTCATGGCGCAGGTACCGAGCTGCATGCAAAAGAATCAGACACCTCATTCCAAATTATCTCAGCTGCACACACCGAGTGCCAAGTCGTTTGCACTACGATTCGATCCAGTAAGTAACCGGAACGACGGAAATGCAAAAGCTAACACATACCGCAGTCACGATGATATTTTTCAATGGCCTCGTCATCTTCGGCAGTGTAGATGATGTCAGGTGCATTTATGTCGACTGGCCCAGACACTTCTCCGCAGGCCGCAGCGCTTCCCTCTAGGAATTTAGGATGACCTTCAGCGAGTTCGCCTCGGTATGAAGGCAATCTTCGGTAGATTTCGCGCATCTTCTTGTATGCAAAGTTGATTGGCACGATATCGGATGGACTGATGAATAATGATCAGTCATGCAATGGCCCTATAATGAAATGTGCCGACTCACTCTTCCAAAAACCCCGTCGTGAAATCGAGCGCCTCTTTACCATTTTCGTCCACTTTGATATGCACGCTTCCAGCAGATGCGGGGTAAAGCTGTCGAAAGGTTCAGCAAAATCCACGGGACAAGGAGAGAGAATTACTGTGAAGTAGACAGCCATCATGTAGTTACGGGGAGGAATGGTTCCAACAAGCGGTCCAAGGTATCTAGTCATCGTGAGCTTTCATATCAGGACGACGAAATTAACACGCACCCCGCGATCAAAGCAAATATTGCAACACACTTGTCCGGGTGGTCTCGGAAGAACTCGTTCCATCGTTGGTGGAAGGCTGGACCCATGGCTTTCAGCTCCTCGGCATCAGGACGCCACTTGATTTTCGCATCGACACCGCTGAAATATGAATCAGTATGTATCAAGCAATTATAATTAGTAATTTGACTCACTTCGAAGCAATGAGTGATGTTCCATTAGCGGTCCATTGTGCGAGGGCATCTACAGTTGGCTGTTTTGAAAGGCGCCGAGAACATCATGAAGCCATGCTCACCTTTTGTAGCATTCTCCTCTCCGCGCCAGAGGGGGTCCATGGTGATTGCCTCGTCAGCAGCCAAGTATGGAACCAAAACAGCATCATGATCTGATCCCCATAAGTCAAGACCATTGATATATTGATGATATCTTACCTGTGTAATTCTCCCCAACACCCGGCAGGTCAACAAGTGGTTTGATGCCGCATCGTTTGAGCACTGCCTCGGCGCCAATACCAGACCTCTCGAGAATGGGTGGGGAACCAAATGCTCCAGCAGATACGACGACGAGCTTTGAAGCTTTCACAGTACTCGATGACTGATCTGCACCTGGGCAAGACACAGGGTCATTGGTAAACTCGACACCTACAGCACGTTTGTCCCTGTGGTTCGGAGAAGGTGTCAAGAGTTGGTGACAAATGCGAGGGCACAAAGCACTCACTCGAAAATGATGCGCGTCACGCGCTTGCCAACCCATATTTGTAAGTTCGGATTCTGAGCTTGGTTGTAGACATAGCAGTGGGCTGCGTCGGAACGCCTTCCAGTGGTGCCATCGATGTACCTTTTCACACATGAATTCAAGCCACAATAAGCTACGAGAATAAGCTCACTTCGCCCATGGCTGTATGATACAGCTTTCATCAGTGGCTGCAGGAATCAAAGTAAAATTAGAAAACTCACACTGTATGTATTGCATGTTTGTAAATCATTGGTGTCTTCGGAATATGGCCTCTTGTGATAGGTCATACCGACACGAATAAACTCTTCACTGATGGCTAGTTTATGCCCACCAGGGGACACCTTTACAGGTCCTGTGTACCCATGAGTTGGACAACCAGGCTGCACCTGGTATGTTTCAAACTACGACATATGCGAGTCAGCATGACAAAGATATAATCAGCTCGAGAAAAAGATGACCTTCTTCATGAGAGGGATCAAATTCTTCGATTCCCAACCTTCGACTGCCCAATCATCATAATCTGAGGCAGGTGCACGAGTGTATGCACCAACTGGTATCATCTGTATATCAGCACCTTGTTCATTTCGGCAAAAGTTGTACAAACAATTGATAGTTGATCCTCCACCTACTGAACGACCAGATTGAACAACCATAGCACGTCCATTGAGATGTGGAGAGGGATTTCCGAGGTTGAATGTGAGTGTTGTGGTTGTTGGGGCCATATGGAATGGATACTGGTAAAGTTGAACATGAGCAGGTTTGTCCAGGGTGTGTTCACCAGCTTCGAGAATCAGAATCTTTAGCGAGGAATCACATGCAGCTAGGCGGCCTGCAACGACACAAGCTGTGGCACCACCTGCACAAAACACGAAATTAAGATGGGTCCACAACAAAGATGTTAATATTGACCTCCAGCAAAGATAATATCGAATTCTGTTGGGGATAGAGGAGACATTTGAGCTTTGCAGATTGCTCGTCAGTGCCTGCATCTTATATGCACTTGCTCATCAGATGATGGCTGCCCAATAATGAATTATGTGGTGTTTCAAGTTCGAAGTCATTCGGTGTTTGCCCTACATTTGTTTGGACAAAGTTTGTCACCATCGTCGGCTCTGAGGACCGCGCGATGATGAATCTGCCTCATGACATCTCGTTGTATCAGAAGTGCTAGTCTCCATGTGTAATATGGTTTGATGGGCACCAGGCCCGGGAGAATACCTTCAGTTACGTCTATTCATGATGGACTTCCATTTCGTGATTAACTTTTGTGGTACATCACACAGCTCGAAACAAACAGGTGTGTTTCATGTCCTAAATTGTCCACTTATTAGTAGGTCCGCAGTACTACCTGAGCGCTCCTGAACATTTACTCCAAGCAAGCTTACGTTTTTTGAAATAGAAACCCCACCATCCCACGTTGTCACAGTATCTGCACTGCATCGAAAACAGGCTATCCATGCTAGTCATGTGCACCAAACAACACCTGGTCAACGTTACCTCGGAGCAGTATAACTTTAGTCTGTTTTTATATGTAATGATACATAAGAGCATATCCATGCTTTTCGAGTCACACACTCCCCTTGCATCTCCCAGTCTTCTCTACCATGACATCAGGTATACCATTGGATGCAGGAGCTCTAATGTCGACGGTGCTGGAAGGCATTTTGTATGGTGAGCATTGCAATTCAGATCTTGTCTAAGCTAATATTGGTTTTACACAGGCTTTTCGATACTCTTGTTCATTGGTACCATTTGGTCTTTGACCTACAAACGTCACAAGCAAGATATTAATCTCCCAATTCTCATCGTGGCAGTTTTGCTGCTAATACTGAGTACTGTTGTTAGTAGCCTCTCGCATCTTACATTTGATGTTGTTGATTGACCTTCTCCGAAGCACATGGTTGTGAATATTGTTCGAGCCGAAGATGGACTAGTGACAAATCGCTATGAGTACCCAAACGGACCATCAGAATATTTTGCAGATGTTTCACAGAAGACCTATGTAATAAAACATTCGTTCTATGTGCTGCAAACTCTCCTTGCTGATGGTGTGGTGGTGAGCTCGTAATTTGATTCCTTGCTTAAAACCCTGCTTACAGAAGTGCTTCTGCTCGTAAAAAGATTTATCGTTGCTATGTTGTTTGGCAATCTGTTTGGATTGTCGTCCTACCAATCATTCTGTGGTGCAGTGTTGCAGGTTCGTTACAATCATACTTGCTGGCTCATCATATGTTCTGACATTGCCTCAAAGCAACTGGTGTCATTGCAGTTTACAGTGTCTCGCAAGCCAGTAGTGGTGATGGGATCTTCGTCGAAGCACTTGCACAATGGGTCACAGCATTTTTTGCCTCGACAATTGCAACTAATCTGCTGAGCTCAGGTAAGTAATCTCTGTACGAACGTGACATCGAGCCATGAATATATGTCCAGGATTGTTGGCATATCGCATCTGGATCATCCAACGTGGTGTCTCGGGGATTCACAAGACATCGAGGAACACTGTGATGCCGGTAGTGCGTGTGCTCGTGGATGCCGCCATTCTGTACTCTGCAACGCTATTGACTGCATTAATACTGTTTGTCTCCGGAAACAATGGGCAGGATGCCGTCGTAGACATGGTAAGTCGGCCATTAACACTCTTTTATTGAAATCCATTGAACTCGAGCGACTAGGCCATGCCGATCATGTCGATTGCCTTCTACATGGTGCTTATTCGAATTGCACTCAACAAAAACGAGCACAGTTATATCTCGACTCGGACGAGTAGCAGTATTCCTAGACGAGCGGCAACCAGCGAGGCAGAACAAGAACGCGCACAACAATATGCCATGAAGCCTTTACAGGTCCATGTATCCACATTCACACATCAGGAGCGACCACCATCAAGCAAGGATTCTATGAAAGGAACAGCTTCACCTTACGACGTGCAATCGATCGGCCTGACAACTTTAATCATTTAGAAAACTTGCAAGAATATGATGCCTGATCCGTTCAACTACGACACACATAAAACACTCACGCAGACGGTGAACACACACGGTCGCATACCTTTGCAGAGACATACCAAGAGGCTTTTCGTACTGGTGAAACCTCCCGTTTTTGGCAACACTTGAGCAGTGACGAGGCTGATAGCGAGCTCAAATCACCCTCTCTTTCTTTCTCGGACATGGATTTATGATAACGGGTTATATATTGTACAATCCCCGTACGTATTATACATATCCCTAATAAAGTTAGCATTTCAAAGTCGCATCCGCGACAGTTGATTCCTATTGGATTGCTGATAACTGATTTTATCCGGTGGCCTCCCTGCGAACATGTCACGATAAGTGTCTAGAGTAACTAGACCCTGTTCGATACGATGTCTACGACTATACGCTTGGGAGACTTGAGCATGTGAAGAAATATGTAAAAGGCGAGAGACTAACCACGGTACTCAGTATCAACAGCAGAATTGCCACCTTGATGTCCTTCGTGTGATGTTGTAGACCAATGCACCCCAAAATGTAAGTACCGAAAAGTCTGAATAACCCTAGCTCGATAAACATGAGACGGACGGATGCAAATGCGATACTGATCCATATAGAATTCCTGAACGTTCTGGACTTGAACGCATACATAAATCATAACGAACTGATTGACATCATCACGGTATCGGCGCTTCAGGAGAGCCGCAGAAGATCTTGCGATATCCTTTCATGCCACAGCGCTTGATCAAGTTCTTTTTGTCATTAGAGCAGTGTGATGCTATGATGATGATTATCGGCAGCTGCAGCGCTGAACCGGCATTTGCTAATGTACATACGGTGAAAGTGTCATTTTGCATGAGACATGACTGTTATCGGCGTCCGCGGCTCTCCGGCGAAATCACTGATGATTGGGGCATTGAACCATTTGAGGAGAGGATGCGCCACAGAGACTGCGCCCATCGCATCGTAGCAAATGTAGGTGATGGCCTCTGACCCTAGCCTTAGTAGGCTCTAAAATATGACGCATTGATGCTGATCCGATCAATCTTTATCAGGGCGACACTCGACCGCTGGCTGGTACAGTGCTTTTTGCAGACAAGTGAAATAGAAATACATCGTGGAATGGATCCGTCGTTCGCGCGAAGTTGATAGATTTAGTAGCGCCAAGGTCAAACCGAGACAGATCTGAACGAGGAGCTTCAAAGTTAGGATAAGGCTGAAATCTCCGCAACCTAAAATTAGAACTTACCTACTGCCTATGCTTGTGTGCAGATTCTCACTATCTCCGAAACACAGTAATTTCCCCTAGATAGCTCCCTATGGACGATAGAAGATAGTCGTTCCTCGTCTGTTTGACCTCCGTACGCCGCACTTCCGCCTGTATTCAATATAGTCGCCGACCTCGTGGTTATAGATGCACATCAGCGCCCAGAATCGCACTGTGTGGGCAAAGAATAAATCGTTTCAGCAGAGCGGTGATCATGAAATCGATGAGGGTGTGGAAATTGACCCCGTCAAACGTCGGGCTCGATGTTTTTCAAACTCCGACAAATATTTGGATCGAGACGCGCGCCCTACTTCACAAATTCCGAGTCTCTCATTCAACCGCGTCCTTTTCACAGGCACTGTCTAATTCCATGCGCCCACAAGTGCAGTCATCATGATTACACGCCCTCAGTACGCTCCGAGTCTGATGAGGCTCTTGAGTAACCATGTGAGTCAAGCTCTAAGTTCGTTTCAGTCGCCGCAGCCTACCGTCGGTCGTCGATCCCTGTTGCTATTTAGGATCTGGTAATATATTTGCACTCTCGTTGCATCAAACCCATCCCCGACCAGCCCTATCTATCCACCATAGGATACGCATTCGCGGCTCGCACATCATCTCCTTGCGTGCGCGCATGCTGCATGTGTAAACCCTGCACGGGAATCCAACATTAAACACCCGCGGCTAAACACGACCGGAACAACAGTCAGGCCTAGGTTCGAACTGCGACAGCATCAAAATCTGAATCTCTTAGCAGCAACAACTACTACTTCCCGGTCGCTTTTCATATCACTTTCTGATTGTCTAGCACTTTATCGATCTTGTTCTATTTTTAATTATTGTCCGTTGATGCGGAGCCCTGCAAAATGATTGGGTGGATGGATCTATCATTTGGAACATGCGGTAGCACGGCATGGTTGGTGCTGCTTCGTTTTTGACGGGCCGTGAAATTGTTACTTGGTCACCGATTTGCTAGTTTTATGGGGATGTTCGTTCTTGTTCGGAGCGACTTGGGCAGCATGTTACCTGCTGATACCTCGCCTCTTGCTGCCCTCTTTGCCTGTACATCTGCCGCTTCATTTCCTGCTATCCCCTTGTGACCTGGCGTCCATCTGATGATTAGTTGCCTCCCGTCCTTGACAGATAGCAGCTCCCTGAGGGCGTTATGGAGTATAACATTAACGACCGGGAGGTAGTGACCGGGTTGGGAGTGGAGGGCTCCTGTGCTCCTGATTGCCGTCTGGCTGTCTACCCCCAACGCCATGGTGCCCCGTCCACCTGCCTCCTTCAGCAGCTGGACCGCTAAGACCATTCCTACTATTTCTGCCTCTAATGACGTGTGCTCTTCATGTCTTCCCAAGTAGAATCTTTTGTCTTTAATCATCGTCTCTCCCCTCATCAAAACTGCCGCCCCGCCCACTCCTCCGCCCACTACTGATCCATCCGAATAGACACGTAGTGTCTCACTTGCAGCTTCCTCTTCCCTGATCGCATCCGTCTTTTTCAGCGCTATGCTGATAGGTGTGCGGGATCCATTTGGGGTAGTGGCGGACTCGATTATTTCTGGGCTGAATTTGAACTCATTCATTGGCTTACATAGAACGGAGAGGTGACGCTTGCAACCTCGGAAGGCCCTCTTCTCGCAGAATCTGCATACCATCATCAAGTCGTTGACTAGCGGATGTGCAGTTGGGAGTGTTGTCATTATGAGCGTGACTGATTTTGCGTACTGATTGCTCGATGGGCTGAATGAGAGAATATTAGACATCACCCTATATGTAATGTCACATTATTACAAGACCAGTGACCGAGAAACATGTGAAAATAAGAAAAATGCTTGGCCCGCGATCGAAAATGAGAGTGAGTGCGATATAATAAGTTGAACGACGCTCGTAAAGAATGAAGCTTGGAAGTCTCGAGTCGACCATCGTGTCGCACCTAACAAACCAGGTCACAATAAATCTGCAGTGGTGAGTTGTGTGACCAAACAAATAGCGCTGCAAAGTATCATAAACAGTCTAAATACTCGTTTATCTTTCTTTCACTTCTTGTTACCAATGAAGACCATCGCGTCGCACCTAACAAACCACAGATCTGCAGTGGTGAGTTGTGTGACCAAACAAATAGCGCTGCAAACAGTCTAAATCTACCTTTCCCAACTCGTTTATCATTCTTTTACTTCTGTTACCAGTGAAATCTCTCTTGCAGGTTTATGCCGCTATTATAATATTTGGGACAACAGACAAATGTGAGTACAGAGTACTGAGGCCTACGACCGATTGAACATCGTATGGCTGCAGGAGTCGCTTGGTTTGGTATACTTCCCTCTGCACTATGACTTGAATACGTCGACATGATTCTTCCAACTACGAACGAGGGATTAAGCGTCCGGAATTTTCGCTTTGAGCGCCTGGGAGAAGAACTCAAGTGCAGGCGCCGAGTAAGGAGGATACCTTCCCTGCATGAAGCCCTCCGTCCTTCAAGATACGTGCGGCGTTAGTCAGGCAAGTTTGACATGGACAATCTCGCACCCACTTTGCGTCTGCAGGGACATTGATATAGCCCCTTTGATGGGTGAAGGTGTCGAAGGTGTACTTCCCAAGGTATGATCCATCTGCAATAAATGAATGCTGAGCACTTCCCTCGACGTCACACGGAAAGCAGCATACAGCCAGATTGCCCTTGACCACCGAAAGGAATTTCATAGACAGCAACCTGAGCGAAAGTTTCATTGAAAATTAGCTGCCCGCTCTGTGTGCGCTGCACGACTTTGAAACAGAGTTGATCAACATGCATCGCATACGTGGAAGGTGATCCTTACATTTGTTTTTCGTCTCCTCATTTTCCGTGAAGACGTAAATGACAAGGGGAGTGGACCTATAGGAGATGAATGTTTTTCCTGATAGGCAGTCCTGAAAAGACTCACCCAGATTGTATGTGTGAGATGGCGGCGTCAACATTTTCAACTGGGATGATTGGCAAGATAGGTCCGAATATTTCTCTACAATCACGGTCTGAACAGTCAGCTAGATGGTGCTCGGAAGGGCACGAGCTCGACTGACTCTTCCATTAATGGATCATCCAATTTTACGCCAGTAACAATTGCTGGCTCAATGCGAAGATCCTGCCCAGCTTGTCCCCCAATCACGACCTTTCCTTTAGTTCGGGACAGGAGACTCTTGTTGCGTTTGTAGTGCCGAGCATTCAGCACGCAAGCCATCTCAGAAGAGGAGTCAAGCGGACCCTTTGGCCAGAACGAATCATACGCTTTCCTGAACGCCTCCACAAGTGCACTTTGGTGTTGTTCCTGCACAAAAACATGATTCGGTGCGACACAAACCTGCCATGACAGTACAGTTATTCTGCTAATATTTGAGGTGACAGGGCAGACTTTAACTGTCCTGCGTTTTGTTGCTTTCCCCATAGAATCCTCTTCGCGGCGATCTCGATGTTTGTGCTGTCCCCATCGACGAAGACGGGCGATTGTCCACCAAGCTCTAGAGTCACCGGCGTGAGTTGTTTTGCTGCCGCCTCTGCGATGATCCGTCCCACACTCGTACTGCCCGTATAGAAAATGTGGTCCCATTTCAGACCAAGAACATGGGTGGTCTCTTCGACGGCTCCGAGGCAGACAGCGTAGGCATCTGGGTCAAGGTATTGCGGGATTAGTTTCTCCATAAGGGCTGCAGAGGCCTGGGCATGCTCTGAAGGTTTTATCAAACACGTGCAACCTGCAGCAATCGCGCCAATGAGCGGCAAAATCGTGAGCACCCATGGAAAGTTCCAGGGACTAAGAGTGGATTGTTAATATCCCGCCAAGACAGCCTGGATAGATGGTAGCGACTTGCCTGATGCTAAGCACTGTTCCCTTGGGCGCCTTAAAGATGGTTGTGTCCCACCCACTGCGCCAAGCCTCTACTTGCGGTTTCTCGGGAGAATTCCATTTATCAAGATTCTCGACAGCATGAAGGGCACTTGAAACCATTGGACCTAGTTCAGGGAGGGTGGCCTCAAAAGGGTGCCTCCCGAGATCAGCTTTCAGGGAGGCCATGATAGCATCGGAATTTCTTGGACAAGGCGGGCAACCTGGAGAAGTTGCTTGCGGCGGTATTCCAACGGAAGAGTGCGGCCCTCACGGAAGGTCTTCGACAACCTGCTGTGAATCTATAGAGTATCAATATTTACCATGAGCACCATGATGAATGGAAAACCTCTGTGATATGTTGCTTCGGGGTATACTTCAAGGAGGCCATGTTTACTCGAGTTGGAGGAATAGTGGTTCTGAGGACCTGGCGAAAAACTGAATGTCATGTACAGAACTGTTAACACATTTAAGCACTCGAGGCGAACTACCATTATCAATGAAACAAGGGGTTCCGTGTTTGAGCTTAATTCTTGATCCCCGTTGCTGAGCGCTGAATCATTACTTGTTCCTCTTCACCCACTCAAACCTAGCGCCCAAACCTAATCTGGACATTGATGGAAATCACTGGCAAGAGGTGCCGCAATCAGTAACAGGATATCGTCAAGTAGTACTCCGAATCATGAGGCTACATCGTTCAGAGGTCACGGTTGTGTCGGATGTGTGCGATTACATCACTGATCGGAACACGCCCAAATTCAGCCCGGGTACGTCACGGTGTGATTCTAAACGTCTCTAAACAGTCGACAACATTTCTGTATGTTACGAGTGCCTGTATAAGTGTATCTGCTGTTTAACGAAGTCACTGGATCGTTATGGATGAGTGGTAGATATTTTCCGGCCGTTGCTGGACTTTCATCGCGAACCCTGTCATTGAATGATCATATTCAACACCATCACCATCCCCAAGACTCGAGCTAAACTCGAACAGACCAACAGTGAAAAATCGGAGAGATCGTTCTACCATTAATGCCCTGCCATTGTGCGGTGCGATGCAAGGGATGAAAGAGTACACGCTCGAGAATTCCCCAGGGCCTCCCTCCAAGACTGACGTGTATTACGGGTGACTATGGCACAAGAGGTCGAAATATAAAAACCAATCTTCATCACAACACAGGCGTCCTCGGTGTTCCATCGTGCCGCAAAGGCGACCGCGACCTCTCAGGAGACGCAAATGGCGGTGAAACAGGTGTGGTGAAAAACACCGGTCGTGGTTGCGTCTCTAGGCCACTCCCAGGAGCTGGAATCCCAGAAGGATAGACAAATAACGGTTGGGCCACATACGCTGGGTATAATGGCCCGGAGTATTGTGGGTTGCTAGTACTATCTGACGATGGAGCACCATCTGAAGAAGGCGATCTGGACCGCCCACCAGATAACTGTCTAGAGAACATGAGGTTTGCGGTACTTGGGCTCATGACATACGGTCTTGGAGCTGGAGCAGGCGAGTTCTGAACATGATGTGGAATACGGCCTGAAGATAAAGGAGTCGATGGGCCTGAAAGCAAGTCCAAGGTTCCCTTGTTTCGCGGGGTATACCAACTCTTTGACGCTTTGGAGTACCGCTGACGGCTGTTCCTCCTCCGATTACCCTGCCCAGGAACATATTCACTTGAGATACGAGCCGGAGAAACCCATGGAAGGCCGCCAAGATCTCGCACGAATCGCCGAATACGCGCCATTTGGGAGGCAATGGATTCCTCTGGTGGGGGGCGGATGGGAGACTCCATCTTTGCAAAATCCTCTGCAGGCCGAGGCTCCACAAGGACGGGAGTCGCAGTGGCTTGGGTCGAAAGATGAATGGTATGAGGAATGGAAATCGCTTCGACGGAGCGGTTGAAGGGATGTGCAGAAATTGCGTCGGTAGAGTGGTGGAATGGGTGGGAAGTATCGCGATGGAAATGAGCAGGAAATATATCATCATGACTGTGCGAGCGACTAGGTTCGTATAGCTCGTTCACAGCCGACAGTGTCCGGTCACGCCTTGTATCCGCAATGGATGTGCGTGTATCAGTATCAAGCAAAATGTTTGGTCTTGTGGGAGATAACATGTCGGACGGAGGGGTGTCAACCCTCTCGACCTGGGGCACATTATTTGCTAGCACTTGTCGGTGTACGAGCGAGATCCCTGGAGCTTGAGGATTCTGATGGTACGAGGATGTGCCCCCCTGCTTCGCTGGCTTAGCATAGTCCTTTGAATTCAAACGTCCTCTCGACATGACTCTCGGTATACTTTTCAACCCATTCATGATTCCGCCGTAAAACGTCTTCTTCCCCTGAGGCTTCCTTTCATGTCCTTCTGAAGACCCATATCCATTCTCCTCATCGGCACCTGCGACTTCGATGCCAACAGTCATATACTCGTACTCAGAGTCTGATAGAGTGGCCTGCGCCGTATGAAGCGCTGGACGCATAATAGGAGTGGAATGTTGCCATTGAGGGGTTTGAGGGGTTTGGGTTGCAGGGTACTGGGACGGCTGAGAGGCCGAAATCCAAGTAACATCTCGCACACGCGATGCATGGCTTGCCCTGGAATATCTGTCCCTGGGCATTGGATCCCCAAGGAAATCCCGAGTAGTACTGGGGGAACGTGAGAAACTTGTGTCAATACGAATGTCTCCCAGTCGAGGTTGCCCATAGTCGAGTTCAGACATTGCAATAGACAGCCGGGGTGAATGGCGCAACTAGCGGAAGTGGAATATGAAGAGGCGCATAGAAGGCGACATGAGTCCTTATATAAGTGTGGTCGGCGTAGAACTGTACTAGGAGTGAACGTCACGTTGTGACACGAGGCTCCTGCGAGATCTGAGATTAAACAGACCGTGCCACTCAGAGCACTGAAATGCATGCTCAGTCTTGCCTTCCATCACAGCCCGAGCACGCATTTCTCGCATGGTATTAGACTGATGGCAAGAGGAATGACTGTGACAAAAGTAGTCAGAAGACAACAAAAATTCACTTTTTAGCATTTGGATTGCAGTCGTGCAGACTGCAGCTTACGGTATTCGACAGGGGCTTTTCTTGCACCATGCTGACACCACTGGGGCCGGTGGAAAGTGACGATTAACAAGGCAATGATATGACCGGCGGGGGCAATGCATTGAGGTGCGTGCCAGTGCCTCTCCCCACGAATCAGTTTGACGATAGCATAGCCGATAGCGGTGCAGGACAGCCGTAATAATCAGAGTCTTCCGTCCATTAAATACGGGATGGAGAAAATGCATGCCGCGAATAGCTGTGGGCGTGACCGACCCGGAGCCTGAGGACAAAGCCTGCACAAGTCCCGTGAACTTGCGGCTTCAGCACCAAAATTGCCAAGCAGGAGCTGGCGGTTCTCTGACCTCGTGTATCCCCAGTGCACTAGGTGGAACCTTAGCACAAGTTTATGAGTAAGTGCCAGTGCGATGCGTTTGAAGCGCTTCAACTCTTGTTGCTTGCTGTCAGACGGTCAACGGCAGGGAATGTGATCACGTGCACACCTGACGGAGCTTGAACGCTCAGCAACTTATGAGAAGAAGGCCCGCGGCCGACTCTAGAACTCGAGACGTCTGTTTCTAGAGACCATCCCAAATTCTGACACTCTCGAAGATAAAATGACAGACTCGTGCATTCTCATCTTCTGAACACCGGTCAGGCAAGAGTGCATGGTTGATGGCAGACTCTACCGTGATCCGTCACTCATCTTGTAACCATAAATCCCGGGCCAGCTCCCGGAATGCAATACAAAATGGAGTACTACTTGCTGTAGTGCGCCTCCTAACGAAAGCTCCTACTACCCAAAGACAGCCTGAAAGCTTCCTGGCTTTGTTGCAGACTAACGACGTGGCCGAGCAACTCAAGGTCGGCCAACTGGCAGTCGATGGCGACAGGCTGGTTACTGACGGTCGAGGAAAACATGGTTCTAGCAGATCTGGGTGAACTAGACGTCAAGCAGTCATCAGGCGAAAAATTGCGTCAAAAGTTGTTTCTGGTATCTTACAGTACTTCTTTCAGATTTATTCTTGTGCCTTTGGCGCGCTCCTTTTCACCGTGCGTTCGTGCTTTATTCTGTCTCGGAATCCCCTTCGCCTCACGCTTTGTCAGTGTCATTGACACGCCGCTTGGACTGTCATACTTATCATATTTTGACATGCTTGTAATCTAGTCGTCTGGTTCCAATGCAGTGACTTGGCATTACTTGCCTGCTGGTACTCAGCGTAGGGCTTCATAAGTGAGTCGTGGTTGAATAAAAATAGTAAACATGTGTAATCAAAGCATTTAAGCAGGGCTGCTAGTGCCCGGTTGCTTCACGCCCGGGCTAGTTGTGATCTCCACCGGATTTTCACACCTAGTACTCCATGGAGCTCACTATATTTATTTTCATCTAGATGCACCCTGTGGCCAAGTTAAGAACACCATTGTTTCATGACTCTTATCCGAGCATTTACTGATTGAACTAAGAGCACGCGTGCATAACTATGATGGAGCACATACACCCGATATGTCCGATTGTGTGTATACCAATCTGGGGAAGGCCCCCTATATGTATAGGCACATTTGACCCCTCAAGGACGATCAACCTGAAGAAACAACTCCGAGCTAAGTTCTAGTGTCTCTATTTTAGCCCCTAACATACCTCGGCTTGTCTAGGTCTCGAACAGCCTTGACTAGTTGCGAAGTTGGCGGAACTCTGACCCGCTAGACGCGGCAGCCGTGCTCTCGCCGGAAACCCCATCGTTGATTCCAATACATTTCGAAACCAAGTATTATGACGAGTTACTACATATTTTCGTGCAGGTCCTATTATTCCCACTAATAATACTTGGTCTTATCTCCTAAGAATTCTGATTCTGCTAGTACAGATACGAACACGGAGTCCCGGTGGACTACTTTGAGGTTTAACTCGTACTGAGTACTGAGTAATCAGTACTAGTAGATGTGAGTGTGTTTACAAAGCGAATGTTTTGGTTGTATAATTGCTTTGCCTCTACTCTGATTCTCGTGTATCATGGATCTAAAACCGAGATTGATATCAGGTCCCCACTCAGTTCTCGAGCCTTTAATTAACTTTGCTAGTGATATACTCCCCTCCGGTCGGCATGTAAGAAAGTGCCGAATGTGATAGACCAACGAATAAAAACACACGCGGCTGCACACAGCAATCCCGGACAATCGGCGGACATACTAATGACCTTGACATATTTGCATAATTCTCCGCGCATCAATATCATGCCCAACATTGCACAATGGTTGCTTTGATCTGGAAGTCATTCAAAGGGGATTACTTTGCCCTGCAGGGCTGTGTATCTAATAATTTAGAGTTTGCAACTTCAACTTTGCACGCTTATGTAATAATACGTACACAGTTAAACTGAGCGCCACCTCGGCGATCGTCGTTCGAAGTTTCTTAACTTGATTTGTACAAGTAGCTGTCCATTACATTGTACAGGAAGTCAGCATCTGCATTAAATGCCATCCTCTCATGCAGTACCGTAATAATGTCGACCGGCATCAGTACGTACACTCATCAATTCTGATCGGATGATTATTGACAGAACACCCGCGCGCGGTGGCCAAGTTACTCTATGTAGTTGACTATCTCAATCTCAGTCGAGACGATCTAGCGGCTTCCTCGGATGCAAGAATATTACAATGTTGCATTATTCAAGACACGTACTAGTTTCCTAAGGGAATCCTTATATAAAGGTATGGCAACTTTCCCTTTCCTACAATCCCCTTCACAATAATGGCCATTCGAACACTTGTAAGTGGCTGATATTGATTCTTCTGCTACAGTGAATTTGGCTGAGATACTAGCTAGCCAACTTCAACTCAAATACTCGTTGTCGGCGGCGGACCCGCCGGAAGCTACGCTGCTGCTGCTTTAGCTCGAGAAGGCTTTGAAGTCGCTCTTCTCGAAGCTGCTAAGTTCCCTCGGTCAGCACATATGATACATGTCATCGGTATACGGTGTCACTAATACATAGTTGTACCAGTTATCATATTGGCGAGAGCTTGCTCCCGTCGATCCGCTCCTTCTTGACATTTATTGATGCGGAAGAAACCATCAAGAATTACGGATTCGCAGTGAAGGTTTGGATAGTCTTCAATGCGTCCGGGTACATTATTTTGAGACGTTCACCCTCTTATAGCCTGGTGCTGCAGTCAAACTGAACCAGTTCAAGCGAGAAGGATGTGAGCCGCAGTCACTCTCGTACATCATACATCGTCATACTGATATCGATCGTCCATTCCAGATACAGATTTCATTGCGCTGAACCCAGACAATGGATCTTGGAACGTGGTATGTAATATATTGAAAATATGCTTACCGTCTCATCGTTTTGCAGATTCGGTCGGAGTTTGACGATTTGCTATTTCAGCATGCTTCGAAGAGTGGCGCAAATGTGTTCGACAACATAAGAGTCACTGAATTTCAGTTCGAAGGCGAAAGACCTGTTTCAGCCAATTGGAAGGATGCCAGCACAGGAATCGAGGGCCGTATCTCTTTCAGCTACCTAGTCGATGCGTCTGGAAAGAACGGGATCATGTCCACAAAGTATCTCAAGAACAGACGCTATAACCAGGCTCTCAACAATGTCGCATGTTGGGGATACTGGGATGGAGCCGGAACCTACATGCCGGGTACCACTCGCCAGAATGCTATCTTTGTTGAAGCACTTGAAGGTATGAAAACAACTCAAAGGGTTTCAGTAAGCTCACTGTCTGCAGACGAGTCTGGATGGGCTTGGTTCATTCCCCTTCACGATGGATCCACATCTGTGGGAATTGTGATGGATCAAGAGTCAAGCAATCGTAAGAAGAAGGCTTCCCGTGCGGCCTCAGGAGGATCTGGCTCAAATCTTCTGGCTCATTACAAGCAAGAGCTTTTAAGCAATGCTCCTGGAGTCCTTAAGTTGATGGGAAACGCCACCCTTCGAAACGATGGTACACCGATGGCTGTGAAATCTGCAAGCGATTTTAGCTACTCGGCCCCCTCTTATGCTGGAGATCATTACCGACTGGCGGGGGATGCTGGAGGTAATTTTCTTGACATGTTGTAGCACTCGTGACTGACAATTAATAAGCGTTCATCGATCCATTCTTCTCCTCTGGCGTCCATTTGGCTTTGACAGGAGGACTTTCGGCTGCTCTCACGATCTCTGCGTCGATCCGAGGACTCTGCAGCGAAGACGATGCCCAGCGTTGGCACACCTCAAAAATCGCCACCTCTTACACGAGGCATGTGAATTCAATCACTGGAGTGATACTAGCTAAGATGTATGCCACAGGTTCCTTCTTGTCGTCCTGGGCACCTACAAACAGATCAGAAATCAATCTATGCCGGTGATGAGTGATGTGGATGAGGACAATTTTGACAGAGCCTTTGATCTCATCAGGCCGGGTGAGGGTTGATGTCTTTTCTATTACTACAAATTCTGATACTCGAGTGCAGTGATACAAGGAACAGCAGATGTTGGTAAGGCCTTAACAGAAGACGAACTCCAGGTGCGTACTATGTTCTGCGACTATCTTCCGTGCTATCCTCATTCCGATCAACAGAAAACTATGGACTTTTGTGGTCATCTATTCGCACCAACCGATCCCGAGATGCATTCTGCAGTCAAAGCTAGGTGAGGGTCTATCGTTTGCTCAACTAAATTATCTCATACTAAACTTTGAATAGATTGGATCCTTCTCTAACATCCCCAGACGCCCCCGTCATGACAGAGAGCGACATCGATCGCGTGCTTGGAGATGCTGATGAGGAAGCCAAGATCGTTTTAAGCGAGATCAACGCGCGAAAGCCCATTCATACAATGTACAACCCCACAGAGAACTTCGGTGTGGAGGAACACTTTGGTTTCAAAGCTGTCTTACAGCGAGGTAAATTGGGTTTGGTGACTAGCCAGACGGAGTTGTGATAGACATGACTTACTTGCTGACTCGACCACGATGACTGTAGAATTTATCTATGTAAACAATGTGTATTAGCTGATAGTAGAACTTGTACTATACTAGAACTTGTAGAACTTCGTATTCTAGGCTCTAAGGGCAACAAAAGTTGCTGTATGAAATTCAACTTCATCCCGAGCCCACTTAAAAAATTGTATATGCCGGCTGCGACCCTGACTGAGATGACATCCCTTAAAACTATTAGGGTACAATCAACTCAAGATAAGATCCATCGATGCATCAGACTCTATCATGAGATTGGCAAGGATATGAATGAAATTCGCACAGGCTGGGTTATTATTGTCTTCCACGCTCCGCTGCCATGTGGTTCACTTCGGTGGGACGTCCGCGTGATCCATAATATCTAAATCTCGTAGTAACCGAACAACACGGATCGTGCATGACAGCATTGGATTCATGATTGCCAATTGTTCCGAACACGCAGAGACGCGCAGAAACAGGCACCGCGCAGACCGACATACAAGGATCTGTATCAGGGCCTAGGAGAGCTGTCAGCTCTAAAGGTACTTAGATTAATTTACATTTTATATAGCGTTGTACATCAATATATGTAAACATGAGGACATCTCAACACTCGTCTGTATGAAGAACGCGACACTCCATGATAGACACGTAAGCCCTAAGCTTGTACAACCCTGTGATGACAAGGCCAGCCCGTGAAATTATAGTTCGCCACTGATTCTAAAAGAATGGTGAGCAAAGTTCATGGCAAGACGGGGCAGGCGTACCAATGTCCTTTCGTGGCAATTCAAAATGCACAGAAGATGCAAGGCGAGTGCTTGTGGCATGCGAGATGAGGAATTGAGAATGGTTTGTTCGGTTATGAGGGAGGTAGAAGCTGTGTTATTCATTGTGTTTGCTGGGCTATGTTCAAGCTCGACATGAGTGTTGGGATAGTGCCCAGAAATTCTCTCGATGATCAGGATCTTGGACTGGAAAGATATTCAACGTGTTCTCGGAACTACAAAGTGATGGCAAGGACGAACCTTTGATCCTGCAGCAGTAGCAAGTCTCTCTAGGATGTTCACCTGGAAACGTTTACTAAGATTTGATGTCGATGATAAAGAAGACTTACAGCTTGAGTCTCGGGCCAGTTGTGCCTATGAAAGAACGTCGGTGGATAACAAAGGATCACGAAGGTGTAGCGCACAGAACATGTCGTAACATGAAGGTATAATTATCCCCAGTGCGTGGTTGAGCAGAGAACAAGTCGTGGGCTTCAGCAACTACTGTGCCATGGACTGAGTTGGGATCTAAACGGGCCTTGATGTTAGCTTCAGCAGGCCCGACCATCTCTCCCCTCTCCTGGATAACAAGACGGAGGGCAGGAAACCTTGATACTATATTTCAGTTGCGTTGCTTCTTAATAGTTTTGTCACTGACTTATTAGCAAGGGCGATAGCTAGGCTTCCTTTGCCTCCCCCACAATCAACAATAGTTGATTCTGAGCACGTTTGCCATGGGTAGTCTGATAATATTCCTGGGGTTACATATTCGCCGAGTGCCTGAGAATTATAAGTATAGCATTGCCAGTTACAGGCGGATGATGCAAACCTCAACAGCCGCTGCAAATCGACTAAGATAATTCCTATCATCTTTCACCCATTCGAAGAATGGCTTTGTAGTATTGTTTGCGAGTTGAAATGCGGTATGTTCTGGAGATTTAGAAAACCTGAATTCAGGATGCGCGAGCCATCGAGGAAGAGCCTCTGCGATCCTCATGTTGTTGGGAACCCTACAACAAGATTAAACGTGCGAAGCTGGTGTGCAAAAAATCCTACGTTATTAATGCACGACCCCTTTGGCCTTGTAGTAAAATGCGAGAGGAGCGATTCAAGGCAAAAATACCATCCTGAGTCTCCCGAATCCAACCACAAACTGACAGATGGCGTAATACCGTGGTGAGCCTATGGGAGTCAAGGTCCAGTTCTGCTTGGAGAGTTTTGACAGAGATGCCAGACGGCTCTTTCGCCATGCGGTCAACGATGCCATGTTCAATAAAGACTTGAACGGAAGCAAAATCATACATGGCAAAGGCGCTCTCAGCGGCTTTCTCAAAGGGATGTTGCAGAAGATTCTTGAGCTCTACCTAAATAAATAAGTTCGTACATCTCGCAGCAGGGGCATGCCGAATTTGAACTTACAGCACATGCTAGAAGGGCAGAATTAGTACATGGGTTGATCCTGTTGCATTCTAACATACCTAGCGCTGCTCGACGGGCTTCGTATACACCAGCTGGTGTGGGCTGATCCAGGCTATCCAAAGGGTGTATGTCGGTTCCATACTGAGAAGACAAAGGCGGCAACCTCGACCCGTCCATCGCAACGCGTAAACTGTTTAGCGCATTGTTTAGGGAGGTTTGTAGGTTGTCTAATTCAAGGTGGTTCATCGTGGTCAGTAGCTGCGAGTCAGCGCTCAACTGTCATTGCGAAACTGTTAGAGATATATATTGATATACACCGCCCGTTGGGCTAAAAACACTCACTGCAAAATTTTATTGGTTGAAATCTCAACCGAACCAGGATTAAAATTTCCATGATCATCATGGGCGCATCAAGCTCGTATCATGATGGCCCTTCTGAGAATTTGGGGTTGATAGAAACGCCGACTAATTGGAGTTATTTCAAGTTTAGCTGCTTACATAAATATTTACATTGACTTTTAGATCTTCAAGTGAGTCTTCGGTGGGGTGTCCCATACGGCATCGGCACCACACTACTCTGTAGCGAATAGAACATCTTTGAAACGCGACAAACCCGCCGGTGACTCTCAAAGATTTAATCGTACTAACAGTAGGCCCATCAAGTTACTGCGGGTAGTATTATCTCTAGGCCGATGATCAGAAGTTACTTCACTGTAGGTAAACGCGGCACCCTCTACAATTTATTATGTATACTCATGAGTCATCGAACCACAAAAAAACAGCTCGCGAAGTTCTGGCAAAGGCGTAGCATGAGTCACCGGCACATCATGATGCTGTGTATCGCGGGCTCTCGTGGCACATGGTCTTTCAACGATGCCTCTAACCATGATCTATCCTATACACGCGCTCTACTATGTGTTAATAAAATATACAAAATGGCCTGCTATTCAGAGTGAGACCTGAAGCCGACGCGGTCGGTTTCTGAGCTACAAAGGTGTAGAAGACAACCTTTGACTGAGCGTTGCTCTCCCATTCCCTTTCTAGATCTTCCATCAACGTTATATATTCTCCCTCTGTTCGAATCCCCATCTTCACTACTGGGGTTTGCATTCCCTTGTAGGCACCTATAAAACTCTCCCGAGCTTTAGCCTTCATACCGTCTTCGTCTTCCCCACTCCCAAGGCTAATTTCAAGACGCTGTGCCGTGATTTTGTTAAACCCAGCGCTTTTGAGGACATTTGGAATATGTTCAATGCAATTGAGTAATAGACCTCTTTTGACGAAGAGATCCCGAAGCATCGAGAAGTGTCTTTGCGTTACCTCTCCAGCTGCGCAATGACTAGCTTCAAGGAGCTGTACCCAGCCTCCCGGAGCAAGGACACGGAAGATTTCATCCACAGCCGTGTTCCACATCTCTTTGGATAACGCTGCGATAAGGAGTCGCTGGTTTACTAGCTGAAAATTGCTGGTCCAATCGTTCGGTAGCTGTAAAATGTTCCCCGGTCCCAAATGTATACGTCGCTTTTGTATATCATCGAGCTCTGGAAAAATGTCCGTCTTCAAATCGATCCCATGGAAAGTAACATCCTTATTGGCATTATAGCAGTCAAGGAGCCAGGTTGCTGTCCCAAGGGTCAGACCAAGAAATAGAATTCCTGATGAGCACAAACCTGAGCCAACTCCGCTGTCAAGTACCTTGTCTCCTGCGTGCAGCTCAATTGGAGCGAAGACAATACGGCCCCTGAATCCGTTTTGAAGGACTTCGTATTGAACTGCCAGTCTGTTATGCACAGAGTTGTCAATCTTCGTTCAAGCCGAGCTATTATCTAACCTTTTGCGCTCCTGTTCATCGGTTGGAAGTACATATAGAGATTTTGCAATTGCTTGTGTCAGGTCATCACCGTGTGGTTTAGACTGAAAAGAGTTTTCCGAAGACTAGTGCATGTAATCGTGAGCTCAAAATATTTGGAGTTGGCAAAGGAACTTACATAGGACATAATGCTAGAATGAACTTGGGGTTGGAATAATTCAAGTTGCGCCAGCTTTTAAACACTTGCATGACTATGCTTACCTTTGCAAAAATCATTGGTCAAAGTCCCGTGTATGCTAGTAACATCGTCACCAGTTTATCGTCATCTTTCGTGTGGGAGTTAATGGGCAAATAATGCACCACAGTTCAGTGTCGTCGGATCTGCGGATCAGATGTTCCAGAACTTTTGGTCTGGAGGATGCGTCATGAAACTCGGCCACAATTCCTATGTATGCCAGGGTCGATCATTAGTACATATCGTATCTGCGAATCTTGTCAGTGCATCAAGTACGCCTCCACACCTAATAATAGTGTACTGCCAAATTTTAAGTTGCTCCAAGTACGTCAAGATCTTTCTCCACCGAGGTGGTCATGAGTGTTTGAATTTCGGATGTAGATCTGTGAAATATGTATATCTTCATGCTATTCCTAATCAGCATGAGAGAGCTTTAAGGATAGGAACAATTGCTCCCACTGCATGCAAAGTTACTTGAGGAATCGCTGAGAATGCGCCTGCTTTACTCACTGCACGGGCTCGGCTGCGCCACATATAAGTTTCCAACCCGAGGCAGCCTGATCCAGCTGACCTCTGAATCTCCGCACTAGTACTGGTAGGGCAAAGATATTAAGAAGGTGTACCGGGTGTTGTTTCAAGTTGTTACGGTCTGAAATAATCTCAAAATAAACTCGCGCCGACGCGCTTTGCCTTTTTAGGATCACTCACACCAATATCCGCTGACATAATCTTACCCCGTCGCGGGCTCCATCGTGACTCGTCCGACTCCAGCGCCATTCGATACCCTGTGCTCACGGATTTATCGTATGTTTTCGCACATTTAAATTTTTTCTACAGGCAACTCAGGTTTGTATGCAGTGTAATGAACCGAATCTCGAAGCCCGACTCAGGACTAGCGCCCGCCACAGGGACCAGCGATGCTTCCTTATGTTCCAACGTACGACGGACAATGGGCATCCAATACGAAAGTTCATTTTCCAACCCTACCTTCTGTATTCGAACCATATCTTCGAATATCGATCATGTCAGGGCCCTTTCCATTGCAATAGATTGCATGAAAGTCCAGAACGACGACGGACTCTTGGCATGGCATATGAAGAGGCTTCGATTCGCGAAGCCGGACGTGAGCATGAAGATGAATCTTTTCACGTCAAAAGCCATGGTCTTAATGAAGGCTTGATCGTTCTGGCTGGCCACGGAATCCTTATCTGTGGATTTGGAAGGAGCTGCGCGCGACAAAAGTATGGTCGTCGTGTTGACGTCTATCGATGTCTTCTTGTCGGGTCAGCTCGGTTCTCACCGGTACAGCTAAGATCTGCATCGATTCTGCAACAATATTGACGAATACAGATTCTTCTATTATTTCATCTATATCTCGTTTTGCAGCGCTTGATACTGATATATGATAAGTGCGGAATATGATGCATGATGGCATTGATAGTCTGCATTATTTTGCCTACGAGAAGTTAAGAATCGAGATCGATTGTAATTTTGATGAACCCAGCCCCCACTAGTACATAGCAGTACTTGCACTGCAAATCACAAAAGTCAAACCAAACTGTGGCGGTGTGGGAAAGCGTCGCCACTAAGCGGTAAGCTCTGCCGCAAAGCTGTTCCGGCCGGCTGCTTTGCGGCAATTTGAACAGCTTTGACTAAGATCAAATTTGTCTGGCGATGAACTTGGCATGCCAAGAATGTGCATCTACTGGGGAGTAGACCGTGAAAAGTGATGCCCAGTATATTTAAGAGGGAGTAAGTTTGTTAAGATTGCAGATTCCCTGCGTCAACATTAAGCCCCAGTGGATCTTCAAGTTCAATCGTCAATCAACCAACGTCCTTCCAGCAGAACTAGTTCCCAGTTTAATGTCCCCTGAAACGGGTTTTGGATCAGGCGAGAGTGAATGCCTACCCCGTCGGAGAATCACATCGACCGTTCGTTTCCGGCCAGCTACTCTCATGCGATTTAACTGGCTGCTTTGGAGCATTCAGTCACATAGATGTCAATGCGACGTGGGTACCGTCCCGACTCATGAGCAAGATCTTGATCTGCTTTATGTTGCGGGGTGAGATTGCTTTCTCTATACAGACACTTATCAGCAGCTAGATGACGTGCTTGCCGAAGTGAGCTAAGATTTTACCGAGGGGAAAGTTGTTGTCATCTTGTCAAGGTTGGAATCTACTCCAAGGCCAGATCGTGGAAGAGATCGTAAAAGGGTGCTAAAAAGCAGGGTTCGCACCACTTTCATCAACTCTGGAAAGTCAGAACCTCAAGCTCTGTTATCTGATACGAGCTATAAATGTTGCTTTGAGATATAGACTGGTCATCACTTACAACTCAGCATCATATGACGTTACGGAGACTTGGTCGAAGGTTTTATTGCTGAAATCTTGAAACAGCATACAGGCACCAGCATGAACAAAGACAAACAACAGTCCCAAACGAAAGCCATCGAACAGGAGGAAGATTTAAGGCTCAACCACTGCCATCACATCCAGCAGTTATGTGACGGGAACAGATTTAACAGAACGCACCTTGCAGTGCTGCACGACCTCACCAACCTGCGAGCTGAATGACTTTTCATCCACCACTGAAGGAAGAGCAGGCAAATGTAGATCACATACGTGTGGTTGGACGGACAAGATACAGAGAGATGGAGTAATTACTCGGTGGTCATACTGCATCCGACGCTCGAGTCTGGAGGTGCGTTCTGTTCACTTTAAAGTTTCATGATTGGAAAGTTAACCCTTGTTCAAACAAAGTCCAGGAATATCGCAGGTAGCCTGTGTAAACCATTCACCATGATCGTAACTGCCGGCGCGGCGGTACCTGCGAGTGCCCGTACAACGTTATAACGTTAAACGTTGGGACGGTCGGTTTAGCGAATGAAGCTATTCTTCGACCCGGCTACTCGGCAATCGATTGAACCCACGAACCCACGAACCGGGACTCCCCGACACAGCGGCAACCAGTCACTGTTTATCACCGTACGCGGTATCTCCTCACATGTTATGGAAGGAGCATCAGCTAAGTCACAGTTGGATCTTTGTCATCTCACGGTTGGATCATGTTGACCAGTCGCGGTCGTCTGCTCACAAACCATCCGACTCTAAATGACTATGCGGCACTGCCACAACGTTTGCAAGCAACTAGTAGGCTTAGTCACCGAGCCCCGCACCGCCGTCAACACTACTAAGCGGAACCGGAGACTTCAAATGCGGGAGTGACGTCTTCACCGACATGTATATAACTACGGTACGCAAAGCATCCCAATGCAACCTCGGTACCACACGGACTTCCTCCGCTATCTTCAATGACTATGGCATCTGGTTCAAGCAGTACTCTACATCCACTCGGAGGCCTTCAACGCGGCAAAGCGTGCATTGCATGCAGACGTCGAAAAGTCGTCCGTAGATGCAACCTGCGTTATCTGAAACTTGCTCACTTGTCTTACTAGAGGTGCGATGGTGCCCGACCGACGTGTGGTCAATGCGTCCGTGGTAACAGGCCCGCCGACTGTGAATACACGGATGGCCAGGGCCGGTCTCGGACACACATGCTGGAACAAGAAATTGCACGTCTTCAAACTCGAATACAAGAACTCGAGCATCCCGAGCACACTACGCCTGCAGTTGCGCTACACAATCCTTACTCATTGTTCGACGTCCCACAAGGCTATTCTGTCCCATTTGGTTTACAGCCTTCTCATATTTCTGCACCAAGTCCTGGAGCGTGTAAGTATTTACAAGCCCATAACCACACTGTCTCATCGTTTTCTAGCGTCGAGTTCCAGTGCTCAAAGCACATGGGGTGATTTCAGCTCGGGCGGCTGGTGGGTTCAAGAAGAGCCTCCAATACAAATTGTACTAGAATCGTAAGCTAGCGATCCTGTATGTTTGTCCATATGGTCTACTGACTGTGATTTTGCAAACAGTTTGGACAAGATCTTGCCTTACGCGGACGAACTTGGGTTTTTCCTCCATGTCCCGCGCGTGCGCAACACGCTCGTGACTGCTTCTTCCCGTGGTATTCCGATTGCGCTGCAAAACGCCATTATTCTATTATGTCTCCACATCACGAATACAAAACAATCAGCCTTCGAGCAGACAGTGCTATCAAGATGTTTGCGTCAACTGGCTGATATCATCCCTTCCTGCAGTGCGAGCACTCGAGATTTGCTGAATGTTACTACAAACAGAAGTCCTCCTTACATACTACCTGTTCCGGGTCGGACGAACAGTCGAGGCGAAGTACCATTCAGGCGCGGCCGCCAGTCTTGTTCTGGCATTCCGACTTCATTCTTCTTCCTGAAGGAGAGCAAAATACACCTGCAGATATGCAGTCTATGGAATTCGATATATTCGGGACCACCCTTCCGAATCTAGTCGATGATATTGAGCAGACAGAAGCCATACATGCATTCTGGAACGTCTTCACTTGGGACAAGAGTGTGTCCGCCGTGCTGGGGGTTCCGCCTAGCATCGGTAGATCTATTAGGGTATCTGTCCCTTGGCCTAGAAAAATGCGGGAGGTTGACTCTTTCGATCAAGATATCCACCTCACAAGCCGTGGGCAGGAAATCGGACTTCAAGTGGACACCGTACAACAGTTCCTTGTTGATGGACAGAATGAAAAGGGAGACTTCGACTCTGCACTTGCCTTTCACGCAAAAGCAGCTGTGCTCCTTGACGAGGTGAACAATTTAGTTGAGCAACACATATCAGGTAGGTATAGTCGGCACACAATTTTCTTGATCTAACATCCTTTCATTTCAGATTCACAGGTCCAAGAAACACATTCATTCCGAGCACAATTTGCGTCACTCGACGCACTCATACAACACCTACGAGCATCCATTCCGTCTAATCCATCTTTGACAACTGAAGCGTCACCATCAGTCCTCGCGATTGAGTCTTACTCCTTCGTTACCTCATCTTGCTTATCCCCGCTCAGTTTGCATACAATCCCTTCTATCTCTCGCTACCATCCGGTTGCACAGCCCCTTCCGTGAATCCTATACCTTATCGAATCCCGAAATCGTCACCGCGGCAGTGCTCATCGCGCGTGCCCTACAGTGCGTGAACGTAAATACACTGCAGTATTTTGACCCTGTTCTCGTAAGTTGTGATTGCAGAGCTTTTAGTATTTAGTTCTTGACAGTTTTTGCTTCCCAGATAATATGGATAAAAGCTTCCTTCGTGATTCATGCGGAAATCACACGTTTACGTGCCATAAAGGCCTGGCCAACTCAATTCCCTGTACGCGGAGAAGGACTTGTGCAGGCCCTAAGGACGATGTTAGGTGTATTAAGAGACATTGCGGACCATTGTCCTGTACTCGGTACGTCTTTGTTTTCTTCTTGGAGATAAGACATGTCGTTAATGGTATGTCATCATAACAGCACTGCGGACAAGATTAGAAACTGTATTAACCCTTCTCGACTTTGGTACTCAATGATTCAATTTTCCGATACTTTGGCTACCGTGTATAAACCTTTTTTCATAAACAAGTCCTAATGTATCATTACTCATCCGGGATGCCCTTGTGTAATAGTAATACCCCTTCTTGAATACCCTGTACGGTACTTAGTGATTTTCTTATCCTTTCGCTAGAGTGTATAAACCTTTTCTCACAAACACTAGATGTCTCATCTCATTCTTGATCCCACACGGATCGTGCCATACACTATTCTGCAAGTTTTTGTCATGTACATACAACCTAATATTGTAATATTACGTGTCTGCTAGACTCATCGATAACCACAATGGTTCTAGGGGTTGACATGAACTTCCTGTGCGACCTCAAATGAAAGATATGACATACATGCTGGGGAGATCATCCCCTTTCTGAGAGCTTGTAGGTTAAGCTTTGTTCCATCCTGCGATTTGAATGTCACTATATTTTTACTGGGGATGAAAGTGTTTGCGTTGCTATTCAAACTCCGTGTTGGGGAAGCCATCGCTGGACTTGGGGAGGGAGACGACCTTGTGCTCTGCAAAGTTGGTGATGACAAGGCTTGTACGGTGAATACCGAATTCGCTTGACGATCGTCCTCGATGTGCAATGTATGCACATATGGTACAAGCTCTTTCCATGAGTCTTCATCGATGAGTACCTTTGCGGGATCAACTGTCCCATCTTCACGATAGAATGCAGCATACATGATACGCGAGTCGTCAGGGAGCTCCATGGAGGCTTTGACAAGCCCATATACAGTCTGCATGAATCGATTAGCATTGGGGAGAATAGGACTCGGGAGAAGAGTGAGTCACGAGAAACAAGACGAGACTCACCCTGAACGGCACCCGTGAGAGATGCTCCCTTCCAAACGCCTTGGTTATGGAACCCTTCATACCCGAATACTCGACCATGATAGGCGATGATCTTGGCAGTGAGGAAACGAGACGTAAGGCCTCCATGCATTGCGCAAGACCTGACGCCACATCGTTAGGCGACGATGCCAATTGGGAGAGGATCTTCAGTTGAGAGCGGCTCATTATCTGTGCTTAGAGGTCGCATCTTATCGATTGCCTGTATCCAACGTAACGCACCTAGTATTATAAAGGCTGCCTTGAAGTTGTAATAGTCTGGGAGGGAAGGAAGACAGGTGCGGCCGAGTAGAGAATCATTTTAGTCATATATTGTTGCCTTGTCACCACACGTTGCAACACGCTGCAATGCGCAATGCAGGTGTTCGGTGATGGTATTAGCTAACGTGCCAGCTGACATGGGCGTCTGTGATATCGATCAGAGAGCTCGAGGTCGATACCAGCTGATAGAAGCATAATTAACGTACCACCTGCAACGTGAGTGGAGCTCCTGCAGGCTTCAGCGTGGCTTGTGCGTAGCTTTCTGCCTAAAACAGACCAAAGAACCAAGTCCAGACTCTACTAGAAGCTTCAATGAGCGCGAGCTGGGCAGCGGCTGATTCCTGAGTTGAGTCCGAATCTGTAGTCACCTGAACCAATTTCATGGCGATGATGTAAGCACACAAAACGTCCGAGCCCTGTTGGCTTAACTTCGCCCTACCCTCGTGAAGCCTACGATATCTGCGTACCAAGGCGCCACTCAAGGGAATGCAAGGAAACGGTTCTGTGACTTGTCGATTTTCTCCTAGAATTCGTCTTACTTATTAACCTCTACTTTGGCAGAGGTTCTCACTGAACAGTGAAGTAACTCCCTCATATGTGAGACACCGTCGGTCATGTTGAGTTCTAAAACGGAAGTTGGCAGCGCTAAAAACGCACCTGATTACAACCGAATCCAGTCAGCGTCCAACTTGAAGCATCATTTGCTGTCCGACTGAGAGCGGCCGGCGTCTCTTCATCAATACTCCCACCATCCTTACTACGAACTACCGCCGCCGAGCAGCACAACAAATAATGTACAGCGTCCTGTTGTTCCCAATATCTGCACTTTATGGGGTGTTGGGGCTCTTATTTCAGATCCTTTTGACCTTCCTTTTACCTTCGATCGGTGAGCCTTCTTTTCCCTCCGTCTCCTTTCCGCAGCTTCAGTGCAATGTTTTACTGTCATGAGCGTCTCCTGGACCAAAGTCTTCAAGTTATGATGGACTGTTCTCCAGAGGCAGTTATAGGTTTTCATGGCCTGGCTTGCTGGCTTTCCACGCAGTTTCACTTTCTCATCTTGTCGGTGATATTGGCAGAAGCTAAAACTTGGCTCTGTCTTGGGACGGCAAGATCCCAATGATGGTATTCATCTTGCTGTTAGTCCTCGATGCGGTCCACTGTCTGGCACAGCATCGGACTTCAACGCTGGTTTAAATCTTCCTCAATATAATACCATCGTTGCGTTTGGCGTTCGTAGGTGTTTTCCCCTCGAGGTTTCAGCTTGGCTGATGAAATCACGCAGGACTCATTCACCGATGGCGGGAGACATGACGGTAGCCCTCTCGAACCGGCCGTGATGATACCACCAGATGTCTTCGCAGGTGGTCGTTCGACCAACGGACCCGTTTGGGTCGAGGGCATTGCCAGTGGCATTGGCGCCCGGGTCATGGATTATGCCGTATGTTCTATCTCACAATCAATTCTTATCTTGACGTCTTGTAGTGGTCAAGCGCTGTTACAAACATCAGCTTATGGCCTAGCAACCCATATCCTCGGGACTTTATCATGCAGAGTGTGCTCCCTCCTCACTCACGGTGAAGCTTTTGTGAATACTTGCCACTTTAGCAACAACATTCATAAACCAATCCAATAACTTGGATCCTGAGACCACTCTGTATGCGGTATTCTTTGGAATTAAGTGAGTGTTGCAGTACGTATGCAGTCCCGATCTAACTCCGTGCCGTAGCGACTGGGGGGACTCCTTTGGTACTGACTTGAAATCATGAATCCAAATCAACGAGATTGACACTATATTCCAGTGGACGGAAACCACCTACCAGAAGCAGCGCAAGATATGTTAGGCCAGATTGCTCTTCTTGCTTCTCCGCCTACAAATGCCCGCAACTTCCTCATTACCGATGCATACGGCCGCGGGACTCATAACGCACGGGGGGAGGCGTGGCTTCAATCAATTGTTGATGGTCTCGTCGCATTCCGCTCTCAGGATCCTCCATTGAATCTGGCTTTTGTCAATTTTGCGACCATCTGGGACGGGGTGCTTGGATCTGATCCGGGCTATGAGGCTTTTGGGTACACGAACCCAGGTGCATGCTTCATTGATGGCAACACCTGCGATGACCCCGAACATTACTTCTGTTGGTTCGACGGGTAAGTTCAGTATGAATGTTCCACACGATCTGAAGTAACGCTTTCTTAGACATCCTTCCAAACAGACTCATAGGATCATGGCGGACTACGTGGAGGAGGTACTGACGCATTGTCGCGTATAATTAATCATGTTCGTGCTCTCTGTTTTGATCCGCAAGTCCAACCAAGAACAGAAACTCAGATCTTTCAATGTATGTACTATCTTCGAGTAACATCATGTAGCACACAGTAGTGTTCATCAGCAGCGCTATCAAGCGCCATGTAATTGATAGAAGGGCAAGCTATGCGATTGCAAGTGGTGCCAGCAGCACACTAGAATATCATAACTCGAGAGAGCAGCGGCTTTGCCGAAGCCGTTTTTCACAAGCTCAGTTACGCCTTGGCCAGGCATGGCAGGTCATCCAGACTTAACCCAACAGCAGGGGGAATGACGCTTTTTAGTGCATGGAACCCTCACGGTGATCAACCATAACGATATGTTGGTTCTTGAGCTGTTTGACAATTTCATAACACAAACTGTTTACATAGATGAATTCTACAGCCATCGTGGTCGAGTAAGCGATATGTCTATCAGGACTCCGTCTGGCTAGTCACCAAACCCAATCTACCTCGTTCTAAAACAGCTTTGAAACCAAAATGTTCCTCCACAGCGAAGTTCTCCGTGGGGTTGTACATTGTGTTGATGGGCTTCCACGCGTTGATCTTGCTCAAAACGATCTTGGCTTCCTCATCAGCATCTCCAAGCACGCGATCGATGTCGCTCTCTGTCATGACGGGTGCGTCTGGGGATGTTAGAGAAGGATCCAATCTATTCAAAGTTTAGTATGAGATAATTTAGTTGAGCAAACGATAGACGTCGATAGACCCTCACCTAGCATTCACTGCAGAATGCATCTCGGGATTGGCTGGTGCGAATATATGACTACAAAAGTCCATGGTTTTCTGTTAATCGGAATGAGGATATCATAGAAGATAGTCGCAGAACGTAGTACGCACCTGGAGTTCGTCTTCTGTCAAGGCCTTACCAACATCTGCTGTTCCTTGTATCACTGCACTCGAGTATCAGAATTTGTAGTAATAGAAAAGACATTGACCCTCACCCGGCCTGATGAGATCAAAGGCTCTGTCAAAATTGTCCTCATCCACATCACTCATCACCAGCATAGATTGATTTCTGATCTGTTTGTAGGTGCCCAGGACGACAAGAAGGAACCTGTGGCATACATTGCATTAAATCTTAGTTGCTATCACTCCAATGACCGAATTTACATGCCTCGTGTAAGAGGTGGCGATTTTTGAGGTGTGCCAACGCTGGGCATCGTCTTCGCTGCAGAGTCCTCGGATCGACGCAGAGATCGTGATAGCAGCCGAAAGTCCTCCTGTCAAAGCCAAATGGACGCCAGAGGAGAAGAATGGATCGATGAACGCTTATTAATCGTCAGTCGCGAGTGCCACAACATGTCAAGAAAAATACCTCCAGCATCCCCCGCCAGTCGGTAATGATCTCCAGCATAAGAGGGGGCCGAGTAGCTAAAATCGCTTGCAGATTTCACAGCCATCGGTGTACCATCGTTTCGAAGGGTGGCGTTTCCCATCAACTTAAGGACTCCAGGAGCATTGCTTAAAAACTCTTGCTTGTAATGAGCCAGAAGATTTGAGCCAGATCCTCCTGAGGCCGCACGGGAAGCCTTCTTCTTACGATTGCTTGACTCTTGATCCATCACAATTCCCACAGATGTGGATCCATCGTGAAGGGGAATGAACCAAGCCCATCCAGACTCGTCTGCAGACAGTGAGCTTACTGAAACCCTTTGAGTTGTTTTCATACCTTCAAGTGCTTCAACAAAGATAGCATTCTGGCGAGTGGTACCCGGCATGTAGGTTCCGGCTCCATCCCAGTATCCCCAACATGCGACATTGTTGAGAGCCTGGTTATAGCGTCTGTTCTTGAGATACTTTGTGGACATGATCCCGTTCTTTCCAGACGCATCGACTAGGTAGCTGAAAGAGATACGGCCCTCGATTCCTGTGCTGGCATCCTTCCAATTGGCTGAAACAGGTCTTTCGCCTTCGAACTGAAATTCAGTGACTCTTATGTTGTCGAACACATTTGCGCCACTCTTCGAAGCATGCTGAAATAGCAAATCGTCAAACTCCGATCGAATCTGCAAAACGATGAGACGGTAAGCATATTTTCAATATATTACATACCACGTTCCAAGATCCATTGTCTGGGTTCAGCGCAATGAAATCTGTATCTGGAATGGACGATCGATATCAGTATGACGATGTACGACGTACGAGAGTGACTATGGCTCACATCCTTCTCGCTTGAACTGGTTCAGTTTGACTGCAGCACCAGGCTATAAGAGGGTGAACGTCTCAAACTAATGTACCTGGACGCATTGAAGACTATCCAAACCTTCACTGTGAATCCATAATTCTTCAGGGTTTCTTCCGCATCAATAAATGCCAAGAAGGGGCGGACCGACGGGAGCAAGCTCTCGCCAATATGATAACTGGTACAGCTATGTATCAGCGACTCCGTATACCGATGACATGTATCATATGTGCTGACCGAGGGAACTTGGCAGCTTCGAGAAGAGTGACTTCAAAGCCTTCTCGAGCTAAGGCAGCAGCAGCGTAGCTTCCGGCGGGTCCGCCGCCGACAACGAGTATTTGAGTTGAAGTTGGCTAGCTAGTATCTCAGCCAAATTCACTGTAGCAGAAGAATCGATATCAGCCACTTACAAGTGTTCGAGTGGCCATTTTTATAAAGGGGATTGTAGGAAAGGGAAAGTTGCCATACCTTTATATACGGTATTCACTTCGGAAACTAGTATATGTCTTGAATAATGCAACGTAGTAATATTCTCGTCGAGGAAGCCGCTAAACCATCTCGACTGAGGAAGTCAATTGGCCGCCACGCGTGGGTGTTCTGTCAAAAGTCATTCAATCAGAATGGATGCATGTCACGGTACGTACTAATGCCGGTAGACATGTACTGCATGGCATGTAATGCAGATGCTGTACCAGACTCCTACCCATCGGCAGGTGTGTAAGAGAGCCACCGGCATCCGGCATCCGACAGCCACAGACCTAATACAGCCTAATACGACCAAGCATTATTTCTCCTACAACAAGTTTGGGGCTACTTACCCACCCAGCCGACTGGCAACACTTGCAGATGACCCAAAATTCGGCGCTTGTGTTGATTTCGCCTGGGTATCGTCACACAGCGTGTCAGTCGTGCAAGTCAGCCCCAATCGAGTGACTCGGATAACAGGCGAAATCAACACAAGAAAACTTTGTGTCGGCTAGGTGTGTATGTAGTCACTGATCAGTAAATTCACACATTTCTTAACTTCCTTTTTTGAAAAATTCAGTAAGTGCTCTAATACCACCTACCAGAAGCAGCGCAAGATATGTTAAGCCAGATCGCTCTTCTTGCTTCTCCGCCTACAAATGCCCGCAACTTCCTCATTACCGATGCATACGGCCGCGGGACTCATAACGCACGGGGGGAGGCGTGGCTTCAATCAATTGTTGATGGTCTCGTCGCATTCCGCTCTCAGGATCCTCCATTGAATCTGGCTTTTGTCAATTTTGCGACCATCTGGGACGGGGTGCTTGGATCTGATCCGGGCTATGAGGCTTTTGGGTACACGAACCCAGGTGCATGCTTCATTGATGGCAACACCTGCGATGACCCCGAACATTACTTCTGTTGGTTTGACGGGTAAGTTCAGTATGAATATTCCACACGATCTGAAGTAACGCTTTCTTAGGCATCCTTCCAAACAGACTCATAGGATCATGGCGGACTACGTGGAGGAGGTACTGACGCATTGTCGCGTATAATTAATCATGTTCGTGCTCTCTGTTTTGATCCGCAAGTCTAACCCAGAACAGAAACCTAGGTCTTTCAATGTATGTACTATCTTCGAGTAACATCATGTAGCACACAGTAGTGTTCATCAGCAGCGCTATCGAGCGCCATGTAAATGATAGAAGGGCAAATTATGCGATTGCAAATGGTGCCAGCAATGTAAGCATCCATCCCTGCAGCGCTCTGGGCAACATGATATAAAACATGACTCGAGAGAGCAGCGGCCTTGCCGAGAGCCCGGTTTGTTCCACAAGCTCAGTTATGCCCTGGCCAGGCATAAGATGTCAACCAGACTTAACCCAACAGCAGTGGGAATGACGCTTTTTGGTCCACGGAAACCTCACGAGGATCAATCATGACGATCTGTTGGTCCTTGAGTTGTTTCGCAATTTCACATGGGTTACTGCCGGAGACGATCCAGGTCTTGGAAAATAGTGCACGGACTTGAAGCTTGAGGGTCCGAACTGGTGCGTGTACTGATCCACTCAGGTCTTATCATTTTCAACGATCCATTGACGATAGCCTGGCGAGTGAAACATGTAGTCATATCCAACAAGTTAAATACAAATAGCACCCAGAAGCAGTACGATACCAAACGTTGATGATCAAAGCTAATTTTTCAGTATGCTGATTTGGAGGTTTGGTCCTGGTGCGTGATCTGGGATATGTGCACCTCCACTGGCATACGCTTTATATGATATTGTTGTGGGATCTCTCGTGCCGTCTCGGTACCCATCCCGATAGTCGAGGTGTTATTGTAACTTGTTGTCTTCATTGCCACCCGGATAATAATCATGTAAAAGGCAATAGAAATGATCGGCATAGTCTAGGTAGCCAAAGATTGGTTATTTTCGATAAAAGGGAGTCGACAATGGAAATTACCATGTCTAGTACAACATATTGTCCATTGTTCGCTTCGGCGAAACATACCAATGCCGACAGGAGCGTCACAGAGTACAGTATAGCGGCATCCGCAAGTACGCGCACTATCGGCATCATGGAGTTATTTGAAGTGCGAAATGCAGATATATTACGTTCCATCCTCCAGATCCGATATGCCAGAAATCCTGAATAACTTGGTCTCGGGTCTCAAGTATTCAGGAAAAAGTGTGCTCACCTGAAGTCAATAAATTACTTGCAAGTGACATGGCATAGAAGATCGTGATCCATTGACCAGTTGCAGGGGCGAAGATGTTTCCAGCCTCGCTAGTCGCTTTTGAAATACTGTAGACTGCACCATAACCACCCACTTTGCAGGGACATCAGATGGACGACTTTCTGAGCATGTTTGTGATCTGACCTGTCATACCTAGCCACAACAAACTCGGTACAATAATGACCCACACAGATTGCCAAACGACGTAGCAACGATAAATCTTTGGCCGGAAAAGACATTTCATAAGCCAAAAGGGTTGCAACTTCAATCTGGCGGATAGAAATTGAACCCACCACCATTCCATCGCCAAGCATTGTTTGCAAAATATATATTATATTCTTGACCACAAACGTGATTTGGGTAACATCTGCAAAGAATGCCGCTGGTCCCCCTGGAAATGTGTCGCGATAGGTGACCAGACCCTCTTCGAGATGAATGATGTCTACTATCATGTGCTCGGGAGATTTGAGTACCGGATGATACCAGACGCAAGAGGCGAGAAACTTACTGCGGTACTCAGGATCAGCAGCATGAATGCCACCACGGTATTTGTGCGATTAATCTCCTTCATACGACGTTTGCGTGTCAATGCCCACATGGTACCCACAAACATGAGCACCGAAAAGCCTGAAACACCCTAGCTTAGTGGGAATGGGACGGACAGATACATTGTGATACGCACCATATAAGATTCCTTCCATCGCGGTTGAAAATATAGCAGCAGTATCCAGCGGTATGCCTCTCGAAGCCATAGCAAGTGGAGTCTTGGGGGTATATCGAGGACGAGGGTGCGAGTATCTTGCCCAGCTTGATGTTCAGCTCAGGCCCTTTAAATACCAGCAGGTCATCTACCAATTATAATTCATATGTCATAATGAATCACATCAGTGCACAGCGAATTTGATCAACAATTCCTCTCACTGGACTTGGAACGTAACGCCGACTGTGATGGATTGAGCCTCTTTCCAACCTGATCGCGGGAGTAGTACGTGGGCGTTATCTGCACGTTCGTACTAGTATGCACCCAGTGACTGGAATGATGCTATATTTGAAACTGTGGCGATCAGTCACCGATACTATTGGATACTGCAACCGCTCATCACGCAAATTGTGCCATGAGGTGTGCGCAAGCCTAGTGCTCAAGCTTAAGGCGGGTGGTTGATGCCAGATATGCAAGTCGAAATCTTAAGTGCTATGTGCCGCGCATTCCTGATCTCCCCGTTAATCAGTAGTCAGTAGCAGGCGGAGGGGGATCCTGCCGCTATGTTTCCTACCAATACCGCTGAATCGAATCCAACTCATCTCCCCACATTTCTACGCAGTGATCACCCTTCCTATAGCGAATAGAAAAAGAGTATCCATCAATCTCAAATATGTAGAAGAAATAGTTGGGGGGACGTACTTAATTTCATCTGCCAGTGCCATCATCCCTCTCAACTTCACAACATCCAGATTATACACCGATTTCAAATGGTGCTGCGTGGGAAACGCGAGGTAGCTTGTGTGTTGATCACCGGGTAGTCAGGTCGTGGAGAGATAAGAGGATGCTGAATTACATGCAAGATCAGGTTCGTGGCGTAAGTTGATAGTATTAGTAGCGCACCTGTGATGCATCATTGTTGCAACCGTAGCTATAGGGTACGGTTGAAAGTCGATATTTTTCAACAGCTGTTTATGATAACTGTTAATAACACTGTTAAAAAGTCGTCGTGTCCCCAGGCCTGTTGAAAATTGCGAATAAATCCAGGGCGTGTGGGAACGTTTTGAATGAACTTCTGAGGCTTGAAAAAGCACAACCGGACCACCCTCCCACCGCCAACCTTATTTTTGACGGCCTGACTAGTCTAAGTTTTGAAATAACCCCAATTAGTCGGCGTTTCTATCAACCCCACTGTGCAGAAGGGCCATCATGATACGAGCTTGATGCGCCCCTGATGATCATGAAAATTTTAATCCTGGTTCGGTTGAGATTTGAACCAATAAAGTTTTGCAGTGAGTGTTTCTAGCCCAACGGGCAGTGTATATCAATATATATATATCTTTAACAGGTTCGCAATGACAGTTGAGCGCTGACTTGGAGCTACTGACTAGGATGAACCACCTTGAATTAGACAACCTCCAAACCTCCCTCAACAATGCGCTAAACAGTTTACGATTCAAAGAGCTCAGGTTCTATTGCAGTAGTGTGGTGCCGATGCCGTATGGGGCACCCACCCCCAAGGCTGTGTAATGTTTATGTAAGCAGCTGAAATGAAATTTGAAATTCAACCCCAAGTCGTGCGTTTCCATCAAACCCAGTTTCTCCCACTGTGCAGAAGCTATCATGATACGAGCTTGATGCGCCCATGATGATCATGGATATTTTAATTCTGAGATTTGAACCAACAAAGTTTTGCGGTGAGTGTAAGCTAAGGTTTCTACCCAACCTCTTTCAGGGCGGTGTATATCAATATATAACTTTGACAGTTTCGCAATAATAGTTGAACGCTGACTCGAAGCTACTGACCGTGATGAACCACCTTGGATTAGACAACCTCCAAAACCTCCATAAACAATGCGCTAAACAGTTTACGCGTCGCGATGGACGTGTCGAGGTTGCCGTCTTTGTCTTCACAGTATGGAACCGACACGCACCCTTTGGATAGTATGGACCAGCCCACACCAGTTGGTGTATACGAAGCCCGCAGAGCAGCGCTAGGTATGTTCGAATGCAACAGGATCAACCCACATACTGATTCTGCCCTTCTAGCATGTGTTGTAAGTTCAAATTCGGCATGCTCCTGCTGTAACATGTACGAATTTATTCATTCAGGTAGAGCTCAAGAATCTTCTGCAACATCCCTTTGAGAAAGCCGCTGAGAGCGCCTTTGCCATGTATGATTTTGCTTCCGTTCAAGTCTTTATTGAACATGGCATTGTGGACCGCATGGCGAAAGAGCCATCTGGCATTTCTGTCAAAACTCTCCAGTCAGAACTGGACCTTGACTCCCATAAGCTCACCACGGTATTACGCCATCTGTCAGTCTGTGGTTGGACTCGAGAGACTCAGGATGGTATTTTTGCCTTGAATCGCTCCTCTCGCATTTTACTACAAGGCCAAAGGGGCCGTGCAGTAATGATGTAGGATTCTTTTGCTCACCGACTTTGCACAATTAATCTTGTTATAGGGCCCCCAATTACATGGGGATCGCAGAGGCTCTTCCTCGATGGCTTGTGCATCCCGAATTCAGGTTCTCTAAGTCTCCAGATCACACCGCATTTCAACTTGTGAACAATACTACAAAGCCGTTCTTCGAATGGGTGAAAGATGATAGGAATTATCTTGATCGATTTGCAGCGGCTGTTGAGGTTTGCATCATCCGCCTGTAACTGGTAATGCTATACTTATAATTCTCAGGCAATCGGCGAATATGTAACCCCAGGAATATTATCAGACTACCCATGGCATACGTGCTCAGAATCAACTATTGTTGATTGTGGTGGAGGCAAAGGAAGCCTAGCTATCGCCCTCGCTAAATCAGTGAAAAAACTATTAAGAAGCAACGCAACTGAAATATAGTATCAAGATTTCCTGCCCTCCGTCTTGTTGTCCAGGAGAGGGAAGAGATGGTCGGGCCTGCTGAAGCTAACATCAAGGCCCGTTTGGATCCCAACTTAGTTCATGGCACAGTAGTTGCTGAAGCCAACGACTTGTTCTCTGTTCAACCACGCACTGGGGATAATTATACCTTCATGTTACGACATGTTCTGTGCGCTACACCTTCGTGATCCTTTGTTATCCACCGACATTCTTTCATAGGCACGACTGGCCCAAGGCTCAAGCTGTAAGTCTTTTTTATCATCGACATCAAATCTCTGTTGACGTTGCCAGGTGAACATCCTAGAGAAACTTGCTGCTGCTGCAGGACGGTATTTTTTGCAAGTGCGGAATTTTGATATATCAGCTATCGGGCTCAGGTCCAGACACGCTGCTCATGTACTACATGGGCGAGCAGATAACGACCTGTTGAAGTGAAGTGTATGCTTTTAAGTGGTTATCTCTTCGCATCAGGGCGACTCTGATTGATGTCAATGCGTGTGTTGTATGTATGCATCTCATTCAGTGCTTTAATCTCACAGTCGTGCTACTTGGCAGGATGAGAACAGAGCGTCGCAAACAAAGGCCCTAATACACATCTGACTCATGATTTACAGTTGTATTTGTGACGTTATTCTGATCACAAAGTATGTATGCCAGAGTCCTAAAATTTCATGATCAGCATCTCACTGATACTTTTGCAGGTGCGCTTGGTGCCTTCCGACTTGAAGCCCCGATTTCCATCTCTACTTATTACTCACCACACCTGATGTTCTTGCCACACACATTCGTGATATACTCGAGCTGTCAGTTTCTTTCTTAAATGGCACGCCTTGAACCAGACATGTAAGTTCTCAATTTGCATGCGGATAAATAAATAAAATGGAATAACAAAATCGGCAATCTTCCAGGATTCGTATCATCATATATGCCTTATCTAGCCCGGGAACTATTCTAGGCCATCCTTTGTTGATTCTATTTAATGTGGGGCTTTATCCATCATGTGGGTGGTCCATAATCGAACACGTATCCTAAATCAACGTTGATAGGCACTATATTCCAGTGGACCGAAACCACCTACCTGAAGCAGCGCAAGACATGTTAGGCCAGATTGCTCTTCTTGCTTCTCCGCCTACAAATGCCCGCAACTTCCTCATTACAGATGCATACGGCCGCGGGACTCATAACGCACGGGGGAAGGCGTGGCTTCAATCAATTGTTGATGGTCTCGTCGCATTCCGCTCTCAGGATCCTCCATTGAATCTGGCTTTTGTCAATTTTGCGATCATCCGGGACGGGGTGCTTGGCCTTGATCTGGGCTAGGTAGTATACGGCGTATATCTGAGGGTATCAAAATGCTCAAATACAAGTGACATAGGGATCAGTGGACCGTGGTGAGGTGTAACGTTGGCAGATTTCTCGCTGTCCTTAGTCAATTATGAATTGCGGGTCTGAGCTGGTGCGGTTCTGGCAGATAGAACAGTAAGGTGTGCTGTAATCGACTTGGTCACATAATCTAAGAGGTCGAACCGAGTACGTGCATATAAATCATCTTCAATTATCTATCATGATCGATGATAGCCTGGCACAACCTGGTAAGTGAAACATATAGTCATACGACAAATTAAATGCAAATAATATTTAGAAGTAGTACGATTCCCCTCCACGGACTCCGCCATGGTTGAAATGTCGATGGGTAATCCAGATTTTTCAGTATGCCGATTTGCAGGTATCGTTATCGTCCTGGTGTGTGATCTGCGTTATGTGCACCTCCACTGACGTACGCTTCACATTATATCGCTGCGAGGTTTCTCGTGCCATCTCGTTGGCTATCCTGATAGTCGAGAGGTAACTATGACTTGAAGTTGTTTTCCTCATTGCTATTCGGATAATAATCATGTAGAAGGTAATAGAGATTATCGGCATAATCTAGGTAGCCAAAGCTTAGTTATTTTCGATAAAAGGGAGTCGACGATGGAAATTACCATGTCTAGGACAACATATATTCCGTTGTTCGCTTCTGCGAAACAGACCAATGCCGACAGGAGCGTCACAGAGTACAGTATAGCAGAATCTGCGAGCACGCGCACTATCGGCATCATACTAGAGCTCTTCGTAGCGCGAAGTGCGGAGACATCGCGTTCCATCCTCCAGATCCGATATGCCAGAAATCCTGAACAAATTGGTCTCAGGCCTCGAGTACTCAGGTAAAAAGTATGCTCACCTGAAGCCGATAAATTACTTGCAAGTGTCATGGCATAGAAGATCATGATCCATCGACCAGTTGATTTGGCGAAGATGTCTCCAGCATCGCTAGTTGCTTTTGAGAAACTGTAGGCAGCACCAAAGCCGCCCACTTGGATGGAACATCAGAGGCACGACTTCCTGAGCACGATTGCGACCTAACCTGCCATACCGAACCACAACAAACTCGGTACAATAATAATCCATACAGATTGCCAGACGACGTAACAGCGATAAATCTTTGACATTTCATAAGCAAGAGGGTTACAATCTGGCAGATAAAACTTGAACCCACCACGATCCCATCACCAAGCATTGTCTGCGAGGTATATAGTATGCTCTTGATCAAAAATGTGATTTGGGCAACGTCTGCAAAGAATGCCTCTGGTCCCCCTGGGAATGTATTGCGATAGGTAACCAGTCCCTGTTCAGCACGAATGAAGTCTACTATCATGTGCTTGTGAGGCTTGAGTACTGGATGACGCCAGATGCAAAAGGGGAAAAACTTACTGCAGTACTTAGGATCAGCAACATGCATGCCACTACAACATTTGGGCGATGAATCTCGTCCATACGACGTTTGTAGGTCAATGCCCACATGGTACCAATAAACATGAGCACCGAAAAGCCTGAATAACCCTAGCTTAGTGGGCATGGGACGGACAAATCCATTGTAATACTCACCATATAAAATTCCTTGCATCATGGTTGAAAATATAGCAGTAGTATCCAGCGGTATGCCTCTCGAAGCCATGGCAGATGGAGTCTTGGGGGTTTATCGAGGATTAGGGTGCAGATATAATGTCTAGTCTCGTGTCAGCTCAGGCTTATTAAATGCCAACATGATATCTGCTGATTACATGCCATGATGAATTGCACCGGTAACATTTCACCACAGTAAACCCGATTGGCCTGCCAGACTCGAAACATCGCAACCATGATGCCAACCATCATAGTACCAAACATTTCATGGATAGCCTCGGTCCAATTTCATTGCGGAAGTAGTGCGGCTCTCATCTGCGAGTTCATGATCATATAGCATTCGTACCAGTAGTATGGGCACCGTAACGTGCACTGAGGCCTGAGGACTCGGATGATGTTGTATTTGAAACTGCGGAGATCAGTCATGGATACCATTGGACGTTGTAACCGGAGGTGTGGGCAAGAGCACTCAAGGTATGCGTTTGATCCCATAGATGCAGTTTAGAGTGCTGTGCCCCACACCCGACCTCCCCGTTAGTCAATAGACGGAGAGAGATCTTGTCACCGTGTTCCCTTCTAATGTGGCTAAAGCTGAGCGCCACAATCGACCGGTCTCCCCACGCTTTTATGCAGTAGTCACCCCTACGATTGCAAATAGAATATCTATCATACTCAAATCTGTAGTGAAAGTAGTTGGGGTGACATCAGCTTAGTACACGATTTCACTTCTCACAACTTCGCAAGGTCCGCGGGATAACGTCGATTTCAAATGGCGTTACATCGGAAACGACACTATCACTATCTTGCGTGTTGATCGGGAACTCAAGGCGTTGTTCAATGCAGAATGACTAGGAGAGGTCAATGTATAATGAATTGTCTGCGAGATGCCTACTGGAACATACACTATCAAAAACAAATGAACATCATTGAAAGCGGCCAATAAAAACCTGTCGGCACTACTTACCGCCTACCAAAGCCAAAAATCAAAGACTTCATGTCGTCCTTAGATGACCTTCTGAATTGGGCCAGCGCAATTTATCCCGGTCTGGAAAGGCGATAGCGCCACGATAGATTGCCTTTGAAATTGACGGATTCAGTTAATGAAAATATGCAGTGTTAGCTCCAATGATACCCATAGACTGCTGCACCCTCAGGAATCCACATACTATGATAAGAACGTGGGTTATCGTTTTCAGTGACCATCAAAGTGGGGCGCACGAACCTCAGCCACCGCATCGACCTTGCTCCCTTTCCCACTTTCGCGCCTATGTCAGTCGCGCCCTCGGATCCCCACGCAGCCGCTTATCTCCTTCACAAAACAATCAGTGTCTGGAAACCACCCTCGTTGGAAGTCGTGGATACAGCCCAGTACTTGCTGAGGGTCTGGCATCAGTTTAGGCCGTGGAATACATTTCAAAGACGAATGGACTTTGGACAACCTAAAAAAATGATCATTGCAGCAAGAGGCGTGCGATCGGGAAACTTCCAATATGCCAAAAGTTGGGATGCTCTCCCTTAGCCCTGGGGTGACAGCGTGCAGTCAATTTGCGAGAATTGTAAAAGAACGATACAAAAAGCAAGCAAAGTGCAACGTTCAATTTGACAGTCACGTGTCCCAGACTGATGGATGTACAGTCGAGGCTCGCCATGTGCATGAGTACCGTACATTGGATGGAGGAAATTGCATCGAAGCACCAATAAGTTATCAACCATCTGACTTCACGTTTCGCAGTCACTTCATCATCTATATGTTCAGACAGTAGAACTCCCCGAACGCCCAGAATCGGTTGTTGGGGCAATTTCACTAATTCGTGTTGAATATCGGCTATAGTACCAAGCTTATCAAGGACCAGGTTTGTTGCTAGACGTTCCAGATAATTTCAGCTTACCATTTGGTTCAAGCGCAGGTACTTCGTTCCAGTAGTGATACAACAATAAATACTTCGACACCCCATATGTCCATGACGGATCCCCGATCAAATTACTCCTCCCTTCAGACTACTCGGCAAGCATTTCTCTACACAGTAATGCTAGTCGATATCTGTACACACTCCTGGAAGACAATCGAGTTCATGCTATTTTCTGCGTCGGAGTCTGCCACGAGTTTTGTGTGATATTCTCGAACGCTAAGGATGAGGCGTGGTCCCAGCACAAACATCTGCACGAACAATAAAATTTCAAGAACACCTTCAAGTATCTGAGCTCCAATAGAATATGAATTCTACAGAAATGATGAGCAGTGGTTACACGTAGATGTCGGCGACAGATCGGCGCACCATGATTTTCGGAGAGAAAACAGCAAGTTGGAGGCAAGTGACACCAAAAAAGCTAATATGTGCGGAACTTGAGCAGAAAAATATAACCGTATTCACATTACAAGCTCACCTTGCAAAATAGAGAACGTGAGATTGTACCAGCACTCTGAAACAGTCCCCGATGGTCGATCCTGTCGACCCGCTGAGTCGTCGCAGGTTACGGAAGTGTTTCACAGCAACCCAGACTGCAAGACACAGTGCAAGGACCTCCCAAACAGTGTAGAGCATCCAAACCATTGAAAACCAAAGCTGCTCGTCTTCTTCATAGACATAACCGCATATATACGTGTCAGAGAGTATCAGCTCCTCTGATGTTTGTCCAATGAGGTCTGCTCTTCAAGTCAACAAGTAAAGCTTACCCCCTACAACATACTTGAGTTCTATTGCCAAGATTACTCCGCAGGCGATGATGACAGTCAGAAAGGTAATAACAAGGAAGATGAGGATCATTCTAGATCCCTGATGCATAGCATATAAGCGAGCAATCATGATGACTTGCATGAGGTTTCAGTCGAGTCGATATCACAGAGGTATTGCAGCTGGATGACTCACCACCCAACATGGCAGCTACGACCGCATTTGTCCCAGTCGCTGCGTAGTTCGTAATGTTGCCTGAACCACGTAATTAGCGAACGCCCTTTATGATACTAGAATCAAACGCTCCGACTTACACCTATGGGGTGAATATGTTGAGCCAAGCTCAATCATGATGCGTGATGGTCAAAATCTCACTCACCCCTACAAATGAGTGTATTCGTTAGATACGAATGACATGGTCGTGGAACACTTACTGCATCTGTCACCGAGACCCATATCACATTTTCTGTATGCCGTCGGTCAGAATAATCGAACACAGCACATGTGATACATACGCAGAACTTTGGTACTAATTGTCAGAGATGAGCTATTAGAACGATGCTAATTTGGATTTGTTGGCCTCGACACATACACAGCATACGGCATCCCAATATAGCGTATCTGGAACATGTTGGAGTCAGCACAACCGTCAACCACGGTATAGTACAACATGAGGTACGAACAACCAAATATAGCACAGTCATGAGAGACCAGCGCTGCCTCTGTCGCGAATTCACTATATTTCCTTGTTTTTTTCTGATACGGGACTCTTGTCACTCACCCAGATCAGTTCAATCTATGACACCATTCTTAGCGAGTTGGCTGCTCCGGCGATAACATGGACGTACCTCTTGTCCGAGTGTTAAGACTGGAAATATCATGAGAATATTGGCGATTTTCGAACACTGTCCTGCTTACCCCAATCGTATACCACCACGACGCCCGCGGCAACTGGGAAACTGCACGTCAACATTGGATCTAGACATCCTGATGTGACGAACCTATCCAATAGCTGAAAAAAATACTCAATTTGATTCTCGGCCACCAACTGGGATCATTTGAGACGAAGGTCATGTTCGAGAGAGATGGGTGTGAGCCTGAGCAAGTGGGGAAAGGCAAAAAAACCGAGCAAAACGAAGTTAGTGGTGGGGCCGTATGACGACAGCGTTCGTGCTAGATATACCACCGTTCAGCGCTTCTATCGCCAAAATCAGCATGATGGAGATGGATATTTGGGGGAGCCCTCGGTAATCAAGTAGATTTTGATTTCCAAATCAGTATTAGTACGTACTGCGCACGGGAGGGCCTTACAGTAGTAAGTGGGTGGGTGTCGGGGAGTGCGGCAAGTTGCGGCAGTGATACGGCAAAATACCTGAGCCCCGCAGTCACCAGTGCCCGCACGGGACTAGTAACTTCAACACCGGCATCCTGCAGGCCGATGCCATCAACTTGCTCATCACTCTCAACATTCCGCTCTCCTTACTATGCCTGCCAGGCTGTATGTCGAAGCAACATCCAATAATGCTTACTACTTTGCATCTTCCTTTACCTCGTTGGAGTCATCCAAGCTGCACCTACAACTTGCTTATGCATATTAACGACCCCGACATGGACGGCAACAAAATCGTGATGTGTTGAATGTTGAACGCTGCGGCTGATGAGTGAACAGGTAGAGCATCCAAAATCGACGATGAGACAGTCACGTTTGATTTTGGACGCGACTCGACGTTATAGTGTTCGTCTCTATTCCCCGGAGATCCTAGTCAGTGCTCTGAACACAGAAATCGTGTTTCTGGAAATAAAAGTGCGTTGGACTATGTCCCTGACAGTGATACCCGCGCTAATCCTCTGTTATCAAACCGCTTGGGCTGGTGGTTTTCCAGGTTCCTCGTCGTTTTTGGCGAAGCACGTCTCTCAATCTACGACTATTCTAGCTTCGACACCGTTCTTGCTCCATTAAACTCCAGAATACAGACTGCCTCGCGCACCTGGCATTTTTTGGTGGATAATTGAACCCTGTGACGTCGTGCTCACTGTCTCATGACATTGTTGACCAGTCCATCGATTCGTCATCCGTCTCAGGCTGGGTCCATCATGTACTAGGCTTCATGTACCTGTGCTTGTGCATTTCTCTTAGACCCATTCAACTGAAAAAGTTCACAGTTCTGTAATTTGACTCCTAGGCACGCGTGCTTGCAAATCGGTGTTTTCTCGACAATGCAAAAACATTCCCGTTGAAAATGGTTGGTAGTTTTACATTGATTATTGCGATGGTCGACAGTATGTTGTTTTGAATACAATATCGTCTGTTCACAGGTTCACTGATCGCCCGCTGTATGACCTTTGGTTTTGACTGCATCCTGGAAGATGATACGTCTGTCACAAATAACGATCGGGGTTTCGTTGGCTCGATCAAGAGAGAGATTCATGAGCTAGCCTTCGAGGCCAACGTTAGACAAACAGATTCAACCTGCGCAGGGCATTCTATCTTCGTGTGGCCTCTCAATATCAATCATCAACAGCAACAACCGCTCATTTCGACAGTCTCTCGAACTGAAGCTTAGTGGACCACGAACAAGACTAGGCACGTTGGATCAATTCAAACATCCGCATGGGTCAGCAGTATGAACATCTGTCCGAAAACAACTGGTACCGATTGGCTCCGAACTAGGTATTGCACCTTCAGGATACCAAAGCGAAAGCAGAAGTATGACTCACTGTTGTGATGTGCCGCTCGGGCTGCCAGCTCAATTTCCAAATGGCGACTGGCAGATGACACGTCCAGTCTAAGATGCGGAGGTGAGTCATGTAGTTGAATCCTGGTTACCCAGCGACGTGCTCATACTCACGTAAAAATCATATGAACAAGCCAAGCCTTCGCAGCAATCTGTATATCTTGTGCAAGTATGTGAGAAGCCTGTGCATGCACTGACAGACATAGATGCTGTCAAAGCAACAACAATGGCGAGCAAGGAGAAATGCATTTTCTGGGCGGAATATTCTGGTGGGGGATCTCGAATATCTCTCAGGAGGATGACGGTCAGCTTTTATGTTCTGCGTATACTTGTGGGCACGATTCTAATTGATTCGGTAGAATTTGTTATGGCTGTCAGATAGCAGAAATTTCGGCAAAACCTGCAGTGACCCTGCCAGCGCAACGACAAAGTTAAGAAGTTGATGTTCATTCTCGTCGATACTTCCGATATGTCCTGGAGCGATATCTCATGCCAGTTTTTTCACTTACTCGTTGCTCCCTTATATGTAGTTACACAGGCAGGTCAAATAGACATATGTAATCATACTAGAACACTGGCAAAAATGAAAGATCCAAAACAGTTAAGTAGATGTGGCCCCCATTGGATCCGAGTCCACGCCTATATTCGATATCGTTGGATAAAACACAGTGCAAGAGAAGGGCCTTCGCAATGTATGACTGATAGACTCGGAGACCTCAAAGTGGTCGTAGAAAAGATATGTTTAACGTTGCGTTTCCGACACTGTTTTCAGATCTGTTGAATTGCTTCATTGAATCTTCGGTAAGGTGGGGGCATCGGACTGCGAAGTTCGGTATGAGCCGAGCTGCTAAAGAACAAACGTCATGTAGAGTGAGATGTCACATCTTTTGACCTAATTAGGTGTAAAAGCACTTTGCCGGTTCCGGTATAGCGAGGCCGAGTTTTGAATGTACTGCAATTCTCATTGATGCAACGCACTGTAATCATTGTCACTGTCTTCGTGCTTACAGCAATTTGAAACATGGTTGGCACTGTCGCATTCGTAAATACGATGGAATAAAAAATACTCCCCCACAAAAGGAAACTATAGTACCGGGTTCCAGTTATCTGAGTCGCTCGAACATGCCGGAACTTCCGCAAGATCAGCCACGACGTGAAATTTGCTGCTATCAGCCTCTATGAGCGTCAGCTTTTGTCTCTTGAACGGACTCTGGCCTGTGTGGGCTTCTCTAAAAGAATTTTCTGATGCATTTGGGATGGCGAAGCCAGTCACGAAGGTTAACAGATTCTAGGGTTGACGTGCCGCAGAGCCGCGCCTCTAATTGCCATATTTGGTGCGAAGTATTTTAATTTCTAGTCTTTGCCTCGCGTCTGATAGTGCCAACCATTTTGCAAATAGCTGTAATATTCAATATTCAATACTTATCCTAAAGCTTACATAAACTGTGTCGCAGTGTCAATCCCCTCAAAAGTTTTCTAATATTCCCGGTCCACTCTACAGCTCTCCTAACCTTGTTCAAACCTGTGTAAGATCAATGGTCTACCAGTACATAGTGGCATTGATGGGCCGAGGCCGCCAATAACACTGCATCGCACTGGCACATTACCATAACCACGAACAGTCAGTCTTTTGTAGCGTTCAAACACTTCGTGCGAGTCACTATGTTACATGATTTCCTTTGATCAATCAGATGTCATCCTCAAATCTCACTTCGGCGATGTAAGTACTGGATGGTGGTATATCAAGCACGATTGCGATCGTTAAACGTCCACCAAGTCCCCCGCTATCTCATCCCCATCCTCTAATAGTATGACCCTAGTCTCGAACGACCCCAGATGGTGGCCAGCCGTCAATGAGAATCTTATCATCAGCTATTTTATAGGTTTGTTCAGAGGAAGCCGCATGATGACCGTGATGACTCAGTTAACCTTGGTTGCGGTTTCGCAGTTGCCGCCTGTACTGTGGTAATGTACGATTGGGGTGAGCAATATTAAGTATGAAAAGACCACTGACATTATGAGATTTACAGGACTAACGTTCGGAAAAGAGGTAGGTCGACACTATGACAGGAGTAGTTATCTCGCTGACAATAATTTTATAGGTGGAACTGGTTTGGGTGAGCGAACTTCCACATCAAAAGACCGATGTGAAAATATCACAACTAATTCGCGGCAGAAGCAACGCTGGTTCCTCATAACCGTTTTGTATCTCGTTGTACGTAGCTTGTGTTTTTAAGCGTGGTTAGCAAGTTGTACTGACGTGAACATATCCAAGGCACGATATGTTGCAATAGGATTTGTTGTGTACATTTTGACGTTTAGGCCATCAGCGTTGCGCTCATTATCCATCTCTCGCAATCAGGCTGAACGTCTTGAGTATGTCTCGCATGAGCTCTGTTTCTTTCTTGTGACGGGCGGCATACAGTTAGTGTTCCAACGATTTCGAAAACAGATGCAGTGAGTACTTGGCGCAGATGCCTTGCTTTCTATTCCCGTGCAAACAATTGAACTACAATGTAGGGGTGAGTGATATTCTTGAACAACTCGTTGGTTCGATACAATGACTCCCACAGTTGTGAGTTTGTTTCAAGCCTGTGATCCTCCGAAGCTCATAATTAATGTTGCTGAATTTGTCAGGCCTTATCATATATGACATACTTGCTTGGATGATTGTGGTTGTAAATACAATACTGGGCGGTGAGCTATACACTTTCGTGATATTGACTTGACTGAAACATCATGCAAGCCATCATGATAATTCGGTTGCATGCCATGTATCAGCGATCTAGAAAGGTGCTGATATTTCTTGTCGTCATATTTCTGGCCATCAGAATTGCCAGTGCAGTGACCATCGCAATAGTGACGGTGCAGGTTTCAGCAGGTAAACTTTAACTATGTATGAAATGTTTCAAGTGCATCAGGCTCATTGACAAGCACCAGAAGAACTCCTTCTCTCTGGTACCCATCAGTGCATGATTAACTATGCAGGAGATTCCATGTTTCTCGTTTCCATGACTTGGATACTTTGCACTGTATGGGAGGCCTTTGCACTGTGTCTCGCGGTCTGGATTGCTGTAAAGCACTTCCGTGAACTGCGAAGAGACTCAAGAGCAGGTCTTGTCAGGGACTGTTTGACGGTGTTAATACAAACACATGTTGGTTACTTTGCGAGGTGAGCTCATAATGTGAATGTGGTTCTTACTCCGCTGAAGTTTTGCACGTGCTAGTTTTTTGGCTGCTTCTTGCTTCCAGATCAGTTTATTCTCTTCGTTACTCTCAATTGTATGCCGATCTCTCACCGACCTTTACGTGCGACCACGATTCATCATTTCTATAGGACATATATTCCCTGGACACTCAGATCTGTATTGGTTTCGCTCAAATCTTCAACATAGCGCAGCTGTCTGTGCTGGGACCACGCCTCATCCTCAGCGTTCGAGAAAATAACGCTAAGCTCGTGGCAGACTCTGATACAACAAGCGCTATGACTTCAATTGTTGTGCATGTGGAGAGTAGCGTGTAGCGCAGAGCATTCTCAATATGGTTGTTTTGCATACGAATCTGCAGGGAGTGGGAAAATTCTCACTTGCAGTACCTGGAGTTTACCTTTTCATCAGCAAGCCAAACTACCATGGGCGATGCGAAGAGTCCCCTATGGGTCCGTCTGCATCTCGCTGCGACTTTGCAATCATTCTTCGGATTTCGCGGTGTGATAGGTCCCATAGATGTATATATAGTTAGAGAGTCGATCCGCCATGTTTTTCAGGCATTTTCTTGCTGTCTCGCCGATTGGACTTTGAATATTGATTATCAGTTTTTATGTACGATACAGTACTATTGAGGTCGTTGTATTGTGTACTACCAGTGCTACATATATCTTTCCATCGATATGTCGTCGTACGGCTCTGAGTCACTCACTATATTCAGCGCGGTGGCCGGTGTCCAGAAGAGGGTCTACCAGGAAGCATACTGTACGACTTGAAATATGCTGCAGATGGGGCTCAAAACAAATGCCGGCATTTCAACATACCGTTTTTGAATTGGTAATTGGAGTATCAGTTGTAAATTGGTATGAACAGAGGTATTTCTTGTGATTAAAAGTACCGACATTTCTATAGTAGCAAATCTTGTCCACTGAGCTTCACGTAGCAGAGGGGTATTCCTTCGTCATAATTCTTGTTCCACACCAAAATCATTTCTCCTCCGGCGTCTCCCACAAACTCCATTGATCAGATTCGTCCGCAGGCGTATGGTCTACGACCACCGAGTGCTCAACGCGTACACGTATATCGAGCTCCATGTCATTGGCATTCCCATTGCGAGGCGATGTAGGCGCGAACTCTGCATCTTTGGAGGTTTTTTTCGACTGGCTCTTAGATTCGAACTGGGAGCGAAGACCGGACAATACTTTCTTCCGTGCACTGAGCGTGGGACGCGCGATGATCACTCTTTCCGGATGTTGGGGGTCTGAGTCAGCCATTTCTTTAGGATGCGAAGGTGAGCGGAGCAGGAGTGGCGGAATAGACATGGCAAGAGTCAGCGGAATAGCAGTCAAGCTCTGGAGTGATGTGTACCTTGTACATGGATGAGGATACGTTGGCTCATGATCCACGTCACAGCATAGCCCATCGATGCCCTAATGATGTCATTTGAACAGTTCAGATGATGCGAAATAGTGCGACACTTACCCTGCCGACTAACAATAGGAGCAGGCCAACATAATTGATGAGTTTCCACAGTGCTGCAGTAATTGAGCCTACATACCTGAGTCGAGACATCAGTCGTATGATAAAGGATGAGGTTCAGTACGTTCGACGCTGAGGGAATACTAAGAGCGTGATTATCACAAGGAGAGCGTCACTTGCCAGTTAACACGACGAAATATCCAATGCCGTCATATATCAGGCTAAGTACAATGAGTGATGCGCATCATATATGCCAGGGATCAATAACTTACACCCGTATCAGCCGTTCTACTCTGGCAACGATGGTTTAGCGACCATGAAGAAGGAGAGAAAAGGCGCACCTGTTGCTCAAAGGATTATAACGTAGAAGGTTCTTGGTAGAAATCGTCACCACTACGATGTCATACAACATAGCGGCGAGGTAGAAGAACCAAGTTGACAATGTTTTGGCAGCATCTGCTGAGGTGCAGCTATAGTTGATGGAGATATCAGCCGAATGCCTCATATATCGGTGACAAAGGAACCACTCACTTTCCCTAAAAAGAAGCGCTATTTGCGTGAGATCTTGTTATGAGGAATACTAACGTACATTAATAACCACAGCTGTTAATTTTGATGGTCAATGCGAGCCCAGGATTGAAATATGGGCCAGAACTCACGGGCCCGTCCAAAGATATCGGTGAACCACTCGACCTAAAACGTGTAAGCGAGGAACGTCACGACTGTGTTTTAAGAACCCACCACAACTATCAAGAAGTATATCAGCAAGAGCGAAATTCCGATACCCCTATCTCTCCTTGCAACATTGAATGTCCTATACGGTATTTCAGTCTGTGCAGCTCGTATCCCACAAAAACACTGCAGGACATACCTGACACCTAGGATTATCTGTGATATCATCATTTGTATGACTACGGTATGGTCAATAAAGCTCTGGTGGGTAAACGCCAACAGAGCAAACCTTTGAAAACAGGCGGAACAAGATAATATTGTTGACACGCTTGTTGGGTAAAGTTGGTGGAGAAGTATCCGTAATTGCTGACTACTACAGCCACGACACTGACATAGCTGCATTAAATGTGAGCGAAAAAAAACCACATGTGAGAGAATGAGAGCAAAAAATACCGTATGAGAATGAATAAGACGCAGGATAGACTGTTTGGAATCGAGCTCGTCAACGACTGTATACGAATGCTCGCCTATACATGCCTCATATGAAAAATAGACGATTGGCTTTGGTAAAGGCGCCATTCTGCAGGGAGTGTGAGGATATAACTAGACGTAATCAGTTAGAATACCGCGACAAACACGGGAACGCAACAGGGAAAACAAAGGCTTACTCGTAAAATGCGATTGAGATAGATGCTATTCGCATATACTTCTCCGATGTTGTACTGTCTATAACCAAACTCCGTTCCATGGTATATATGTAAAGCCCGTGTTGATTCTGGTATGATGGTTCTACGTCAGATAGATCGTCGTTAATTAGGGAGGCAGAGGATGGGGTATATTTTGGATGTAGCAAGGCTCCGTGCCTATGGCGAAGGCTTCTGAAAATGGGACTTTGTGATCCGGACGCTTCGTTTTAATAAGAGGAAGCAAGACTGGGTGGATCGGAGGATCACGGACTCGGAGGCATCGTTTTTTCTAAGAAAACCGACGCTTTGAATTTAAAATTGATTGGACATGTTTCGAATGAGGATTCCTGGAAAGTTAGCTGACTTATTCCGAGGGTCGGAAATATTCAGACCCAGTAAAACTTTCGTGCTGGCAAGGCATGCATGTTTTAGTTTAATCGATTTTGCTGATGTAAGCAGGGGTTGATGGAATTCATTTATCCAACTGCCCCGAGGAACATTCACGTAAGGTAGTAACGAAATGATACCGTCGCGGGTGGTGAGGATCGGCGAATTCCCAGTGATCAAACTCTGCGGTCCTGCGGAGTGAGACGATATTCCGTCGCATGACACTGTCTCGATGTGATCATCCCTGCTCCTGTCATACGTAAAAGATTGCATGCGAAACGGTGAGCCTTTAGATGATTCACGCTCTCGTGGACGCTAGATAATTAACTTCAGTAATTGGATTGGGAGAGCGCTTGTACCTTCCGCAACGAAATCTAAGCCAAGACGGGGTGTAGATAAGAGATGTGATAAGACACACACGAAAATTTCTGTTCCTTGACAGTGACAGCACGCCTATGTTGTTGAACCACGTGAATAGTTTGGTTGAGTAACAGACATGCGGGAGATTCTGATTATTGAGGACGGGAGACACCACCGTCATTTGCAACAAAGAGATGGTGGGAAAAAAAGACACAAGTGGGTTCCATGGTAGTTAGATGTAGGAGTGACTGTCAACTTACTCGGGATGCTCATGTAAGAAGTGGGACAATCAACATGTGCGAGCTTGATTGATTTGTATAACTCACTTTGGCACTTGGTATCGTTTCGTCGAGCATATCATACCAGTGTGCTTTCGCAGGCTGCTTAATGAAGACCGGGAAATTTTGTGTAGTATCTGCTTAGGCAAAATGATCTTCCATTAGACAGAAGGGGGCGCAGTAGGTTCATAGTGAGAATGAAGAATGGAGATGACTCGAAATTTGCCCTGTTCAACGATTTAGTCAGATCTTTTCCCGGTTGGCTCGATAAAAGTTCGATCTGCGACAAGGATATGCCACTGCGGGATTTACACGTGGGTACTCTGCTACTGACTAGTAAAAGAGAGATCAAAAATAATTTCTCAGATACCCCACGCACCTTCATGTCGTCGTATTCGCCTCTCCAAATGCATGATCTAGATCATCAGCCTGAAGACACTGAAGGTGATATTCTCCTCCCCGGCAAACACATCCCCGAGCACCGCACTGTGAACCCCTCATCTAAATGGCCTGCTTGGGCAGCGCTAGTGCTACAGGTCATCGCAGTTATTTGCGCGTGCGCATTGTATAACGTTGCCTCTGCCTCTGTTCCTGGGCAGCGCAATGTCCAAACGTTGCGTCAGCAAAACCAGTTTCCAGGCATAGAATCGGTGGGCAGCCCTCAACAAAAGCAAAGGGGTACGTGAGTTCAGTGATTGTGCACATTATAATTATGTCCTGAACAAACCTATGTGGCTAGCACCAAAGTTGTACTTTCCAAGCGCCATAGTACGGGTGAACAAAGCATTGCCTGACCAAGTGTATAATTCAGGCTCGCACGTCATACTGAGCGACAGCGTAAGTGAAACCTCGTGCCCTGAAGCGACTTAGTTATTGATATTGTTCCAGGACTCGATGTTCTTTCAGTGGCACCTCGGCCAGTCCAAATTCACCTCTTGCTACATCGACAGCATCGTTCCCACCGTTGAAGATGGTCTTGCAGCCAACAAGTCCTATACTTCATCTGGGTCAATCACCGAAATCCAAATTTGGAATGTTACCACTCCTGTCGAGGGCATGACGAACCTCAGCTGGAACACACGACCCCAACGAATTGCACTAATGGGCACTGTCGCGTTCCTTCCTGAGAAAGAGAAGATTGAGCAGCTAGGACTCGAAGATGGCTGGCAATCACAGCTGGCAACGCGGTTCTCGTGTGGGAAGGAAGCGGTTGTTATTACCGTCGAGGTTGCATGCAATAGTTGTAGACTTGAATTCGAGCAAATATTCTCGGTTCCTCCGTTGGGTGAGTACGGCGGTGTCACGGATTTGAATTGGCGGACTGATCTCATGATGTATTATAGCTTTCGACCTGATGGAAATAGGATAAGTATCATTCAGAAATGAATTTCAAACTCCGTCGGCACTTTTTTACATGGTTTCTATTTCCTATATAGCCCCGAACGAGAGAGCGTCTGTAAGATAATGGTGGAGCCTGGCGAGAAAAACGTCGACAAACTCGTTCGCCAAATTGCTAGTTGTGAAAACCATTCCTATATTGCAACATCTACTTGTCTACCTTGTACAAAGTGTTGATCACGTATCCTGTGAGGGGCATAAAAACGGAAAGGTACAACGCAGAATACAACGGTTTCTGAACACTTTTGCGCTTCTCATTATTGATTCTACGTACTCTCCGCAACCTTCTTCTTGATAACATCAACCACACCAGGTTCAGCAACAGTGCTGAGATCACCGAGTTGATCGCCTTCACCAGCAACGATCTTGCGCATGATGCGACGCATGATCTGCACCAACATGAATCATTATATGATCGCTTAGGAAGAAACAGGTCTGGACTTGCCTTTCCGGAGCGGGTCTTGGGCAGATCACTGACGATGAAGATCTTTTTAGGTGCCGCGAAGGGGCCAATCACCTTCCTAACTTGGAGTACGAGCTCCTTAGCAAGGGAAGCCTCGTCATTGCGGTCGTACGTGAATTCCCTAATGTATCTGAAGTCAATCGACACTCAACAAAAGGAGAAAAGACTGACGGTTTAAGCGTGACGAAGGCAAATACGGCCTGTCCCGTCAACTCATCAGCAGTGCCGATGACTGCAGTCTCGGCGACACCCTTGTGCATGATCAAGGCGGACTCGATTTCAGCAGTCGACAAACGGTGTCCAGAGACATTGATAACATCTACAGAATGGTCATTACAGGCGGGACATCTTCCAAGGGACGTCCTCACCATCAATACGGCCCTTGATCCAAATGTAACCATGTTCATCGCGTGCGGCACCATCTCCTGTGTAGAAAAATCCACCGTATGGCTTCATGTACGTCTCCAGGTAACGGTTGTGGTCGTTGTATACGGTACGGGCAATTGAAGGCCAAGGTTGCTTGATGGCGAGAACTCCCTCAACATTGTTGCCCTCTAATTCCTGTGAAACTTTGTTAGTATCATAATCGAACAGAGTGCATTGATCTGAGTACCTTTCCACTGACAGGGTCCAGAATAGCAGGCTCGATACCGAAGAAGGGAACGGTTGCAGAACCAGGCTTAGTCTCAATCGCACCAGGGAATGGAGTAACCACGATCGATCCAGTTTCAGTTTGCCTTGAAGAGGATACTGAGCACGGCCACAAATAATTCGTGAATCCGCTTACCAGAACGTATCAACGATAGCGCACTGCTTCTTGCCAACATGTTCGTTGTACCAGTTCCAGGCTTCGGGGTTAATAGGCTCACCGACAGAGCCAAGGACACGTAAGCTACTGAGATCATAGTTCTCCACGTGTTGAGCGCCGAGTCTACGAAGGAGACGAATGGCAGTAGGAGCAGAATAGAACTGGGTAAGCTGATGCTTCTGGACGGTCTGCCAGTAGCGGGACGGCGAGGGGTAAACTGGAGTTGATTCAAAGACGGTAGTGCTGACTCCATTTGCGAGTGGTCCATAAACGATGTAGGTATGTCCAGTAATCCAACCGATATCAGCCATGCAGGCGAACTTGTCGTCTGGGTGGACATCGAAAACGTATTTAACAGTAAGGGCGGCGCAAAGGAGGTATCCGCCGGTGGTATGAACGACACCCTTTGGTTTCCCTGTAGATCCAGAAGTCTAAACATAGTTAAAAATCAAGAATAGGTAAAGACACATGGAAAGGAAGCCACTGACGTAAAGAATGAAGAGCGGATCTTCTGAGGACATGATCTCGTGTGGGCAGTAATTAGGGACTTTGGCAGTCTCCTCGTGCCACCACTTGTCCCTGCCATCGACCCATGGCACCTGGCCACCGGTGCGTCTGAGAACAAGGACATGTTCAACGATAGGGCATTCCTTGAGAGCAGCGTCTACAATTGCTTTGGTTGCAATTGACTTGCCACCACGCCTGCCCTCATCACTGGTAAGGACAACGCGCGACTTGCAGTCTTGAACACGATCACGGAGAGACTCTGCGCTAAAGCCAGCGAAGACTACAGAGTGAACAGCGCCAATCCGCGCGCAAGCGAGGAAAGCAGCAACGGATTGCCAAGTCATTGGCAGATATACAGAAACGGTATCGCCCTTCTTAACACCAAGAGCTTTCAGGACATTTGCAATAGAGCAGACCTCGCGGAGCAGTTCCGCATAAGTGACAAGACAGCCTTCATCGGGCTCGTCGGCCTCATAGATGATGGCGGTCTGATAGACAGTATAAGATCATGAAACTTTGACAAGAAGGGTGGTATTTACTTTGTTTGGATGTTTAAACGCCCAGCGATCGACACAATTGTAAGATGCATTAAGACCGCCCTCTGGGAACCAGACGATATCACCGGTTTCAAAACTACCAGCCCGCACAGTATGGAATGGACGGTCCCAGTGCAACGTGGTATGGGCCATCTAATGCATCCATCAATCAGCACGATATAAAAAGAAGTGGATACGCGAACTAGCCTTTCTCCACCAAGCATCAGATTCGTGGCCGAGGGTTTCCGCATGAGAAGACCTATATGCTGCAAGATCAGGACCGATATGAGGAACCTTCAAGCCATTCTTGAGGCGGGGAGCGACGGGATGAATTGGAACAGCGTCTTCAGACATGATGATGGGCGGGAGTTGATGACAGAAAGTTGATCACAAGCCCCTTGCTTATAACATACGGGCATCCGACCCCCACAAATCGTTATTTCGGTTCCTGCACAGCCACGATCCTTTTCGGCGTTAAAAGACATAACACTAGTCAAAATCAAGTTTAACCATCTGTTTGACCATCGAGCCAAGTTCAACTGACTTTTCGACTGGAAAGAAAGTAATGCTTCTTCGGGCCTCTTCTCCATTCTTTCTCCCTCTTATGATTGGAATTCATTATCCTGTGACCCGTTTTAACTCCTGGGTCCGCACTGGGTCCGCACCTATACCATGATTTCGTAGAATGGCTCAACCGGGGTTAACAATGTCACCATACGGTGAAATTAACTCAGTAAGCCGATGGAGAAACAACAAACTTGCTGACCATCAGTGAACAGATTATACTGTGCTACTGCTGCGGCTTGGTACCTCTCAGAAGACTGCTAGCCAATGTACTACTAGTTACGACGCACGAGCGATATATCCAAGGATCAAGTCACGACAATTCAAGTTGCACGGTTATGCTAAATCATTCACAGTGTCACCGATGGCTCCGCATGCGAACAACGAGTATTTGATATTTAATTTGAACATGATTCTGCCTAACGGTTGCCGATCCAAGGTATGGCCGATATTCATCAAATGCCGGTGTTGTCTCGAGCATGGGTCTATTGCAATCACTAGAAATCTTCGAGGTTTTAGATCGGACTATGTTTCTGCCACCCTGCGGCAGTACTACATGGCCGATATATCACGTGTTCGATAGGGTGCTTATCTTACAGGATTTGCCCGCCGCCACTGTGACTGTGACTTAAAGTTGACATCGCTATATAGCACCGATACTTACCGGTACTTATACCCCTTGATACCCTTGTGTTTCAGATTACTCATTCCATCGTTCATAATCGGCTTGTCGTACGTATTTTCTTGGCCTTGAGCGTTTCGTAATAACTTTGTATGTTATCATGATCAGCTTTGACCCGGACACCATCAGTGTTTGTGCGTGCTCCATCGTGGATTGTGGACGTCGATGCCGAGCAGCTCGCTCTTAGATCCGTTCTCGGGTGATCGATAGTCCTCGTGAATCAGAGTCGTGATTTTTGCACCATCGTCACTTTCCCTTGGCCGACCTGAGTTGATGGCTTGGAAGTGCTTGGAGTGGCACTGTTGCTCTATGGAGTAAGCGCATGGATCTCTTGGCCATATCTCTTGGCAACATCGTAATCAAGCGCAAAGCCCACTGTGAGGCTTGTCGACCTTTGTACACTGGCGACCACTGATATTTTGGCCTAAAACCTACTAGTCTTTTGAAAGGAGATCTCAGGGCAGTGCGGAAGGCAGACCCTTGCATATTTTGGACGGCGGGGTCGAAACGAACCACACGGATCTCCGCAGGGTCCCCACTGATATGTTCTGCCCCTACTAGTACCCCATATTCATCACTGTTGTGCGTCGGCACCCCGGAATAATGTCCTGCCAATGCCGATGTGAACATGTATATGGCAAGTACTCAAGTACATCAAAACAGCTGGACGGCATCCATGTGGTCAAATCTCATTTGTGCCATGTTTTATGTTTTGAGAAACTGGGACAACCGGAAAGCATTTTTTGGGGCTCAACAGATCATATTGGCACAACAAACACATAGTACGATTTACAAAGCTGGTTGCCGAAATCCGAGGATCAGTTGTGCATTACTTCAATGCGCCCTCTAACCAGTGCCGGTGCCGATGATAATCCCATTCTAGTTATCTGCATGCTTCGGTTGATTATGGGTCGGCACTGGATTCTGCTACAGAGCCGATGTGCTTCAGTCCATAATCAAGAGCGCAATGGCGATTATGTCATCCACAAATTTGTCCATGTACGATCGATCGTACACGTCGCAGACCTTGTCAATTGTATTGTTAGTCTTACAAAGTCAACTACAGCCAGATGAGAAGAATATTCGATCGTTTTAAAAAAATCGGTCAACGTACGGACGATAAAAGTAAAAGTCGGTATGTTTGGTTGGGATCCCGGATTTGCGACATGTCACAGTAGAGACTACAGTCAATATCTGAAGCACTCGTCGGTCAGAAGACAACGCACCCTCGCGCAATATTTAGCAAGTAGGCTGTAGTGTTGACCTGAGTGCTATTCTCATATACCGTTTGGTTGCGAGAGCCCAATGGCCCTCGACCTTTACGAGGTTCGTGATCACGAGCGCATTTGGATTTGTCTTGGAAGTTCTGGTCCCAAATGAGGAAGATGCTCGTTAGATAACTGAATTGATTATTGCTCCCTCAGCTCCGTCATGACCGCAAGTAATCGTATTTTCAGTCTTGCGTCCCCAAGGCACATTACTCGCATAAACGACCATGGAGACTATCCACACCAATGAGCATGATGTGAACGGTCATTGTAAGGCGGAGCCAAAAATAGTTGGTGTGATATACGGATCAACTTTGCACGATCGGTGTCATTTCCAGATTGCTTACGCTGTGAAGCCCATGATAACGCTTGCCTTGTATTCGAGAGTAAGTACATTTTCGTGACAACAGGAACCCACAATAAACATTCACCTTCTGACTACTTGCCCCCAATCAAGGGACGGATGAGGATCGGTGGAAACGAAGTCTCGTTTCGTGCAGTAGGTGAATTGTGCAACGGGGATGACACGGATCTATAGTATGTCCACGGTCCCGACATCCATGTGTCAACGGAAGTTATATCCTTGACTTGTACGATGATGTCATGGTCCAACACGATCCTCTTGTAAATATTCTGCTGCGCTAGCAAGATGAACCGAAAGGCTGTCCAAGACGAGCGACAGCAATGCTCGTGAGTAAGACTCTTTTTCTTTTTCTACAGGCGCACCTTGTCCCTCGTCAGAGTGTCCATCTGGGAGTCGTCCATCGGGGATTCGGGCTCGGTCTATCGTCTGCAAAGTCAGGCACCTCGAGGAAGACACCGATCACATGGATGAACAAACAAGAACTTTGTTGAATGGGCTTTTAAATTGCCCGCAAGAACTGAATAGGAACCTCTTGAGTGGTGACAAGCAGGTAGTGAAGTCCGTCTGCCATGATTCGATGCGTGATAGGCCCTGGGCTAGACCACGCCTCCATCCGACTTCTGTGACACGGAATGAAATGTAAGTCTGCAGTCCGCGAAACCAGGAGTTCTCAGCTGTTTAAGCTGGTCATAAAATTTCAATGCCAGACCTGCAGGCACGGTGTATCGCAGCGTAGACCTGTGCGCGAATATGATCTTTAGACAAGGATGAAAGAGTGCGTGGCGATGGCCTGCAGGAGCCGCTTGAGCATGTTCTGCCTCTTCTCGTTGTAGATTACAGGTAGGGGGCATTGTCAAGCTCAATCCACACTAGTGTACCGTGGATAACCATCGAGTTATCCACCCACGTGGATATCCACCTAGTTATCCACGTGGATAACTAGGTGGATAACTCAAGGCCGAAATCAATAGGGTGGATTATGTGAATAACTCAAAAAACAGTGTACGTGCCCAGGGTTACATTAAATAACATTAAATACACTTAAAAAGCAAACACTACAAGTCCGCATTGCAAGCCAACTTATTTTGGCAAAACTTTAAATTCGCGCAATATCAAGCAATGTTTGTTTGGTTACTGTTGAATATCGTCGCAAAAAATGAATGGAACATTGTGAACTTCGAGTTATTCATCCCCCAAAAAAACTTACATGCAGCAACATCTCAAGGATCAGCTAGTTGAACTGCTCAAAGCACTGCCAACTAAGGCTCCGTGAAAAACTACCCACGGAGTTTTTGACAAGTTTTTAACTCGCCCTCACTTTCGAGGGGGTTTTTGACACCCAAAAAATGTGTTTTTCCCGGTCATTTTGACATTTTTTTGCTACTATAATGCAAAGGTCCACTGTACATATTACAGGCCCTCGCGAAGGCATCGGAAAGGGTCCTGACGGAGGCAGACTGGGACATGGAATAGCTGTTACATGATGTATCTTTACTTAGTATTGGTGAACGAACGGAAATTTTGCGAAAACACGCCATGGGTTGAAAATTTTTGCAGCGCGCGGATCCGCCGGGCCGATTTTGCCGCTGGTGGATATCCACCCTACTCACCGGTGGATAACTGACCCCCAAATTCTCTAGGGTGGATATCCACGGTGGATAACTCCCAAAACAGTTATCCACGGTACACTAATCCACACTGCCCTTCGAATAGCCTAGTAGCGTCGGAAGGATAAGGATGCCGACAATACTAATAGAGTAAACACCGTTCGGACTTCCAAATTAGTCGGGGTAATCATTCATCATCGAGCGACACGCCCGGACCAAGCGCCAATTGCAAGGTCACAGCTCAGTGTCGATTAACGTCAACTCTTGATAATAATCGATATATATATACCGTGCTTGCACGTTTCATCACTTAGCTCGGTCTTTGAACGCTGTGTTTGGAAGATTCTCCGACTCGATACACGGCATTAATGGCGCGTCTGACGGAAGAAGACTCTGTCAAGTGCGAAGCTCGCGCACTTGCTCTTTGGATCTAAAGCTTATAAATCGACATCATAACTTATCATAAACGTCCACCCAGTCTACGAGCCAGTCCATGCACGTACTATATACCTTACATGTGGTCTTGTCGCACACTGCGGTACAACAGACGTCCAAGGTATGAACGCTTAACGCCTGATCTTTCGTTCTCCGAACTAACTCTCGTACTTCGTTCACAGTACCTTCGAGGTTTGTTGTTGGTTCACTTCCCTCATTCTAGTTTGTGCTCAAAACGTTGAAAAAGTTGCGCCGGCCGCGATCTGGGTGAGTGAACCACGTCCTCTCCTCGCGAGTGAATGCTGAGACTTTATTATCTTCATTAGATACTCGATTATTTTTTGACTTTTGAACATGAAGTCCGCCTGTTCAGCAACATAAGCTGCTGGAACATTGTCCCTGTCATGTTCATCTTAGCTAGATATGTTCCCGTATTATGGATCATCACCGAAATATATCGTGAGTAATGAATGCACTTCGTAGTTGGGGAAAGATTCTCAGGGACAGTGGTCTGCCAGTCACTCTTAGCCCACATTCAGCAGAAACGGTATGAACTTTCTGTGAACTTCATTCAACGTAATGATGTTAATGCCAAGCAACACAGTGCTTGACACTATATCGAACTAGTGGGGGTAGGTCTCGTGGTCGCTGGTTCAACGTCAGCTAATACATCCTAGCATTACTCTTTTTTATTATGTCCGCCACAGAAGGTTAGTTTGTTGGCATCAACAAAGAAAAAGAATCTCATGTTTCAGGTCTGCTTCTCGTGCGTATACTTGCCTTATGGCATAACAATAGGAAGATAAGGCTATTTTTATTGGCGAGCTACTTGGTAAACGCTTTGAATGTTTTGTTATTTGAAGTGGTGATCTAACTGAGCTTGAAGCTTATTGTTGTCGCCATGGTCATTTGCGATGCATTTGTGGCGTCTCTGCTCGAAAGTGTATGTGCGCCCACATCGACTCCGATCGCTTTAAGGTTTACGAAGGTGGAACGTCTGATAACGGGCAAGTTTATTAGCGCAGCACTGTTTGAATCCAGTGAGCAATTCAAGACGCTGCCTCGAGTTAGCTCTACTGATGAATCATGTTCAGTAGTGATCACTCTTATAATGTATCATTCAATACGACTACGCTCTGATGGCATACGCTCCATCGGTAGAGTGGGGTCAACCTTGTTGAAGGGAAGTTTGTTGTATGCACTGTCGCTTCTTGGTACGTCACCCGGTTTATGACTCCTTTATGTCCCGCTTGACTGTGTTTCAAGCAATTTCGATTATAAACATAGTTTCTTTTTCTTTGCCGGTACGTGGTTTCTATGCACCACGCTAGGGTAATATATGAATACCTAGTGCAGGCTTCATCGCGGGGGCAGGGTGGAATTGTATATGTGTAAGCGGGTGCACATTGTAACCAGAGATAACTGACAAATTTTCTGAACCAGGTTCCAAGGTGTCTTGCATAGTGTCTTGGCTTCGCGTGTTCTTTTTGATCTAAGGGATCTGAGGAATACAGGTCAAGATGAAGAACACGACTATTTATTCACCTCGTACATATCCCTTCCTTGCACTCAGCGCGCATCACAAATGATACCAATGACTGTCTTAGATGCCGAAAGTAATGCATGATTATGCCTCACCGTGTACAACGTCAATATCGTACGCACGCACATCGCAATCCTACTAACCGCTCGAATAATCGCACCTTACATATATCGTTCAATGGAGGATAAATTGAATGATCCAGGATGCCGTTGTATATTCATGTACAATCGGATATGAGTATTCTATGATCAGATGTGTTTGATGGCGCGAAGATTGATGCGTCCTTTCTCCGTAGCGCCATGACATCATGGCCCGTTGACGTTGTAACTTCTGTATCCGCACTGGGCCCGCAGGAACGAGGTATGATCGGAAATCACCGCTGTTGATATCGAGGCGCACACAAATCTGCGTGTTAGTCACGTCGCCTTAACATGCCGCCAGAACCGTACCAAATAACTGCGGGAAAGGAATTGGTTGACCCCAGAAGATGACAGTGTAGCTAGTCGGCACTGTGAATAATGGAAGCAGCCTTGAATTCAGGAAGGACATGATGGCGACGTGACTTTCAGCGATCTCAGATTAGTACACTAGTAGTACTTACTACAAATGTCTTACTCGGTGCTTGTGAGGTCCTTGTCCGGGCATTTCCGACACGCAAGTTCGGATTTTGCGATAAGACGACGCCGTGCCCTGCGGGCTGTGCCGCAGTGGGGTATTGAACCAAGTGAGTAGCACCGGCCATGATATTAAGTTGGCTGTACTCGGTGGTCGTCCTCAAACTGCTGAGGTCAGAGGGTGATGCGTTCCTGGCGCTCTAGCCTCCAGCCCTCTGCCATTTGCTCAAGGGCTTCCTCTCCGATAGGTCTTCCTGCAATAATAGCGTTAAGCTAACCCGCGTATGCGGGGAACTCGAAGTTCGGTTGTGCAGGTCGGCCAAGATGCAATTCATGTGGGGCCAAAGGTATGTCGGGAGATTGTCTAGGTTGTCGAGATATGAATACACAAACAAGGGAGAGGAATCAATGAAAGAAAAGAAAGGAGGAGATGCAAAGTCGTCGAGGACGACTGAGAGCTGAGCGCTGAGAGTACGAGACCGTCGCAGCAGGAAGGCAAAAGCTCGTACTGCATCCGTCGTTTGCGCAAAGACGGTCTGGATTCAAAAAAAACAAAAGATAAAATAGGTAACGCATCATGCATCAATATTTGCATCACGAATCTGATAAGGGCTATACTGGCTATGCTGCAAACATCAGGCAAATTGTACATTGCACTGCCTGAAGACGATGCCTGCTGGTATAAAATACCAATAGTGAATAAGTAGGTGCATATGATCATCATACACCCCAAAGTGACATCTAATTAGTAATGCGCTTACTAGTACTTCTCTGTGTCTTCCTCTACTACCTCGTTGGAGTGATCCGAGCTGCACCTACAACAAATACAACAAATACTACCACTAGTGACATTTTTAAAGCCCCATCGTTCACCACCAGAACCCTATGGAGCATAATTTCTAGCTCCGTTCTCACTCTTTTTGCATGCGTTTACAGTGCCATCCACCCTAATATTCCGAATCCTAAACACAGCGGCTACCCTCATACTCTATGGCGACAACTTGGCATGATGATAATGGCACTGATCCTTCCTGAACTGATCGCCACATGGGCTATGCGCCAATGGTTCAGCGCTCATCAAGTTACAAGGCAGTTCGAGAAATCGGGGTATCCCAACGTTCGTCCGGAGTCTGAAGGTGAGTTGTGCGTTTGGAAACCCTACATCTCATAGCTCACTATACACGTCCTTAGAAATGAGTTCTGTTAAAGCACCTGGAAATCGCTTCCTTCGCTGTATTCTCTTGCCTTTCGTTCACATCTTTCTCCTCCTTGCTAAAGGTGTATTATCTGTACCGGTATCTCTTTTGCGTGTCCTTTGTGCTCCTGTGATGTGGGTCGCAAGGCGGATTAAGTCAGAGCAATCCGAGTCTGACTTGGAAGGTAAACCACATTCGTGCTCACCCAAACGTTGGCTCATGTGCATCCTTAGATTATACGTGGACTCAGACGCACAGCTTCTTTGTGCTGATGGGTGGTTTTATGCTTTATGTGGACGGGAAACCTTACCTTACACTACGTCCTGATTACATCGTCAAACTGACACGTGAGGGGTGTATCGACGTTTCTACCCTAACGGCAAAGCAGATTCACGACAGGAGTAAAGGCAATGCGATATCGAAAGGATCGGTCATCCTTCAGGTGGCCTGGTTCATCATCCAGCTCATCACCCGCGCCATCTACCATCTCGAAACCACCCAGCTTGAAATGGGGACACTCGCTTTTGCGGTTCTCAATTTCCTAACTTATGCTGTGTGGTGGAACAAGCCTCTCGATGTGCAATGTCCACATCCAGTGTACTGGAAGTTGACCGAGTCAATGCCAGAGGATCACATTGAGTATGTATGCGCCTCAACAGTTATATCGCTGTTGATCATGTCAGCCTTAGTGTCATTGACAGAAACGAACTCGCTCGGTTTGGGATCTTGGCACCAGTCTTTCGCCCAGTTCTAGAACTGATAGGCATCCCTGACATTCCCACGTCTCGAAAGCTCCAAGTCCCGACATTCGATGGCAGCATCAATCTCGAAGATTCGGACAAGAACATTCTTCAGCTTGCTGCGTTGCTCATGGCGAGCACGTTTGGCGGCATCCATTTTATGGCTTTATTTTATACTTCTTCCCCAGGCAGGAATCAGGCCACACTGTGGTCGATGAGTTCCTTCATTATAATTAGCGTACCGTTTGCTTATGTCCAGATTTATTTTATGTTGCCGAACCGGTATCTTACACCATTTTTCATCGTGGGCTTTTCATTACATGCCCTGTTGTACATTGTGGCTCGTGCCTGCCTCTTGGTACTTATGTTCACCACTTTACGCCATCTTCCTCCTGACGCACACATCGTGGTGTCGTGGACCAGTTTGGTGCCGCACCTATAATTCTTGATCATGATACTTACTATGCATCTCATATTTTTCTGATGATATTCAGATGCAGCATTCTTGTGGTTGACGGTGGTGCTAAATTGCAACCAACACTTGTAACCATCCCCCCATTTGCTTCTCGGCCTGCCTGAAACACGCCTTCCCCAAACCCGCTGAATTGCTCGAACCCATGCCCCCAGTCATGGATCGTTGGAAATGAAGTGTCGTTTCGTGCAGTGGGTGAATTGTGCACTTGTAAATATTCTGCGACACGCCGCTGTCCAAGGTGAACGACCGCAATGCTCGTGAATGAGGTTCTTTTTCTCTTTCTACAGGCGAACCTTGTCAGAGCGTCCATCTGGGAGTCGTCCATCGGGGATTCGGGCTCGGTCTATCGTCTGCAAAGTCAGGCACCTCGAGGAAGACACCGATCGGATGAACAAACAAGAACTTTGTTGAATGGACTTTTAAATTGCCCGCAAGAACTGAATAAGGACCTCTTGAGTGGTGACAAGCAGGTAGTGAAGTCCGTCTGCCTTGATTCAATACGTGATGGACCCTGGGCTAGAACACGCCTCCGTCCGACTTCTGTGACACGGAATGAAATACAGGTCTACAGTCCGCGAAACCAGGAGTTCTCAGCTGTTTAAGCTGGTCATAAGATTTCAATGCCAGTGGCCCAGACCTTCAGGCACGGTGAGTCGCAGCGTAGAGGGCCTGTGCGCGAACATGATCTTCAGGCAAGGATGAAAGGGTGTGTGGCGATCTCCTACGGGAGCGGCTTGAGCATGTTCTGCCTCTTCTCGAGCAAACAAGTCAAAACACGTCCATTTGACAGTTACTTTGCCAAGCCGCTAAGATATATCTTCCGGTGTCGACACCATGCCAAAGAAGGATGCTGCCCCTGCTGTCCTTCGAATAGCCTAGTAGCGTCGGAAGCCGATAATAGCCAAAGAAGTATGCTGCCCCTGCTCCAAACTGTCCTTCTAGTAGCGTCGGAAGCCGATAATACCAGAATAAACGTAAACACCGCTCGGACTTCTAAATCAGTCGGGATTCGTAGTAACCTGATCATCATAAATATCCCAAGTCATCCATCATCGAACGACACCGTGGCGCCCGGACCGAGCGCCAAGGTCGCAGCTCAGTGTGCTCAGCTCTTGATATATATATACCGTGCTAACACGTTTCATTACGGTCTTTAAACGCTGTGCTTGGAAGATTCTCCGACTCGATACACGGCATTAATGGCGCGTCCGACCGAAGAAGACTCCTTCAAGTGCGAGCCTCGCGCACTTGCTCTTTGGATCTAGAGCTTATATATTAAGCATCAGAACTTATCATAAATATCCACCCAGTCTTAGTCTACGAGCCAGTCCACGCACGCACTACTATATACCTTACATATGGCCTTGTCGTACACTGCACAACAGACGATCAAGGTATGAGCGCTTGACGCCTGATCTTTCGTTTTCCGAACTAACTCTCGTACTTCGTTCACAGTATCTTCAAGGTTTGTTGTCGGCTTACTTCCCTCATTCTAGTCTGTGCTCAAAACATTGAAAAAGTTGCGCCGGCCGCGATCTGGGTGAGTGAACCACGTACTCTTCTCGCGAGTAATGCTGAGACTTTATTATCTTCATTAGATACTCGATTATTTTTTGACTTTTGAACATGAAGTCCGCCTGTTCAGCAACATAAGCTGCTGGAACATTGTCACTGTCATGTTCATCCTAGCTAGATATGCTCCCGTAATATGGATCATCACTCAAATATATCGTGAGTCATGCACTTCGTTGTTGGGGAAAGGTTCTCAGGGACAGTGGCCTGTCAGTCACTCTTAGCCCATATTCAGCAGAAACGGTATGGACTTTCTGTGAACCTCATTCAACGTAATGATGTTAATGCTAAGCAATACAGTGCTGGACAGTAATTACAACTAGTGGGAGTAGGTCTCGCGGTTGCGGATTCAACGTCAGCTAATGCATCCTAGTGTCCCTCTTTTTTATCATGTCAGCCGCAGAAGGTTAGTTTGTTGACTCAACAAAGAAAAAAATCTAATGTTTCAGGTCTGCTTCTCGTGCGTATACTTGCCTTATGGCATGACAATAGGAAGATAAAGCTATTTTTATTGGCGAGCTACTTGGTAAACGCTTTGAATGTTTTGTTATTTGAAGTGGTGATTTAATCGAGCTTGAAGCTTATCGTTGTCGCCATGGTCATTTGCGATATACTTCTGGCGCTTCTGCTCGAAAACATATGTGTGCCTACATCGACTCTGATGGTTTCAGAGTTTACGAAAATGGAAGACCTGATAATGGGCAAGTTTGTTAGCGCAGCACTGTTTGAACTCAGTGAGCAATTCAAGACGCTGCCTCGAGTTAGCTCTACTGATGAATCATGTTCAGTAGTGATCACTCTTATAATGTATCATTCAATACGACTACGCTCTGATGGTATACGCTCCGAGATCGGTAGAGTGACGTCAACCTTGTTGAAGGGAAGTTTGCTATATGCACTGTCGCTTCTTGGTATGTCATCCGGTTTATGACTCCTTTTATGTCCCACTTGACTGTGTTTCAAGCAATTTCGATTATAAACATAGTTTCTTTTACTTTGCCGGTACGTGGTTTCCATGCACCACGCCAGGGTAATATATGAATACCTGGTGCAGGCCTCATCGCAGGAGCAGGGTGGAATCATAGTTGTGTAAGTGGCTGTACATCGTAACCAGAGATAACTGACAAATTTTCTGAACCAGGTTCCAAGGTGTCTTGCATAGTGTCTTGGCTTCGCGTGTTCTTTTTGATCTAAGGGATCTGAGGGATACAGGTCAAGATGAAGAACACGACTATTTATTCACCTCATATATCCCTTCCTCGCACTCAGCGCGCATCACAAACGATACCAATGACTGTCTTAGATGCCGAAAGTAATGCATGATTATGCCTCACCGTGTACAACGTCAATATCGCACGCACACATGTCGCAATCCTGAAACACATAACAACCGCTCGAATCACCGCACCCTGCATATCTCGTTCAATGGAGGATAAATTGAATGATCCAGGATGACATTGTATATTCATGTACAATCGGATATGAGTATGGTCCGATGTGTTTGGTAGCGCGGAGATTGATGCGTCCTTTCCCCCTAGGGATCTGATGACACCATGGCCCGTTGACATTGTAACTTCTGTATCCGCACTGAGTCCGCAGGAACGAGGTATGATCGGAAATCACCGCTGTTGATATCGAGGCGCACACCTATTAACAGAAATCTACAGTACCAAATAACTGCGGGAAAGGCTTGGCTGACTCCAGAAGATGACAGTGTAGCTTGTCGGCACTGGATAATAAAAGTAGCCTTAAATCCAGGTACTACTATCTCCAGGAAGGAACCGATGGCGACGCGACAACATTATTTCTCAGTGACCTCAGATTAGTATTAAACTAGTAGTACTTACTACAAATGTATCACTCATGTGTCCTCGTCCGGGCATTTCCGACACGCAAGTTCTGATTTTGCGGGTAAGACGCCGTGCCCTGTGGGCTGTGCCGCAGTGGGGTATTGTACCGAGTATACTAATAGTAGCACCGGGTCGCCCCATGATATTATGTAAGTAAGCTGATGGTCGCCGATTCGGACAGCTTCTGTTCGTTTTACATCGATGCTGTACATTGTTTTCCCAACGTTACTCTTTGTATTGCATATACATCTTGCAACATCTAGTTTGTGATTGCCCTTCTCAGTTTTGTTCAAGACGCCCAAAGACAAATAATGAACAGGATGTATATGGTGCACCCCAAGCTGACATCCAATATGTTTACTACTTTTCTGCATCCTCCTTCACCTCGTCGCAGTCATCCAAGCTGCATCTACAACAGTTCTGAAACTGGACAGAACCATAGAAGACGTCATCTCCAGCTCTATTTTCACTCTGTTTGCGTGCACATACACTGCCATCACCCCAGTCCCAAACGGAGTCCGCCTTCGTATCCTATGGCGACAATTTGGCATGATGACAGTTGGCACTAATCGCTCCTGAGTTGATCGTGCCTAGGCTATGTGCCAGTGATTAAGTGCTCGCCGTGTTACAGGACGGTTTAAGGAATTGGAGTATCCCGCCGTTTGTCCGGAGTCCATCATTTGTACTTGTGTTTGTTCAGCAAGTACATGCTAGAACTCCAGTGCCCACTCCAAGATATGAGGGAACACTTACTCTCGCGAAGTTATTCAAGGCTTATGTTTTAGAGCAATCTAAAGGTAAGCCCAATTCGTGCCCACTCAAACGTTGACTCATGTGCATCCTTGACTTATTCATGGACAGACGCACCTTCTTTGTGCTCATAGGTAGTTTCATGCTTGGACGGGGAACCCTACCTTACACTGCGGCTTAATTTCACTCTTGAACTGTTGCGTAAAGAGTGGTCGACTTCCCTATCCTAACGGCGAACCATATCTACGATACAAGCAAAGGCAATGCGATATCGAAAGGATTGGCCATCCTTCAGGTGGCCTGGTTTGTTATGCGGCTCAGAACCCGCGCCATCTATCACCTCGAAACCACCCTAACTAACCATATAATATCCATCCAGTGTACTGGAAGTCGACCGAGTCTGGGCCAGAATATCACATTAATGAGTATGTATGCGCCTCAACAATTATACCGCTGTTGATTATGTCTGCCTTAGTATCTATGAAAGTGAAGTCGCTGGGTTTGGGTTCTTTTTTCCAGTCCTCGACCGAATTGCAGACCTGTTTGACATTCTCGCGCCTCGAAAGCTCCAAGTTCCAACATTCGATGGTAGCGTCGAACTCGGATGTTTGGACAACAAGGTTCTTCTACTTGCTGCATTAGTTATGACAACCGTATTTGACGGCGTCCATTGTATGGCTTGGTCTTTTGCCTTCAGGAACAGGTGCTATGGCGCACGAGTGCTCTCGTTGTAACTTGCACACCCTTCATTACATTCCCCACTGCATTTAGATCTCTTGGACGTCATGTACTTTAGGCTGTACCCATCGCCGTTTAGCGACCTGAGCTGTACCATATTGTACATCACAGCTCGTGCCATCCTCTTGGTACTTATGTTCACTTTCCACAATCTTCGTCCTGGCGTATACAAAGTGGTGTCGTAGACTAGTTTGGTGCCGCATTTATAGTTCTTCATTATGGCGATCGAGATACACCTTCTCATGGTATTAAGATGTGGTATTTGGAAACCACTCGTGTGCGGAGTGGAAACACTAAGACAATTCTAACTGCAGTACGTGTTAAAGCGTATATGATTGAACGGAAAGAGAAGTGATACTGATACATGAGTATGCGTTTAGTGTTAAGGCAAATATAAGTGAACAGTACGCGGTGTCCAATCATTGTCGAGGACGCTTTGATGACGTCTTTGGTGACACGTCAGTGATATATGCGTAAGCCATGCTTACAGTATTCTTGTAGTCAACGATGAAGCTAGGTACATGAGCTGTTTCGCAACTGCTATGGACGATGCGATTGATGACCTGACGTGTGGCATGACTTGAACCAAACAAACTCTGCTCAAGTCTTGCTCGAACTCATCGATGCATCATGGACGGCAGCGAAATCTGTTTGGACTGTGATCAGCCACCATCTAATGTTCTAGCCAGGAACACTGTATCCCCTCAGACTGACGAGGCCGTGCAAGGTATGTTTCGTTCGGATAACGGTCCGTCCAAAGTCCAGTAGTGTAAAACGGAGACCACATGTTTATGCTCCCCACAATTCACCACCGCCCTGCTTTCCCTCTATGTTGTTTAAAGATATTTCGTCCGTGTTGTCACTTTTAAGTGCACTGGGACAAGCTTCAGGGAGATTTGTCAACCTAATCGTGGTGGTATCAATGCCTATCGTAGTCGTGGCGAGAGGGTCGTTAAAGCGGTGACGCCTGATAGGCAGTGATCCGATAGTTATAACGGGTGAAGATTGCCACGGTACTGGCGAGGGTGTATCATCTTTTGCGCTCATTCTCAAGAAGAATGCCACGACCACGTTCAAGTTCGCGACGATCAAGGACACGGAAGTCTAAATGGTGATCAATGATATACGCTGTCTGAGCACTGATAGTACTATACCTCGACCGCAGCAGCCATTGCCTCCTTCAGTCCTTCATTCGACAAGATATAATATGCATGGACAAGACTAACAACGGTGGTGATTGCTGATGTCGAAAAGATGGCAAGTATCCGTATTTTCTGTGCCTTCGTCAATCTGACTTTATAAATGAGGCGAAATGGGGCCAAGATAAGCACAGTGTCTCCAAAAACATCAGCTGAAATGTTAATCAGAAAATTATTGCATCGTATGGGCTGTTGACCCTCACTGATGATCTGCGCTATTGCAACATTTTTGCCGAAATCGCACTGCGGGCGTGGTTCTGTTTTCCAGTCGGGTTCATCTTCACAAGTCCACAACACCTGTGCAGAGAGTACAGCCCATAAGATGACGAAGACCATTGTGGTACGTATGAGGATCTTCCTGAGGGTTCCTGGGGCTGTGAGTCGTACAACTGTCAACAGAATTGATATCCTGGAGCACCTATTATAAACGTGTATATCAGTTGTGTCGCCTTAACATGCCGCCAGAGCCGTACCAAACAACTGCGGGAAATAATTCGATGAGCCTAGTACCGAAACAGTTTTAGCGTCTCTCAAGCATCACGATATATGAGAACATACATGTAATACAGTGCTACCCTCGTGCCCTGGGGATATTTTTCTGGGTGTCTGTAGGAAATGGTATGTACCATACACAGAAAACGAGGCTCACCGTAGGCTTCCATATATATCCAATTGACAATTAATAGGGTAAGAATGAATAGCATGGCGAAGGTCGCCCATAAGTCATCGATCCACAAATGTCCTTGCCGCGCACGACAATACAAGCGGAATGATGTGACAATGGCCGCCACAAGAGGCATGACTGTGTTTAAGACTTGGACGAGCATCAGCCGCAGCGACGTAGCAAGTCAAGTCGATGAGACTTACCATCTGCCTGAACAGTGGTGAGGTTCGAGGGTGACATTATGCAGTTGTTGTTGCAAATCAAAAAGGCTGTCAAATAGCATATCAGTCATGTATAGTTTTGTGCCTCCGCCCGGCGATGTACGAGGCAGCCATGTGGATAGTACAACATGTAGAAGGGCGCAACCCATATCTTGAAGAATGGCGGGTTTGTCCATTTTGATCCATTGCATCACGGGCCATGGCGAGATTGGGGTGAACTAGTAAGTGCAGCTCACCAATACATTTGTGACTGGAATGACTTGTGAGCAATTCGTGAACTTCAAGATACATGGAACAGAAGATGACAGTGTAGCTTGCCGGAAGGTATGTGGTTTGCCTACAAAGATTTGTTTGAAATGTTGAGATACCGTGACTACATAGCAAAAGGCTCTCGGGAGATTCCGAATCCCGCGGCCGCTGCAGCAGCCCTGTCTCCCGAACAAAGGTGCTTATTATGAATCCGTTTGGTGTCGGGTTGATTGTAATAATGATGATACACTCCCTCCATGCATATCTTCACCGGCACCCTTTGCGCCCTCCTCTCTACCTCTTCCATCATCCCTTCCTCTTTAGGCTTTTACTCCTTCTGTCGCTCCGCCCTTCCCTCAAAATCCTCCTTTTGTTCTTATATGGCGGCCTTCTTGAATGCGTCTGGGAGCTACAGCAGAGATACGCGCTAATTTCAAGTTCGCTCCTCTAGCAGGTGTGACCGACTTCAAAGGTGCGTATATTAACACCGTCTCGCTAGGTGTAGTGACCAAGGCCGGTATGAAGGATGCGGTGGTGTCGACCCTCGGTGTTATATGTGTGGTACCGGGCCCGCAGCACCATCTCTTTGAGGATAATAAGACAAGGACTCGAAGGTGTCGCTTTCTCAGGCTTCTCAGCTCCCGCCGCCATTCTCCATACAAGTCTGTAGAGTTTTATCATCTTGTGTCTTGGACTGACACCAACTACATTTCTCCGGCAGTCTCAGACTTAAGCCAAAAGCGCTGGTGGAAGGTACGCATCTCAGTTTCCTTCACAGTTATCCGTTCACTTAATTAAGAACTACAATGACAAAGTAAGCAAACTCGCAGGTTCATTCGTTGTCGTTTCCATCACTGTTCTAATTGATTGCTTCCAGGTTGACGGGACAAGACTACTACTCGTAACGCAGGCCTAGTCTCGTTCCCCCAACCTCGATGCACTCTGATGCTATTTTCGACACGTTCCTGGTTACTTCGTCGGTTCTTTGCTTTGTAAATGTGCTAATTGAACCGTTTCGTATCCAGGATCCGGGCTCGTCAGTGCTTTTTTCCTAAACCACTAAAATGAGCGTTTCTCAACTAGCCCAGCTACTTCCAGCAGTCAGACCTTACTGGGTTTTACCTCCCGGTATTAACGATTCCCGGATGCCCTCAGGTGTTTAGGGGTATACCAGATTTCCGCAACTCTCGGTGTCCCTAAACGCATCGCTCTGATGTGATTTATATGCACTGCACATGTGCTATAAATATGACAACCGAAGAGAGAAAGCGCCCTATCACACAATCGACAGTATTCGGATATCAGACTGTCCAACTTGTGTCGAATGATCTTCAGTCGTCAGGTAAGAATCGTAAGATTTGTGTGTTATCCGCCGTGAATACTTTTGAACTGTCCTACTCACTGGCATGGCACAGATATTACCCGAAGAGAGACGGTCTGACAAGGCTCTTTTCTGATAAATACCAGGTGAGCCTCACTTGTAATGGTTGTCCATCCTGCCATGCTCTCTTCTTACGACGTACTCATTGTCGGTGCCGGTGTAGCAGGCCCAGCTCTTGCCCATGCCCTTGCCACAAAGACATCTAATAGGCGTCGTGCTCCTTTGCGGATAGCTCTACTTGAGCGTTCCTTGTCGAAGCCAGACCGTATCGTTGCCGAAATGCTCCAGCCTGGAGGCGTCACCGCGCTCAAGTAGCTTGGTCTCGAGTCATGCCTCGAGGATCTTGGCTCTGTTTCTTTGTTAGGGTTTCACGTCCTGCGAGGGGAGCAGGGCATTTGCGCCTCGTTCCCTGAAGGCCATGTCGCGCGAGCTTTTGAGCATGGAGCGTTTGTCATGGCCTTGCGCGACCGCGCACGGCGGGCGTCCAATGTTGACGTGATCGAGACTACAGTAATCAGTCTCATCGAGAATGAGGACACACATCGCGTAATAGGTGTTCATGCCTCCAAAGCAGGTGGTCAGCCAGAGTCCTATTTTGCTGACCTCGTCATTGTCGCGGACGGCTCCTCATCCAAGTTCAGAACTGCCGTCCTCGGAAGCATGCCATATGAGCCTTCGCAAAGGGGTTACTTGGCAGGTCTGATTTTGAAAGACCTGAAGCTGCCAGTTCCCCAGTATGCCACTATGTTTGTACTGAAAGGCGCTGGACCGGTCATCCTTTTTGAGCTCCCCAACAATGAGTATCGTATGCTGGTCGAATTGAAGGAGTCGCCGCCAGATCTCAAGGTGCGTAATTCTGCCTTATTGTGCGGTCGTGATCGCCCCCACTTACCATCAATATTGCAGGAGCATATACTGCGCGACATTGTTCCCCAGCTTCCATCGTCGATCCACGCGCCTATTCTCAATGCTCTAGAAACGTCGCGTGTGCGACGAGCACCGCATTATTACCTTCCGCCCACAAAGCAAGGAGAGCGTAGCAAGGCAGGAGTGTTTCTGCTGGGAGATTCATTTAATATGCGTCACCCGCTGACTGCGGGTGGAATGACGGTCGCCTTGAATGACGTAGTCATCCTTTCTGATCTTCTGGCCCACGTCGAGAGCTTTGGCAACTGGGATGAAATCTCGGCTGTCCTCAAGAAGTGGTACCGCATGAGAAAACCGCTCGCATCCACCATCAATACCATGAGCATGAGCTGGGCTGGGATATTCGCGGCCCATGGTACGTCAATATCAGCTGTCGAATGCTTGAAGGCTTATGATCGTAGGCGAGGCGTTTGACATTATGCAGGAAGGAGCATTCAAGTTTTACGGGAAAGGTGCCAAGTATTCTGACGAACCCATGTCATTAGCAGCCGGGTCAGTAATACATATATTCATAATCGTCATGATCATGCTGATCTGGTTCTGGAACCCCCAGGATCCTGAAATCTCCGTCACTGCTGGCACGCAATTCGATTGCCATAGCGGTATACTCCATCTGGGTGTTGTTTACCCATCCTAGACCTGGGAATGAATATGCTCCGCAGTTTTACGAATACCCGTTGCTTTTGGTTAAAGCGCTGAACGTCGTAAGATTGTTTAATAAGCGTTTTGGAACATGTTGATTGATTTTTATGGTATAGATATGGACTATAGGCGTCGTGATGGGGCCGGTGATGTGGGCAGAAATGTGATCTTGGGACATAGATGAGTTTACAACGTGATGGAACGCTCGCAATAAAGACTTTCAATATTATGCCCCATGTACTGCATCACCTATGATTGACTTATTCTTCTGATTCGCACACTGCCAAGTCTAGTGCAACTGGCATAAAGCCGTTGATTAACAACTGATATAGGGCCTGGTGTTGGCCGCCCCAACGGTTGACACTCGCAGGTTATGCCGTAGGCGTGTCGAAATCATCATTGATAGGTGTTATTTGATGTCGATGTCGACGTGAAGTGACTTTCAGGTAACTTCAAACCTTAGTTCTCGACATCCTGTCGACGGCTGCTTCACCAGCATTGGACCGAGCTCCAACGTGGTCATATTGCGACAAGGAAATGAACCCTGGTGTGGCATGAAGTGCACAAATGACACAATCTTCCCATATCATGGTCTTATCACCAAGCATCGAAGTATATTTTGGTATGTATTCGTTATAAACATTCCCCGAGACGAGTAGTGAAAACTTCCAAAGGTCAGATTTCATAGAAATGAACACTGTCAGTCTACCCTCAAGAAATCACCGATAGCCTTGAAGTAATAATCCCTATCCTCGAAGAACGCAATATGACTCTTCGCAAACCTGACCCACTTAACTTTAGGTATTTTCTCGATGAAAGGAGCAATCACGTAGTCCTGAGCTCCCTCTTCGGGCCCATTTGTGACGAGGGTAGGACATGGAATACGATGAAGGCGGTCAATCACTGACCAAGTTCTCAATGAACCAGTCGAGTGGAACTGTGCGGGCCCTGACCTGAATTTCAGGACTGAGCTCAGAGTCCTCCGGAATTCGAGTGGTTGGGCTGCTTACATGGCATTCGACACGGTGGGATCTTCTTCTACGGAAGCAAACGAAGCAACCAGCTCTTCAGGCCAGGGTATGGTCTGGCATGTGTGCTTGTTCATAAAGACTTGGATGGCTGCTTGATACTCCGCCGATGAGACGGTGCCTTCTCTCTCGTGTTTCAACACCATCTCTTTGAACTCTACCGGAAAAGCTTCCAGATATCCCCGCATACTCTCTTCCCACAGTTGCTCCGAGGGTGGAGAGCTGGATATGACTAGACGATGAAGGCCGGGAGGTTGACGTTGGGCGACATAGTCAGCAGCCAGCATCCCTCCCCACGAGTGCCCCAGAAGGTCAAAGTCGCTCTCGACACCGAGCTGCACGAGAAGGTTGTCGAGTTCGTCCATGAATAGTTCTGGGGTCCAGAATTCGGCAGGTTTGTCGCGAAGATGGGTGGATTTTCCGATGCCGAGTTGATCATAAAAGATGACTGGGATGTCGTATAGAGAATAGATCTCGGTATGCGATATCATGTAGATATGAGACATCCCGGGACCTCCATGGAGCGTGACAAGTGGCCGTTTGCCTGACTTGAGGTCACCAACGATGTTGTACCAGGTTTGGTATGTCTCGTCACCGACTTTGAAGTCGACAGTGCCCGTGGTACTATTCATCAGTGGGGTAGGCAGTGTTATTGGGAATTATAGACATTATTCTTTCAGATAAGGCTCGTTAATATAGCAGCTGTGTGAGAGACGTGAGATCTTGAGACGCGGCATATATAGGTCCTCTTCAATTGGCCATGTGGAATCGGCGAAAAGGTCCTAGATTGCAAATATTGCATCTGGAAAGACGGAGGCCGAGGTCTACCCGTTATCAACATGACGTCCATAATAGGGACTACTTCGGCGCTTCACGTTGCAGATAATCGCCACGGTTCAGTATACCAAAATTATCTCCTACAGCTTGCCCACAGCCTTTGCGAAAACATGACTGATACGAATGACTCTTCTACGATTCCAAATGCCATCATGTGTGATTGATCCAGAGCAGGATAATACTTTCCGTGCTCTAGCAGCTACCAGTGGATACCTCAGAGTCGGAACAAGATTCGCTTGAAATGTCCGCAGTGTGGAACGGAAATGGAGAAACCTCGGTATTGCTCAAAGGGTCAGGAGTCGTATATCTAAATACTGTTGTGGGAATTCATCGAGTGTGATACAATCACTTTCAATGTTGGAATTCATTGTATTGCTCACCAGAGGTAGGCCTTGCCACTGGGACGACACTGAAGCTTTGAAGTCTGAAGCGCTGATGCCGTGCATATGCAGTGCCAAAAGAAAGACTGGTGAGAGCACTATGATCGACACAGATCGAAACCTTACCCCAAATCGCAAGTTCCTATTCCACAACGACGGGATGGTAGAACACAGTAGGCCGCTGGAGCTAGAGAGAGCCATTGATAGTACTGCGCCTATGTGCTCGTTCGCGATCAAGAGCCTCGATAACTGCTGCGCGAAGGTATGCAGTAAAGGTTTCAAGGAAGCGAGTGATGCATTAAAGCTTGAAACTGTGAAGACAAATGTCGGACGCATGTAGCCAGTGCAGTTGGTTATGACTGGTTAGGAGCAGACGGTGATGGCGAACTGCCTCGTGTCTTGGGCGTCTATGGAAGCGAAGATGGTTAGCGTGGTGAAGCGACACAAAAACGCATAGTATGCGCACTTCTGTAACTTAGAGAAAGACACCCACAATGTCTCGGTCGTGCTCAACATCATCAACCTCCAGTAAAATGTCACAGCTCATTCCAAGCACCACACCCATTCGAACTTTTGAAGATCATGAGGACTCCGTAATGGCAGTCGCAGTGTTCCCCGATAATCGACGAATGATTACGGCTTCGGAGGACAAGACACTTCGTCTTTGGGACCCGGAGACAGGTGTTGTGTTGAAGAAGATGGAAGGGCATAGCAGTGGGGTGCAGGCATTGGCGGTGTCACGAAATGGTCAAATAATAGCAAGCGGTGATTGGGAGGGAGAAGTCATCGCCTGGCACGGAGAAACTGGCGAATCCATCACCCAACCCATCAAAGCCCACTCCATAATAATCAACTCGGTGGATTTTTCACCGGATGGAATGGTGCTGGCCACTGGTTCAAATGACGAGACGGTCAAGTTTTTGAGTACCAAAACGTGGCAGATGCAAGGAGATCCAATCAAGTGCGATAACGATGTCAACTGCATTCGATATTCGCCTTCTGGTGAACTTCTTGCCATCGCAACATACAGGAATATCCAAATTTATAATCAAGGCACAAGGGAACAAGTCGCATCTTTGACAGGTTTCAGTTTATCATGGAATATGTCACTCACGTGGACGCCCGATGGCACACGCCTTCTTTCAGGAAGTGATCGACATGATCCTACCATACGAGAGTGGGACACATCAACCTGGCAGCAGGTCGGTCATCCATGGAAAGGCCACACTGAAGATATCAACGCCATTGCCATTCATCCCACTGGCACCCTCGTCGCTTCTGCATCTAGAGACAAGCATGTCCGTGTCTGGCGGCTCTCAGATCAACGAACCATCGCCATATTCCAGCATTCATCCGCCACGACATGTGTCACGTTCTCTGTGGACGGCAAGCACATCCTCAGCGGAGATAGAGATAGGAAGATCTCAGAGTGGGCAGTACCAAAGGACGCTCATTCAAAGGCGAGTTTCCATTTCTGACTCTAATTACACAATTCGAGCATCCTTCGTGCAGATCCTTAACATCACAACAGCCCGCGATGCATGTCTGACTGGGGACCTGTCTATAGCCGAAGAGCTCCTCACTCAAGAGATCCACACCAACGTCGACAACTTTATTTCATATGCCAATCGTTCGTTCGTCACGGCCCGGAAGCACGACTGGGACCATGCTCTTGATGATGCAATCCAGGTGAGATGGACTGACCCATCATGACCCTTTTACGAAAGGCTAACTTTTATCCGTAACGTAGTCTATCAACATTCGGCCATCATTGGTAGGCTTTATCTCTAAAGGCATCGCCCTCTGCGGAAAAGGCCACGTCCGGGAAGCAAGGATAGCATTCGACGTTGCATCCATGTTCACCAACCAAGATTCAGAAACCAACCAATTTCTTCTCTTGATCAAGGTACATTCAATTCGTCTCCCATGCTATCTGCTTCATCTTGTATTCCAGGCTATCGTACTCTTCAGCGCAGATCAACACGAGGAAGCAATGCTGCTCATCAAAGACCTGGCTGTCGCTTGTCCGAACGTCGATCTTCTCGCGCGTCGTGTCGTGGAAGTGAGTATCATGTGGTCACACTCGATCATCAATCCTGATCTTTTCAACTCGCACAATAGACATATCTACGTGTTCAGCTCGGAACCAAAGCTTTCGATGGCGCGCATCACGACGAAGCCGCTGATCACTTCACTGCCGCTGTTAAGTCAGACGCTTTCTCATCAAAATACATTCATTTAGCATACCAGGACTTGACCGTGGTGCGTCGACATGATGCATATATAATGCTGTCCATAACCTAGTGCTTTGTCTAGCTCTTCGGCTGGGATCTCGAGTCCTTGTTGCTAACTACACACCAGAAACGGTGCCAGGCATTCCTTTCGGCAGGTAAACTCGACGAAGCCCTCGAAGCACACAAATACATGACGGACGCCATCGACGACTTTGCGAAGGCCAGCTGTCTCGATTGGTCCAACGGCAAGTCTTCCGTTATGTCACACACGACTATCATGCTCACCCGTATGTCACTCAGGGTTCAAGGAGAAATGCAGCACGCTCGCTGCGGACAACGACCGCATTCTTGGTGTATGTACCTCTTTCCTTACCTCTTTCGATACTGACTATTATGCAGGCAGAGATCCCTGGGCAAGAGCAAGATGGCTATGATGCAGATCCCAATTTCTTCTATGGAACACATCAAGTGCGTGCACGAGCGTATCCTTCTGTTCTCTCGCTCATAATTCATCACAGCATTCTCATATTTCCAGGCCAAGACTTCAACAACGCCCTGGGCGCTTCAAAAGAGTCAGGCTCGCTATGACGAGGAGGCCTCAACAAGCTCCTGCTCCTGCTCCACCCACCACCTCACCGCCAGTCGCTGTCAAAACTCATTTACGACACCTATTCTCCCGGTCACCCCATCGTGCAACGCCGCCTGTTGTCGAGGTTCCTTTTGCCCAGGGTCGACAAGTGCGCTCGGTTATTTTTTATAACCGTTTCTTGGGTATCTCACACTTAAATCTACAGCGTAATACTGCAGCGGGCGCTCCTGGGAGTGAGCACTCCTTGATACGCGATGAAGACCCTCTTTCACCGGACCCCAATGCGCAACAGCACCGACAACAACAACAGCAACAACACCAGCAAGCAGTAGCAGTCCATATAGACCCTGGGGAACATGGAGGCGGAAAGTCCTGTGTCTGCTGCTAGCGGGTTCCTGAATGTCTCTCGAATACTTCGGTCATATCGTCGAACTTGTTATGATATCTTTATTCACTGGAAGCAGTATTTTATTGATAGGTGATTGATTGATCAGTACATCCTTTAGATTATTTGGAGAGTTTTTCCTCCGTAACGATAATGAACCTCCCATCCATCTGTAAAGCTTGACCTGCGCATAAGTTGCTGAATGTGGGTTATCGTGCGCGTGTGCAACCAGAGCCATTCCGCATCTCTTGTTGACTGTACAGACCAGTATACAGTGGCAGGACGTGCAGCGGTTCGAGTCTTTAGCGACATCATTCCACACAGCACCTCGTGTCAACACTGCCATTCGCATCGAGAATCTGCCCTAGCGTGTCTGACCTTTGAAAAATAAAAATCAGACGTCAATAGCGCGCTGAAATACTACATCAGCGACTGGAGGATGCGAGGGAGAAATGGTGACTGGAAGTATATGACTCGGACTTGCGTAGTCACTGCGTTGGCGTCAATTTTGACACAAAAGTATGGCGCCAAAGCTTGCTGCATATGTGACTGATGGTTCTGGGAGAAGTGGGACGAGGTCCAAGAGAACAAGCGTATTGAAGGCAGAACCGTCTGTGTTGTCTTCCGAAGTATCAGGATGAGCGCGTGGTCCTTTCAGTATTCATTGTGAGAAGTTCACAAGCCAGTGCAGCACGTGGTGGCTCCGATCCCGCACAATAGAACCTAACGTTCAACCGTCTGGTGGGCGAGACGCTCATTTCGGCATGATTGGTGATCGTTGGCGCTCAGAGCTGGTGATATCAAATATTCACTAGTGTGTGCTGTTAATATCCTTGACAGGTTGCCATCAGAACAAACATACATTGTCGCTAGGTTCGATAGCTCTGCAGTGATCGTATGTATTTTATCTCTGCTCCAACTCTTGAAGGGACTTGGAAGTAGGAAATGTGCGTGACTCACCCGATTACCTATAAAAGGTATTCGGTTGGGCACGAGGGGCGAGCCACAGATGCTGGTAGTCAATGAACGAGTCTGGATAATAAATCTATCAGAAAATCTATGAAAAAAAATATTTGAAGTTAAGTTGAGGCTGACCCGCCCCAGACTTAACCGTAGTGATCATGAGAGGCCAGCGCGGCATGATGCAAGCCTGGGATGTGGCGTTCGGCGCGCCAGGTTTGGGCAGCTTGTCCAACGATCGTTTCTCGAATTCCCCCGTGCCCATCGTCGTCGTTCGCACGGAGAGAAAGTTCAAGAAAGTAGTTGTCAAGAGACGAGCCGATCCAAAGAGACTCCCATTATGACCAGCAAGCAGGCATCGAGTTTGTATACGTACCCATAGTCACCCTGTATTTCTAATGCCTGAACGGAAGTCTGACTTCTGCTCAACGTATGGTTCAAATTGATTTACCATAGAGAAGTTCTTGGTTGGATCTAAGTGAACACTCAGCACTTAGCGTGAATGGCGGCACCAAAATGAGTGCTCAGTCGCTGACTTCTTCACAAAACAGAACTACAATTGCAGTAAAAAAATACTGTAATAATTCTGTAAGTAAATTCCATTCAGGTCATGAACCAGGTGTTGATATAAGCACTTACAACCATTACAATTGACGGCAATCGTTGTGCAGCCAGTTACATTCGCGACATGCCAAATTACTCTTTGAATGAGTCAGAAAAACATCGAGCCTTGCATCATCGCAGATCCACGATCTCCAGCGGGACGTCTTTCATTTGCACGTGGCCCTTGTCTGCGTCCTAAACAACCGATCAATAGCTGTGGACGAACCACTCCAGAAGCTACGCACCGTGTAGATCGGCACCTCTGGGTGCGGGTGGAAGGCTTCCTTGACATTGCAGTCCAAAGTCGTTTGCAAGCCTGGGGGATCGGTGAGGCGGAAAATTCCAAAGCTAACCGTGAAAAGAATTAAGACACGAGTAGTATGAGCAATGCGGTACGCACTTTGGAGTGAACTTTGGGGCGCAAACAACGACAAAGGACTCCGGAAGCATGGGCTGAAATCCAGAATGTGTATGTAGATCAACTTCGTAAAGGGCAGGTAAGCAAGAGGTTTTGTGCTAAATTTAAGGACCCACAAGACTGTGAAGGATGCGTATGAATATAACGAAGATCGTTAGATGGAGATACACAGGACAACCGGAGGAAACATACCCATCCCAAGGTAATCAAAGATCGTTCTTCCGTGAAGGACGAGTCTTCCTCGTCCATAGCGCAGGTATCGCTTGTCGAATGCTGCCTTGGAATCAAGAGTGTCGTGACAGTAAATTTATTTTCCGAGGAATAGTCCGCAAGTTTCGCGATTTCGTGCCGTATTCAGCGATGCGATAGACAGGAACCGCGGAAGGCATTCTCGTGGAAAGCTCACAGTTTTCAGGTCGGGCACTTGGACGGGATCGCTGGCTTTACAAGTGATCCGTGCAGACTCTGAGGAAGCAGTCCGGTACCGGTCGCCATCGATATGACGTACGGGAGCGGGAGGGGGTGGAAGCGCAGCCTGAGGAGCTCGTGCAAGAGAAGAATATGGGGCTGCAGAATCAAAGTAGACGTCAGAAGTCGACCGCGTCGTATTCTGAGAGTATGGGTATGACGCCGGCTGACTCGGCAAGACAACCACAGATGGATCAGGAAGTTGATTAGTAGACAATTGAGAAGATTCCGGTACGAAAAGTAGGGAAGATCGTACAAGATTAGTGGGCTTGAGAATAGGGTAATTAAACATTGATTGCAGGGAAGGTGCGTAGCCTTGCTTGAGTTGGTGTTGCGACATGAGTACTGAGTTCTGGGTATTGAATGTGTCCATCCGGTGGAACAGGTGATGTTGTGGTTACTGGTGCAGGATAAGACGGACTGAGGGGACAATGAAATACTCACGTCTTCAAGCTTGTTGGAGTTGTAGCGCAGTTCCTATATGGCTAAGTCTATAAATGCATAAATTCAAGATTGGAGGACGCTCACCTTGTTGGGCTCTCGATAGGCATAAGAAGTGGAGCAACGTCTTCATAAAAGTGTGGATCCACAAAAGATGAACGCTGGGAGCCGCCTGCAGACGTCGCAAGTATGGGAGAAGGAACAACGCTACAGCGAGCTTCCGAATCCCGCGCAGCGAACTCTGCTCCCTCTTGACGTGTTAGAATACTCTCTTGTTCCCGCCTGCGTCTTCATCTTGTTCGTCTCTTCTGCGATCTTCATGCTTCCTGAACTCGTCATGCTCTCTCCGTTTTTCCACAGCGCTCACGGGCTCAGAAGGGGTGCCTTTGCGATTGTAGTACGCCGAATCGGATAGCTTTGCGTTTGCAGTGCGCCTAGCGGCTGCCAACGTGTCTTGAACGCGTCTTCCTTTTTCTTGCTCCTGGTAAGTAGATGCAGTGGCTGTGTCTCGACTCATCTTCGCTTTTCCTACGCTTCGAAACTTCACCTGGTACTGTCTTCAATCTCGATCCCTTGATCATTAATGCTGCCAGAATGCGATATATTGAAATTTGTCGGTCTGTACTACTGTGCTCGTGAAATCAATTGTGCAGTATCGTTATGCCATTCATTTTGATCAACATCATGCCTTCGTTTCTGTGATAGGTTTGTCTATATGGCAAATATTGCCCCTTCAAAGCTTCAAGCTTCAAGCTTCGAGGCTTTATGCTTCCTTCGGCACATTAATGGGTCTATGGCCGATACTAGTAATTCATGATTAGCGCCTCAACGTTAACATCCAGTCAACGTGTTCGCCATGCTTTGATTTGGTTAAGGGTATTCGGCTCATGCCAGAGGTTTTCTCATTTCTCCCACCTACTTCTTACACCCTCACTTCGCTTACAGTAATCGACTACATGAGTGAAGACAATAGACCAGATGCTCCTCCAGAAACCTGCGAGCCACCCATTCATGAAAACTCGGTATGTAGTCTCAAGGGCTTACTCAATGTGGATGAGCGCTCATGGAATTCCTCGCTGCCTCCGACGCTTTCTTCGTCCAGAGCCGACCCCGTTGTCGAATCAAGCAGACTATTCAGAAATCTGCAAAAGGCGTCACCAAGAAACTTTCTGTGAGTAGGCCCGGGTTCCCTTATTCTGAACATAGCTGACATTGTGCAGAAACCCTTCAAGTCTTTCCGCAATCGCACTCCTGCAAACCAGAACGCAGACCTTCGAGATGCTTCAACCACCATGGTCCAGAACGTCGAAATGGAGGGGGCTTCATCAAGTCAGAAAATCGAGGTAAGTGCTCGAACTTTCTATCATAGTCCTTCGGTTTTCTTACAGGTGCCTCTATCCTTCCAACAACAAGCATCTCACCGCAGCTCAAATTCTCAGCGACTCCGTGAACCAAGGGTTGCCTGGAGAGCCTGCTTCACAGGTATTTTCGTCAAGTACTTAGAGTTTCTTCTCTAATTTCGGCGATCACGCAGGTTCAGGCTGGTCCTTCTAGGGAGGAGGAAGGTACTGATACTCAATTAGTTGGCGCTGAACTTCAGGCTGCATGTGATAGTGCACAAAGCATGAGAGTACCAGGGAAACATGCGACTTCTGCGGCATCCGCCGCCGGCAATGCCCCAGCGGGTCTCGCTGCCGCGGCTGATTTTGAGAAGACGTATCTCCAACCCCTCAAGATTATCGACGGTGTCCTTGACAAGATCGCGGATGTATGAGCTATTCTTGTCTATTGGAAGCGAACTAATCAAGTTGTATAGCTACATCCCTACGCAAAGATGGCGCTGGGCGTGCTGTCTGCTGCATCCAAAGTATGTTTGGTTTCTCTCAGAGTGCAGGACACTGCTCAGACGTCATAACTCTCTGTAGATTATAATCGCTCAAGCAGAGCGCGACAAATCGATATGTAGTCTTCTCGAGAAATTGGCCGAAGTTTATCGCTTCATGACTCTGGATGAAAATCTTGGCAAGATTGAATCGATGCGCGGTATCGTCGGAAAGATCGTGCAGCAGACTCATGAGTGTGCCCGTTTCATCAGGGACTACTCGGAAACGAAGAGCTTTTGTGCGTCCCCAAGCTATCGCACTTCGTACATGAATCTTACACTTTCATCATAGGGACGAGACTCAAGAAAAATGTTCTGTCGGAAACTGACAACACCATCAAACAGTACAACGACACTTTGGACAAACTTATGCAGCAATTCCGGGACCAAGTTGATCAGGACGTGGCCGTCTTCGTCCAACGTACGGGTAAGGAGTCTGACATGCTTTTTTTCGTCTTTGCATTGACTCATACACTTAAAGGTGAAACACTCGATCTCAGCGGCATGGTTTACGCAGGGGGCGCAGGAGTAGTTACTGGCAAGCAATGTCTGTCAGGCACTCGCACGGACATTCTCTCCCAAATCACCACGTGGATCAACAACAGCGAGGATTCCGTTCCGCGTGTAATGTGGTTATCCGGCCCTGCAGGCAAGGGCAAATCAGCCATCGCGCACACGATCGCCAATTGGTTCAAGGAAACGGGAGGCCTCAGTTCATGCTTTTGTTTTGATCGGCACAGAGAAGGAGATCGTCGCCACGAAAAGATTTTCTCCACCATCGCGCTCGATCTTGCTGATCGTGATCCAGGGATGAGACGAGTGTTGGCGGATGCAGTCAAGAATGCGACCTCGCTCAAGAACACTACAGACATTATCCAGCAGTGGCACGAGCTTCTCATGGGACCGCTGAAGAAGTTCCCTGCGTCAAGCGTGGGGCCTGTCTTAATCGTGATCGATGCGCTGGACGAGAGCGGCGGAATAAAGACGCGGCAGGACCTTCTCCGCATACTTGCTGGTAAACTTCAGAACGAAAAGGTTCCCCAAATCACTGAACTCCCTTCGAACTTTCGGATTCTCGTCACCTCTCGCCCTCTTCCCGATATCGAAAAGGAGTTTGAAGGTGTTGATCATATCGTACCCTTGTCCATGGACAAGATTCCAGCAGAAGTAGCGGAGTCCGACATCCATGCATTTGTATCTGACAAGCTAAAAGGTCTGCCGCGTTTTGGGCGCCAGGAGTTTGCAGACCTCGCTGCGAAAGCTGATGGACTTTTCGAGTGGGCACGTCTTGCATGCGAATACATTAGGGACGACCTTCCTGGCTTATCCCCAATGGATTGTTTCAATGCTGTCGTGAATAGCAATCCTGGGGAGCGGAAAAACTTGTTGTATGATATGTATCGACTCATCTTAACAGAAATCATGCCAAAGGATAAGTACACAACGGCCCAGTACGAGCAAGCAGTAGGGAAGTTTCGTTCCGTGATGGGCCAAATACTTGCCACAGCCGAACCCCTCCCTTTAGCTTCACTGAATGCTATGCGGCAGCATTTCCCGGAGGACCACGACCATTACGAAGTAGATGTAGTGGTAAAGCGGATGGGATCCCTCCTCAGCGGCACTACTGACTCACATACCCCCATCCGACCCCTTCATGCGACCTTTCAAGAATTCCTCACGGACAAATCATCCAGCGGAGACTTTTTCATCCAGAGAACGAAGTCGCAACAACGCGACCTTGCATTTGCGTCACTGGGAGTAATGATGGCCCGAAAAGATGGCCTTCGCTTCAACATCTGTGATTTGAAATCGTCGTACCTCCCTAATTCCCAGGACACAGAACTGCCTCAACGAGTCAAAACATCCATTCCCCCACATCTCTCCTATTCCTGTCGATATTGGGCCACGCATGTTGAAATAACAGACTTTGACGATCAGCTAGCAAAGGAAATAAAATCACTCTTCAACGACGAGCGACTGATGTTCTGGATTGAATCACTCGGACTTCTCGATGCAATCAGCGGTGCAATTGGTGTGCTTCCACTCGTTGCCAAGTGGCTGAAGGTGAGCACATGCCTATGAGGCAGGGTCGGACGAACAGCTCATACATATATACAGGACCATTCTGGATACAAAGATTTGCGGTCCGCCACGATGGATGTACAAAGATTCATCCAAGTGTTTGGCGGCATGATATTGCACAGCACGCCCCATCTGTATTTATCAGCACTCCCGTTCTCACCCGTCGACTCTACGATGGCTACCAAATTCACACCCGGGTTTCCGAATACCCTTCGTGTGGTATCTGGCCGCGATTTGAACTGGACGGTTGTTGAGGCCATAATCATGGGGCACACTGGTGCGGTTGTGTCAGTCTCGTTCTCACCGGATGGTACTCGCATCGCGTCTGGTTCATGGGATAACACCGTGCGGCTGTGGAATGCAGCGACGGGACAGCCATTGGGTGAGCCCTTGAAGGGGCACACTCGCCCGGTTTGCTCAGTCTCGTTCTCACCGGATGGTACTCGCATCGCGTCTGGTTCGGAGGATAACACCGTGCGGTTGTGGAATGCAGCGACGGGACAGCCATTGGGTGAGCCCTTGAAGGGGCACACTGGTGCGGTTGTGTCAGTCTCGTTCTCACCGGATGGTACTCGCATCGCGTCTGGTTCATGGGATAACACCGTGCGGCTGTGGAATGCAGCGACGGGACAGCCATTGGGTGAGCCCTTGAAGGGGCACACTGGCGCGGTTGGGTCAGTCTCGTTCTCACCGGATGGTACTCGCATCGCGTCTGGTTCATGGGATCACACCGTGCGGCTGTGGAATGCAGCGACGGGACAGCCATTGGGTTGGCCCTTGAAGGAGCACACTGGCGCGGTTTACTCAGTCTCGTTCTCACCGGATGGTACTCGCATCGCGTCTGGTTCGGAGGATAACACCGTGCGGCTGTGGAATGCAGCGACAGGACAGCCATTGGGTGAGCCCTTGAAGGGGCACACTCGCCCGGTTTTTTCAGTCTCGTTCTCACCGGATGGTACTCGCATCGCGTCTGGTTCGGAGGATAGCACCGTGCGGCTGTGGAATGCAGCGACGGGACAGCCATTGGGTGAGCCCTTGAAGGGGCACACTGGTGCGGTTGTGTCAGTCTCGTTCTCACCGGATGGTACTCGCATCGCGTCTGGTTCGGAGGATAACACCGTGCGGTTGTGGAATGCAGCGACGGGACAGCCATTGGGTGAGCCCTCGAAGGGGCACACTAGCGCGGTTTACTCAGTCTCGTTCTCACCGGATGGTACTCGCCTCGCGTCTGGTTCGGAGGATAACACCGTGCGGCTGTGGAATGCAGCGACGGGACAGCCATTGGGTGAGCCCTTGAAGGGGCACACTCGCCCGGTTGTGTCGGTCTCGTTCTCACCGGATGGTACTCGCATCACGTCTGGTTCGGAGGATAAGACCGTGCGGCTGTGGAATGCAGCGACGGGACAGCCATTGGGTGAGCCCTTGAAGGGGCACACCGGCGAGGTTTGGTCAGTCTCGTTCTCACCGGATGGTACTCGCATCGCGTCTGGTTCATGGGATCACACCGTGCGGCTGTGGAATGCAGCGACGGGACAGCCATTGGGTGAGCCCTTGAAGGGGCACACCGGCGAGGTTTGGTCAGTCTCGTTCTCACCGGATGGTACTCGCATCGCGTCTGGTTCATGGGATAACACCGTGCGGCTGTGGAATGCAGCGACGGGACAGCCATTGGGTGAGCCCTTGAAGGGGCACACTGGCGAGGTTTGGTCGGTCTCATTCTCACCGGATGGTACTCGCATCGCGTCTGGTTCGGAGGATAACACCGTGCGGTTGTGGAATGCAGCGACGGGACAGCCATTGGGTGAGCCCTTGAAGGGGCACACTCGCCCGGTTTTTTCAGTCTCGTTCTCACCGGATGGTACTCGCCTCGCGTCTGGTTCGGAGGATAACACCGTGCGGCTGTGGAATGCAGCGACGGGACAGCCATTGGGTGAGCCCTTGAAGGGGCACACTGGCGCGGTTGGGTCAGTCTCGTTCTCACCGGATGGTACTCGCATCGCGTCTGGTTCGAACGATAACACCGTGTGGCTTATGAAAGTGCTGCCATCCCCCGACTCCACAGAGCCAGATCCCTCTGCATCTCCACCGCATCGAAGTGCCGCATCTCTCACTCAAGAAAGTCGTATCACCCCAATCAACACTTGTGACCATCCCCCCATTTCCTTCTCGCCCTGCCTGAAACACGCCTTACCCAACTCTGCTGACTTGCTCGAACCCACGTCTGATCATCATTCTAATTCAACCCCTTTCTTGCTGCAGCTTGATGGATGGATCATGGGACCCAAACATGAGCTCCTTTTCTGGGTACCTCCCGGGGCCGCTTCCCGACGCTTGTTTTATTCTCCCGACATTGCAATAGTGATTCCGAGAGGAGGCGTTGAGCTTGACTTGAGCCGCATGGCACATGGGACGCGCTGGTCGAATTGCCGAGGCGCGTGAGTTTTTAATCTTTACCATCTGTCCTCGCAGTTGCTAACATCAATCTCTCCAGCTCCACGTAACGATGATTTTATTGCTGCAATATCGAGTGTACAATTTTATTCTATGATTCCCTTCCTATTTTATACCTAGCACCGATCCTGAATTTATGATTGTCCGACTGAACGATGCATTGGACAGCAAATTGCACTGTTGCTGCTGATTCGCGGCGAAAACTAATTTCATCAGAGACTCCCTTAGACATCTTGCTGATGTGTCACAGGTGCTTCGGTATCCCTGATCTCATCACTATCAATCTCGATCAAAGTGTATGTGATGAAGCGGCTCAACCCCGCACGTACAGAGACATAAGGACGTGCTGGTCGACTCATTCTGACGAGATCTTGTGCCTGCCTCTTACAGACGGAAGCTGGTGCCACTGGCCTCAACCTAATGATGATACTACCTGCGACAACGCCCACTTGAAGGTTCTACCCCTACTGACTAATGACTGAGGTATTCAAATCATTGTGGGTTCACGGGCCGTAAATTTCACACAGTTCCATAACTCTACCACTGGGGCTGCACACGGTGCATGCCTTAACCTCGCAGGGTCCTATTCTTGCTAGTGAACAGAGCACATCCCATCCCTTCAAGTATTTTGTCGTGCGTACATGCAAGGCTATGGCTCTGATCGCGGCCCTTGGCGTTATCGTCTCTTTCTAGACGTGCCCAGATCCTGAAACGCTGCACAGCCTGCATAACTAATATCTCAAGCGACGGAAGGAGCCTTGGCACTTCTCTCCAGCCTCATGTTAGTTCAGTCAACGAGGACAGATATCTAATCATGGATTTACGCCTCCCAAATGGTGTCTGGAACTTGAACTGTGTCTTCGATGGTGCGTGTTATGAGGCACCACAAATACACACTCCCCCTCGCATCTTATTGAACAGTACAACATCTCCTATGCAGGGCATGGAGGGCATGAAACAGTTGACCACCTTATCTCCGAATTGCCCTCCCTTTTAATGGCTGGATTGTTGCCCACAGCGACCGACTTGGAGGGCGTCTCAGATGTTCTCACCAGGGCGATTTTTGAAGTGGATGAAGCAATAAAACGGGACTTTCTCGAAATATTCCCTGAACAAGTCGACGAAATCGCTACGATGTCAGATATAGCAGTCAAAGCGCGGGTCAACGACCAGTCTTCCGGAGGACTTAATTATCAGAAAGCCCTACGTTGTTTGAGGGGATCTACAATCTTATTAACGCTCGCCGACCCTACGAGGAAACATCTTTGGGTGCTAAATCTCGGTGATGGCTTAGTAGGTAAGCCGAGGTGAAGGTTCAAGCGGAAATCACTGACATCGACTTTTGAGCAGTGCTCGGAAGTAGACGAGACGCGAGTTCACAATGGAATGCATCCATATTGAACGACAATCGCAATGGCAACAACCCTGCTGAGGCCGATCGCATCAAAAGGTAACACCCTGGCGAACCAGAATGCATCTTCGACGATAGAGTGCTCGGTAATCTTGCTGTCACGAGAGGTAAGTCTACCGAATGTGTTAGATCAGTTGATCAGTTGATCTCACTGTGATGCGGCGTCAAGCTGTTGGCGACCACAGCTTCAAACTGCCTCGCATCTACATTGAGAAAATATTTTTGAATGTAGAACCGGGATTTCGTGTCCCTGCTGCGATTGAATCTTTCATTCCACGAAATCTGAGCCCACCGTACGTCTCGAATCTTGCAAGCGTTCGTTATGTCGACCTTCACGAGCAGTCAAGCTGCGACTGCTTTATCTTAATGTGTTCAGGCAATGCTGCGCTTGTTAAGACACGCTCTGGGCGCAGAAGACATCGACAGAGTCTCATGTATGCTTAACGTAGACATGCCTGTTCCTTACATGGATGATACGACTGTCATCTTACAAGTGCTGTAGTATCCGATACAAGGGCGTGTGCATGTAGGGGGTAACGGATGCGGATTGTACAGATGCCAAGTGTCAGAAATGCTGCGTTTGTAAATTATAGATAAAAGTCAGGAAAATATCGAGCCCTGCATCATCGCAGGTCCACGATCTCTAGCGGGATGTCTTTCATTTGCACATGCCCCTTGTCTGCGTCCTAAACAACCGATCAGTAGCTGTGGATGAACCACTCCAGAAGCTACGCACTGTGTAGATCGGCACCTCTGGGTGCGGGTGGAAGGCTTCTTTAACATTGCAGTCCAAAATCGTCTGCAAGCCTGGGGGATCGGTGAGGCGGAAAATTCCAAAGCTAACCGTGAGAAGAATCAAAACACGAGTGGTATGAGCAATGTGGTACGCACTTGGGAGAGAATTTTGGGGCGCAAACAACGGCAAAGGACTCCGGAAGCATGCGCTGAAATCCCGAATGCGTATGTAGATCAACCGACGACATAAAGCCTTCGTAAAGGGCTAGTAAGCAAGAAACTTTGTGCTAAATTTAAGGACCCACAAGATTGTGAAGGATGCGTATGAATCTAACGAAGATCGTTAGACGCAAATGCACAGGACAACCGAAGGACACATACCCATCCCAAGGTAATCAAAGATCGTTCTTCCGTGAATTGCAGGACGAGCTCTTCCTCGTCCATAGTGCACGTGTCGCTTGTCGAATGCTGCCTTGGAATCAAGAGCGTCGTGACAGTGAATTTATTTCCTTTGTCTTTCCCAAGCAATAGTCCGCAAGTTTCGCGATTTCGTGCCGTATTCAGCGATGCGATAGACAGGAATCGCGGAAGGCATTCTCGTGGCAAGCTCACAGTTTTCAGGTCGGGCACTTGGACGGGATCGCTGGCTTTACGAGTGATCCGTGCAGACTCTTGGGAAGCAGTCCGGTACCGGTCACCATCGATATGACGTACGGGAGCGGGTGGGGGTGGAGGCACGGCCTGAGGAGCTCGTGAAAGGGAAGAATACGGGGTTGCAGAATCAAAGTAGACATCAGAAGTTGACCGCGTCGTATTCTGAGAGTATGGGTATGACGCCGGCTGACTCGGCAAGACGACCACGGATGGATCAGGAAGTTGATTAGTCGAAAATTGAGAAGATTCCGGTACGAAAAGTAGGGAAGATCGTACAAGATTGGTGGGCTTGAGAGTGGGGTAATTAAACATTGATTGCAGAGAAGGTGCGTAGCCTTGCTTGAGTTGGTGTTGCGACATGAGTTCTGGGTATTGAATATGTCCATCCGGTGGAATAGGTGATGTTGTGGTTACTGGTGCAGGATAAGACGGGCTGAAGGGACAATGAGATGCGCCCCATAATGACGAGGAGATACTCACTTCTTCAAGCTTGTTGGAGTCGTGGCGCGGTTCCTATATGGCCAAGTCTATAGATGTATAAATTCAAGATTCGAGGACGCTGACCTTGTTGGGCTCTCGATAGGCATAAGAAGAGGAGCGACGTCTTCATAAAATTGTGGATCGATAAAAGATGAACGCTGGGAGCCGCCTGCGGATGTCGCAAGCATGGGAGAAGGAACAACGCTACGGCGAGCCTCCCGCGCAGCAAACTCTGCTTCCTCTTGACGTTTTAGAATACCCTCTTGTTCCCGCCTGCGTCTTCGTCTAACTTCATCGTGTTCGTCTCTTCTGTGGTCTTCATGCTTCCTGAACTCGTCGTGATCTCTCCGTTTTTCCACAGCGCTCACAGGGGTCACGGGCTCAGGAGGGGTACCTTCGCGATTGTAGTACGTCGAGTCGGACAGCTGTGCGTTTGCAGCGCGCCTAGCAGCTGTCAATGCGTCTTCCTTTTTCTTGCTCCCGGTATCTATCTGTAGACGCGGTGGCTGTGTCTCGACTGATCGCATAGAATACCGTGCCTCATCTCCCCTTCGCCTTTCCTCACGCTTTCGTTCGGCATCTCTACGAACTGCTTCTTGTGCTAGCCATCCGGAATCGTCAAAGGGGGAGCGTCGACCATCAGCTTGTTGCCTGTACTCCGTGTGCCTGCTCCCCTCTGGGGGACCGGTTGATGACGACGGTCTGCTATATTCAATGTTTTGCATTCTCCATCTTTCATAGCGGTCGACGATGATTGGTTTGATTTCGCCAAGATCAAGAAGAATTTGTTGACCGTTCTGAAAGGAGAGTTAGACAGAGTCGCACCGAGATCAATTTTACGAGGGATCGATGAAGAGCGTATCGTACTTTGATAAAGTACGTATTTCATGATCGGAAGAGACGAGAAAGGCAGCAGGCACGAGTTACTCACAAGACCAAGATTGTGGCGTTGCGTGGGTGACAGTAAAGTGTAGTACTCCTTGTGCATCGGAAGCTTCTCAAGAATTATCGTCGCAGACTTTGCATATTCCATGAAGGCTTCGTCAAGTTCACCAGCCTCGGCATATGCTCTACCAGCTTTCCGGAAGCCATCTGCTTTCTTCAGCCATTGCTTGAGACCTTTCGAAGGATCCCAAAGGTTGGAAAGAGCACGTTCTGAGAGCTCTGCAATTGTTGAAGGCCTCCGACTAGATGGGCTCGGTCGTGGAGAGGGTCGGGGCACATTTGCATAAGGCGAACTCATGATGGAACGAAAGCAAGAGCATCTAACCACCACCGCTCGTAACGTCCCGACATCTCGTACTTACCATATTTGGGACGAAATGCCTCCGTGTGGCTGTTCTGGTCCGTTGATTGGCCGAGATTGGGCTTCTGGAACTTGGATGGACAATTGACCAAGTACTACATATACACGTACAACAAGATCAGCTTCTTGCGCAGCACGCCCCTTAGCTCCGAAGTCGATCTAACAATAGCTAACACCCTATTGTCAGCCACGAACAAACAGTACTTGGAGCATAATTCTTTCGAAATGTCTATGTGAACATGGTAGAAGGCAGAGTGCGAGTGTGAAGGTAGAAGCACGTACGAATCTCCGGGAAAGCGTAGACTCTAGGTGAGATTTACATTTTGCGAGGTTCCTCGAAGTTCAGAGTCAGCTGTGATAGTCGGTCTTTAGTTGCTATTCCGTAGACTGAAGTAGTGCAGTCGCTGTGGCCCGTAAATCGGGGCACATGGTATTGTAAAGGGTCCGTAGGTCCATTTCGCCGCCCTCGCAGCGTCGCTGTTCAGTCTCATTCGTCCAGAAAATACATGCTTACATTCTTGCCTCACAGGCCATGCGATAGTTCTTCAAGCAAAATACTCCAAGACCGAAATGCTTACGATGACGCATTTAAGCAGACACGTCATATCACTCGAACCGGTTTTCCGTCAGCCACATTTGTCGGGTTATTCGTGGCACCTATTGATAGGGAAAAGCCTGGTCTCAGTGTCAGATGGCTACTCTGGTCAGTATGTGCTGTACATCCTTTAAACGCACACTTTTCCCTACATGATACTTCCCCTTCTAGTGCCTCCCTCGATCTTGCAAGTCAGACTTGAATCCTAAACCTCTTCACTCGAACAGCTTCTGCTAGCAGAGTTTTGATCATACAAACCATATTAGTATGTACCCCTCAATTTCGGCGTCCCAGTGGGGTTCTCCCACTGCTCCCAAGAAAGCTCTGCTTATTCATGGGTTAACTGCATGGTCCGGTTCATGGGAGGGCCTCGCTCAGCGATTAGTAGCAGAAGGTCAGGTTTTATGATACCATAGCGATGATGCTCTGTTTTCAACATGCTTCATAGGCTTCTTTGTCATAGCGCCGAATCTCCTCGGGCATGCATGGAGACGAGGCACCGACTACCGTATGTCCACCCTTGCAGAGGATCTCCGACCATACTTCAACAAAGACACATCCTACGACGTGATTATAGGTCACTCTCTTGGAGGCACAATAGCCTTGTCGCTCTTGCAATTCTTGCCCAAAACGAAGGAAACGGCTATCATACTCCTCGATCCCCCTCTCGAGCTTGAGGGGACAACTGAAATGATTAAAAGTTGGATTCTGAATGAGGCTACGAATATCAAAACCATCGAGGACTTAGCTGCTGATCGTGGTTGGTCACGACGTGACTGCACGTTACATGTATTATCAGTTTTAATGTGCGACCGTACTACTGTCGAGGGAATCTTCTCGGTAAGATTGCAACTTGTGGACATGGTGAATGTTGCTGACACTTCTGCCGTTGTTACGAACAGCATAACGAGCCATGGTCTTTCAGTGGCCTGCTCAAAAACATCCCCCCTCATGTGAAGATCACCGTGCTGGCATCAGATCCGAAGGCCGGCGCCTTTTGTGATCCGGAGCACATCCCTTGTGACGTTGAGAGACTGAATGTCAGAGTTCTTCCGGGCATCGGCCACTGCATCCAATGCGAGGATCCAGATGCTATCATGGACTTAATCCAACTACCAAGAGCGAAGCTTTGAGAGGTGCGAAGAAGAAGCGTGTTTCGTGGTTTCATGGCCAATTATGTGTCTAGGACTTCCTGTTGGAACCTAGTCTCCGTTCGTACATGAGGTATTGCAAAGCATACAGTAGTCTAACTATGCCAAGATATCAGTCTTATGCTTGAAAGAAAGATACAATGTTCCCTTGCTATTGCTACAGCTCAACTTCGTCGAGTTCACTGTGGGTCCACGTCAAGCGGTATCACCTTGGACCGCTTCCGACTCGATAGCATTGCATTTTCGATGACAACGTTCTCACTCACCATTATAACCACGCGATCGCTGGTATAACATCACTACCGCAGACCTTATCGACAATCCCCCAAGGCTTGAGCTTGTGTGAGAGCTTCGAGCGAGTTCATGCATGGGATCATGTAGTACTAGTACGATGCACTGCATGTGAAAGAGAACAGTGTTGATAATAACACTATCGGTTACCATCAGACAAACCATGCCAAAAGCTAGTAGCGCCATGTCTCTGGCGTTCAGCGGCAACAGCCACCATCGGGAGGTACGAGAAGTGGAGGTGCGGCCCGACAGTTCAGTCTCACTCAGCAAATGGCATTAGATGATGGGCGATTGATGTCCTGTTGTAGGCCAAAGAATGAATTGTATCCAAAAACATGAAAACAAAAAAGCCTGAAGAAGTGTCAACCCCCGGTATGGGACAGCGTAACCCATTCCAATCCTCACCGTATAGAGCACCTTCCAGTGTTGATCACATCGTGATGGCAGTATCCCTTGACATGCCTGTTGAAGCCACGGCGAAAATACTGTCTACAGGCTGGGAGATCAGTGAAGGTGCAAGAATCTTATCGTAAATATATATATCATTATGATACGAAAAGAACAGGCGCCCGGCACCGGCTGATTGGAACAGCCTAGCTTCCGATCTAACAAACCCACGGCGAAGATCATCGAATCTAGTAGTTGCTCGGAGCAATTGTCCATGTGACAAACACGTCAAAAACATGGCAGAACGTCAATATTTCAATCACAAGGCCTCGAGGGCCGTACGACATTACGAAGTCATGGTGTTTTGCGGGAAGGAAGTGAGCCGTGCAGCACTTCCCGTCAACTTGAATTTGGAGGTCAAAACTCCACTAGTGTCGAGCGCAAGCTCATAAGTCCCAGGATAGAGCCAAAAGTTGCCGTCGGTATCTGCTCTTGCGAGATTGCCGAGTGTAATCGGTAGCTCAGCTATTGCAGTGGTGTCTGGCATAATGCCGTGAGAGCGGGTGTAGCTGACAAGAACCTTGTTAGGGTAGGGAGCATCTCCATACATGCCACTGGCAAAAAGAAGGGAAACATAGTCAGATGTCCCTGAAGATAAGGAAATGAGGTGGTAGGGTGAGATAAATTATGGTTCACATACTGTTTCCGGTGTTTGTTACACTAACAGCAAGCGTAGCAAACGGTGCGACATCCAAGTACGCAGCATACTTCCCTCCATCAATGAGAGCCTGGATGTTGTATGATGTTGCAGGGGCTCGCACCCATTTGTAACAAAATGTAGTGTAGTGCTCGCCATATCCGAATTCGTAGACAGGCGTGCCAGTGTACCAGATATAGGTACGGCCCGGACTCGTTGAATTGGGACGGAGGTTCATATTCGTCATGGGGATCTCGTTGACATAGCTTGCTGGGTATTGCGTGATAGGAAGGCGCCCAGCAGGCGCAACCTTGCCACTGAGGGTATCGAAAACAGCCTTTCCACCACTCTGACCTGGGTACCCTGCCCAAACGAGCGCATTGATCCTAAAATAACTATTGAGCAATTGAACTAGAAAGATGAATTAGTCGCTGACAGAAGCATTGCCTTTGAGAATGGAGTCATCAAGTTGTCCGCCACCAAATTGCACCACGACCAAAGGCTTGCCTATCATCTCAAGCTCAGCAATAAGGTCGAGCTGGTTGCTGGGCCAAGTGATCGAGTAGCGATCCAGGGCCTCGTACCTCGACGGTGAGATCAATACCACCAGCGTAGATGACAGCGTCTGCCTCCTTTGCAGCCTGCAACAGCAGCAGCGAATCCACCCGTGTCGTTCGATGTAATGTTGGTGCCCGACACGTAGGTGACATTATAGCCATCATCCATCGCGCCCATGACGGGGCTGATGAGATAGGGAGCAACGCCAAAGTAGTTGCCCTGCATCTGGGTGGTTGCGTTTGCCCACGGGCCGATCAAAGCAATGTTTTTGATACTACTTGAGAGTGGTAGAATACCGTCGTTCTTCAGGAGAACAATACCTTCCACGGCAGCTCGGTATGCAAGCTGTCGAGCGATAGGAATATTGATGTTACTCCAGTTGTATGTTCTGTAAGGCTGTCGCTCTTCTGGATCAAAGTAACCGAGGCTGAAACACTGTATCAGCAAAAATCTTTGCCATGCAGGACGGCGCCATACCGGACGAGCGAGGCGTATTGGTGAACCAAAGCTGTGCGTAGGTCGGTCTCTATGATAAGAGACTCTTTGTATGCGATTGGCAACCATTCTTCATAGAAGTTACCACAATCTAGGTCAGTTCCAGCCTTGAGTGCGTCTGCAACAGCCTGTTGAGGGGTAGCATAGTTGTGGGGACAGTAAATATTTTGGACGGCACCTGGAGAGTGAAGCTTGATCATGAGGCCAACTAGCTATCCAGACTCTACTCACCACAATCACTCGTGACCTGTTCGCAAGTCGTCAACTCACTATACACAAGTAAAGTAACTTTGAGTATACCCATCGGTCTTGTGCGAAGCCGTAGAAATCACGGAGAATATCTTGAAGCAAGTACGCATCTGCGCAAGAAGGAACACCGTTGATAGCATTGTACGAGCACCTGCGTTATTAAGGTAGAATGGGTTGACATAACTCTACTGCGCAGAGAGTTGTGGTAGTACGTACATGGCAGCACCAACTTTGGCATCTCTATAACAACTCTGGAATGAGGGGAGGTAGTATTCCACGAGATCTTGAGAAGTGATCACTGCGTTAAAGCCATATCGAACAGTGCCATCCCAGTCCTCGAGATCGTAGCCTGCAAAATGTTTACAGGTGGAAACAACCTGGTAGTAAGGCTTTGGGTCAAGACCACCTTGCAAGCCAACCACGAGGTTGTACACGTATTGGGAGAGGTGGTACGGGTCTTCTCCAGGTGTTTCCTGACCTCTGCCCCATCGAGGGTCTTTGAACGGATTAATGTTTGGTGTCCAGAAGTCCAGACCCGCGCGCCCGTAGTTATTGAAGGCACGTCCCTCCATACCCACAATGCTTCCAACAGACCTGATCAACTCATCGTCGAAAGCAGCACTCATAAGGATCGGCTGGGGAAACGATGTCGCATAGCTGAATTCGCCTGACGTCGAGAAATTAACACCTGGACTGTTTGCCACTCCATGCTGGACACAAGCAAGTCAGTCTCGGCAGACTCCGAGACTTTGTTGAACATTATCATTCACCAAGGCTTCCGACCACCACTGGTACGCTGGCAAACCCAGACGAGGAACACCAGGAGACTTGTTGACAGTATTATTGATCAGCTCTGGAACAGTGAACAGCTTGACCAAGGAAGTTGCCCGCGTAATGGGGTCAAGAGCAGTGTTGCAGATTGCGTTGCTTGCTAGAGGTCCACCTTTGCAATCAGGGAAGACATAACCAGTAACACTGCCTACTGCGAGGGCATAAACAAGAGCGACGTGCTTTGAAAGCCTCATGGTGATCCTTTGCAGCAATAGAACACGAAGGGTTGGGGTGTCTCTATTTTTACGAGCTTGTTGATCCGCGATCTAACACCATTTGCAACTCGGAAGGCTTCCTGATTTCAAATTTTAATTGTCGTTGGCAGGATTGTCATGTCTCAATGGTGCGCAGATAACGGCCTCGGCTATCTATATCACGAGGCAGATGCGGCTCTTTGATGGAAGAACTGAGCTCCCGAGGAAATTATCTGCATCACTTCGTTCAAGGCAGGCTAGCATATATCTGTCTGCTCGAATATATAATAGTTTGTCCTTCATTTAGCCGAGTTGACCCCGGTGGTTCTTGCATTCAAGCAGACACGTCATGTCACTGGAACCGGGTTTCCATCAGCCGCAGGGCGCTTCCTTTGATGTAAGGGTGATTCGTGGCACCTATCAATAGGGTCTCGGTGTCAGACGGCTACTCTGGTCAGTAGTGTGCTGTACGCCCTTTAAACGCACACTTTTCCCTGCATGCTACTTCCCCTTCTAGTGCCTCCCTCGATCTTGCAAGCCAGACTTGAATTCTGAACCTTCTCACTCGAACAGGCTCTGCTAGCCGACTTTTGACCATACAAGCCATATATGTACCCCTCAATTTCCGCGTCCCAGTGGGGTTCTCCCACTGCTCCCAGGAAAGCTCTGCTTATTCATGGGTTGACTGCATGCTCGGGTTCAGTGGGAGGGCCTCGCTCAGCTATTAGTAGCAGAAGGTCAGGTTCTATGATACCATAGCGATGATGCTCTGTTTTCAACATGCTTCATAGGGTTCTTTGTCATAGCGCCGAATCTCCTCGGGCATGCATGGAGACGAGGCACCGACTACCGTATGTCCACCCTTGCAGAGGATCTCCGACCATACTTCATCAAAGACACATCCTATGACGTGATTGTGGGTCACTCTCTTGGAGGCCCAGTGACCTTGTCGCTCTTGCAATTCTTGCCCAAAACGAAAGAAACGGCTGTAATACTCCTCGATCCACCCCTCGAGATTGAGGGGATAACTGAAATGCATAAAAGTTGGTTTCTGAACGAGGTTACGAATGTCAGATCCATCGAGGAGGTGGCTGATGATCGTGGCTGGTCACGACGTGACTGCGTGTTACGCGTATTAGGACTTTCAATGTGCGACCGTACCACTGTCGAGGGAATCTTCTCGGTAAGATTGCAACTTGCGGACATGGATGAATGTTGCTGACTACTTCTGCCGTTATTATGAACAGCATAACGAGCCATGGTCTTTCAGTGGCCTGCTCAGAAACATCCCCCCTCATGTGAAGATCACCGTGCTGGCATCAGATCCTGAGGCCGGCGCCGTTTGCGATCCGGAGCACATCCCTAGTGACGATGAGAGACTGAATGTCAAAGTTCTTCCGGGCATCGGCCACTGCATTCACTACGAGAATCCAGATGCTATCATGGACTCAATCCGATTACCAAGAGCGAAGCTTTGAGCAGTGCGAAGGAGAAGCGTGTTTCGAGGCCAATTCTGTGTCTAGGACTTTCTATTGAAACCTAGCCTCCGCTCGTACATGATGCATGAGGGATCGCAAAGCATACAGTAGTCCAACTATCAGTCTCCAGCTCGAAAGAAAGATACATTGTTCCCTTGCTATTGCTGCAGCGAGTCTATGGCTCCACGTCAAGCGGTACCACCTTGGAACACTCGACCACATTGTATTTGATGACAACTAGGAATTGTTCTCACTCACCATTAGCCTACAGTGATGGCCGCAGCAAGGCTTGAGCTTATGTGAGAGCTTCGACAGCGAGTTCATGCATGTGATCATGGAGTACGACGCATACATTTGGCATACATGTGAGAGAGAACGCTGTAGTACAGCATCAATAGTAGCATTATTGATTACCACTTCGCTGGCAAGTGGTATATGAGAATTGCTATTGGTGCCACCAACAATTGTGACGTCGATGCTATTGACCTTATCAGGAGAGCAGTTATTTGAAATGATCAGATCTAGGGTGAGATAGCGATCCAGAAACAGCAACCTGCGATTGATAGTTGATCGAGACAGGTGAAGCGGGGCTGCTACGTACATTTCTTGACACCGGACAGTCTCGGACTCACCAATAATAATCCAGTACGTATTTATAGACTGTCCTTCCCATTTGAATCACCGCAACTTGGCCACAGTATCTCCACGTGATCTATAATACCACAAATTGTCTGATCAAAACCAGTTGTAGAAACCCCATGATGTTCCGAATCATATCTAACTCCACCACTGGCAGACGCCTGACCAGGTATAAGAACGCGTTTCAGAAACAAAGTTGCGGTCAGTGGACTCATTGACGCCTACATTTTCCATTATGACCCAGTCTTCTTTCGACGAGAAGCGCCAAACGAAAGACAAGACGCAAGATGAGTTGTATGAAGTTCGAGGAAACGCCGCTGGAGATGTTTCGCAATACGCAGCTGTAGAAGAGGTCGAGAAACACACAACTTGGTTTGTCTGGCTTCTTGTGGCTTGTTGCACCATATCTGGCTTGTTATTTGGTATGAGCCATGTGCTTCACTTTCATGAAACGACTGACCATACGATGTATAAACAGGTTATGATACTGGTGTAATCTCTGGTACTCTAGTCACTATCAACTGGAGATCCTTGGCCCAGCTCAATTATCGGATGGACAGAAGGTGAGCCGGATATCCAAGACCCAATTCCATGATCACTTGACCACGTCATTCTAGGAATTCATCACGTCAGCCACCACATTGGGCGCATTACTCGGGGGCCTTGCTGCTGGTGCCATGTCAGACTGGACGGGCCGTCGACCCGCCCTTGGCATCGCAGACATCATCTTCGTCGGCGGAGCTCTCGGGCAGGCAGTCTGTCATACAGTATGGAGTATGGTATGTTTCCTTCCATGCGCCCTCATTTACCACACACTGACCACCAACTTGAATATTGCTAGATCGGCTGCCGGTTCCTCATCGGTATCGGCGTGGGCGTTGCATCGTGCATCGCACCTCTGTATATACAAGAGCTGTCGCCTACGCGCATGCGCGGGCGCATGGTCGTGTTGAACGTTGTAATGATCACATTTGGGCAGGTAGTTGCTTATGGAATCGATGCAGGCTTTGCAAATGTGAGTGGTGGTTGGAGGTGGATGGTTGGACTTGGTACCGTCCCAGCTGGTATTCAATTGATATGTTTGGCGTTCTTACCGGAGAGTCGTGAGTTTCTTTCTTCTTTAGTTATATAGCGTCATTTGCTGGGGTATGGCTAACAATGACATTCGTTGTGCAGCAAGGATACTTATCCGGAAGGGCAACATAGAGGCTGCGCATAGAGTGTTAGAACGTGTTTACTCGGAAGCCACGGCTGAACAGATTGATTTACAGGTATTCTTAGCGTTTGGTCAGTCGAACACTGGCAAATAGTCTGAACCACCTCATAGCTCCAGGTTCTCCGCGCATCGGTACAGCAGAGTATCGACATCGCAAATTCCACAACCTTCTTCGAGCGCTTCAACTCCATGATCACCGTTCCCGTAAACCGTAGAGCACTGAGTAAGATACACCCATTGCTTACGCATTCTCACCGTACTGACGTTGCAAAGTCATCGGATGCGGCATGCAAGCATACCAACAACTCTGTGGATTCAATACACTCATGTATTACTCTGCATCGCTCTTCCAGGAGATAGGGTTCAACCAGCCTACAGCGGTTGGACTGATCATCAGTGGGACAAACTTCATCTTCACACTTTTTGCGTTGAAGTATATTGATATCGTGGGACGACGGAAGATCATGGTGTTCTCTGCACCTGGCATGGTTTTTGGTCTCACCCTTGCCAGCATCGCGTTCCATTGTATGTTTTCTATTAATTGCACGATGGGTCAGGTGACAGACCTGGACTTGGTAGATATGACAGTGCATACAGGTGGCGATCTAGTCAGTGGCGCGTCTTACTCCAAAACATGGTCAGCGATCGTTCTTCTCTCGATGATCATCTTCGTCGCATCGTATGCAACGGGCTTGGGAAACGTCCCGTGGCAGCAAGGCGAGCTCTTTGGTCTCGAAGGTCAAGTCATTATTTCTCCTACCTGTCAGTTCAGCACTGACGTTTTCATGCAGTCCGCGGCATTGGCACATCGCTCTCGACTGCGACGAACTGGGCTGGTAACCTTCTCATCGGCTCTACATACCTCTCCCTCATGGCGAAAATTACTCCCGCCGGTGCATTTGGGTTCTACGCAGGGCTGTGCTTGTTAGGATGGCTATTTTGCTTGTTTTGCTTCCCTGAGACTGCTGGGTTGAGCCTCGAGGAGGTCCAGAGCATCTTTCAAGATGGTTTTGGGATCCGAGAGAGCCAGAGAATGAGGAATAAAAAGCGAGAGATGAAGATGCAGCAAGAGATCCAAGCAGGGCGGGGGGATGCATGATGCGCTGTTATCGATCTCATAGTATGAACTCGACTGGTTTGATTGCCTCCCGCTGAGTTCTACACAGGGCTGAATCTGCTAGGATGGCTATTCAACTTGTTTTGCTTACCTGAGACTACCGGGGCGAGCCTCGTGATGGATGCGCAGAAATACCTATCTCAGAGCATATTAAGAGCTACAATGTGATTGCTGATACTAGAGATGAGCGGACAACGAATACACGCACGTATCTTGCACATTTCATCTGAACCCGACATGAACCGAAGTTGCTACCATTTTACCTGCCGCACACAAGACTGCACCATAGTAATGCGTGTCATTCAACAAACGAGAAGCTCATGGTGCATCTATCGTTAAGCTTTCGTCGCCGTCCAGAAAGCAGTTTTATAAACGTATCCCAGCATAGACCGGGAATTACTCGTGTAAGTCGTGTCTATCATTCGCTCATCCTAGTAGACCGCCCTCGTCAGATTTGCACAGCGAATGCGATGTAAAGACTTGCAGATATCACAAAGCCGATTTTTCGAGCCAGTATTTTGACTTCTTCGAGATCAAGTTCAATGGATGGATCATTGGTCGCATTATTTTCGAAGTGCCAGAGCAGCGGGCCTGATATGTAATCAGCAGGAGAACTGAGACGAAACGACCGTCCTGACCCATGTTAATCCACACTCCACCAGGTGCTAATATCCTGTGGATTATACGAAGGTAGTTGACAATATTTTTTGCCTGAAGGAGCTTCATTAGGATAGAATACACCTGGACAGAAACGATTCCGCACAGTGTCAATGAAGAAACAAGTCAGGACAGCGTCCCATTGCCCCGCCTGTGGTTCGACATCGCCTTCCTCGTATTCTGCTCCATAGATCTCCTCGAAATCGCCTGAAACGTTGAGAAGCTACGATACTAAAAGGACCTGTCAATAATCATACCCGCAACTAAGGAAAAATTCGAGCCAGCCGGTAGGGCCGAGGGAAGGACATCAGGTATTTTCACTGGGTGTAACATTGCATCGCGATCAGGAAGGTTGGAGAAAGAATGGACGTAAGGGTATATGGTGTATTGTCCAATCGTGTCAGTCCTGCGACCAAAATCAAATGTTTAGCCAGAACACTCAGATCCCTGCTTTTCTCACCTGTTTAAAATAAGATAAGATGCAAGAAGCATATAGTGAGAAAATTCATTTCCCTGACAGGCGAACCCTAGCGGATTGATCAAGTCCGATTCAGAAGAGAGATGCATGAACTCTGCAAACCTAAATTCGCAACATCATAGGCCAACCGGCCGAGACCTGCACCAGGAACGAGCACCCGGATATTTTTCCTGGTGGAGTGATACATCTGTATCGTCTAGAGGAAAATTTAGAGCCTAAGCCAACCTTAACTCCGGAGATGGTTTGTCCGAGAAATGCGCGACCAGCGCGTCTTTCATTGGCATATAACACGTTTCGCGTTCTTCTTCTCCCTGTGATTCAAGCTCAGGTTACATATGCTGAAAAGGGGCAGAATTATAAGTTTACCTCCTGACTCCAGTCTCGTACAAATTGCTTCAGGGTGCTTCGCAACTTGTCCATATCGAAGTCCGTAGGCTTGTACTTTCGCTGATGCTGACTGGCATTCGAATGGTCATGCGAGTGATTGTGGTGATGCGGGTGACTATGAGAATGTGAATGCGCGTCACCTGCATAACATTGACAATGTTAGGCACAAATCGGATTCTTTCTCGTACAACTACAAACCATGCGAATGCTCGTGCAAAGTCCCACACCCAGCCTTGTCCTCATCTGCATCTTTAGGAGAATCGAGATCATGGCCGAAGATCTCGGGGTTTGCAACAATCAGCTTCAAGAATTCTGCATTGGCCAGAATGGCTTTATCCACTTCTTGAAGCTTTTGTCGGTACCCAAGGGCATCGAGAAGTTCTTTGTCACCCTGAGGAAGTGTGTAAATGTCTTTTCGTCGCCTGTTATTGGCTGCTAGCTGAATAGGTCGGACGAGCAGGCGATGCATAAGGACAGTGCGGTGCGTGATGATTAAAAACACCTGCCGAGTATTGGGCATATTGCTGGAATGTTGCGATGACATTAGAGAAATGTTTTTGCTCCTCTTCGATTTCAGCATCCGAGAATGTTTGGGACATTGTTCGAGAGACAAGTGTAAGTACCACTAAGTAAGATCAACGTGATTCGAAGCAACCGAGTCAGAAAAGGGTAATTATAGAATTATGAGTCAGCGACCTCCGAATTCAATAACATCAAACAACTACATATAGTACTAGACTACTAGACTAGTTAGCGGTTGCCAGTGAATCGACGCTACGATATAACCGGTCTCGTCAGGTATAGTAACGTCAAAGGGTTAATTCCCGCTGGCTTGCTCACCGTATCCTCGCATAGGCTTCTTAGGGTAACGCCGAGCAACAGCCATGATAAGTGGCTTGACTACCGCTGCTTGTCATAGCACAGCTGAGCACCGACCATGAGTTAACTTTACCTTTTTAGTTAAACTTGGCGATATACGATGCAAGATCATCGTTCCTGGCACTATTTTTTGATGTATTCTATGGCTGCTGTAGTGCGCAGCTCAACATCCAGTTTCCTTGCAGCCAATAGTATCATAATAGCGCACCCACTCAATGACAGATTGACGCCTTGCAGAGTCCTTATGCTAATGTAACTTGCGCACAGCATACGAGGCACATACTATGAATATATAATCTGGGTCGATCTAATGCGCTAACCTTGCCTTCACAATGTCTGGAGCAGCAATAACTATTGGACCAGCGGTGGTTGGATCTATGATCGCCAGCTACTTATTTGGCTGCTCGACGATGCAAACATACACTTACTATAAGCGTTTTCCAGGTGATAGAAGAGTATTTCAAATTCTGGTGCGTTCTGTCTGCCTTGCTTCCAGTCAAAGCTAATTGAACTTTGTAGGTGGCAGTTGTGATGTATGTGTCGATGCATCTCAATATCGACCTCAAGGTCTGATTCATCCCAGGATGCTGACATTTGGACATATCATTTCCATCATGTATTGGACATGGACCCTGACCGTTACAGGTTGCGAGGATCCTGATGGCGTGACCATATTCTCCAGTTCTCGGGACGCAAATATCGTCTTGACACCCCTGATTAGCACTCTTGTTCAGGTAAGTAACGACTGATTCAAGCACGGCTCCATTCAACTTAATTATGCAGATGTTTTTCATCTACAGATTGTTCAAATTCTCAGGAAGCAGGACGGTCGCCGCGTTTTGTGGCATTCTCAGCATATTGAATCTTACCGGCACTTTGGTAGATGCAGTCCACGCACTGGACAATCCCACGAATAGAACAACGAAAAACACAAGAGATTGGTTGACAATCCTGACTCTTGTTGCAGCCGCTGTTTGCGATTTGGTGATCACGATTGGTCTGGTGTATTTCCTGCAGCGTGAAAGCAGGCGAACCACAGTTCACCAGTAAGCTGCACCATCTCAAGGTCACTCTCCTCTAAACGATTCCCTTCCAGAATACATAATATCGCTGATCGTCTAACTCTTTGGGCAATTGAAACTGGTCTCGCCACCAGGTAAGCAAACTTTACATACGAAGGTTTGACCATGAGGTTCATATTCACAGCATGTCTTCCATCTTAATCATTGTCTTCGTGAGTCCTTCCAATAACGATTGTGATGAGTGCTGCTAATGTCAATAGTTTTGTGCCATGAGGAACACTTGTGAGGCAGTTCGTCATAGCTATGGAATCATATTTGAAAATTTCCACTCTAGTCTTATGGATTGCTGTTTACAACGTTCTGGCTGATGGTGAGCATTACTTTTCACGTCTTAATTTACGTATTTCCTCAATTTCAAAACAGTTTATACAAATTCGCTCCTAGCCGCGTGAGTCACTCTGCTCAGGCGGATCAAATAGGGCTAGAGCTAACGCGGACACAGACTCAATAGCCGTAAAACCACTCGCATTCGAGAGACTCGTGTCATCGAGTTTTCCAGTGGTTGCGACACACCACCTGACCTTGTCAGTGAGAAACCGGAGGCTATTAATTAGATTGTCGGTTTTCACTGTCTATTTTACACTGCTCTAAAATTATTGTCATGCTGTGTAGATTCACGTCCAATCATAGTGACCGGCGATGAGTCGACAGTCAAAGTAGTCATCGCTTCCGTGATGAGTCAATGACTCCGCTTAGGTTCGGCTCCACGCAAATCAAACATGCTCCGCATTAGTCAAAGTCAGTCAAGCTATTGACTCATTTTCTCAAACATAAAAGCCTTGGGAGGCCCTTTACTCAGACTAACACTGCACCAACTTTCCCCCCTTCTAAACACCGCACAAACATGCCACCTCTCAGCGCCAGGGCATGGGAGAAAAAGGTATGCAGTGGTTATCTTGCACTGGGAGGCGCTCACCAAATAGGCTATGTCACAGCATTCTCGAAAACGCGCTAATGGAACCATTCTGCGTCGAAATCCCGGACGTGGCGATGGCTCCACTTGGAAAAGCAGGGGCTACATTTGCGCGGCTGCGGTCGACGATTGTTCGGTTGATAATGTTCACGACGCTGAGGAATACGATGCATCAGAGGCTTGTGCCCCTGTGTCATTTAACACAACGTTTTCCCTCTTTGATAGCGCACAAATTTTACCCTCCAAGCGCCAGCGCAAAGGTGAAGCGCATTATATTCATCGTGACCTTTGAACGAAGTATTGAATCAACCTGAACATAGCCAAGAGCCGACTGGGGGACTTTGAGATCCTTGATTCGAACCCCAAAGTCATGCCCATGAATGATGACCGCAGCGATACCGACGAGGATGAGTGGGAGAAAGTAGATGTACTAGATATTTCTGGCAGACGGCGCATGATGACATACTCGCAAGTGCTCCGGAGTTCAGACGAGGGCTGAGTCAGTAGGAAATCAGCATAGCCAGTGGTAGCTTATTTGTCCGCGTACACTAGTAGTATTCATATTTGATACATGTCACCCGAACGCTTAACATACGTAGTAAGGTGATTAGTACAATCGTTTGGCAGAGAAATTTAGAACAGACGACTAAACAAACAAAGTCATGAAGTTCGACACAACTTCACGCTCGTGACCTCGTCGCCCGCGTCGTGCGCTTCACCTCCACCTCCTTCTTCCGCTCACCCTCATCTTCCTTCGAACTCGATGGGGTATTTTCCTTATCCACCGCTGTTACTGCACGCCTACGGGTCGTCGTTGTGCTCTTCGCCTTCCCAGGAACTAAAACATCGATGTCTTCCTCTTTCACAGGTGCGGTCACTGCCCGCGTGCGTCTTGCCCTCTGTATGGGAGCTGGAGCTTCAGGCTGCGCGATCGAATCAAGGGGATCATCCCCATCAGCATCGTCGTCGTCTTCCGTGCTGCGCATCTTGCTCCGTGAGGGGGCACGACTTGTCGTAATTGCGACCTTGGGCTTCGCAAGAACTCGTGGGCGTGCTTTCGCAGGCTCAGATCGAGCGACTGGGACGGGGGTGGCACGGCTGCGGGCTGCCCGGGTTTTGGGGGCCTGTGGGAGTGAAATGAGATATGGGATTGCAATAGGAAGAAGGAAGAAAATTTACTGTTTCAACAACGTCCATTTTCGGTTTTCTCGCTGCTGTGGTACTAGCTACACGAGCCCTAGGCTCTGTACTAGCAGGACGCATCATCCTAGGCTCAGTACTGGTATCTCGCGTCTTTGGCACAGCAGCAGGCTCTTCGTCCTAAATCACAAATCGTGATTAGTTATCTACAAGACCAATCAGGAGGATGCATACCGAGTTATCAGTTGTGATCCCTTTGCGCGCACGAAGCAGACGCGCTCTCGCAGGTTTCTTTTGTGCGATAGGCTGAGGCGGAATCTCTCGAATCTCTTCTTCTTCTGCCTCGTCTCCTGCATCTGGTTTGGCTGCTGGCTCTGGTGCTGGTTCTGGCATTTTTGCTTTTGCTTTCTCTTTCTCTGCACGTTTTGGAAGTACGACTGGTACCCTTTTCGTGGTCGTTGCCTCTACACGCGAAACAGTCCTGGAAGTCGATGGTTCCCTCTCCTTGGAGGTAGTAGCCCCCGTGGCCGTAGTAGTTCTCGTGCGACGACGAGCTGCTGTCGTCGTAGGCCCAGGACCAGAAGCAGGAACAGGGATCTTACGGGAGGTAGTTTTCACAGGTTTGCGTTGCTCCTCCGTCTCTCTCCTGTTCGCTTGCTCCTCCCTTTTCATGTCACCCTCTCGTTCATCCACGTCCTCAACACGCGCTCGATACCCCTCAGGTGTAACCATCATCTCCCCGACACCCTCTAACACATCTGTTTCCATCTCCACTCCGATACCCTTGTCAGCTCCGCGGAACAGCGAACGCATGCTCTTCACTGCTGGCGTACTTGGCACCGGCGCTGGGGGAGGGAAGAGATGCTTGAGTGATGCGAGGGCAGGTGTCTGCGGACCCGCAAACGACGGTGCATCCTTGTGTTGCGGCCGAGAGGTAGGACGCGTGAGCTGGGGTAGTGGTGTCCTCTCCAGTTCGAGATCAAGGTCAAGCGCGATGCGTGTGGGCGAGAGAGGTGCAGGCATGTGTTCGGATGAGTCAGTCGTCTCGAGGTCAGGTTCAGGGTGTGAAGAGGACCGAGGTCCTCGGACTGAGGATGCAAGGCCGTTCTCTTTATCGCTATTTTCTTCTTCTTCCTCACCTGTTTGTTGTTCCTCATCGATGTCTTCTTCTGCGTTCTCCTCGACATCTGTACGCTGCTCAGCGTCCGCTGCATTATCATCCTCACCATCCTCCTCGTACTCACGCTCATCCTCCCCAAATGGACCCAAACTCCTACGTCGTTTCATCTCCTCCACAGTTCGCTTCATCCGATCCAACAAACTTCGCGTGTCCTCTTCGTCTTCCTCACTATGTGGCGTCAGCGGTGCCTTCAAAGGCGATGGAGGACGCCCGAAAGGCGTATGAGCCTTCGCAGACATTTCCAATGATTTCACAGGAGAAGAGAAAAGCTTCATAGGGGACGAGGGGCCCGCATGGATGGGAGCTTTCGCAGGAGATGTACTTCTCCCCCCGAATTTGGTCGGCGATACACTCCTCTCGCCTGATTTGGTGGGAGATGCGCTACGCTCACCAACAGTACGGACGGTAGAATCAAATAGGGAGGGTAGTTTCCGTTGCGTGTTACTGTCACTCGGGGCAGAGGGTGTGGGGGGTGCGACAGACTGCCGTCGCAGCCCTGGTACCTGTGCAAAGAAAGGGTCGGGGGTAGTGAGTGCTGATTTACGGCGTTCTTGGATGGCCTGTGTGTTGGTGATTAGCTGGAAGACGCCTCATTGGGAGAGAAATGTTGCAAGCAAAGAAGGTCAAGAGAGATGACAAGGAAGCAGCAATATACATGCGCCCTGTATCACAACAATCCGAGCTCATAGAGGCCACTCCAAATGAAACTCAAAGTGTGCCCTCCGTGCCATTTCCCAAGTTCCAGAAAGTAAAAGAAAACGCATGTACTCACCTTCCTCTCCTCCTCACTCACCCGCGTCCTCCCAAATCCTGTCCCTTCCTTCTCCTCTTCCTTCATCTCCTCCACACCTCGCACCTCGATATCTCCAATGCGCCACTTGGGCTCGACGCGTACTCTCTTAGCACCTCCCCATGTCTCTACAGGACCAGATGGTGCAGACATTTTAGAAGGCGATGGTACGCGCAACGCTCCACCAAAGGAGTTGCGTCCTGCACCGCGGCCAATTCCAGCGTTAATGCCTGATTGTGGGTGCGATACTTGGGGCGTCATAAATGAGCCCAGAGGTCGTGGGGCTCTTGCAGGTGTAAGGTGTGGTTGGGCTTGGGGTGTCATGTAAGGAGGTGGGGAGGAGGATGGAGGTGGGGGCTGTGCATCCTGGTCGATGTCCATTCGATCGTGCTGGTGTTCATGGTTAGCATGACAAAGAAAAACAAAGGAGAGGATTACCTCGTCGTCGTCCTCATCTTGCTCGTCATCGTCGTCATCGTTTTCTTCGGGCGCAGTGGAACTCGAGCGGAAAGGCCATACAACACGTGCACGCACGGCATTGAGAGATTGGCGCCATGTGCTTGGTTGAGGAGTAGGCTCCTCAGCGGTGTCTGAGTCATCTTCGTCAGATTCTTCATGCTCGATCCCTGCACTTCCTTCGTGCTTGTCATTTAATTCTTCGTCGTTACCATTCTCATTCTCCTCGCCCCCCTCCACAGCTGTCTCGCCTACAATCACCTCCTCGACTTCTTTCTCTTCATCCTCTTCTTCACGTGCCATGACGGCGCGATGTACACTGCGAATAAGTACAGCACGATGCAACGAGGAACGAGTACGTTTGTTCGGAGTCTTGTACATGTTCATACTTGGTCTTGGCCTTTGCACAGATGGGGTGGGCGGAAGGGCTTGGACATCGACATGCTCGAGGATAACAAGGTCCTTATCCTCCTGTACGACATGTGGAGTGTTAGACTCCACAAGAACGATTTCTTCTTCTATTTCCTCTGGTTCTGGGATGTGGGAGTTCTTTAGCGCAGAGGGCTTGCGCGGGGAGGGCACAAGTTGCTTGAGCGGGCTCTGGAGAATTCGGAGGTTTGCAAGTGGATCTGCAGAGGGTTTTCCACGAGGGGTGAATACTTGAGCGCTGTGGATCATGCTCATTCGTAATTTTCTCCGTCCGCTGCCACCATTTTCAGGCTTAACTGGTGAATCGATGTTGTATAGCGGAGAACGTAGCTGCTTGGGCGGATAAGAGAATATAAAACGTTTCTTGTGTATTTCGATTTCGCAGTTGTTAGAGACGGGAATTGTTGTGGGAAGTGAGGCGTTGGTGGACGGGAGCACGGGGCAGCCGTCGATGGTGAGGCCTGCGTCGCCGAGAACGACGAGAAAAGCCTGCTAGCGAGTTCCAGCGGTTCAGTAAATATAGATAGACGGTTTACAGACCTTTCTTTCTTGAAATACAATTTTTGCATGCAGAGCACTGATCTCTGGGTAATAGAGACGCACACTGCACGTCGGGTCGCGTCCAAAGGTAACTGCCTCCTCGTCGATTGGGAATGCTGCTACCTGTTCATCGGTCGTCCGTTTCATCAGCCGCAGCGTACCAAACAGCCCCATTTCGCTACCGTCCATGGTGATGAGCGAAGTTCAAGTTCAAGCAAGACTTGACGGCGTTTGTTTGGTTCGCGTCATGCCAAACGTGCAGGTCATGTGATCGCGTAATTTAGGCTACGAGACTTCCCAGCTTGCCTTAGGCGGATGGATAGGTCACCATGACAGCATCTGTCGTCCACATGAAAGCCCGCCCAACTATCCGTGAGAGACACTTCAGAGCTGCCGGTACAATTAACGAAGCTGAGTAAACCGAATTCAAGAACTACCGCAATATCGATACGACGAGTCCTTTTCATGCCTCTCAATCTGCATCTCATCAACTCATTCACCAAGCATACTTTACACACCTGCCAGTGGAACCTGGTGCGCACGCTCCGACTACATTCGGTTCAAAATTCGAGTGTCACTCTTTACGTTCAGGGCTTTTTGGCTTGGTAGAATTGGCCCTGCTGATCATGACGCATCGGGATTGTACAGTGGCACGTAAATTCCAGCGCCATCAGGTAAGTACAATGGCCCTACCCCGACCAATTTTTAACTCAGTATCTTACTAAATCACTCTATATAACCAGCTGGCCACCAATTGCGATCTCTATCGTCTCCAAGGCCTGAAAGGATATTCCGTGATCAGGGTGGCATTCGATTCAGGCCGTGGTTAGCCTGATGTGATAATCACCATCACATTGTTAATTTCTCAAACCTTTACTGTCAAAATGCCGAACGCTGCACTTCGAGCACCTGCGCAGGTAAGCCAGCCTTGCACATTCCGGAGTTCACTCAGATTCTTCCAAACAAGGCCAAAACCGTAGTTGTGACAGATGGGAAGCTCGTCGCAACAGCAGCAACCCATGTCGTGAGCTCCGACAAGATGGCAGTTCTACTAGTTCTAGCGGGGGCTTTTGTCCCGTTCCTTCACTCAACAACAGGTCGTGTCTGTTGAAAACCTCTTTGCGAATCAACCCCTCAGGGTACTCAATACTCTTACTGGGAAGCTCTTGGATGTATCGGCCTTTCATCTCAATCGAGGTGGTACTAATCCCGTTTCACGTATACATCTTCGAAGTGGTTAGAATAAACTGGTTTTATATCCTTCACCAGACTTTGACCAGTGGTGTATTATCGTCAGAAAGAGGAAACATCCTACGACAATCGGCCAAATAATCAGATCGGTCGAAAATCGTCGGAATGAACCCAGAGTCAACGTTTTTTGATGTATGAGGGGCGACACTGAAGACCGCAAAAGCGTCCCGGACTCAAGCTGGGTGATTTCGACGTAATAAGGCGCACCCGCAGGATGATTGGTCCCTTGGGTACCGCAGTTATGGTGTAACATTTAGTCTTTGTTGTTTAATGTATACTATGGGTGTAGATTGGAGGTAAACGGAAGACTAGGTCAGATCGCAGGACGCAGCAAGACAAGACTTCTAACGTCAATGCATTCGTCAAGGCAGTGTTACAAAAGATAGACATCTAAAACACTCACCGAACGACCAATAATAAAGTATCGGAGGCAATGCATTTTCGTCTCCCTAGTACTTCGTTTATCAATGTCAATTCTGTAGTAATAAAGATAATTGTCCAATTGATGACCGGGGAGGTTGGTGAAGTCGTTGTTCGTGCGTAAAGGCGGCAATTTAAACTATCAAGAACATGTCATTAATGTGAACAAGAGACGATAAACATACTAACGTGCTCTGGGTCTTTATCCTCACGGCCCCACGAGATCGGAATTTGGTGGTACAATTGTAAGTCGTTGAAAGGGTGTGTCTTGTCATATAACTACGTTGCGAACATGAGCAGTGATCATCGAAGTATTGAAATTATCATACCCAGTGTGCTTTCAACCGGTGACCCCTCTGGATGACCGGGCCTCTGTGGATGCTCACTTACTTGGGAATCAGAGTCGAGCCGTTGCTCCAGACCGTGAATCCTGGAATTATTCATCGTCCGAACCAGTGTTTCATCCATCTGGTCAAGCCTTCTATGCATGGGTTCAACGAGATGCGAAATGACATGATTTCCACCTGTCTCAGCTGTGGCTGCGCTGCACACCTTGTGTAGATACAGCTGCGCTTTCGCGAGGTCGTCGACAGTGGCCATACAGTAGTCCCGGCGCAGTTTTCTCTTGAATGCTATGGGCATTTTATGTATTTAGTAGCTCAGGCCGCTACTGCGGAACACAACTTACAGGGGGGGCTAAAAAACTCCTTCACCTTCTCAAGGAGGATAATTGCATATACAATGTCTTGACTGGTTGGTGGATCTGAAGGAGGCAATGGTCGCTCGATTTGAGATAACGACTCTGAGAAGAGTGGTACTTGGATCAACATTGTTAGACTTGACTTGAAGGTTAGGAGGTTATGTATATGCATACCCATGAGCCTCCTATCATCATCATAGGAGCAAATGGTCCTGCTTATCAAAGCGGACTGAGGCGCGCATCATCAAATACCTCAAATCCCCCAACGGACGTCTTCTCGGAGCGGACGTGACATGCGATGACTTCCGGTGCTTTCACGTACATATACCCTGCATTAGCTCGCAAAAGGCCCAAATCATATTATCATACCACATATTCGACTTCGTAATTCCAGAACATTCAAGACTACGAGACAGAAAGACATCTACTCACCAGCTTCTTCTCGTCACTGACTCGCATCTTCCAGAATCCGGTGCCCACATTTTCCTCCTTCACACCCTCCACAGCGGCCGTCGACGAGGATCAAAAGCCTGCCAGCACAAATGATTTATTGATGTCAGTGTAGGTGATACAGATAGATAAGCCACACACTTGTGTTTTCAAAAAGTAAGCACATTTTCTGTATGCAGAGCGCTGATCTCTGGGTAAATGGACGCGTGCACACTGCACGTCGGGTCACACCTAAAGGTAACTGTCTCTTCGTCAATGGGAAATTATGCTACCTACGTATCAGTCTTCCGTTTCATCCGCCACAGTGTACCGAACAGTCCTAATATTTCGCTGTCGTCCATGGTGATGAGCAAGTTCAAGCGAAGTTGAAGTTGGCATCCGCACGTGCAAGTCATGTGATCGTGTCGTTCATAGCAGAGGTCCATCGTCGACTACAGGAATGCTACATCTGAACATCATTTACAAAAGTATGAAGTGTATCACAAGTACCGTAATCAGGAACTACAAGTGCGGCACCGAACCAATCCACGACACTGCCTGGTATACGTCACCAGGAAGATGACGTAAAGTGATGAACATGAGTACCAACAGGATGGCACGAGTTGTAATGTACAATATGATACATAAAAGCCCAATCATGAAACCTAGATTCTCCAGGATACCTGTATCTAGTGCATCGAATGCGGAAGTCACACAAAAGAAAAGCTAGGGTATGCCAGTTATAGCGAGGGCACATATGCGCCATAGGAGCTGTTCCTCATGTGTGACGAAGGTAAAAGGCCAAGCTAGACAATGGATGCCACCGAATATGGTTGCCATACTCAGTGCAGCAAATTGAATGACCATTTTGTCCCAATGTCCGAGTTTGATGCTGCCATCAAATGTTGGAACTCGGAGCATTAGGGATGTGGGGACGTTAAACAAGTCTATCAGTTGCATAATTGGGTCGAGGACTAGAGAAAAGATATTAAGCTGAGTGGTTTCGGGAGTTCTGTGACGGACATCAAGACTAAGACAGACATAATCAGCAGCAGTATAATTGTTCAGGCGCATACATACTACTTAATGTGATTATCTGGCCTTGAATCGGTCGACTTCCAGTACACTGGATGTGGATATTGCACATTGAGAGGCTTGTCCCACCACACGGCGTAAGTTATGAAATTGAGAACCGCAAAAGCGAGCGTCCCAACTTCGAGCTGGGTGGTTTCGAGGTGATATATGGCGCGGGTGATGAGCTGCATAACAAACCAGGCCACCTGAAGCATGACCAATCCCTTCGATATCGCGTTGCCTTTGCTCTTGTCATAGATCTGGTTTGCCGTTAGGGTAGGGGCATCGATACACTTGTCATGTATCAATTTGAGAATGTAATCATGACGTAGTGTAAGGTAGGGTTTCTCGTCCACATAAAGCATGAAACCACCCATGAGCACAAAGAAGCTGTGCGTTTGAGTCCATGTATAATCTAAAAATGCACATAAGTCAACGTTCAGGCGAGCACGAATCCGGCTTACCTTCAGATTGCTCTGAGAAATATGCATCAACGGACCTTTTGACGGACCTCCAAAGAGCACCAGGGAAACTCCAAATAAACACCGGCACAGATGATACACCTTTAGCCAGTACTACGAGGAGGCGATTTTTACGTTGCTCAGGTAACCGCCTTTCTAAGGAAATGTATAGTGAGTTATGAGATGCAAATTTTCCGGAAGCACAACTCACCTTCAGGCTTCCAGTCTGGGTGAACATTGGGATACCCCGATTCCTTGAACTGCCTTGTAACAAGGCGAGCGCTGAGCCATTGACGCATAGCCCATGTCACAATTAGTTCAGGAGCGATCAGTGCCATTATCATGATGCCAAGTCGCCGCAGCAGAATACGATTAGGACTGTCCTTAGGGCTCGGAATATTAGGGTGGATGGCACTGTATATGCATGCAAAAAGAGTGAGAACGGAGCTGGAGACGATGGACCATATGGTTCTGGTCGTGAATGATGAGGTTTTAAAACTGTCGTTAATGATGGTATTAGTTGTATTAGTTGCAGTACCAGGTGCAGCTTGAATCACTCCAATGAGGTAGAGGAAGACACAGGGAAGGAGAAGTAGTAAGCGCATCAGAAGTTGGACGTCCGAGTCACTTTGGGGTGCATCATGGTATGCATCCTGTTTGCTATTTGTATTTTGCCAGTGGGCGTCATTTCAAGGTAGTACAATGCATGGTGAGGCCCCGGCTTGCCTGATGTTTGCAGCATGGCAAACGGATACGGATTAATGATTGTGTATGATAAGTGCTAGTATATTATAAGTAACATCGTAAATTCTGAATCGAGTACTTACATAATTCACTCCGATGTGAAGTTCGAACCAAACTGCAGCCGGTCCAACATCTGTCTCCAACAATGCAACGCACTTATGATCGAGTCTCCTTGTTACGTCACGGTTGTATGGTATGATTGTTGATGGGCACGTCCATTTTCTGTTCGAATTTCGACGCCTTTGGTTTGCAGCAGCAGTCCTCAGTCCTGACTCGTGGCAGTGACAACGCTCTCTGACTTTTTATTGCAAGCTGGCGGCCGTGTTGAGTTGTGGTGTTTGCCTTGCAACACTATGTATACTATAACTCCATTGGCAATGAATTACTGCATGCAGCACTGGGATGTGTCCACCATCCCCAGCTTGCACTGCTACAGCGTACGTTCCAAAGGCCGGTAATGATTCATGTCACTACATGTCTTCAACTTGGGAGCCGACTTTTCATCATTCAAATCGCAGGTTTCTATGCACCATAACGATTCTACTGGTGAGATTTTAATCTACATAGAACGCAGCCAGACTTCATGCACCAGGATGAATATTGCGAAAACGCCGCCCTTCACCTAGTCTGATCGAATAACCTTGCAGTTTTTCACTTGGACAGTCCAAAATTACATCCCACCCGAAACGGTTGATATTACAAGTCACATGTAATTCACTCACGGTGCAACTCACTTGTTGACTTTCTAGATCAGATCAAACTTCTGGGACCTCATAGGTCGACTAGATACTCAGTTGCTTTGAGACTGTATTTCCTGGACACCTGCAATGGTATTTACAAGTCATATCTCTCGCAGAGTGAAGGTAAGTATAGTCATCACGAATAACCCATGAAATATCATACTGATTGTAGTTTTTCAAGGGCTGTGCGAGCGGTTGTCACTAAAATTGTAGTTTACGCCCGATTGCCGACCCCCTTTGAGATACCCGGGGTATTCTAACTAAATGTCAGTATATCGGCACCCTAAAGTCGATCGCCGCAGTATCGAAGGCTTGCTGGCGCTTCAAGAACGAGTCCCAGCTACACGTGTACGTGTACATATGAGCGTCTGTTCTAATAGGGTCCACGGTAAGCACCCTTCGCTGTCCAAAAGTAGTTGACAGTGATGACCTGGCCTAACGCATGTCCAACTGCAGGATATAATTTACCTTCTCTTCGGCCAACTACCGTCGAACTGGGACATTGGTTTAGTGAGCAGAATTTTCAGCCGACCACGACTAGTTCTTCTTTTTTTAGCGATCCTGCAGTAGTCATTGATGCTTAATGCATGTTCCGTACATCTAACCGTAATCGTCTATGCTTCCTTCGGCACATAGATTTCCCGGTCCGTGTAATTCACTATGTCAGACGATTGAAGAGTTCTCCCCTAAAATAGGATAGGATAGGTAGCGATCAAATTATTTCGTTACGCGTTCCATTACACTACACAAAAAAATCCACGCCTTCGTTTATAACGCCGGGATGCTCTTGCCTGAATATCACCGGTTGACACAACATATCTAGCGAACGCAAGAGTAATCAATGACTTCCCCGGTATAGTTTTGATTACGGGGGATACTTATGAGTAAGAAGTCGAGAAACTGAGTCAAAAACTCCAACAACGATTTCCATAAGCGTTGTCAGTCATCTTCAGAGGCGCTGACGAAGTCATAGTCATTAGGGCATCAATGCAAGTGTTTATGTAGGGTCAGTTGCTGCATAATCATAATACACTCGCTCGTAAAAAAAGAAGAAAGGTAAGAATTGTATCTTGAGCACCGTAACCAAAAACTATAAGTGCGGTACCCAAGTGGTCCACGACACCGCTTCGTATGCGTTATGATCAAGATCGCGTAAAGTGGTGAACATAAGTGCAAAGAGGGCGGCACGAGCTATGATGTAGAACATGGCATATAATGAACAGAGCGAGACTTGAACCTCCTTTGATGCGCACAGGAAGGGCAATAGAGTGACGAAACCAAGCCAGGGTATGCAAGTTATAATGATAGCACTTACGGACCATAGCAGGTGTTCCTCGTATGTGGGAAAGGTAAGGAACAAAGCCATACAATGGATGGCGCCAAATATGGTTGTCATAAGAAATCCAGCAGCTACAAGAATCATCTTGTCCGAACGTCCGAGTTTGATGCTGCCATCAAATGTTGGAACTCGCAGCTTCCGAGATGTGGGAATGTCAGCCCAGCCTATCAGTTCTATGATTGGGCCGAGGACTGGAGAAAAGATCCCAAGGCCATCGGGTCGGTCTTTGTCACTCAGACTAAGACAAACATAATCAGCAGCGGTATAATTGTTCAAGCGCATACATACCCCAAAATATCCTCTGGTCTTGACTCGGTCGGCTTCCAGTACACTGGATGCGGACATTGCACGTTGAGAGGCTTGTTCCACCACGCAGCATAGGTTAGGAAATTAAGTGCCGCAAAAGCGAGTGTTCCCACTTCGAGCTGGGTGATTTCGAGGGGATAGATGATGCGGGTGACGAGCTGCATGATAAACCAGGCCACCTGAAGCATAACCAATCCTTTCGATATCGCATCGCCTTTGCTCTTATCGTGGATCTGGTCTGCCTTTAGGGTAGGGATGTCGATACACATTTTACGTATCAGTTTGAGAATGTGATCAGGCTGTAGTGTAAGGTAGGGTTTCCCGTCCACATAAAGCATGAAACCACCCATCAACACAAAGAGGCTGTGTGCCTGAGTCCACGTATGATCTAAGGATGGATATGAGTCAACGTTTAGGTGCGCACGAACCAGGCTTACCCTCCGACTCAGACTTGGATTGCTCTGGCTCGGATTGCTCTGACTTAAACCGCTTTGCAACCCGCCTGATGGGGCTACAAACGCAACAACAAAGAGACGCTAACACAGATAATACACCTTTAGCAAGCAGGTGAAAGGGGCGAAACAAGGGCCAGAGGAAGAAAAAAGGCATGAGAAGGAAGCGAAGGAAGCGAAGAAAACGAAGGAAGTCATTTTCAGGTGCAGACTCATTTTCTAAGGACGTATATAGTGAGTTGTAAGATGCAGAGCTTCTAAAAGCACAACTCACCTTTAGACTTCCAGTCCAGACGAACATTGGGATACTTCGATTTCTCGAACTGTTTCGTGACTTGATTAGCGCTGAACAGCTGGCGCATAGCCTACGTGACCATGAGTTCAGGAGCGATCAATGCCATTATTATGATGCCAAGTCGCCGCATCTGGATACCCGTATAACTATCCTTAGGACTCGGAATGTTAGGGTGAATGGCACTGTATGTGCACGCAAAAAGAGTGAGAACGGAGCTGGAGACGATGGTCCATAGGGTTCTGGTCGTCAACGACGGGGCTCGAAAACGGTCGCTGAGACTGATATCTGAATCTGCTGTATCCAGTGTTGTAGGAGCAGCTTGGATTGCTCCTAGGCCAACGAGGCAGAGGAAGAGGCAGATAAGTAGCAAGCGCATTAGTGGACGGGTGTATCGTATGCATCCTGTTCACTATTTGTATTTACTAGCGGGCGTCAATTCAAAGGAGCACGATGTTGATTAGGCCTAGCGCTCTTGTCTGATGTTTGCAACATGGCACTTGGGCTAAGTGGATGGGAAGTAATGATCCGTGTAAGTGCAAGTCTCATTAATGCAAATTTGAGTACTTGAATTTTATTTATCTCCGAATGTCGATCGTAGCGAACCGAACTGCAGCCGGTTTGATATTGGTAACACACTACTATGTCACGGTTGTATGGTTCATTGTCAATTCTTTGTTCGAACTTCGACACCTTTGGTTTGCAGCTGCAGTCCTGACTGGCAGTAACTGCGTCCCGTCGGGTCCTTCTGACGTTTCATTCCAAGCTGTCAGCGGCCATGGTGAGTTGTAGTGCTTGTCAACATTACTAATGTCCAACTCTGGATTCACAATGTGAAGTACCGACACTGGCGTGTGTCCATTCCTAGCTTACACTATCATTACGCGAGAGATATCAAAGCCTGGCAATGATTCAGTCACACCAGCGCGTGCCTTCAACTTGGCAACCGACGCTTGATTATTCCAATCGCGTCATGCTTCTAGCTGCTACAATTCTACCCGGTGAGCCTTTACATAACCTGTATCAAGAGCACAGCCAGACTCTCTTAGCGTAGTGAGACTTGTAATCTTTTCAAAGTGCATCTCACTAGAAGCAATTCATATCATAACTCACATGTGATTCAGTCGTGGTGCAACTGACTTGTCGACTTCCTAGATCAGGTCAGGCTGGGATCTTATAGGTCGACTAGATCATCCTCGGTTGCTTTGAGGCTGCGGCACATCCGTTGCGCGCCTGTAAGGGGATTTTCAAGCGATATCTCTCGCACAGTGAAGGTATGCATGGCTATATCTCGAATAACGGATGAAATACCGTGCTGATTGTGATTTTCCAAGGGTTGGGCGCTCAGACCACAAGAGCCGGCCCAGCCATGCTGCACTCTTACTGCACGGCGTCCCATTCTTGTACTAGTTTGCCTCGGCAACCGAGTAGGGCCGTTAACATGCCCCATCCCATGCTTGTATATAATTTCGCTACGTTAAACTCATCTCATCTTCGAACCAATTGAGCGCCTGAAATGGCCTGATGGGGTACGTCTCACACAAGGGCACTGTAGTTCCTGTAAAACGTAATGTCCTGCATAGGGCTATCTCCAGCTCGATAGGACAAAAGTTTTTTTTTTAACAAAAAGGTTGGGCGAGCGGTTATCACGGTAAAATTGCAATATATGACTAGACAACTGACACCCTTTGAGAGTTATACCTAATGAACCACACCTTGTCAGTGTATTACTCATTGGCACCCTCAAGTCGATCATCACAGCATCGAAGACTTGCTGGCGCTTCAAGAACAGGTCCCAACTAAACGTGTGCATGCACGTATGAGCGTCTGTTCTCGTAGCGTCTACGATAAACACCCCTCGCAATCCGAGGGCAGTTGTCAGTGATGCATGATGGCCCGAGCCTACCGCATGTTCAGCTGCAAGATTTAATCTACCTTCTCTTCGGCCAATTGTCGTCAAACTGGGTCGTTGGTTCAGCGAGCATAATTTTCAGCTGATGAACGACTCTTCTTTCTTAGCAGTCCGGCACCGTTCATTGGCACGGTGTTGGTCTCGCGACTCTTGTGCGCGTTTCATGCATATATTAATGGCTAACCGTAACAGTAACTGTCTATGCTTCCTTCGGCATGTAGATTTCCCGGACCTTGTGACTCATCATGTTGAAGACAATTCAAGAGTTCTCCTCGAATGATGAGATGGAAGTCGAGCAGAAAGGCCGCGACAACGCGTGCACGTACAACATCGAAGGTCACCGGTAAGCTTATGACGTTGCGCGAGGAAAGAGAAACTGAGATAGGCGGAAGATGCGCAAGGAAGAGGCTAAGCAGATATGATGAGCTCCTCGTGTGCCCACACGGATATCATCCGTTTCATCTGAATCTACAAACCCCGCGTGTCCTCTTCATCCTCGCCAAGTGGTGTCAGCAGAACTTTAAAAGGCGATTCAAATGAGGAAAAAGGCTTCGCAGGTGATATGGGACGACAGAGGGTTGGGGGCTTTCATAGGATACACGCATCTTTACTTCTCTGAATTTGGTCGATAATACAGTGCACTCGATGACAATGTAGACGACAGATTTCAGTAGGGAGGGTAACTTCCTGTCGCCCGTTCTTGAAGGGGTACCTGTGCGGGGGAAGGTCGTGTGTAGTGGGTGCTGATTCAGAGCACTTTTGGATAGCCTTTGGGGTGGTGGCTAGTTGGAAGACGCGGCACGGGGAGATGAATGGCAAGGAGAAAGTTAGGGAACACAAGCAACACACCAGGAAGTGGCAAAAGGGACACATGTATACTACGCCCTGTATTGACATGTAATCCTACTACTATGGGTGTAGATTCAGTGGTAAAACTTTTTTCACGAAACAAGTACTGGATCAGACGCAGCAGGACAAGACTTCTAACGGCAATGTTGTCAACGCAGGGTTACAAAAGATAGACATCTAAACACTCACCGAACAACCAACAATAAAGTATCGGAGGCAATGCATTTTTGTCTCCCTAGTACTTTGGTCATCAACGTCAATTTGGTAGCAATAAAGATAATCGTCCAATTGATAATCGGTGAGGTTAGTGAAGTCGTTGTTCGTGCGTAAAGGCGGCAATTCAAACTATCGAGAACGTGTCATTAATGTGAAAAAGAGACGATAAACATACCAACGTCCTCCTCCTCACAGTCCCACGAGATTGGAATCTGGGGGTACAATTGTAAGTCGTTGAAAGGATGTTTCTTGTCATATTGTTATCATGAGCAGTGGTTATCAAAGTACGAAATTATCATACCCAGTGCGTACTTTCAACCGGTGACTGCTCGGGGTAGCCGGACCTCTGTCGATGCTCACTTACTTGGGAATCAAAGTCGAGCTGTTGCTCCAGACTGTGAATCCTAGAATTATCCACCACCCGAACCAGTGTTTTATTCATCTGGTCGAGCCTTTTATAGATGGGTTCAATGGCATCCGAGATGACACGAGACTCTACATTTCCACCTGTCCCAGCCGTGGCTGCGCTGCATACCTTGTGTAGATACAGCTGCGCTTTCGCGAGGTCATCAACAGTGGCCATACGGTAGTCCAGGCACAGTTTTCTCTTAAATGCTATGGGCGTTTTATGTATTTAGTAGCTCAGACCGCTACTGCGGAACACAACTTACAGGGAGGGCTAAAAAACTCCTTCACCTTCTCAAGGAAGACAATTGCATGTACGATGTCTTGACTGGTTGGTGGATCTGAAGGAGACAATGGCCACTTGATTTGAGATAACGACTCTGAGAAGAGTGGTACTTGGATCGACATTGTTACTAAGAGGAGACTTGGTTAGGAGGTTATATAAGTATCAAGTGGTGCATCACATGATCGCCTTCCGCATAGGAGCTTTGACTTTGAAATGGTCCTGCTTATCAAAGCGGACTGTGCATTTTGTACTGATTCGTCTTGCGCGTGAAAGAACAGAGCGCACACCGAATCCCAACTAAACGTGCGCGTGAATGTAGCGTCTATCATAAGCATTCTTCATTGTCCAATAGCAGTTGACAGTGACGACCAGCCCTGATGGATCTCCAATGGCAAGATTTAATTCAAATTGTGTCGTTGGTTTAGTTAGCAGCTGATCACGACTCTTCTTTCTTAGCGATCCTGCAGCGGTCATTGTTGTTAGTTTTGTGCACGCTTCGTGCATATCATATAATGACTGACCGTAACCGTCCACGCTTCGTTCGGCATGTAGATTTCCCAGTCCTGGCGACTCGCTAGTCAAGGACTATTCCTCGAGCTGAGCACATGGGTTCCTATAAAATTATTTCATCGCGCATTCCATCACATTGCACGAGAATTCATACCTTTGTTTTCTAACATCAGGATGCCTCTTCCTGGGTACCGCTGGTTTGTCAGGCCAGCGCAAGAGCAATACCTTCCCCAGTATTCTGGTATGTACTGCCATCGAGATGTCGGAACTCTGGCAGCGGTCAGTAGATGTACAAATATTGTGTCATTCATAGTGGTTTTGTGAAACAATTTATGCACCTAGCTTCATCACAAGCCTATCAGTTCTAAAATTGGGCCGAGGACTAGAGAAAGGATATCAAGCCGAGCGGGTTCGTCTCTGTAACTAAGACAAAAACAGACATAATCAGTAGCGGTATAACTGTTGAGGCACACACGTACTCATCAACGTGTTTCTCTGGTCTTGATCGATGTCTTCTGCGTCGTCCGCCAGAAAGGATCTAAATAAATGTGATGAGCCCCTCAGGGAGATATCACGATTGCAGACCAAAAGAGAATGTCGGTTACATAGAGCCGGTTGAATATGTCGAAATCGCTTAAAATGTATGCAGCAAATCCACTACAAATATCAACACAGGGCGTGCAAGTTATAGCGATGGCACTTGTGCGCCAGAGGACCTGTTCGTGGTATGTGGCGAAGGCAAAAAACCAAGCCATACAATGGACGCTGCCGAATATGGTTGCCATGAGCAATCCAGCAGCCACAAGAACCGTCACGTCCGACTTTTCGAGTTCGATACTGCCATCAAATGTTGGAACTCGGAGCTTCCGAGGTATGGGAGCGCCTATCAGATCTAAAATTGGGAAGATGACTGGGCCCCACATCCTTTCAAGCCCAGCGAATTCGTGTTCTTCAACAGCACTAAGGCAGACACGATCAGCAGCGGTAATTGTTCAGGCGCATACATACTAAATGTAATGATCCTCTGGGCTTGACTCAGTCGACTTCCAGTACACTGGATGTGGACATTGCACATCGAGAGGCTTGTTCCACCACACAGCATAAGTGAGGAAATTGAGAACCGCAAAAGCGAGTGTCCCCACTTCGAGCTGGGTAATTTCGAGGTGATAGATGACGCGGGTGATGAGCTGCATGATAAACCAGGCCACTTGAAGGATGATCAACCCTTTCGATATCGCATTGCCTTTGCTCTTGTCGTGGATTTGCCTTGCCGTTAGGGTAGGGACGTCGATACACCCCTCGCGTATCAGTTTGAGAATGTGCTTAGGCTGTAGTGTACGGTAGGGTTTCCTGTCCACATAAAGCATGAAACCACCCATGAGTACAAAGAAGCTGTGCGTCTGAGTCCATGTATAATCTAAGGATGCACATGAAAACGACGGTTAGGTGAGCGCGGATCGGGCCTACCCTCAGATTGCTCTGAAATATAAGTCTTGAACAATTTTTTAAATGGCTTCGCAAGAGCACGAGTCCCCCCATATCTTGGGGTGGGCGCTGGAGTACTATAGTATGAACTTCCGAAGGAATAGTGCGGCTACCAGTACAGATGACGATTCACCTTCAGGATCTGCTACAAGAAGCCGGGTGCTATCACGATCTTGAGAAGCAGGTGAGTCATGAGGAAACATATTCAGAATTTCAGGGTGCGGCAAGATAGAATGTCGAGCTCACCTTCGACATATTGCTCCGTAGTTGCTTCGATGGACCCGTGATCTGAGGACGTGCATAGTGAGTTGCCCGAAGAACATATATAGTTTTGGAAAGCACGGCTCACCTCTAGGCTGCTCCTGCGGCTGAAGAACACCAAAATATCCTGATTCCTTAAACTCTTTGGTAACATGACGGGCACTGATCCACTGGCGCATAGCCCACGTAACGATCAGTTCAGGAACAATTAATGCCATTATTATGATACCAAGTCGTCGCCATAGAATAAGAACGGGGCTGTCCTTAGGACTCGGGATATTGGGGTGAATGGCACTATAAATGCATGCGAATAGAGTGACGACGCAGCTCGAGACGATGTTCCACAAGGTTCTATTTGTGAATGGTGGGGCTTCGGGAACGTTGCTACTAGTGCTAGTAGTCGTGTTTGTAGTAGGTGCAGCTTGGATAACTCCAACGAGGTAAAGGAAAATGCAGAAAAATACTAGTAAGCGCATTATTGGATGTTGCTTTGGGGTGTATCATATGCACCTACTTGTTATTTATATTTAGGTAGCGGGCGTCATATGTCTCAAGGTAGTGGAATAATACAATGAGGGACTTGGGCTTGCCTGATGCCCTTTGCAACATGGCGGATCGAAGTAATGATCGATCGAGCTCCCGACCATAATTGCCAATCGAGTCTTCAAGCTGGAATTCATAACATCGAGTCTTTATCAATATATCAAGCTTCAAGGGCCACCAACCTTGCATCCGTCCCCGTTGCCAAATCCGTCAGTGTCTTGGCAAGGTTAAGAATGGTTTGCCTACAAACATTTTTGTGAGTCGACGAGGATGCGTAAGTACTGATTGTTTTGGAATAATGTTGAGGTCGCAAAATTCGCAACATTTGACTCTCGTAGGATTCCCACAGCCGCAACCCTGTTCCCCCGAACACCATGAGGATGCAGGGTCCTGGATGCTTCTTCGGCTCCGACCATTATATAAGGTTCAAATTTCAAACTTGGCACGCAGCCGTTTCACTGTCTGTGAAATTCTGAATTCTAGTGACCGCACATATGTTCTACTATTAAGTAGGCTGCATAATTTATCTCACTCCGATATTCGTGTGGCTGGCCTGTCAATTGGCAGCTGGTCGCCCGACTCCAATAAACGGTACACTTTTGACAAGCGAACCACACTGCAGCTGGTCTGACATATGTCTCCAACAATGTAACACACTTTTGAAAATTCCTCATGGTCGTCGATAGCATGTTGATTCTTTGTTCGGACTTCGACGCCTTTGGTTCACAGCAGCAGTCCTAACTGGCAGTGACAGCGCCCCCTCTGACTTTTCATTGCAAGCTGGCAGTCATGTTGAGTTGTAACTTGTGGTGCTTGCCTTGTAACATTATTGATGTATAACTCCTCAGTAATGAAGAACATATGGCACTGGCGTGTGTCCACTGTCCCCAGCTTGCACTGCTGCAGCATACACAGGGCTCGGATATTGCAAAGGCTGGTAATGATTCACATCACTGATCACTACATGCCTTCAAGAGCCGACGTTTCATTATTCCAATCGCAGGCTTCTATCTACCACTATATCTCCACCTGGTGAGTTTTTAATTTGGATAGAGCACAGCAAAGACTTCACGCTTCATGCACCAGAATGAATATTACGAAAATGCCCTTAGCCTAGTGGGATTGAATAGCCTTGTAATTTTTCACTTGGACGACTCCGCATTGCACCCCACTTGAAACGGCTCGTATCATAACTCATATGTAATTCAGTTGCGGTACAACTCACTTATCGACTCTCTAGATCAGGTCAAATTGGAACCTCATAGGTCGACTAGATACTTAGCTGCTTTGAGACTGCCTTCGCTGCACACCTGCAACGGGATATCAAGCGATATCTCTTGCACAGTGAAGGCAGTTGTGGCCATCACGAATAAACTATGAAATATTGTGTTTTTCAAAGGCTGGGTGAGTGGTAGTCCAGGTCAAATTGTATATGCCCGAATAGCCGACACCCTTTGAGACACTCGCTCGGGGTATTCTACTTAAATGAACCGCACCGTGTTAGTGTATCCACTCATTGGCACCCTCAAGTCTATCGCCACAGCATTGAAGGCTTCCTGGCGCTTCAAGAACGGGTCCCAACTGAACGTGTACATGTTCATATGAGCGTTTGTTCTCATTGCGTCCACAATAAACACCCTTCGCTATCCGACAGCCTAACACATGCCCAACGGCAGGATTTAATTTACCTTCTCCTCGGCCAACTATCGTCAAACTGGGTCGTCTGTTGATTGAGTAGAATTTTCAGCTGATCACGACTCTTCCTGGGGCAGTCATTCTCTGTCAGTCTTGCGCGTGTTTCGTGTACATCATAATGACTGACCGTAACCATAACCATCTATGCTTCCTTCGGCATGCAGATTCACCGGTCCTTGTGACTCGCTATGTCAAAGAGTTCTCCCCTGAATGGGGTGGAATTCGAGCAGAAAGGCCAGGACAACGGGTGCATGTACAGCATCGAGATATCTGCAACATGCGCTTGGTTGAGTTATCGGCTCGTCGGGAAAACCGGGGAAGACAAGCACGCCAGGAAGTGGCAAAGGGGATACATATCCGCCCCATATTGACATACAATCCAAGGAGCAGACGTGATATGCAATAAATTCCCGTGCTTTTCGATATCTGCAACATGCGCTTGGTTGAGTTATCGGCTCGTCGGGAAAACCGGGGAAGACAAGCACGCCAGGAAGTGGCAAAGGGGATACATATCCGCCCCATATTGACATACAATCCAAGGAGCAGACGTGATATGCAATAAATTCCCGTACTTTTCACGTACATGTACCTGCATTAGCTCGCAAAGGGCTCATTCCACACATCCGACTTCCTAATTCCGAAAGATTCAAGAGTATGAGACAGAAAGACATGTACTCACCAGCTTCTCCTCATCACTGACTCGCATCCTCCAGAATACGGCCCCTACATTTTCCTCCTTCACTCCCTCCACAGCGGCCATCGACGGTGAGGCGTGCTTCGCCAAAGATGACGATGATCGAAAGCCTGCCGATTATATCTAAAGGTGTCGGTCTACTTTTATAAGCCACGCACATTCCTTTTCAAAGTCAAAGGATAAACACGATTTCCGCGTGCAAAGCAAAGTTGATCTCTCGTCGATTGGAAATCCTGCTGCCTGCTCATCGGTCGTCCCCTCGCATCAGCCTGAGCCACAGCATACCGGATAGCCCTATTTCGCTGCCGTCCATGGTGATGAGCAAGTTCGAGCGAGACTTAGAAGTTAGCAGAAGTTTGTTCGTTTCGCGTCACACGTGAGGGTCATGTGATCGTGTCGGGTGTCATAGCGATTGGGTGTACCAAGGGTGTACTACCTACTACCTAGCCTAGGTCCATCGTCCACTACGCTACATCTGAATGTCATTGCAAAAGTATGAAATGTATCGCAAGTACCATGACAAGGAACTACAAGTGCGGAACCAAAGTAACCCAATCTACCGCCCGGTATGCTCCAGCAGGAAGATGGCGTAAAGTAGTGAACATAAGCACCAAGAGGATGGCACGAGCTGTAACGTACAGTACGATAGATACCAAACCAATCAAGAAATACAGAAATATCAGAACTGCCGCACCTGCTGAATCGAATGTGAAAGTCGCAAAAAAGAAAAGCCAGGGTGTGCCAGTTATACCGAGGGCACATATGCGCCAGAGGAGCCGTTCCTGATGTGTGACGAAGGCAAACGGCCAGGCTAGACAATGGATGCCACCGAATATGGTCGCCATACTCAATGCAGCAAGTTGAATGACCATTTTGTCCGAGTGTCCGAGTTTGATGCTGCCATCAAATGTTGGAACTCGGAGTGTTAGGGATGTGGGGACGTCGAACAAGCCTATCAGTTCTATAATTGGGCCGAGCACTGGAGAAAATATTCCAAACGAAGTGGTTTTGCCTCTGTCACTGAGACTAAGACAGATATAATCAGCAATGGTATGATTGTTAAGGCATGTGCATACTCAATGTAATCCTCTGGCCTTGACTCAGTCGACTTCCAGTACACTGGATGCGGACATTGCACGCTGAGAGGCTTGTCCCACCACACAGCATAAGTTAGGAAATTGAGAACTGCAAAAGCGAGTGTCCCCACTTCGATCTGAGTGACTTCGAGGCGACAGATGGCGCGGGTGGTGAGCTGCATGACAAACCAAGCCACCTGAAGCATGACCAATCCTTTTGATATCGCATTGCCTTTGCTTCTGTCGTATATCTGGTTCGCCGTCAGGATAGGGAAGTCGATACAGTCTTTACGCAACAGTTCGAGAATGTCATTATACCGTAGTGTGAGGTAGGGTTCCCCGTCCACATAAAGCATGAAACCACCCATGAGCACAAAGAAGCTGTGCGTCTAAGTCCATGTATAATCTAAGGATGCGCATGAGTCAACGTTTAGGCGAGCACGAATCCGGCTTACCTTCAGATCGCTCTGAAACATAGCCCTTAAACATCTTTTTGAACGGCCTTGCAAGAGTCCACGCATAATCTAAGGATGCTCACCAAACATCAGGTATGTTTGAGAGAAACGGATCGGCCTTACCTTCATATGGCTCTGAAACATAAGTCTTGAACAACTTTTTGAATGGCTTCGCAAGAGCACGAGTCTCCTCATGTCTCAAGGTGCGCGCTAGAATATTATGAACTACTGAAGGAAGACCAGTACAAATGATGGTTCACCTTCAGGATGCGCTAAGAGAACCTGGGAGCTATCTTGATCTTGAGAAGCAGGCGAGTTACGAGGAAATGTATTTGAGGTGCGAGATAGAGTATAAAGTTGGTGACCTTGGGTATATTGTTCTGCAGATACTTCTATGGACCCATGATCTGGGGACGTGTATATTGAGACTCACCTTCAGACTCGAGACGAATGTTGGGATACCCCGATTTCTCAAACTGTCTTGTAACAGAGCGTGCGCTGAACCACTGGCGCATAGCCCATGCAACGATCAGTTCAGGAGCGATAAGTGCCATTATTATGATGCCCAATTGTCGCCATAGGATACGATGGGGGCTGTCCTTGGGACTCAGAATATTTGGGTGAATCGCACTGTATGTGCACGCAAACAGAGTGAGAACAGAGCTGGACACGATGGTCCATAAGGTTCTGGTCGTCAACGATTCAGAACCGTAGGCTGTCGGGAGTGCAGTAGTATCATCAGTTGCATTCAGTGTTGTATTAGGTGTAGCCTGAGCTTGGATGACTCCAACGAAGTAAAGAAAGATGCAGACCAGTAGTAAGCGCATCATTGGATGTCACTTTGGAGTTTGTTGTTGCATCAGTATGCATACTACCGTTCACTATTTGTGTTTTACTAGCGGGCGTCAATTCAAGGCAGTACAATGTAGAATGAGGCCGCAACTGGGCTTGACAAGACGTTAATCATCATGAGAATTCCGATGACCGCACAGATTTGGCACAGGTTCACAATGATCCTGGCCCGGGAATGTTGAATATCTCCAATTGGTACAATGATATCTGATGAATAGATAAATCAGCACTATGATAGCATCATATGTCTATGATGGATCGACTTCTAGCACGCGTTTGTCATACCTTCTTGATCATCAGCGACAGAGGTAGATGGCAAGATGTCTCTGCAGGCGGTTGAAACCCATCGAGCTTCTTCATTGTGTGATGCAATCATCAACACATCACTGCAGGGGTGATCGATATGCTCATGTGCATCGATGATCACCGGTGATGCATATGGCTGCATGATGGGCTGTGTCGTCTCAGCTCCATTCTATCCCAGCGAGGCAACAACAATCGTAAACAGAACCGAATTCCTGCTCTGATCCATACTACAGTCTACTACACGCCACCTACTAATATCAATTCACCCAGTTTATATTCGTTTTATCGCCTTCGCATCTCAGATTCTCAGTTGAATTCATCATAAATTTTGCCAAGCCCTTCAAGACGAGCCATGAACAGCATCAAACTTGAACACTGCACAAAATCGAGCATTTAGTTTTCGAATGTTCAAAATCAGTACACCTGGACCTTTAGTAAGTACTGAACATTTTTCTTATCAATATCTTCACAGCCCAATTTCGCCCTAGAGTTTACATCAAATACCTTTGTTTTTTCCGTCAAGTCCTTTCGACCAGAACGCAACCTCGTAACAGCTTGTCGTCTCACCCACCTGTCCCCGTTAGCTTTCAATAGCCAACCGGCTGTGCATGTCTCAGAGGCCGTGAGCTCTCTTGCATACGTCACGGTCCCAACTTCTTCGATGGGCTCTTCGGCCTTGATGAGCAGTGGAGCTGCGTGCGTTGTTAATGAGCGATACCTGTCCAAGGGAAAGATGCTTTGAAACCTGCGGCTATCAAGGCTGCAAGTTTGATCATCATTTTCTTCATGGGTATGTAGTACTAACTAGCGCTGCTTTTTTGATCGAAACCACTCATTTATGACACGTATAGTCACACCATCGGGTCGAACTACTGGGTAACTGTCGAGTGTCAGTGCGTACTTTTGTTTCTCCCTTCTGTTGACGCATCTGTTAAACTCAGAAGTAGGTTCCGGACGACGTCGATAAGGTTACATCCATCTGATGTCCGGCAACTGATGTTGAGCAGGGTGTGGTTCTCCTGCTGGATCTTGATATTTGCGTGCATTTGTTTCGATCTAGATGGGTAGAAATATCCTTGTTTTATGCAAATCCATTACGTTCTATTTACGGCCTCTAGATCTATGTTATTCTGGTCGGTTCTAAATCTCGCCCAAATCCATATTGAGCGGATTGTGCCCTGCGCTCAGCGCTCAGTTGTACCTTGCTTACTCTAACTTCTTTTGCTTCTTTTATGATTAGGCCTTGGCTACTTGGCGCCTTGGCGCTCAGGCCCATCTGCTTTAGTAAGTGGTTTACCATTCTACCGGTTGTCCCAGCACGGCTAATTATAGTTTTGGATTGGTATTGGCAATTCACAAGTTTGTCCCACTCGATCTCGCAAACCGGGTCACATGCACACATGAGATATAGATTAGTATGGGCTATCTATATCAGCCTCTGCGTTGCGATATTTAGCTTACAGTAGTACTTGGCGAAAATGTAATACATTCATTGCTCCGTCACGCAGTGTACTTGCAGGTAATATTAGTGGCAGTTGATGTATGTATCCCTGCCTTTTCGCATCTCCTAGTGCTGGCAGTTGCTAATCTACCCACAGCCTCCACTCCTCCTCTCTTTGCCATCTCGCACCACGACCACCCTAGGCTATTACACCATCTACCGCCCTCGCACACCTCCGCATGCCTTCGCAGGCTTACACTATTGAACCATACATCTTGAGACACCCGGGCCCAGGAGTACCGTGTCGATGTATCACTCATTGGCACCCTCAAGTCGATCGCCACAGCCTATCGAAGGTTTACTGGAAGAACAGGTCCCAACTAAATGTGTACGTGTACATATAAGTTTCTGTTTTACGACAAACACCCCTCTCTGTCTGACAGTTGACAAGGCCTAACGCATGTCTAACAGCAGAATTTAATCTACCTTCTCTTCCGTCAACTATCGTCAAACTAGGTCGTTAGTTTAGTGAGTAGAATTTTCAACCGATCACGACTCTTCTTTCTTAGTGGTTCTGCAGCGATCATTGGCGTTAGTCTTGCGTGCTTTGTGCATATCATAATGACTTACAGTGACCGTAAGTGCCTATTCTTTCTTTGGCTTGTGCATCTTCCGGTCCTGGTGACTTACTACGTTAAAGATGATTCAAGAGTTCTCCCCTGTATGAATCATCGGACGGCGACAAAAATTTCGTCGTTGTGCATTCAATGACACCGTACGAGAAAATTCATACCTTCATTTTCCAACGCCGGGATGCCCTTGCCTCGGTATCATGGGTTAGTAATCTTACGAACGTAAGAGCAATGCCTTCCCTAGTATTTTGGTGCGTACTGCCATCGAAAATGTTAGAAATCTGACGCTGCATGGCATACTCATGTGCTGCGAGTTAAGAAGCATGGTAAAACTAACGATTCCTTATGTTCCCTGGCATGTCTCTCAATTTTGTCGTGACAACATGACTTTTTGCTTATAATAGTAAGGTACGGTATCGGGTGTTTTACTGATGAACTGAGTCAAAAACTGCAACGACGATCTTCATAGGCATCACCGACCGTACTGCCGCTGATGCGCCAGCTCCTGACTCCACCGGACTCTTTGTCTTCGTTGAAACGTTCACCGTCTGCGTAACCTTTCTATTGCCATGTTATCTGAGGCAAATGACTCAAATGATTGGGGCGTTCTGACACGTGCGTACTCTTAAAAATAGTTGACGAGGCCCTCGCATCAAGCACAACTTCTCTTCGCCATGTTGACAAATGCTCTGGCATTAGACTGCAAGAAGTCAATCCTGACTCGGAATCTCTAAAGGTATGGAACGCTTCTGCTGCCTTTGATTGCAATCGCGTTTAACCTGGCGTTATGAAGAACCTGTCAGTTGATCGATTAGGATACCCGATACTTCAGCTGAATTTTCACTGGCAAGAGAGCTGCAATCTTCTTCTCGCGAGACCGCTCTCCAAGTTCTGTCTTATGCATGGGGAGACTATGGTTCTCGCCATCAGTTGCCGGAGGATCTTTGAATTGAGAATTTGATGGATGATCTGCTCAATTTGTGCATTGCCCATGTTCGCGAGTGGATATCGTCCAACGTAGCTTACTTCCAAAACAGACAAGCAAGCAAGCATTGTTGAGCTCACGAGAACGTTTGAAAGCGCACCAGTAGACTTGAAGAACTGTCAGTTTTCCAGACCAATTACTCTAGACGCTGTTTTGCCTTAGGATGCTAATGGAGGTACGAACTTTGCAGCAGCGATTCAGCAGGCTCAATCAGTCATGGCACTCTGCGGTTCGTCCTGGGTTCGTGGCCTGTTTTTGTGTTGGATTGGTAAAACATGACACAATCTCTAGCAAAGCAATGTCCTTCTATGTAGTATATATTATAGATGGTTCACCTTTGGATGCTATCACGATCTTGAGAACTAAGCGAACCATAGTGAAAGCTATCATTAAGGATGTTGAATTCACTTGGGAACTCAAGGACGTTCTGGAATCACGTATGTCTGGATTTGGTCTGGATTGACCTGATTGACTGGTCCACGCACAAACTTATAATACCACAGGAGCTTGCATAGAGACGTTCAAGATCAAGAAAATGTTGCAGGCAGTCTGATTTATCTGCCCCCACATCCGCTGCCACCACGTCAGCTACAGCCGCCGCCGCCACCACCTCCTCCTCCTCCACAACTGAATCCGCCGCCGCCACCTCCTCCTCCTCCACAACTGAATCCGCCACCACCACCTCCACAACTGACTGCAGCTCCGCCTGCACAACTAACCACAGCTCCGCCTCCGAAAAAAACCCCTCCAACTCCAACTCCGACTCCGACTCCAACTCCACCCCTGCCTTTACCTCCAACTCCACCTTCGCGTCCACCTCCACCTCTGCGTCCACCTCCACCACCTCCGCGTCCACCATCACCTTCAACTCCAACTCCACCGCCCGTCCCACAAACAGCAACACTATGTGAAGTACTGATTGAACCGCTGCCCGCTCCCTGTAAGCCTGATATCAGCATACCTCATTCTCCAAACACAACAACAACACTCACCGTTGCACACCCCGAACCTCCATTCACCACCGATCCAGTAGCAGCAACGCATCCACTAGGGTAGTACTGAAACAGCGGCACAGGATATAAAAATGCGAGGTCATGATCATCTTTCTCATCTTTCTCCGCAGCCTTCTCGTTCCGCTCTTCCCGCAGCTTCCTTTTCTCTGCCTTGCGTATACGGTTCTCCCGATGACGTAGGCTTGCGGAAGTGTTATTTAGGACAAACACAGCGTTGTGATCGCTTGGGTGCGTAGCAGCACATGCGTAAGATTTGGGAGCGAGTAAGGGCATGTTGCTGGTGGTTTGAGAGGAGATGAGACGTCGGAGCTTTTGGCCGATTGTGTCTCCTGGTAGTGGACACCCGCAGTGCATGTAGGGTACGTGATAATGGTCCTAATATTTAGATTTTTAATGGAGATGTCGAATTCCAAGGGACAATAGCTTACGTTCCAAGCACGACAGGTGAGGTCGAAGGAGGTCGCGAGGTGACCTTCTTCTACTTTATCATCGCTGAAAAATGTGTTTTAGTTATGTGTATTCCCGTATTGTACTCGTCAGCACCTACTGATCAACAAATCGTCCTACGAGCAAGAGGCAGTCCTTTTGATACCGACTCGCCATGAGTTGATGAGTATGCCACCCGAGATCGATGTCGAGCGTGGGCACTAAGAACGAGTCAGGAGACTCTGCCATGATGTTTAAGAAACTGCAGAGTAATGTTCTTACGTGGTCCGTAGAAAAAAGAAGTAAGCACGTACGCGTGATAGCGAGCTACACAATGTTGCAGTGCCACTGCGTCCACCTCGTTAGCGAAATATCCTGGCTCGGTCCACCCAAGGTTGACCATCTTCTTCACAAATGAGGCTTGCCGGAGGACCTATATTCATACATCGGTCCTTGAATATAATCAACGTTGACGGTGTACTCACAGCACCGACCAAATCAAGTGAAAACACCCTGTCATCCGTGTAGGCACCCATTATCTTATTCCACCTGTTCAGTTGAGAAAACGTATTCACTGCAGCAAAAATAAGACATACCATATTGGTTTCAATTGTACGTTCAGCGCGTGACGCATGAGCGCAGTGTCATACCGGACGTTTGTCAAGATCTGGTGCGTGCGATCACTTGCCTTGTTCTCCTGGGAAATAACATTCAAGCTGAGGATGCGCTTCTTGATCATGATTGCGTGTGCAGTGTTGTGGGTGCTACGTGGTGTATGAAGAGTTCCACTATGTACATGAAATCATATTAGATGTCATACAAGACGGTCAGCAGGACAACACCCACGCCAAATATGCATCAGGCACTTTCGATTCGACTATGTTTTTCACAAACTTGTGAAGGCCAAGAAGTTCTTTAGTAATCGCCTTAGCACATATACAGTCAATGGTAAAGTTGCTCTGGGTATATCCCTTCCCATCAGGCTTGAAGAACGCTACGGCTGGCTGTCAGAATGGATTCCCATGCCATGAAGGCAGAAGGGACATACGCGAAAGGATAGTGCGAGAACAGTAAGGGCACGCGATAGATTTGTGTGTGAGATCCGGAGCAGATGCGAATGGGTCATACGGTGATTTGGTTCTGCGTTCCCAAGTAGAGACGCGTTCATGTTGTGGTGCGTCAGTGGTTAATAGATCAGGGTTAGCCTGGCACAACGTTCAGCGAGCTCGGGACATTATTCGAAGTGATGTGGCCTACGAGAAGGTTAGGAAAGTAATCAGTGAAATGAACGAGAGGTTTGAGCTTGGAGATCCGCGTGGTGTCTTCCGCATACCAGCTGCGGATATGACAAAAAAACGTCAAGTTCGTCATTAATGAGGAATGAGAGACATACTTGCCTCGGATTCAGGAGGTAGGCATGCCACACCATAGTGACATCGATGGGAGGCAAGTGTTGCTCCACTGTATCAGATTGCTTGATCGTCAGACACCACCTCTCAAACCTGTGCTCCACCAGTGCAGTGAGTAAACTGTGCAAGCGCACACAGAAGGCTAGTAAAGCACGTACCGTTCAACAGCCAAATTGACAAACCATACCCAACGTTTCTCGCTGTCCGACTCTAATCCTGCGATAAGGTTCTCGCTGGCACCGACGCGCTGTTCAAGGTGACTAAACGCTGCCAGAAGCTGAAGATGGGCCCTGAGCTGATATGAGCGGATGAGGTGTCGCGTGCTGCGTTGTCCAATGTTAAAGGTCTCTGGAAGAGTATACTGTGGTGGTTTGGGCGATAGCCGGGGAAACGTAGCATGTGGGGGGCGCTGCTCAGTCATGTTGGAGACTGCTGTGCGGCTCCTGGCCGATATATATACCTATCGGAAGAAGGATGCGGCCAATCACGGAGTGCAGTACGCGTATTTCCTGCTACAGCAATGAGTCGCCTAAAGTTTGAGGCTATGCTGTCATAAGTCACGGTATTGATGCAAAGCCAGGGATGGTAGAACGGTAGTTACCTAGGATTGCCAGCATACCTAGTAGGAATATGTTGATTAGGATGTACCGAAGGTTTCTTTGGGATGCGGACTGTTGGCCTATGTCTCCCTTAGCTTGATCATTTCGATGTTAGGTTCTGGCGGGTGTGGGTATCTTTGAAAGAGCATCGCCACCTGTACTAGACCAGCCATTTCAGGAACGCCTTTTGTTTACAATATCGATCATTTCGTACCTTGTGTGCGCCGTCTTGTGACGGATCTGTAGAAAGGAATTCTGTGGTCCCTGAATGCCTCGCGCTTGAAGTCAACATTGGAGCAGGTTGGAGCTTGCCTTAAGGCTTGTGGCTAAGGGTATAGGACTTTCCTTTCTCGTCGCCCATTTCCGAGTTAATCAAATGACGATCTTTGTTGGAGGTGAATCAAAGGCTGTGCCGCACTAACCCGAATTGTACATCCTCTTATTTTAACTTATGGTACGACGACTAGTACTGAGTACTCTGAGCAACTGAATCCAACCCACATTCTTTGACCGTCCGTCATTCACGACAACGCTAATTGAATGAACATGGGGGACCGTGGTCAGGGGTACGGTCGCAGTATCGGTGCTGCCCGCAGTATCTGCTTTACTGAACTAACTGTGTAGGAAGGTGACTTTACCAGCCGATTTAACACCCTTCATCACTCGAACAACTCAAGACCACATTTGCGGAGGTGGATTTGGCGATGTCTGGAAATGCAATTACAATGCAGATGGTATTTTAGCCATCGTCAGTTCACGTGTTAGACTCATTTACTATGCGCTGGCTCACGTCAACCAATTGTTGAACACATAAGGTTGCAGTCAAGGCCTTTAGATACCCAGATCAATGTGAAGATTCAGAGAGAATACACAGGGTAAGAAATATCAGATCCGCATATATAATAGCACATGCTACTTATACCATTTGGGTCACCCAGAAAATTAACAGAGAAATCGGCATTTTGACGATTTTACGCCACAACAACATTGTACCGTTGTTGGGTACAGTGACAGGATTTGGACGGAAGCCAGGGTTGCCCAGCTTGGTAACTCCGTGGATTCCCAACGGCACGTTGAATGCCTACCTTGCATCTAAACGCAACCATCTAACAGTGCTGGACCGTTCACGTATGGTAAGTAGAATTCCCACCACATCCTATCATTTGCCAGGACTGACTCGAAGTTGGAAGCTAGAGGATGTCAGTGCTGGACTGCGTTACTGTCAGTTTCATATTTTCTCAATATGTTATGGTAACCTACCATGAGTGCAGTGCACTCTGTGCCTGTCGTGCATGGGGATATAACAGGGGTAAGCCTGGAGCTGCTAGGATATGTTTGGAAACTAATAAAACTGTAGGCAAATATACTAATTGACGAGGGAGGCCGGGCGAAGCTAATCGATTTTGGCCTTTCCACCGTTGTCGCGCCCCTTTTCGGCCAGTCACACTTGGCTGTAACATCGATACATCCAGGCGCAATCCACTATGCAGCACCAGAACTTCTATCAGATGACGTCAATGTCAATGGCCTACCTTTGGAAAAAACCGACATCTACTCGTTTGGTTGTGTAATGCTTCAAGTGAGTTGGTCATTTGGTCGCAAAATATTCACTTGAGGACTTATGGAACAAGATTCTCTCGGGTCAGCACCCTTGGTCTGAGATCAAGTGTCAAACCCCGGAATTCCGTGTCTATGGTTTGAAACGCCAAGGTCATAGTCCGCAGCGCCCAAACGGACACCCTGCAATAATGGACTCAGATTGGGACATGATTCAAAAATGTCTGCAATCAAAATTTGAACTTCGGCCTTCAGCAGATGCAGTATTCGACTTCGTCACGCGTAGGCCTTGCTCATCAGGTCAGCCTGTATAGTCCGTAGTGCTTTTTTGACTATCCACTCATTTGAGCTTCAAGATTCTTCGAGCCTACCTAACGATTCTCCCGATAATGCGCAGGGTGGCTTCCCCGGAGCTTCCTCGCACAATAATTCCAACGGTATAACAAAACACCCGTTTAATAGTCTACGATCCCACCCTGATCATGAGCCGACGAATGGAATTATAGAGCCTGGAGCTCAAATATCTTTGTAGGTCTAGAACGGCACAGATTCACAAGTTTTGATATTCATTTTTCAGTCCTTCACCACCCAACACTGATTCTTCGCCATTATTTCAGAGTGTCAGTACTCATCCCACCACGGCGTTTGACAGTGATTCTCGTAAGTTACATTCATGTCAAACAAGCATCGAGGCGGATATGTTTCATCACCATGAGTAGTTCGATCGACTAGCAACCCAGGACATGAACAGAAACAACCGGCACCGCCACCTCCAAACCCATGGTCGAGCAACCACGAAGTACGTGCTTCTCGAAAGACACAATATCATAAAGAGAGGTTACTGATTGAATATATCAGACGCGCCTGCGGGAAAGAAATATCGTCATATTTGGCGAAACCGGCTCAGGGAAAAGTTCAATCATCAACGCAATTGCACAAAAGCAGCTCGCGAAGACATCTAACGACGCACATGGATGCACTTCTACCTCTCAACGTTACCCAGTAGAATTCTCAGGCCAGCGATTCGTCCTGATTGATACTGCAGGTCTCCGCATGGGAACTGGAGACACAGTATCAGCAGCAAAAGCGGAAAAAAAGTTGAAGAATCTGTTGCGTGAGCTCATGAGCTCCAAGTTGGATGAAATTAGCCTTCTGGTGTACTGCATGGACAGCACGATCGCCACTAGCGCCCTCCTTAAGGCCTATGACAAATTCTACTCTGGAATCTGCCAGAAGAAGTTTCCGATCGTAGTCGTCATCACAGGGTTAGAGAAAGAGACCCACATGGAGAGCTGGTGGGATACCAATGTGAAAAAATTCAAGGGCATGTATTTCGAAGGTCATGCTTGCGTCACAACGCTTTGGGAATACTCAAGCGTCCCAGACCACATCACTCATTGTATTTCAGAGTCGGGCGATATTCTGCGCAAGCTTGTCATGGACAATTACGCGGATTTGCCAATTGCCAACAGCTTGGATTCGGCGATGGGCAAAAGCTGGTTCAAGAAGAAGGGATGAACAGCGAACAGCAAGTAAACCGTCGAGTTTAGGAGATTACAGTGGTGTATCGTATGTTACATGTTCAAACGTTCAAGTTCGTCGCCATGCTCACCACCTGATTTATTATGATCATTGCCTCATTTTATGTTCAGTCTCGCGCATTATTCTCGAATGAACTCCTTTCTTTTGCTGCATATGTAATATTGGCGCTGTATTACTGACCTGTGGATCCGACTCGGTGTAAAAGACTTATCGAAGACGATGAACTTGTGGTGTTGATTAATGTTGACGTTGTTGTGGGCGATGATATCAAGATTTAAAGGTTAGAAGTCCAACGTATGCGAACAAGCGGGGCTCGGCCTGCAAAGTTTCACCGCGTCAACCATAACTTTCAAGGCACGGGCTCATCAAACATCTCGAATCTTGATACTGAATTACTTAGGCCGTTTTCGCAAGTACATCCAGTTCACTTGTATTTCCTGATCGAATGGAATCTGTACAGACTCGGATAGTTTCGGTCTAACGGATCACGAAGAGGCTATAATCAGGATGATAGGTCAAGTTTACCACTTCATGAATACAAGACTGAATATTTTCTGCTATGTTATGATGATGCATCGTATGCTGAGATGAGTTCTCCCAGCAGACCATATCAAACGGATCAGAATTCGGATATTACAAGGCCATTACAACACTTTAACATATCATTATGTTTGCACAACGAGTGTAAGAAAGATATAAAGCCTAAGTAGCGGCTTCGCTCATTCTTTCCTCCTTCATCATCCGCTTGTTTTAGAAATTGTATTGGCATTTACCATGTTCAACATTGGCGGACATGTTTTGGCACTAGAAGGTAAAGTACTGTAGTACATTCTTCAATTTCCCATTTCTCATATTACCCGGTCCACTGCGACATGCAGTTATTGCAGCCATGAACCTTCCCAATATTTCATCTACTCGCATGCCCACTGGCCATTACGTCCGTGTCTCTACATCCAATGGTCAAGGGAAAACCACGACCAAGGCAGCAACGACTGATTCAAGCAGCGTTTCTTGGAACGAGACCCTCACTATCCATGGGTGCCCTCTGACGTTTCCCCCCTGTCTCATGCCCATATTTTCCCGCAAATCAAAGGCAATCCACCTCGAACTTTGTGCCTCATATGAGTCTGGACATACTGAGCTTGTGGGTGCGTTTGAGACGACTTTCGGACAAGTACTCGTGAACTATGGACAGTCTAGTAAGCTCTCATCTTCAGCAATGTTATCGTCTTTGAAAAGCAGTTCTAAAGTATCATGTTTGGCTGTTAATGATCAGCGCATGACTCTTAAGTTGAAAGCGCAGCGTATCAAAACAACACAGCCTGTCGCTCACGCTATGAGCGGTACTGCCGAGGTATAAAGTTAATCCAATGTCTTATGTTCTGCTCATTCAGTCGACTTCTAGGGTGATGTGGCTGGTCAACCTGTGCACAGCCCAGCAGTGGTTCGATCGACCGACGGAACGAGACAACCTCCGTCTTCACACGCGTCATCGAGCAGCATGGAAGTACGTGTCCTTCATTTTGAACCGCATCACGCTTACTAATAAAATGTAGCAGACACCCCCACGGGGAAGAAACGTTGTCATCTTCGGCGAAACAGGCTCAGGCAAGAGTTCTATCATCAACGCTATCGCGAAAAACCAGCTTGCGAAGACGACCAATGATGCTGATGGATGCACTTCTAGTGTTCAACGCTACCCAGTGGATATTTCAGGCCAGAGCTTTGTCCTTTTTGATACTGCGGGTCTTGGAGAAGGGCCTGCAGGCACAGTGCCGGATCCGGAGGCGAAAAGACAGTTGAAGAACTTACTACGTCGGCTCATGAGCTCTAGGTCGCCGTCAGATGGTATCGACCTTCTGGTGTACTGCATGTCGTCCAGCAGAATGCCTGGCCTTACCACCATCGTTCAGACCTACGACATGTTTTACTCTAGGACCTGCAGGAAGAAGGTCCCAATCGTCATCGTCATCACAGGATTGGAGAACGAACCGAACATGGAGAGCTGGTGGGATGAAAACAAGGGTAGGTTTGAGAGAGAAAGCATGCATTTCACAGACCATGCTTGTGTCACGGCACTTCAGGAATACCCAGACATCCCGGACGACGTCACTCGTCGCATTGCAGAGTCTAGCGACACTCTACACAATCTTCTTGTCAACAATTGCTCGCATTGAGCTGTCAATATTTCAATGACGGTTGGTCCAATCGTGTTGCTGGATTGTGCTGCGCGTTGTCGCCGTGGTCAAAATATTGATGATCTTGTATATGTTTCTTTCCTTTTTATATATAGTCAGTGTTACTCCTTTCTATTCATTTTGGTTCGCCATCTCCACACCATCCATACATTTTTTAAGATAATCTAATTTATTCAAAGTTGTCATGAATTGCAGACTAGCCCTCTTCCTTGGATACAGCATCACCTCACTTGTGTCCTTTGATCGGAGATTGAGGTTGAAAAAATCAAGCTTATGGATCTTGTACAGCGAAGAACGTAGCTGCTGGGCGGGTAGGAGAACATGAAAATCGCGTCATTCATAGCTGTTGGGCATACCTAAGTCCTTTGTCGACCAAACAAATCCTGCATCTAAATATCGTTGGATAAGTACGAAGTGTATTACAAAACACTGTGATCAAGAACTATAAGTGCGGCACCAAACTAGTCCACAACACCGTTTGGTATGCGTCAGGAGGAAGATCGCGTAAAGTGGTGAACATCAGTACCAAGAGGACGCCACGAGCTGTGATGTATAACATGATATATGATCCATAGAGCAGGATAAACAATGTAAGTGACGCGTCCAGAGCTGCAAGGAGCGGTGCAGTGAGTAAACCAAGCCAGGGCGTGCAAGTTATAGCGACGGCACTCATGCGCCATAGCACCTGTTCCTGGTATGTTGGGAAAGCAAAAAACCAAGCCATACAATGGATGCCGCCAAATATAGTTGCCATAAGCAATCCAGCGAGCAAAAGAACGTGTTTGTGCAGTTGTTCGAGTTCGATGCTACCATCAAACGTTGGAACTTGGAGCTCTCGAGATGGGGGAATACCAGGAAAGCCTATCAGTTCTAGGAATGGGCGCAAGACTGGAGCCAAGACCCCAAACTGAGTGATTTTATCTTCTTCGCTGACACTGAAGCGTACATAGTAATCAGTAGCGGTCTACTTGTTGAAGCGCATACATACCCAATGACATCCTCTGGCGTCACGATTGACTTTGACTTGGTCGACTTCCAGTACACTGGATGTGGGCATTGCACATTGAGAGGCTTGTCCCACCAAGCAGCATAAGTTAGGAAATTGAGAACCGCAAAAGCGAGTGTGCCCACTTCGAGCTGGGTGGTTTCTAGGTGATAGATGGCGCGGGTGATGAGCTGCATAACAAACCAGGCTACTTGAAGGATGACCAATCCTTTTGATATCGCATTGCCTTTGCTCCTGTCGTGGATCTGGTCTGCCGTTAGGATAGGGACGTCGATACGCCTCTGACGTATCAGTGTGAGAATGTGATTTGGTTGTAGTGTACGGCTTGCGGTACGGTGGGGTTTCCCATTCGCATAAAGCATGAAACCACCCATCAGCACAAAGAAGCTGTGCGTCTGGGTCCACGTAAAATCTAAGGATGCACATGAGCCAAGATTTAGGTGAGCACGGATCAGTCTTACCTTCCACACCAGACTCGGGTTTCTCTGACTTACTAATCCACCGTGTGGCCCACCTCACAGGAGCACAAAGGACACGCCAAAGAGACACCAGCACAGATAATATACCTCTAGCGAGCAGTCGAAAGAGGCAAACAAAAGCCAAAAGAATGTCGAGAAGGAAGCGATTTTCAGTTCCAGGTGCTCCAAAAGACTTCTTTTCTAAGAACATGTATAGTGAGTTGCGAGATGCAGAGTTTCCAAAAGCACGACTCACCTTCAGATTCCGGACGAACGCTGGGATATCCCAATTCCTTGAATTGTCTTGTAACTTGATCAGCGCTGAACCACTGTCGCATAGCCCAGGTGACGATCAGTTCAGGAGCTATCAATGCCATTATCACCATGCGAATTTGTCGCCATAGGCCATGAAGCTGGCTGGTGTGCTTAGGACTCGGGATATTGGGGTGGATGGCACTGTAGACGCATGCAAAAATAGTGAGAACGGAGCTAGAAATGATGCTCCATAGGGTTCTTGTCGTGAATGATGGTGCTTTAAGACTGTCGTTAGTAGTGGTATTTGTTGTATTTGCTGTAGGTGCAGCTTGGGTGACTCCAACGAGGAGGACGCAGAGAAGTAGTAAGCGCATGATTAGATGGGCGTATCGTAAGCATCCTGTTCACTATTTTTATTTTACTGGCGAGCGTTAGTACAATGAGGGTAGACTGAGAATAGGCTGGTCTTATCTCTTGAGCGTTCCGACGTTCACGAAAACAAGATACGTGAGGCCCTCTACGTGCCTTACTCTTCCCAAGATTTGGGAGCCAAAGTACTTCCTGAGAATGGTAACGAGACTCCGGGCAAACTAAATGTGTATATGTGAGCGTCTGTTCAGTGTTCTAACCCTGTTTGACTCCAGCGGCAGTTGTCCCAATCCGGCGAAAGGTGCACGCATGTCCAAAGGCAGGATTTATGTGATTTACCTTCCAGTGTGTTTGCAATCCATCAACCGTACCCTATTAATTGTAGATGCAGTTTGGATTAGAATCTCGACGAGGTAGAAGAAGACGTGAGCGCATTAATTATTGGACGTTACTTTGGGGACGGTGACGGTATCACGGTATGTTCCGACTAGTAGCGGGCGTCATCTCAAGGCGCCAATTTAGGAGCCGATGTTTCACTATTTCCAATCGTAGGCTTCTATCTGCCGCTACAATTCGCAATCATTACAACCCGGCATTGACTCTACCCAGCCCGAAGTCAGCGTCTAGATTCAGTGGGCAATGGGTATTGGCCCTTGAGCAAATTACTAGGTTTCCATTCAATATCCACTGGGTACCACAGCTGAAGCGCTGATGCCTTGGGCCTTGGCCGCCGCTTATTAACCTCTATATAAATTTACAGTAGCTCAGAGTTTCCCTAAATCAAATCAGCATGGCTAATACTCCTCACGCCTCAACGGTTCCCTGTCCTCTCAACATCTCTGGTACTCGATTATTGTTATTAAGTAGTATCATCAACTGCGCTAAATATATCCAATAGGTATTACCATCAATTTCAAGAAGTCAAAAATGGATATAGAGTTTGCTGAAGTACGGATGGGCGAATTACGCAGTGTGCTGCAGAGTGTGCCACTGATTGGATGTAAAAGAAAAAAGAGATTTCGATGGACATTTTCTCCACCCTGGTAAGTACTCGACCCCAACACATGTCACGGTTCTCATCTAAGTTGCTACTGTGCTTTTGCTCTAGGGTGCTTTCTCATAAGGAAAATTTTTCCTTACATATGGATTGCCTTGACAAGAAAGTATGGTATAGTAGGAAGACCGAAGATTTTTCTTTCAACCCAGATGACATCTTCTGTGCGTATGGTGCAAGCCAAGGACAAGGTGAAACAAGAATCATCGCATTCTTACCCTCGTCACTCACGAACTCAACCACACATGCGTAGACTACACTGCGTATTATAACAAAATCAAAATCGACGTCCAGTTTTTCAGGAATACAACAACTATTCCTCGGTGAGTCAGGATGATCATTAAGTGTCATTCTTGAGGTTGACACTCCAAAGGTTCCGAATTCTGGTGATAGGAAAGGTATCTGGCTTTATCCGATCTCAGGCCACTGCTGACGCCGTGCGTTTAACAGACTGGCGTCGGCAAGTCATCATTGATCAACGACGTATTTGGAGTGGAAGAAATGGTGGGCTGAACGCGACGCTTCAGCGAGCACAGTTACTCATCTTTTCAATAGATCGATTTGCGCGGGGCCAGCATTGATCATGAGTTCATCTCACCTCAGAACGACAAGTTTGTTCTCCACGGTGGCAAAGGTTTTGGACTCAGGGACAACCTCGAAACAATCCGAGATTTCATTGACCGTCGGAGGAACATGTCTCCGGAACATCAGTTGCATGCTGTTTGGTAGGGATTCTATCTCGACCATTCCGTTACGATGGACTGACCAAATACACGGAAGGCTCTGCCTTCAGACACCGCGTACAGGCAGACGTTTGCTAGACACGAGAACGAAAGAATTTCTGACATTGAAACGTAGTGGAATACTGGGAAACGGTGAGTGAATCGATAACTATCTCTCTGCTACGTTGGAGCTCACAATTTGCCAAAGTTCCCGTCATTGTCGTTCTTACTAAATACGATAGACTCGTTGATCACATACAGCTAACTCTAGATAAAACCTTTATCAAAGGATTGAGCAATGAAAAAATCAAGGAACTCGCCAGGAAGAACGCAGAAACCGAGCTGCAGAATATCTGCATCAGACCTCTAGAGAAATTTGCAGGGTCTAATATTAGCCACGCTGCGATCTCTAGTGTGTACCAATACTTCATCAAGTTCATGCGTGCCTCTGAAGTGCAATATTCCAGCCAACGAAGACTATGAGAAGACACTCACCCACCTGGTTCAGATAGCTGAAAACTGTGTCACTCAGCATTCTGCGTCCAAGGCTGCGGTGATGATTTCCATCCGAGCTGCTCAACGAGTGGATCCTGAACTCAAAATAAAGGCATCATTCGAGTAAGTCTTGAGCTTGTTTCATTCTTATCTTGTGATTTACGTAGTGTCAGGATTGCCAAGAAAAGTCTGTCCCAGTTTCGCGTTGATAATTACTGAATATAATCTAACTTTTCTTGTCTTGCAGGATATCGGAAGACATTTTCATGTTGTTGCGCAATATTCAAGAAGCCCAAGATGTGGGATTTTCTACATGCACTTCATGACGACATCATCAATGTGTGGAACTTCTATGACCTTCATCATGTAACGACCATCTTATTTGTCGTCTTCGCATCCGCCCTAACGTGATTTATGCATAGTACTTGGACAACCGAAAGTTCAGGGAATCGATATCAAAAATGATCGAAGTTGGACCTACCAAAGGACATCGACACTTCTTCAGCCTCGCGCCAGTGATTCGACACATCATGTCCTACATCGTCAACTTAACGCTTGTGTCGCAGACACTTTATTTCGTGTCAGGACACCAGAAAATCACTCGTAGGGCCATCAAGCTCGCGGTCTCTTCCTACCTTGCCTCCCCAATTAGAGCACAGGCTCGTGTTTGGATTCAGACTTGTGATAGGCAATTGTCCATCCTGGACCGCGTGGATCGGGATAGCATCGTTGGGGTGATAAGATCTCATAGCATCAATGCGACACAAAGGGTTGAACGTCGGGAAAACACGCAATGGGCTGCACCTCCACAATGGACCGCACGTCGGGAGAACACACAATGGGCTGAACGTCCACAATGGGCCGAGCCTCGGCAAAACATTCACATGAGTGCCCCCATTCATACTCCCGCTACCATAATTCACCCTAATCCTACCATGAACTATCATACTATTATGGCGGAACGTCCACAATGGGCCGAACCTCAGCAAATCATTCACATGAGTGCCCCCATTCATACTATGGACCATCATATTATGGCCGAACCTCCACAATGGGCCGAACCTCATCAAATCATTCACATGAGTTCCCCCATTCATACTATGGACCATCATATTATGGCCGAACCTCCACAATGGGCCGAAGGTCGGGAAAACATTCACATGAGTGATACTCCCGCTATCACAATTCACTCTCTTTTGAATTAACCTACTACTATGGAATATCGTACTACTATTGACCACCTACTACCGAATGGTTTACACATAATATTTAGGAGCATGTCGTACCAAATGTGAGAAAGATATTTGAAATTTAAACTGACATAAAGATTGAGACATGACTTCAAATTTCGGCAGTGTACTCTCCTTGCCACTGACTCGCTTGCCTCCAAGATTTGACCCTTACATTCTCCTCCCTCACTCCGCCCGCAGCCGCCGATTGTGAGGCGTGCTTCACAGAAAGATGAGGGTTGAAATATTGAAAGCCTACCAACGCCGAGAGTTTATTTAAGTGTGTCAGTGTGTATGGGTATTATATACAAATAAGCCAGACCTTTCTTTTGAGAAACACAATTTTCGCGTGCTGAGCACTGATCTCTGGATAATAGAGACGGACACTGCACGCCGGGCCGAGTCAAAAGGTGACTATCTCGTCGATTGGGAACGTTGCTACCTGCTCATCAGTCATCTGCTTCATCAGCCGCAACGTACCAAACAGCCCTATTTCACTACCATCCAGGTGATGAGCAAGTTGAAGCAAGACTTAAGTAGAGGTTTGTTCGGTTGATCTCATGCCACGCCTGCAGTGATCGTGTCGTTCATAGCGGTTGGGTCTACCATCGTCGACCACACAAATCCTGCATCTGAATATCATTAGATAAGTACAAAGTGTATTACAAGCACCGTGATCAGTGACTATAAGTGCGGCACCAAACTAATCCACAACACGGCCCTGTATGCGTCAGGAGGAAGATCGTGTAAAGTGGTAAACATAAGTACCAAGAGAACGGCACGAGCTGTGATATACAACATGATACACAATGCATAGAGTACGATGAAAATTAGAAGTGGTGTGTCCAGAGCTGCAAGGAGCGGTGCAGTGAGTAAAGCAAACCAGGGCGTGCCAGTTATAGCGACGACACTCATGCGCCATAGTACTCGTTCCTGGTATGTTGGGAAGGCAAAAAACCAAGCCATACCATGGATGCCGCCAAATATGGTTGCCATAAGCAATCCAGCGAGCACAAGAACAATCCTGTCCACATTTCCGAGTTTGATGCTACCATCAAATGTTGGAACCTGGAGCTCCCGAGAGGTGGGAATGCCAGGAAAGCCCATCAGTTCTAGAATTGGACGTAAGACTGGAGCCAAGATTTTAAACTGGTGGGTTTTATCTTTTTCAATGTCACTAAGGCAGACATAATCAGCAGCGGTATAATTCTTGAGGCGCATACATACCCAATATAACACTCGGGTGCCGTGGTTGGATTCGAGTTGGTTGACGTTGACTTCGAGTTGGTCGACTTCAAGCGCACTGGATGTGGACATTGCACATCGAGAGGCTTGTACCACCACGCAGCATAAGTCAGGAAATTGAGAACCGCAAAAGCGAGTGCGCCCACTTCGAGCTGGGTAATTTCGAGGTGATAGATGGCGCGGGTTATGAGCTGCATAACAAACCAGGCCACCTGAAGCACGACCACTGCTTTCGATATTGCATTGCCCTTGCTCTTGTCGTCGATCCGGTCTGCCGTTAGGGTAGGAACGTCGATACATCTCTGACGTATCAGTATGAGAATGTGCTTTGGCTCTAGTGTACGGTGGGGTTTCCTGTCCTTATAGAGCATGAAACCACCCATGAGCACAAAGAAGCTGTGCGTCTGAGTCCACGTATAATCTAAGGATGCACATGAGCCAACGTCTAGGTGAGCACGAATCGGGCTTACCTTCCAAGTCAGACTCGGATTTCCCTGGCTTGATCCACCTTGCGACCCACCTCGCGGGAGCACAAAGAACATGGCAAAGAGACACAAGCACAAATAATACGCCTTTAGCAAGCAGGAAAAAGAGGCGAATGAAAGCCAAGAGAACGTTGGAAAGGAAGCGATTTTCAGTTCCGGGAGCAGACTCCTTTACTAAGGACGTGTATAGTGAGTTGTGAGATGCAGAGTTTCCAAAAGCACAACTCACCTTCAGACTCTGGGCGAACGTCGGGATACCCCGAATCCTTGAACTGTCTTGTAACTTGATCAGCGCTCAAGTACTGTCGCATAGCCCATGCGACGATCAGTTCAGGAGCGATTAGTGCCATTATCATCATGCCAAGTTGTCGCCATAGGATAGAAGGGTATCCGCGGTGCTTAGGACTCGGGATATTGGGGTGGATGGCACTATAGATGCATGCAAAAAGAGTGAGAATAGAGCTGAAGATGATGGTCCATAGGGTTCTAGTCGTGAATGACGGGGCTTTAAAACTGTCGTTAGTAGTAGTATTTGTTGCATTTGTTGCTTGGGTCACTGCAACGAGGTAGAGGAAGAGGCAGAAAAGCATAACTGAACGCATTATTGGATTTCACTCTAGGGTGCACCACGGTATGCATGGCATCCTATTCACTGTTTGTATTTTAGTACTAGCGGGCGTTATCTCAAGGCGATGAGTTTGCGGCATGGCATGTATTCACGAGTCGTAACGCCGTTATCAGTCAGACTTACTCGGATCTTTACTGCAACGAGGCTGCGTACCTTATCTCATACCGATTCCCAGCGGTTTCTGGTCAGTACCAATCGGTCCTCGGTTCTTCTGCACTCAGTCAGCGTCTAGATATGGGAGATATTATGTAACATTGATATAGCGTACCGTACGCTGCCTTTATTTGAAATTATTAGTTGCAAGCGTCTAACTAGTAAAGTTCTTCCCCAGCCCCCATGAATATCTACAGGGTGCACGAGGGTGCGGCATCTGGACATAAATTTACAGCAGCTCAGAATAGACTCCTCCCTAAATCAAATCAGCATGACTCATACCTCAATGACTTCCTACCCTCTCATCGATGGTACTCAATTCTTGTCATTAAGCAGTATCATTGAACCCGCTGAATATATCCAAATAGGTATCATTGTCGATTTCAAGAAGTTCAAAACGAATATAGAGTCCGCTGAAATATTATGGGTCGGCAAATCACCATTGCGAATTGACGAACGCAAAGGAAGAAAGAGTTTGCATCACACATTTTCTCCACCCATGTAAGTACGTACCCGACCCCAGCACATGTTCTCACCTGAGTTGTTGCTGTGTTTTTTGTTTTAGGATGCTTTCCCCAGGGGATACATTTTCCTTATGTATGGAGTACATCGACAAGTGCCTATGCTTGGAGATGAGGACAGAAAGAACTATCCTCGAAGCAGATGACATTCTCCACGCGTATAGTGCAAGCAAATTTAGACGAGGTGAAACAAGAATCATCGCATTCTTGCCTTAATCACTCACGAACTCAACCTCGCATGCGTAGCTTACATCAAGATTCATAAAAAAATCAGGATCATCATCAACCTTTCCATGAATACAACAACTGAAGTAAGGATCCACGTCCAGCATCGAAACTGTATAAGTCATAGATCAACAGACTGAGCAGTTTGGCCCTCCCGATGAAAGCCTTGAGCTCCCACCTACCACTTCCGAAATAGCTCGGATCCATCCCCGGTGGGTCAGGATGATCATAAAGTGCTATTCTTGAGGTTGACTCTCCTAAGGTTCCGAATTTTGATCGCAGGAAAGGTATCTGACTTTCGTCGATTTCAGGCCAGTGTTGACGACACGCTTGTAATAGACTGGCGTCGGCAAGTCAACATTGACCTACCTCATATTTGGAGTGAAGACAACGGTGGGCTGAACATGACGCTTCAACGAGCACAACTACTCATACTGTCAATAGATCATAGCCCATGATAAGCCAGGCGAGGCCAACATCGACCATGAGTTCATCTCTCCTCAGGACGACAGATTTGTTATCCACGACAGCAGAGGTTTCGAACCAGGGGAAGAAGACAATCTCAAAATAGTCCGAGATTTCATTGAACGTCGGAGGAACATGTCTCCGGAACATCAGTTGCATGCTATTTGGTAGTGATTCTATTTCGACCATTCCGTTATGGTGGACTGACCAAACACACGGAAGGCTTTGCTTTGAGATACCTCGTGCAGGCGGACGTTTGCTAGAGACGGGAACGGAGGAATTCCTCACATGGGCAAGGAATGGAATGCTGGGAAACGGCAAGTGAATCGATAACTATCTCTGCTACATAGAGCTCACACTTTGTTCAAGTCCCTATTATCGTCGTTTTTACGAAATACGATAAACTCGTTGATCACATGGATTGAACTCTAGACGAACCTCTATCGATGGCTTGAGCAATAAAGCCATCGAGGAACTTGTCAAGAAAAAAGCAGAAGCCGAGCTGGAGGATACCTGTATTGGACCTCTAAATCAATTTGCAGGGCCTGATATTCCCCATGTTACGACCTCAGGTGTGTACCAATACTCTGACAGGTTCATGCATGCCTCTGAAGTGTAATATCGCAGCCGCAATAGACTATGAGGAGACACTCACCGACCTGATTCAGATAACTGAAAACTGTGTCGCTCAGCATTCTGCGTCCGAGGCTGCGGTGATGACTTCCTTCCGAGTCGCTCAACGAGTGCATCCTGGACTCAAAATAGAGGCATCAATTATGTGAGCCTTGCTTTCTTCATTCTTATCTTGTGATTTACGCAGTGTCAGGGTTGGCAAGATGAGTCTGTCCTAGTTTCGCGTTGATAATCACTGCATACAATCTAAATCTTCATGTCTTGCAGGATATCGGAAGACGCTTTCATTGTGCACAATATTCATGAAACACAAGATGCGGGATTGTCTATATGTGCTTCATACTGATATCGTTGTAGGGATTCATTTCTGGCTGGGCTTGCAGAGACTGTTTTTACCTTAGTGTTATGTTTGCACTTTTGTAGCTTACATAATCAAGTTACCTTTTCACCAGTTCTACTATGAGTCTGAGTATTCAGCAAGTTTCTATCATATTTCCTCTTCTCTGAGCCTTGAGCCTGGTCCAGAAACCCTTTAGGGTCGAATAGCAGCTAGGTTCTGCAAGACCCAACATTGTTCAGACTCACCATCTGAATTGTTGTACCTTCATCGTCATGGTGTGGAACTTCCATGACCCTTCTGGTGTAATGGCTATCTTATTTTTCATCTTCACATCCACTCTAACGTGATTTGTGCATAGCACCTGCATAGCCCAGAGTTCAGGGAAATGATGATGAAAATGGTCGAAGTTGGATCTACAAAAGGATATCGACACTTCTCTCTCGGCCACTCGGTGCTTCAGCGCTTCATGACCTACATCGTTGACTTAACACTTGTGTTCCAGACGCTTTATGCCGTGTCAGAAAGCCAAGAAGTCACTCGTAGGGCCATCAATCTCGCAGTCAAGTCCTATATCGCCTCCCCAATGAGTCAAGAAGTTCGGATTCGGATTCAAGACTATGTTAGGCAATTGACCATCCTGGAACGCATGGATCGCGATACATTGGATAAAGTCGTTGAGGTGATGCAATTTTTTAGCATTGATGCGGTACAAGTGTCCGAACTTGCATATTTGTCATTGGACGAACCATTGCAAATCGTGATGTCGCAGCACTCGATTGTTTTTTCGTGGGTGGTTTTTTCACTTGGGCGGGTTCTGAGTACTGACATGATTGCAGATGATACTCACTTGTACTATGTAACTGGATTTATGGTCGATCATACCACTGTAGCGTATGATGTACTATTCTATGATTGCACCCGAAAGCCTGGCAACGACACCTTTTCTGTCGCATTTGTTGGGACAAGATCTTTCTAATGAGTCGCGTCAAGGCAAAGGCGCTTACAGATGACGGGATAAAGCTAAGGAAAGTTCAGGCTGATGTTGTCTCCGTACCACAGCGCTCGCGCCACACTTCGACAAGCCCAAACCTGCCTGCTGCCTTTTTTTCTTTGCATTTCTTCTCTGAAATTACCGTGACCTTAGGCTATCTTCGGCTCCTTAGTCACTCGGTGAGCTCTGAGATCTGAGGGCCTAGATCCTTGTGCGCATCCGCATGCAAGTTCGGCGAGGAAGTTGGCCATGCATGGGTAGAGGACATCTGAAAATGCTTCCGTGCTGCCCTCTCAAGGTAACTCATGCAGCAAGTTAGTCTCGTGGGGTCTCTAGCCCATCTGAACAGGGAACGGGACAAGGGTAGGGAACTATCGGCTCACCCGCCCTGATGTGGATTGGGCTGCCTTGCATATTGGTTTTGTACCTTATCTCTTCCATACTAGCTCTTACCTGCGCCTTTGCTCACGCAGATGCCCTGCACTATCGCTCATGTGGATGCTTCTATGTGCCTCACTCTTCCCAAGATTTGGGAGCCGATGTACTCCAGAATGATAACGGGACACTTATAACTCCGGGCACGCCGGCGCCTCAAGAGCGCGTTTGATAGAGCCAAGCTAAACGCGTAGATGTGAGCGTCTGTTCTAATCACGCTCCATAGTGATAATCACCTCCTCTCCTTATCCGAAGGGTGATGACCCTAACGCGCGTCCAACGGGCAAAATCAATTTACCTTCCGGCATGCAAAATTTCAGCTGATCATGGATCTTCTTTCTTCGTAGACCAGGGGTGCTTGTTTTGTTATTGATACTCTTGCGCGCTCCGCGCAGAATGATGACTGACCGTTTTCACTGCGTGTAGATGTCCCGGTCCTGCGACCCATGACTTCCACGATAATACAAGTTCACAGCCTGCTTAATCTGAATAAACAAACTCGGCGTGTCCTTTTCATCTTCGCTAAGTGGCGTCATCCGCTTCATCAGCCGCAGCGTGCCAAGCAGCCCTGGTGAGCAAGGGAGTTCCAGCAAGACTCGAGCAGATGTTTCAATTTGTTCGATTGGTCTCATGTCACACATGCGGCAGGTCATATAATCGCGTCGTTCATAGTGCTTGGGTGTACCTAGGTCTATCATCCATCAGAGGAAAATATCATCAGAAAAGTATGAAGTGTGTCATAAGTACCGTGATCATGAACTATAAGTGCGGCATCAAACTAGCCCACGACACCGCTTTGTATGCGTCAGGAGGAAGATCGCGTAAAGTGGTGAACATCAATACCAAGAGGATGACACGAGTTGTGACGAGTTTGATGCTGTCATCAAATGTTGGAACGTGGAGCCTGCGAGATGTGGGAAAACCAGGAAAGCCTATCAGTTCTAGCATTGGGTGCATGATGGATGGAAGTAATTCCCTAGCCTTTCATTAGAGTTGAGTTGCGTAACCTTATGTAAGCTCTATTCAAGTTGGAACAAGTTGTGTCGAGTTACTCATCTGTTTGTAAGTGACTAGTAACAGCTATCATGCACATGCATCATGCCTGCAACTCATTCGTTGATATTGCAGCCGGATCTTGAGACAGTATAGATATTTTTCATTCAAGTTCTGGTATTCGAGTGCCGAGCACCGCCCACTTTGTCACTACGTAACTCGTCCAAGTCGAGCAAAGATGCACTTCTGGATCCCGGAAGTTGTGCAGCTTATTTTCGAATATGTCTATGATCCCGATCGAACGAAGGAGGACAGCGAGGGCCGCGTCACGGTTGCCAGCTTAGCAAGAACGTGTCGAGCATTTAGAGACCCTGCCCTAGATGTCCTGTGGGCTCAGCTCCACTCTTTGGATGCACTCGTTCTCTGTTCTGGTGGGACGCGAGTCAATGACAATAGCCAAGTAGTGAGCCATCTTGATTTTCTCTTTTCCCAGTATCACTCAAACAAGCACTTAGGTTTGGGAGCGTCCACTGTACGACGCGGACTGGCGCGTTCTCGCGAGTTATGCAAAACGTGTTCACACGCTGACAGTCTCACCTCAGTCGGATACATGGGATATCAGCACTATGCATATCTTAAATTGTTTTCCTCTTCCAGGAGCCCTCCTTCCGAGCCTTACAGAGTTGAATTGGCTGTCCGATCGTGAAGACTTCTTCCCCTTCTTACACTGTTTCTGTGGACCCATGTTGAAGACACTCGGGCTTTCACCCGTCGCGTGGAGTGTTCGCAAATGTATCGCCATCGCGTCGCTTGCACCGTCCTGTCCTTTTCTCGAGCATTTTTCATGCTTTGGCGCAGATGATTCATCGATGCAAGCAATTAGCGAAGCAGTTGTAGGCTGGAAGAAACTGGAAGTGTTAGAGGCTGGTCCTGTGAACGAACGAGCTTTGAAGCACGCTGCCTCTTTGCACACGCTTCAAACGTTGCGTTTCTCTGCTTCATCAGAGCTCACATCCGACATATTGGAATTTTGTTCCCCCGTTGCCGTGATAGAGATCGCAGCTCTCACACCATTATCCTTGCAAGCATTTATGCAAAACGTCCGTTTCTCCATTCAGCATTTGGACCTTCGCTGCTCGCTCTACGATGACGTTTTCCCTCACCTTTTCTTCGCGCACCTGAAGGTATGCATGGTACATCCCGAGAAACTTGAAAGTTTGACGTTGCTCGCGGGAACGACACCAAAGGAGGATACTAACAACGAATCGATCGTCCTCACCCCTCTCATGTTGCATCCGCTCCTATCATTCAAAGGACTCGAACACTTGGACCTCGGACATTCGTGCACAGCGCATATGGACGATACCTTTCTCAGCAAATTGGCCTTGTCTTGTCCTGGCCTAAAGGAGCTCTACTTGGGTGACCAGAAGGCCTGGCTCATTGCTCCGTTGCTGACTTTTGACGGAGTCACATCTCTCTTGAAGCACTGCCGCCAGTTGTTGTCTCTTGGGGTTTTCTTCAATGCCACTTTCGAAAGTGATGTCGTATACACGGCCCCGGTTGACGCTATCAGTCCGCAAATCAAAAGCTTCCTTGTCGGAGCATCCCCCATCAATGAACCTGTAAAGGTCACAGCAGTGTTATCCTTTCTATTTCCTAGTGCATGCATCAGTCATTGCATTCCCGAGGACACGCCTGAGCAACTTCACGGAAGGCTGGAAAAGTGGGAGTCAGTAGATAAGATGTTTGGGATATTTGTCGCAGCTCGGAAGCAGAGTTGGGAGCAAGGCTGGGCGGAGGGAATGGCTGCGGTTGAGAAGATTACCACAGCGTAAATATCGATTCTGTGTACTGAACAATCATCCTACCGACGATGTCCCCTAGCTCATAGAAATGCACATGTCATATCAGGAATATCCAGAACAGAAACCATAAGCATGTGTACCTAAATTCATATCATCGGTCCAAACGAGTGAGTACTAGAGCAATACTAGAGTATCCGGCGTTCTACGCCTCATTAATGTCACGTAGATTACCACAGAATAATTATCCTCCTTCACAGTAACTCGGCTACTCAAAATCGGTTTCTGCGGGCAAGTCTTTTCGATTTCCCCCTAATTTTCCTCTCGCTACGAATGAGACAGGCCTGTCGAATGAGATCCTGCAATTCTTGTTCCGCCTGTTGCTTCAAAGAATCATCTCCGAGTTCTTCAGCTGGTGCAAATGTCGAGAATAGACGTCCGGCGCCATCATACATGATGTATTTCTCGACCCACTGGTTGGCAGCTTGGCGATCGTCCAGTCCTTTGACCACGACGACGACCGGCACCACGTTCCCGCGATAGGCTGTACAAAAGGCATGGAATTTCTGACGAGCTGCAGAAAGCTCGTCAGCGCGAACGTAGTATATGAGAAGATCCCCTTCAAGCCTCTTCTCGGCACTTGAAGATGAAAAGTCCGGTGCAGGAACGCGGTGGACCTGGTATGTGTCCCCGCCGATGCGCACAAAGTAAGGTTTCAAGATACCACGGATGCATGGTGCGATCTCGACTTCTTCGCCTCGAGATGGATCACAGATGATGAGAGTAGACGGTAAAGACCTTTCGCTATTCCCACTATCGCTGATCAGGTTTCGTACAGCAGTGAAAGACTGCTTGAACCAGCTGTCGTCGACCGCCCAATCCGAGCAATTTTTAACGAGGAGATTACGCAGAGTTTCAGAAGACTCTTCGATGCGACGGGTGAAGACATCCGAGATGCCTGAGTGTTTGCGAAGCGTTGTGACGCATGCATGGTCTTCAAAATGCATGCCACGGCTCTTGAATTCCTTCCCGTTGGCATCCCACCAGCTCTCCATGTCAGGCTCGTTCTCCAATCCTGTGACGACGACAACAATTGGGACTTTCTTTCGGCAGATAGCAGAGTAAAAAAGGTTGTAGTTCCGAATAAGAGCGCGACGGGCTCTCGTGCTGCGCACACAGTATACCAGAAGGCCGATGCCATCCGATTTAGGGCCCATGAGCTCATTCAGCAAGCTCTTCAGGTTTTCTTCCGCCTTGGCTGCTGGTACCGTACCTGCAGTGCCCTCGTTGAGACCAGCAGTGTCGAATAGGACAAACGTCTGGCCGGATATTTCGACTCTATGACGCTCATAGGCGAACGTGCACCCAGTTGCACTGCTGGATGTCTTCGCTAGTTGTCTTTGCGCGATTGCATTGATGACTGAGCTTTTACCTGAACCGCTGTCGCCGAAGATGACAACGTTTCTTTCAAGTGACCGGATCTGCTACATGTTATTAATAAGCTTTTAGGTTATGCAGTTCAAGAAGTAGACCACGTACTGTGCTTGTTGATGCCTGCGGAGGTGGTGGGGGAGGAGGAGATGGTAGTGGTGGTGGCGAGGATTGTTGTCCATGCTCTGGGGCCGTTATGCCCCGTTGACTCGAAGCAGACGAGCGTAAGTCGAGTGCCTCCAGGTGGGTTTCAAGTGCTACACTCTCATAAAGGTCAGAAGGATCGCCGTGGTGATTAAAGCGGTGACCAAGAGTGTCCGATAAAATGCCAGGGAGAACACTAAGCTCATCATCATCAGCACGACATACTGCCAGTGCTTCACGTGACAGATGAACAGCCTCGTAGAAATGGTCTTTATTGCCGTCTCGTTCAAAGCGTGCATAGAGGTCGCCAGCAAGATTGTCTAGTGAGCGTGCACGACGTGGGTGCTGCGGCGGACAGAGCTCGAGCACAATTCGCCGAAGCGATATGCTCTCGTCTGAAGGATCCCTAGGAAGCGCGTTGCACTGCTCGATGACATATGGTACAGCGTTGGTATCGAATACTACTCGATGGAGATGGCTGCCCTCGGGGAAAAGCGGCAGAATAGAGCGGTAAAGATGCGCGGCCTCACGGAGATCGGCATGGTCCATTTTATGAGAATGACGTCTACAGAGAGCATGGCAAAGGTCAAGGATGGATAACGGATGATCGACATGTCCCCGGGGACGGTGTGAGAGTGCGGAGCGGAAAAGGTGGATCGCGCGGTCAATATCATTGTCGATGGACTTGGTGAAACCACATAGGATCGCATGGGCGAGATTTGAGAGTGCTGCGGCGCGGTGTGCATGATCATGGGGACATTGGTCAAGCACTGCCTGAAAACCCTCAACGGCGCTATGGAAATGCTCGCGAAGGTTGCTCTTCCAAAAGAGGGTGTATGCATCGCGTGCCGCATCAGTGTCGTGACCAATCTTGTGCTTAAAATTTGACTATATTAGCAGTGATCGTAAGTTGTTGAATTGATGATCTACCTGCATGATACCGTCTCCATCGTAGCGTGGTGTTTTTTTTCGCCAAGCCTTCAATTTAAGGGATACATGCTGATTATCGACAGCCAGGAGTGATACTTCGGAACCACTGTCAGGACAACGGCATTGTGAGAGGTGAGGACTCACCGGACTGTCCGTCGTGCGCAAGCAATTGATCTAAAGTCGTCTCGACTGTACCCACAAGCTCGCCTCGACCGAGCATTCCACCACACTCAAATGAGGCGCGGATTTCGAGGTGTACTTCTTTGGAGGAGCTAGAAAAGATGGGCATAAGCCACATGGGAAACATCAGCGGGCTTCCAGAGATAGTAAGAGTCTCATTCCAAAAAACACTACAGTCGGCCGTTGCAGCCTTGATGGCAGTGTTCCAGTGACCATAGGAGGTAGAGACAATGACATAGTGGCCTGCTGGAGTGCGATTAGATGGAACGATAAGATTTTGGCCACCAATCACTGCATGCATGCAAGATGTGAGAAAGGTGAAATTGAAGAAGGATTATGAGAGGTACGATACCTTCCAATGCTAGAACATGTCCGCCTAACATGAATAAGACTTATGTAAGGCTAGCTTCCTGCCAGGCCGACCCGAGGCTCAGTAGTTGTAGGGGATTTGGAGGGAGGGCTGCGAAAAGATGCAGCTTTAGTATCCACGGCGACATGCAAGCTAGAAATTTCGATGAGCATTTGCTATATATCCGCGTGTTCCAATGTGGAAGTTCCGACATGAACTGTATATTAATATTGTATTGCCTGCATGTTGTCACAAGAGACGCTCAAGCGAAGTCGTTCGAATGCAAGGTGGTTTAATTACCAATTACTTCTGATCCGTCGACTCGGAATATTCCGGTTGATCAGACAATTTCTATGTATACTGAGGTACATTACATAAGACGCGGTGCTCTACGAGTTGTGCTGGGAAGGAAAATAGGTATAGTACGAACGATCGATAAAGGCTGCTTTGAAGTGTTGATGTTGTGCGCTTGCGTCCAGGTCGGGGGGCTCCCTCCATGCTCATTTCATATAAAACCTCCCCTTCAAGCTTCCTCCGTTGGCATCCTCCCCCACTCGTCACTCAACCTGTTCACTACCCTCCACCATCTTCTTCTCTCCATCGTTCCCCCTCTCTCGATCAACTAATTCACTTCAGGACAAAATTTACCGCTTCAGATGAAATCACGTTAGTGAGCCTGAGCGCTTGGAAGAAGTTTGAACTTATTTGAGATAGCAACACCATGCTAAGCTGTGAAGCACCTATTCAACGTGTTGTGTGACGATCGATCATACCTGCATATGGCATTTGGTGGGCAGGAAACCTGCGATAACTCTCGAGGCCGGCCCCTGTTTAGAATTCCATCAATCCTTGTAGACCCTGTCCTTTCATTCCGGGAGAGTACGAAACCAGGAGTTCTGTAGTCGGACGGGTCTTGGCTGGCTTCGTCATGATGTCAGCCTTGTTGTGGGCTTCTGGTGCGTTTGCAGTGAACTTGGTCCATTGATATCTTGCGTTTTGTGTCTTCTCTTCGATGTGGTCAAGACGAACGAAAGAGCAAGTTCGAGCAAGTTCCAGGTTGTGTCGTCAAAGGCAAGTCATCCTGTGAAAATTTTCAAGGTTTCGCTATGCCCGAGATGTTGCGTTGTCTCGGAAACACATCAAAGTGCAGTATGGTGAGTACTGTGTGGTGGTGGTTTTTACCTAGTTACTAGTACAGGTCAGCACCAATGTTTTTACAACGAGTGTTCATATTTACATGCTCGCTAATACAGCGGCTCCGAGTCGTAGTAAGAGTGTTGCGTGTGCTGAGGTATTCGTTTTGTAGTGTGTTCACCCAGATTCACCTTGGTGTTCGTGCTAACATTGTCCTCTCTATTCATTCCCGCCAATTCCGATGTTTTATCACCGGACGACATCGCGGCTTGCAGTGTATATCGCACGTTGTATAGCATTATCTCAAGTTGCATCTTCACTCTTTGCTTGCACGTGGACTTTGATCCATCCGAACATCCCAAGTCTCCATGAAACAATATTTCATGTCACAGATTCCTGCGACACCTTGGCAATGTGCAATTTCAAAGACGTCGCTGAGCATGGCGGTTTCTAGTTCACGTCCAAGTTTCATACGTGTCCTGATGCTTGCCGATAATTATTTGGCCAGCTACTGCCCCTTTCCCTCACAAATCGTCATGGTCAGCTTTCTTGAGCCTATCACACACCAGTCATACAGCCATCTCATGCATCTGTGTGTCGCATTGGCAGGCGCAGGCTTCGTACCTGTTGAGTCAACCCCTGACAAAGTATGTTCAACTGCCCATCGAATCATCGTTGTAAACGCTGACGACTATCGAATCTCCAAAATTACTTTAAATGAAAGCCTCACTGTGAGTAATCTTGATACCAAGGCTTCTGGAACACGAGGCTTTCATTTGTAGGAGCAAATGATATACTCATAGGTAAATGGGTCTGCTCGGAAGCCACTTAGCCGACCATCTTCGATATCTGGTGAGATATTTGTCGGATTTACCCATGGAGTATTATCTTCGAATGAGCTAGCGCGCAACTGACGCGCGAACATATCGCAGGAATGTTGTTTCAAGTTCATTCATCATGCCGTACCAACGATCTAGTGCTTCAAATGGTATGATTTCTAGTCAGGGTATCCCACCCAGGCCAAAGAAGTTAGTCCTTCTGACATCGAGAGCGCCTTGATATATTACCTAGACCCAGTGCGTCGTTCTAAACTCAACTCCCCTTTCTGAAATTCTACGACCACGATACTCTTTTCCATCCATGGCGTGCGCACCCAATACAGCTCCGCTAAACTTCATCGTCTTCGGTGAAATGGGCGTAGGAAAGAGCTCGTTGGTCAATCTTCTTGCTGGGAAGACAGTTGCCAAATCCTCTTCCGGTTTAAAGTCCTGCACTCTCGAATCAACCGAGTACACGATCACATCACCTGAACACCAGCTTAATATCAGATTATTTGATACGGTAAGTACGTGAATTCTTCCAAGGTAGGGATGTTCTAAGTCGAGACCTGCGGCATACAGGTGGGGTTGAATAACGTCACAATGACCGACAAGAGTTATCTAGATGCGCTAGTGAAAGCGCATAAACTCATTGCCTCCCTCCAAAACCAAGGAGGTGTACACGGGCTGCTGTTCTGCATCAAGGGCGGTAACAGAATATTAGAATCTACGCAGCAGAACTACAGGCTGTTCCATGAATTCCTGTGCCAGGAGAAGGTGCCTCTTGCACTGGTCATTACCAACCTTGAGAACGAGGAGAACATGGATGACTGGTGGACGACCAACCAGGGTGATATCAAACAGCATGGCATAGTCCCCGTTACGCAGGTCTGCATCACCACCATCAAGGGCCTCAGAAACGTATACGAAGATAAATACTGGGAATCTAGGAAAAAAGTATGGGATGTGCTGGCTACGCTTGCAAGAGGGGATGCGTGCTCGGTCGATATTAACTGGTTTGCACGCATGTGCAAGAAGTTGCACCAGTTTTTCATCCCAGGCAAGGCGTTAGGGAAGAGTCGTGAAAAGATGATGAAGACACTCACGACGCGTTGCAAACTGCCTAAGCAAGATGCACTGCAGCTTCTTCGAAGAATCGAATCAGACGAGAACTAGTAACTTGACTACAGCTTTTGTATTTTATTGAACACCATACCCATACGCTATCCGATACCTAGTACATCCAATTATCTAGCATGCTGTCATACTTACACCCCGTCTCACTATCGATCCACCCTGCCCACAAACACTTGAGCGGCCGTCCACAAAGGTCCTACCTGAGAGCTGTCTCGTATGTTGGTCCCTTGAAGCTGTGCGCAACGTGTCCATCTTCTGTTTGTTTGCAGCATGTTGCGGATGTGCGATTTGCTCAGCTTTAGTTCAGCTTTGATTCTGCAGCTCGCGACATGTCCTATCCGACTCCTACCTTTCTGGAGCACAGCCTTGCATGACCCGGCAGGGAGCACCAATTCATAGCGCCAGTGCTGCAATATTGCAAGTGTCGAGGAGCCGTGATGCTTGTAGCCTCCCCTAATCAGTGGCGTTGGAGAGAAGGCCGTCTATTTTTAATAACATGCCAGCCAATGACTGCTTGTCTAGCCACCGTGACGAGGCCAGGGTCCACCATGCTTTGCAGATAAGTTCAATAATACTGATTAGACCCTCGAGAACCTCACATTAAAACCTCATTTGAACAGCATGGTGCTATGGGGTTACGCCGCATAGCAGCAGCAGTAAGTTGCGCTGTCTTCGAGACCATTTATATTTGGGAAGCATCGGCTGCCTTGATGAAATGAATATGCACTGTGCACGTCTATGAACAGCAGGTTGCTAACCGTCCGCGCTTAAAGCAGGGATATAAGAACGGAGTGCTACACATTCTGCTGGCAGGAGCCGGAGGGCAACTTGAATGACAGGGCATGTGGGAACAAGGCCGTCTATACAAGTTCTGCGTCGGTCACGTGCATGTTCAAAACACCGCCTTCAATGAGAACCGCGACCTCGTACTAGTAGACTATAGTCCACTGCTCTATGGGTGCTATATTCGGAGCTGCCGAAGACATCGTTAGAAGTGCAGATTCGTTTTGCACTCTTTGTCGTTTTATGCTATTCGTGTTTGAGACGATCCACTGAATCACTAGCTACAGGACCCAGGTGGTTTTTTTTTACGAAATTGTCGCATGACGCGATGCTAACTTAGTACTATCGGACTTGGGAGATGTTGGACATGAAAGCCTCGTGAATACTGCATGTATGGATGAGGCGCCCTTGGGCATGGGGAATCTTCTTCAGCGGGTAAATCCGATGATTCTCTTCTAACGCGCAACCTTCATGCATCACCTCAGGTGATGATCGATGCTCATGATCTGATCTAGGGCGTCAAATAGTGGCATGCCCGGCAAGGTGGCTCACTGGCACTGGTGAAAGGAGTGTGTCATTATGGGCGCTCAACATTTTGTATATACCCTAGAGCTCTCGCTCTCTTCCCCCTTCTTTGCTCTTGCGAGATCCTTTCACGCCACAGTGCGCGCTGCTAGCAGTGCTACACCCTTCAACTTCCGTAATGTCCTCTCAACCGCGGCCACCAAACTTTATTATCTTTGGTGAGATGGGAGTCGGCAAGAGCTCGTTGGTAAATCTCATCGCTGGGAACCAACTTGCTACCTCCTCGTCCGGTGCACAATCTTGCACACTCGAATCAACCGAGTATCCAGTCACATTTTCGGATCCCCGGCTTAATGTAAATCTATATGATACAGTAAGTGGATGCAATGATTCCCAGCGTGTCGGTATTCTAATTCACAAATAATCTAGGTGGGCTTGGATAGCCCCTCTATGAACAGTGCGGGGTATTTAGATGCCCTTGTGAAGGCACATGAGCTCATCGTCTCGCTCAAGAACCGAGGGGGTGTACACGGCCTACTTTTCTGCATCAAGGCTGGCAGAGTGTCGAACACTATGCAGCAGAACTACAGATTATTCTTCGAGTTCCTGTGCCAGGAACAGGTGCCTCTTGCCCTAGTCATTACCAATCTTGAGAACGAGCCCACTGACATGGACGACTGGTGGACGATGAACAAGGCACATATCGAAAAATCCGGCATTGTCCCCGTTACACATGTCTGCATTACGACCATCAAGGGCTACAAAAACGCATACGAGGCCAGATACTTCGAATCCAGGACGAAGGTGCTCAATATGCTTAGGGAACTTAGTAATAATGATGCATATTCGGTGGACGTGAGTAGTTGGTTTGCGCGGGTGTGTAAGAAGCTGCGGGAGTTTTTGGTTCCGGCCAAAGGGTTGGGGAGGAGTCGTCAGAAGATGCTGCAGATGCTCACGAAGCGTTGCAAGCTGCGCAAGGAAGATGCGGTGCAACTTCTTCAAAGGATTGACGCGGATGAAGAGAGACTAGGGACTTGATCAAATTTAATCATAAAAAGACAGGCTATCGAGGACGTAGTCATCTAAATCTACATACCAGCACTTCATATTCATACGATATTACTACAATTGATTCCAGTGTTGATCACTTTACTCGGGTCCGACGTTTAGTATTATACTACGCACGTTCACATCGATCCCACTTAAGCTTGAACTGGCAGTTACCGAGATGGATCACTTGAGGTTAGCATACAGGTTTCTTACAATACTATTACATAGTTACAGATTACAATCAAACTTCATAGCGGCGCACCTGGAGAGGCACGCTTCCAGCTTCACTCCCAACCACCTTTGGCCTTGGTATAGTCCCCAAACCGTCTACAATCTGCATTCCAGAGCCATCCGGGCCATCCGCCATCTCAAACACAAAATTTCGCACAAGGACAAACAGCACAGCCTGCAGGGGCGAAACCAGACGCGGTCAAAACAGGAACCAATACTCTAACTGCACAGCTACGTACCTTGAACTCTGCCAACGCAAATAGCCTCCCTAAGCACATCCGCGCTCCATCGCCGAATGTCATCAAATGACGGTAGCCATGCAGGGTTTCTCTGGCCCCAAGCGTACCCTCGTCCCCTTCGAACCACCGAGAAGGTTTGAACACCTTTGCGTCAGGGCCCCACATGCTAACGGAACAATTGAGTGCAGCAAACGGGACTACGACCACAGTTCCCTTCGGGATGCATACGCTCTCGGTAAAGTTACCGTCAGCTGTGCGCAAGGGTTCGCTGAGAGGGATCACGTCTTCTTGCATAGCCTGTCATAGTCAGTTTGAGTGGCTTGTGTTGGTTTGAGTCGGATACGCACTGATCGCGGGATCTCTTTGACCGGTGCGTGGAGACGAAGAACTTCGTTTACCACAGCGTCCAGATAGGAAAGCTTATTCGTAAGGTCGTCATATGAAGGGGTTGGCTCAAACTCTAAGCACTCGTCGCGAAGCTTCTTTTGTATGTCTGAATTCTGTGCAAGTTCTACTAAAGCCCACTGTGGAGTTGAGCAACACGGTTGGAGTTGCGAACGGTTTTAAACTTACTGTCATGCTTACTGATAGAATGTGAGTAATGATGAATGTATATTCTCTTGCTAGATGAGTGCACGTTACCTGAAGTGGTCTCAAAACTGGCGAGAAGAAGGACCCTTGCCTGGCGGAGACGGAAATCAGCATCCCATCATTCAGAGGAGTTCTATGATTCGTGTACCTCGTCCAGTACTTCTTGTGGAGTCAGTCCCGCGCTCTCACCAGATCCCTCCGCTTTCACTAAACATAAATTTTAAGGCTTACAATTTCGCAAATGAACGACAAGACTCACGGAGCAAACCTAAACACGACTTGTCCCCTTGCTCAGCGCCACCAGTATCCTTCTCCTGACGTGTCCGTGATAGCATCTCCTGGCATATTTTGCCAACTATCAGGCGAAGTTTTTGGGTTAGCCGTGTGCGAGGCAATGGCAGCTTCAGGATGGAAGGAAAGTTTTGTGCCAATATGATCAAGTTGGAAATTTTGGCGGGTGAACCGAATGCATTCAGGACGTGCGCGACGTCCGAGTCATTTCCATCGAGTGCGCCGAAGTCATGGGACAGGAGGGCTATGCCCGCGCTGTCAAGTCTATGATAGATGATGGATAAGACACCAGCGTGGTAGAAGGGAAAGCATACATACGAGATATGATTCATCCTGCGTAATATGTCTGAGAATGCAGCTACGAAACTTAGGAGGGGGGAAAGTACCATTGTTGCACATCAATTACTGCGCAATGAGTTCTTTGGTTCAATTCTATCTCAGCGTCCCAAGCGATCACTGTCTGTAACACATGTTAAATGAAGTACAAGGTGAATTTGTTAGTGATTGACCTTGTGAGCGGCATCATGGAAAACAGATGTTAAACTTCGGATAGCAGCTGCGGTAAAGGCAGGGTTGAGAGCCTTGCGCTGCCTAACAAATGAGAAAAAATGACATGGAGTTAGCTCAGCACAACTTGAAAGTCTTACTTCTTACCTTTTGTGACTTTCACCGTCGGCCCACAATACTCCTCTTCCGATCTATTAGTTGCATAAGCGCGCTGTGAGCCTATAACTGTACAAGAAGGTAAAGGACATGACGTTATTCGAACGACGATCTTGTTGAACGGAGTTTGGTTATACAACCATGTGTCTCTGGCAAAGAAATGAGAGATTGCTTTTGGGTCCCATAATATGACCCTGGACTGTCCAAAGACATCCGGGACCTTATACACTGGACCGTACTCCCTAGCCCAACGTTCGTACAGTTCAGTTGTAGCGGTGGAATTTAGCAGTATCTTGGCGAACCCAAACACCCAGCCTGGGCTCTGAGGACCTCGTATGGGTGTCGTTCGTTGTTTTCGGCGATAGACTTGCAGGAGATAGAGGGACGCCAGTATCACAACCGCGACAAGTATCGTTGAGCCTGGTGGGGGCGACACCAGGCAAAGGTCCTTGAAGGTAAGCCAAATGTCCCTGCCGCACTGCTTACTTTGCAACAAACCCATTGCTGTTGACAATACCCGTTCTCGAATGTTAGTCGCAGGGTAGCAAGAGGGCAAGACATCAGTTAGCGCGCCGGCCGCATCTGCATCAGGCCTCAGGGCCGCATCAGTGAAGTTAGCAACTACTAGTACGTGTCCGCGGAACCTATATGTCTTGCTAATATTAGCGACCTACTTACGTTCACCGGGCCCAGTCAACTGCCATTCGCCGATAATATCGGAGGTTGAACTGACCTATTTTCACATGGTTCAAACAGCCGGGCCCACTGAGTATGATATCTGTGGCTGTGACGGCTGGCCCTGTCGACTCTGATCTCATGCTTCAAGCTATTTGAAAGACTGACGGCTTGATTTTGGAGTTTGTTATCTTGCATGCGAGTGACTTGGACGTCCATATCGTGAGTGCTTCAAACGTTCAGGTGAGCAGAATGAGTACATATATCAGTACGCGTTAGAACACACCAAGCAATTACTCACACTCTCGCATTCGTCAGTACAAGTAATCTCATCTTCATATATATCATACATTACTAGGAACCATACACATCAGTCTCCAACATGGCCGAGCAGCTCCCCCCGTATACTACGCCTCTCCAGCCCGAGCCCGAAACACCGCAGTATAGTCTCCCGGAGACCTTCAACATCGGACGATCCAGCACGCAGCACCTCGTCCGCTCAGATCAGCTTAAGGCCCATCTTCAGTTGCTCGCAGCGTTCAGCCACCTTAAGCAGCAGGTAGTTGCCAATGAGAGCCTTATTGCGGGATTAGAGTCGGACAGCGAGAAACGTTGGGTATGGTTCGTTAATTTGGCCGTTGAACGGTGCGTGCCTTACTAGTGTTCTGCGTGTGCTTGCACTGTTAACTCACTGACTGATGGAGCGTAGGTTCGAGAGGTGGTGTTTGATGATCGAGCAATCTGATACAGTGTATCAACGTTTGCCTCCCATCGATGTCACCATGGTGTGGCATGCCTATCTCCTGAATCCGAGGCAAGCATGTCTTTAGTTCCTCGTTGATGACGAATCTCATGCTTTTCGGTCACATTTACAGCTGGTATGCGGAAGACACCACGCGGATCTCCAAGCTGAAACCTCTCGCTCATTTCACCAATTACTTTCCTAACCTTCTCGTACGCCGCATCACTTTGAACATTGTCCCGCGCTCGCTAAATGTTGTGCCAGGATAACCCTGATCTGTTAACCACTGACGCACCACAACATGAACGCGTCTCTGCTTGGGAGCGCAGTACCAAATTGCCATATGATCCATTCGCATCTGCTGCGGTTCTCACACACAAATCTATCGAGTGCCCTTGCTGTTACCGGAATATCCTTTCGCGTATGTCCTTTGTGCCTCATGGGAATTCATTCTAACAGCCAGCCGTAGCGTTCTTGCAGCCTAACGGGAAGGGATACGCCCAGAGTGACTTTCTCATCGAATGTGAATGTGCTCAGACGATCACCAAAGAAGTTCTCGGCCTTTACAAGTTTGCGAAAAACATCGTCGAAACAACAGCACCTGATACATATTTGGCGTGGGTGTTGCGTTGCTGATCATCTTGCACGACATCTAATGTAATTTCGTATATACAGCGGAACTCTTCATACACCCCACAGCACCTACGACATCGCGCGCGGAGACACGATCAAGAAGCGTGTCCTCGACTCAAACACCATCTTCCAGAAGAACCAGGCAAGTGATCACGCGCGCCAGATCTTAATAAACGTCCAGTATGACGCTGCGCGCATGCGTACCGTGCTGAACAAGCATCTGAAGCCAAGATTGTATGTCCTATTTTTTTGCAATGGATATGTTTTTCTAATTGAGAGACAGGTTGAATAGGATGATGGGTGCCTACACGGACGACAGGGTGTTCTCACTCGATTTGGTCAGTGCTGTGAGTACACCCTTGAAGTTTGATCGTATTCAAGGACTAATATATGTATGTATGTATCTAGGTCCTCCGGCAAGGCTCGTTTGTGAAGAAGATGGTCAACTTTGGATGGACCAAGCCAGGATATTTCGCTAACGAGGTGGACGCAGTAGCACTGCAACATTGCGTAGCTCGGTATCACGCGTACGTACTTGCTTCTTTTTTTCTACGGACCGCACAAAAACATTACTCGGCAGCTTTTTGAACATCATGGCAGAGTCTCCTGGCTCGTTCTTCGTGCCCACGCTCGACATCGATCTTGGGTGGCATACTCATCAACTCATGGCGAGTCAGTATCAAGAGGACTGCCTCTCGTTCGTAGGACGATATGTCGATCAGTAGGTGCTAACCAGTACAAATCGGGAACACACATTGAATACATGTCTTTCAGTGATGATAAGGTGGAAGAAGGTCAACTCGCGACCTCCTTCGACTTCACCTGTCGTGCTTGGAATGTAAGCTATCATCCATTGGAATTAGGTATCTCCCTCAAAACTTCTCTAAATCGTACTAGGACCGTTATCATGTACCCTACATGCACTGCGGATGTCCACTGCCTGGAGATACAATCGGCCAAAAGCTCCGATGCCTCCTCTCCTCTCAGGCCGCCAGCAACGTGCCTTCAGTCCCTCCCAAAACTGACGCACGTGCTGCCACGCACCCAAACGATTACAACGTCGTGTTTACCCTGCACAACATGTCCGCAAACCTGCGTCGCCGGGAGAACCGTGCATGTAAAACGGGGGTGCGGAGGCTGCGGGCAGAACGAAACGGGAGGGTTGTGAAGAAGGATGGGAAGGCTGATCATGTCATTGCATGTTTGTATCCTGTGCCGATGTTTTATTACCACCCTGGCGGATCTGTTGCTGCTACTGGAGCGGTGGTGGATGGAGGTTTGAGGTCTGCAGCGGTGAGTGTTATTGCTGTGTTTGGAGAATGATGTGTGCTAATATCAGGCTTACAGGGGGCAGATGGCTGTTCGATTGGTGCCCCACCGTGTAGTTGGTCTGGTGCTGGTGGGACGGGATGTGGAGGTGGTTGTGGTGGCGGCTGTGGTGGCGGCTGTGGCGGAGGTGGTGTGCATGCTGGTGGGACGGGATGTGATGGTGGTTGTGGAAGCGGATGTGGAGGTGGCTGCGGAGGTGGTTGCGGAGGCGGATGTGGGGGCAGGTAAATCAGACTGCCTGCAATGTTATATATATATAAATGTATCTATGCATGTAAGCTTATCTGTGATGCTCTGAAGATGTTTGTTCGGTATATATCAGATACCGTGTGGTGTCTTGATTGGTCTCATAGCATCATGACAGTGACTTCATGCCAGCTATGTAGCAGTACCAATATCAATCGATTGCTTCCAAGTTTGAATCCATGATCGAGAACATCCTCTGCATCTGCAGACACAAAGACAAAATGGCATTGATGTATAATTCTATCGTGTCTGTCTTGTTAATGAACGAGAGACCCTCTGAGTTTTGTGAGCGATTCAGCGATTCCAAGGAATGTTTCAGCAAGTTGAACCTGAAAACATGTCAAGTGGGTGTTGACGCTCGCTGTGGATGAAAATGCGTACTGTATCTAAGGCTGTCGTGTACGACGACGGAATTGTGGGTGCCGCACAGACCGAGGGGTCTCGCGGGGCGTTGTTCTGGGCGTTTAGAGCGATCTGGAACATTCTTTTCAATGGTGAAGAATATTTGTCTTGACCAAAGGACACGGAGTGGAAGGATAATGCTTTTCTACATTTGCAGTCTGAAATCAGTGAATCGAGAACGCGATGACAACCACAAACCCAAGACGGACTGCAGCGCCACACAAATCTTGAACCGTCCGGTTCTCGATAGAGCACTGGCCATCCGATAGAAAGATGACGACAGGAGTTCTATAGTATACACTGCATAAACATTGTACAAATCAATCGATAATCTGAGACTCACCGCTCCGTGCTCCAGTGTTGCTCCATGAGTGACTGGGCACGTTGAATCCCAGCAGTGAAATTTGTACCTTTTGTAGATGGCATTCTCTTATTCTCTTGATCAATGGAGTTTGATACATACATGAATTGTTTCGCGATCGGATCATTGATGAATGACGCGATCGCATGACAATTCAACATGATTGATATTGATATTACAGTACTATTGTAACTCGTTACCTCCAAACGTCTCTGTCGAATATTCGATGTATCCTTCAATCAATGTATGAGAGACCCTCTCGGCTTCCTGAGCGATTCTGCAATTCCTAGGAACGTTTCGGCAAGTTGTACCTAAAGACAACGTTAAATACCCCTCGCATGCGTTCGTACAGTAGCGCTCTTACCGTGTCTAAGGCCTGCGTATATGAAGACGCGATTGTTGCTGCCGGTGGGGCCAAAGGATCTCTTGGGGCGTTGTTCTGGATGTCAAGTGCAATTTGAGTCATGCGTCGCAAGGAGGTAGAAGCTCTATCTGGACCAAATGATACTGCGTGGAAAGACAAAGCTTTGCTAGAGATTGTGTCACAGGTTGCCAATTCAACCAAACAAATAGGCCACGAACCCAAGACGAACCGCGGAGCGGCACAAATCTTGAACAGTTTGATCCGCAATATGACACTCGCCATCCGACAAAAATATGATTACAGGGCTCCTAAAAGCAATGTTAAAGATCTTGAACGTGTTTATGGGAAGACCGTCGCACCTTTCCGTGCTCCAATGTTGTTCCATGACCGATTGAGCCCGCTGAATTGCTGCAGTAAAGTTCGTGCCTCCATCGGCGTCATAACGCAAAACGGCGTCAAGTAATTGGTCTGGAGAACTGACGAAATCGTGTACCAGGGCATTCGCAATGGAATGATCAAACAGAATAACACTGTATGAGTCGCGTCGGGCTGCTTGTTGACCACCAATTGCTACAGCACGGGCAGACCAGAAGCTATATAGGGAAGATAGCACTGCACCAAAGCGGTTGTTAGAGCGTCGCACGATTCTGTCCGAGGCAGGCGTGTTCGGGAGGGGATGTCTGTCACCAGAGGCCATGGAGCCAGATCTACTAATAATCAGCAATATTTAGCAGCCAGGCAAACATTGTCTCGCACCTATCAGCTACAAAGATTCTGGATATGTATTGATTAACATCACTGCAACTAGACCTTAGTCGATCACTCACACATGGAATGCTTGCTGCATAATCACGGGATTCCTGCATGAGAAGAGATGTCCGTCATTGGAAACGTATCCTAAACCGACTTGGGCATTGTTAGGATCCATCCGTGGGTGAAACAAAGGTAAGGAGCAATAGGATGGCTGAGCAGCATTTCCGGCTGCAGCAGTGTGCTCGGGGCCTGGCAAAATAGTAAATCGCCAACAGGACAAGCACAAATGAACCATACCGCTACACATTGAGTCACTAACAAGAATATGAATTCAGTCATGTTACCACACTTTGAGTATTCAATACGCACCACTTGGCGAAATTTGCTTGCTCCTCCCGAGAATAGGGGTCTTTGAAGCCTGCGGACCATGTATCACAGCCCAGGATGATAATCATAAAATTACTCACCGGCCCGCCGCCAGAAGAGATTGTGCGTCATGTAGTCCTTGGCACGTTCCGGGTTAGGCAGTATTCTCTTAGAGATATGCTGAACCTCGTTATTCCCTGTGCAAGCGGCAGCATCCGAGGCGCGACAGTAGTCAATGTGGATGTGTCTGCCCACCGCCTGACAGACGAGGTTGCACATCATCGGTGCACCCTCATCATTTGACGAGAAGCGACGGCCTTCGACCTCGAGACCCGCATCATCTGGGCCATCGACTGCCCATCGTGACGAGGACATGGATCCGTGTCTCGTTTCATGCTCTTGCTGCGGATGACCTGATGTAATGGTCCGTGAGACGTGACTGCTGAGGTGCACTGAATGTACCTACCGAGTGGCAATGTACAATAGTAGCCACAGTGATCACACCTGAAAAGACGAGAAGAATGAGGAAAGACCGCAAAAATGGAAGAAAGTTTCAACTTCGCTCTGCAGAAATGCACCACTCTTTGGTCCAAACTATGGTTGTGCCGACCTGTATGGGCTACCTGGCCTGGTGGTATCGACTTGGCACATCTCAGTCGTTTAGCCACTGTTGAGAGTGAATTAGTGATATCATAGGTAACCAACCCGATACACACCTTGTGAGTACTGCGAACCAAGATCGGACGTCAAGTCAGAAAATAATACCCAAGACCAAAACAGCACGCCACCTTCGTGTACTGAAACGTCTCGTGCCTTCCGGTGAACGTCGCTTCGATCGATTGTGGCGCAGTCTCAATCTCGCAGATGCCCTCGGCAGTGCATTGCACGGAACACGAATGCTCCTCCCTATTTGAAGTTCAATTATCAAGATACCTGGATGATTGTGGACGAACCCGCAAAGATGGATAGCGCCGTCTTCCAAACCGTGAAGATGGTCTGTATTTGCACAGAGTCTCTTGCAAAGTTGGCAAGGGAAAGAGCAAAGTCGAGCATCGCACAGGTGTTGGTCATGATCCACGTCACTGCGGTAAATTAGGTGTCGGTAGGTGGTGCGGAGCGTTCATTTAATGACTTGCCTTGCAATGCCACAAGTACCGCGACAAGGGAGAGTGGCTCCGTCATCCAACCTGAGCTTCGACAGATCGCAGGGCTAGAGGGCCATTTAAGCACGTGAAAAGGCTGTTCTAGGGTCAAACATACCTGACCGCAGGCATGCACAATAGCAGCACACAGATGGTCGTCTTCTGCATGACCGATCACCTAAAAGACAAGTTCAACGACCTTTTACCCAACAATAAAGAGGATCCATCTCACCTTTGTACACTCATCCAAACATCCCTGTCTCCCGGAAAATTTGCAGGCTTGACCACAAAGATGCGTATTTACAACACATCTAGAAGGGGTGATGAGCTCGTGCGCGGATACGATCATGAAAGGCTTAACATATGGTTGCCCGGATGCCCCGCTCTGAGATGCTTCAGTTTACTGGCCCAGAGAAAAGATCAATGACTTACGACATGGTGCAAGCCTTTGCCTCTCCCGATGACGCACAAAAATCGCAAGAATGTATACATTCATGAGACGTCTGACAGTCATGTTGTCCGTCATGCAATCTGCTCTGAATGCAGAGCAGCTCGCAACTTCCACACTTCATCTTGCACAACTGCAAGTTGCTCTTCAGGTCTACTGTCGCGCTTTCAAACGTTCTCATCAGCTCGTCGATGCTTGCCTGCCCGTTTTGGAAGCGAGCGACGTTTGACGATATCCACTCGCGGACATGGGCGACGCGCAAATTGACCAGACTGTCGATGTGAGCAATCAAATTCTCGATCCAAAGATCCTCCGGCACGTGATGGCGAGAACCATAGTCTTCCCATGCATGAGACAAAACTTGGAGAGCGGTCTCGCGAGAAGGAGATTGCACCCCCCCTGCCAATGAAAATTCAGCCAGAGTATCGGGCATCCCGATCGGGACATCGTCATCCAGGTTCTTCATAACGCCAGGTTAAACGCGATTACAATAAAAGGCAGCAGAAGCGTTCTGTACCTTGAGAGGTTCCGGGTCGGGATTAACTTCTTGCAGTCCAAATGCCAACGCATTCGGCAACATGGCTAATAGAAGTTGTGCTCGATGCGAGGCCATCGATTCTGCGGTGTGTTGTTGATCAACTGAACTATGGATTCTTTAAGAGTACGCACGTGACAGAGCACCCCAATCATTTGCCTGCACGAGTTCTGATGACTGGTCTCAAAATGTACGACAAGTGAATCATACCTTCAGTTTCGCCATCAAGGTCTTCATAACATGAAGGAATTCTCCTGCTGTATGATGCGTCAATTTTTGTTTGTCCAGTCGACGTTTGAGAGTTGGGAACAGCTTATAGAATTCCTGCGACTCAATTACCGGCCTGCATGGAACAATCAACAAATGAGACCATGGGAGACATCTCACATACCAAGGGATGATATTCAACTGCCCAGCGTGGAGACGAGAAATGAAGTTGGCCTCTTGTTCATCTTGAACTATCTGCTGAAACTTGAGGGCGAACCTGAGTGACGATTTGAGTATGTATTCATGGGGACACTGTCTGGAGCGTACTCTCGAGTAATTTCTGCTTTGTCCGAATCCACGACATCCTAGAAGTCGATATGTCAAAACACATGAAAAATAAATTTCAAGAAATGGGAAAGTACTTTAATTATGATCACCAACGTTGATTGAAATAGACTCGGGTTAGATGCTGGGTCAAGCACAGTCGAGCTTGATTGGAACGACTGGAATAAGCCTGTGATGTCTCGGCTCAAGGCGAAGTTGTTCCGGAATAGCACCTACGTAAACGACATCAGGCAACCATGAGAAACACACAGCGGGCAGCAAACCAAGTTAGAGATCGCAGTATTGAATAGCACGAGCAATGTATCTTCTTGAGCCGAACGCTCAATACTATGAACACCTATTAAGGAAAGATATCAATATGAAACGTCCACTGATGGTTTGGTTCGACATACCTTCAAAATCCAAAGCAACAATAAGAGCATCTTTAGTCGGAGTCACTGACATCCAGACCCCTTCTGTCGTACGCATGGCCGATCCCGCGAATGACGTATCCACAAGATGGTTCAAGGAAAAGCTCTTCCCCACCGATTGTTCGCCCATGGACGACACAACTTTGACCGGCTTGAAGAAAATGACACCGGATAAAGTCAGTGTCGCTCGACTCGAGGAGTTCACATATCATACCTTTTTCGCCATGTATGACTGGAACAAAGATTCATACCAACCAAAAGACAGGTGATTGACAATGCGGTTAACATCTGCGCCGAGGAGGGACTTCTCAAGTTCGGTTGAATATACACCATCCTTGAGTGGAATGAAACGATTCTCCCTCGTCACTGCGATGTGAATTGGAATGAGGCAGAGGATGTCCACCAACCATTCCCCGGCTCTGAACTTCGACACGCTCCATTCTGCAGCTCCAAGGAGACTATTGGAAAAACCGGAATATGTAGTGGCAGAGATGGTCATTGATTTTAGGATGGTTCCCG